TCAAACCCAAACCCAAACCCAAACCCAAACCCAAACCCAAACCCAAACCCAAACCCAAACCCAAACCCAAACCCAAACCCAAACCCAAACCCAAACCCAAACCCAAACCCAAACCCAAACCCAAACCCAAACCCAAACCCAAACCCAAACCCAAACCCAAACCCAAACCCAAACCCAAACCCAAACCCAAACCCAAACCCAAACCCAAACCCAAACCCAAACCCAAACCCAAACCCAAACCCAAACCCAAACCCAAACCCAAACCCAAACCCAAACCCAAACCCAAACCCAAACCCAAACCCAAACCCAAACCCAAACCCAAACCCAAACCCAAACCCAAACCCAAACCCAAACCCAAACCCAAACCCAAACCCAAACCCAAACCCAAACCCAAACCCAAACCCAAACCCAAACCCAAACCCAAACCCAAACCCAAACCCAAACCCAAACCCAAACCCAAACCCAAACCCAAACCCAAACCCAAACCCAAACCCAAACCCAAACCCAAACCCAAACCCAAACCCAAACCCAAACCCAAACCCAAACCCAAACCCAAACCCAAACCCAAACCCAAACCCAAACCCAAACCCAAACCCAAACCCAAACCCAAACCCAAACCCAAACCCAAACCCAAACCCAAACCCAAACCCAAACCCAAACCCAAACCCAAACCCAAACCCAAACCCAAACCCAAACCCAAACCCAAACCCAAACCCAAACCCAAACCCAAACCCAAACCCAAACCCAAACCCAAACCCAAACCCAAACCCAAACCCAAACCCAAACCCAAACCCAAACCCAAACCCAAACCCAAACCCAAACCCAAACCCAAACCCAAACCCAAACCCAAACCCAAACCCAAACCCAAACCCAAACCCAAACCCAAACCCAAACCCAAACCCAAACCCAAACCCAAACCCAAACCCAAACCCAAACCCAAACCCAAACCCAAACCCAAACCCAAACCCAAACCCAAACCCAAACCCAAACCCAAACCCAAACCCAAACCCAAACCCAAACCCAAACCCAAACCCAAACCCAAACCCAAACCCAAACCCAAACCCAAACCCAAACCCAAACCCAAACCCAAACCCAAACCCAAACCCAAACCCAAACCCAAACCCAAACCCAAACCCAAACCCAAACCCAAACCCAAACCCAAACCCAAACCCAAACCCAAACCCAAACCCAAACCCAAACCCAAACCCTAGATTTCTGGGGGACCAAAAATCAACAAATTGATCGACGTTTCTAAGGATTTTACTCAATACTATGAAGAGTTGGAGGAGTTTCCGTTGAAAGTAATTGAGGAGCTTTTTGAAATATGCGAACGCTCAGACAATACAAAGACATCCACTTGATTCTGGGAGAATAGATTTTTGCGAACAACTCGCTCGCAACGAACAAGACTTGTAACACAAAAATAGATGTCCAAATGAAAACGGTCCAACCATCAGGAAATGCTGCCGGGCCCTCATTATTTCTTTTTCATGTTATTCTTATTCTTCTTCTTATTCTTCTTCTTATTATTCATCTTCACTCGTTCTGCCACTGTGTTTAAAAAGTTCTTTAAATATGTCTCCTGTTCTTTATCAAAGAGTAAGTTATAATTGCTCATGTCAACAAAGGAGCATAAATAGTTTTTCTGGTATTTCTTTACAACCTCTTTCGAAAATGTTTCAGTTACATGAAGTCCAACACACACCTGCATCATCTTTGACGATTCAAACACTTCTAAAACAGCATCTCTGATATCATTATACCATTTTGCACTTGAATTAATTTTCATGCCTTTGCCATTCACATCATCTATAATGCTTTTTGAATTATCTTTCACAACGAAACGGTTTTTCTTGTTAATCTTGGTTTCTGCAATATGATAACTTTTTAAATTGTAAAGGGTCTCAGGTTTCAGTTGTGCATAATTATCGAGATAAAATAGTTCAGGGATAGTGGAACTGAAATATGAATGTGGGCTAAATTTAGTTCCAGCTTGCACTTTACACTGGAAACCCATTGGTATGATCAAATTTGTAGAGCCATCAATTCTATTAATACCAAACAGGTCGTTATGGTGTGAATTAGATAGAGTAATAAAAACCCCATCAAGTAAAGCCCACTTCTTCTCGGCAAAATGTTTCCAGAACAACTTTTCTCCATTTAAATCTTTCTTCTTCTCTGGTTTTATAGCACCTTTCGAAATACAGTACTCAATATATCCATTGGGATCTAAACAATGTTTGCACTTGAATATATGATCTTTTAGGTTTAGATTGTTGGTGATTAGTGGTTTGAAACAACCAATGTCAGATAAACATATACCGTCCAACTCTGCGAGTCTTAACATAACAATCGATTCCAAATCAATGTTGTGGTCTGAAGATTCCAGGAGCAATTTGATCATCTCTTGAATAATCCTTTTCATCAATTCTGAATCATTTAATTCCTTCAATTCTGAATCATCTTTGTTGCGTAATATCTTCTTTAGAAATTTTAGTCCAAGTGTGTATCCAATAAAGTCCTTTGCAGAATATATAAAATAACGTCTGGTCTGATCATTTTCAAGGTTGGAGCTTTCTGGTCCAGCAAATCCAGAAGAGAGCAAAGCGTCAGCAACACCATCTATGTGTACTTTAAATTCAGAACCTAAAAATGGAAAATGATAATGAGCAACATATTTAACAACGGCGTCTTGAATTGCTTGTTGAATTGCCTGTTGTGTTTCTGATCGACGAGCCAATTTCGAATTATAGGTTTCATAATAGCGATCTATTATCTTCTTTTCTGCTTCGGATAAAAAACCATCTACGGACTTCATAATCGCCTCTTTCAAGTTTTTAGAAAGTTTTTCTAATGCCAATGTGATTAATCTTCTTCTAAAGTACTTGTAACCTTTTTCATGTAAATAGGATAAAATCTCTTCCTTCTCGTCGTCAGGTATTGCGATATGTTTTTCTAAAAATGAAATAATATCATCTCGTGCAACCAAACCAAAGTCAAATATTTTAACTATATCAATCTTTGCTTCAGTTTTACCAAGAGCTGATTGTATAATATCTCCTACATCGACAGAAAAATTAGTTCCAGAAAATATAGATACATGAAATTTTTCTATGGTACCAATTAATTGTGCAAACTTGGTTAAAAGTCCTCTCTTCTCACCACTCGAACTTATTAACTCGGAAAGCTTTTCACAACCACCTGTTTTAGAGATACCAGTATCAGAGTCAGTATTTTTTCTAATGAAATAATATTATGAATCATGTTTGTAAAATTAATCAATACAAACCTTGCATAAACATTTGCTTCATCAATAACCACAACAAAATGTTCAATTTTCTTAACTATTCCAAATAGAGCAGAATTGTCATTAAGTGACTTAATTATCTTGGTCACTAGTTTTGCAATAAATGCCTTCAAGACATCCGGAGAAGAATAAACATATTCCAATGCGTACTCTAGAGCTTCTTGACTGGCGCCGGTTTTGCCATTTGATTGCATATACGCAAGGTATGGAAGTATTCCACCATTAATAATATTTCCATCCTTATCTCTCTGAACAAAGTCTTCAAATACAGTTGGCATTTGTTTGGCTTCATCAATTAGCTTTGAAATATAAATCAATCTACAGATGAATACAAATAGTACTACTTGTTCAACCGAGCCAAAAAGTTCATAAGCCTCCATCCCATTTAAGTAGCCAAATGCTTGTTTCATCAACGAATCGGTTGTCAATCCACTGGATGCCTCTGATGTTGAGGTACATGTTAAAATCATTCCAGGATTGTGGCATAACAAACGCACGCAAGTTGATGTCTTACCAGCACCAGATGGACCCAAAAACATTAAGGCACTTCGTTTACTGTCGTCTACCCTTTTCAATAACTCATCATCTTGTGCCATGGTGTACTGGAATTGTGCAAAATATGGTAGTTCATGTTTGGCAACTAAACCACCTATTAAAGGCAATTCAGTAGACTTATATTGTTCATCAAATCTTGGAAAGCCAAATTTAGTTTTCACCTCAGGAATGATAGTCTTTGAGCGCAATGTTTGCTCAAAATCATTTACATTATCAGCTTTCAACACCTTATGAGGGTGCATGGTTGCCAACTCGTTCCGTGTGTCAGAATAAAAACTTTGGAAATCTTTTACGTTATTACGGCGTGCTTGTTCTATTTCCTTCAGAAGGTCCTTCTTAAAATCAAATAGTGCTACTTGTATCTTATCTAAAGCAGCATCCTCTTTTGATTTTAGTAGTCTACGTAATTTAGACTTCACTTGATCCTTGTCCAACAATTTAATAGATTTGGGCACCAAATTATTGTCCACCCAATTTACCACTGTCTTGCAAGTACTTTCAGAAACCTGAGAAAAGTCTTTGCTTTGAGTCATGGCTTTAATTGCAAAATCTACATCGTGCCTCTTGATATCCTGAACAATGTTATCCAGAGAGGTTCCTTTGAAACGAGCATCATAGAGAGATTGTACATCATCCCTGTCCAATGAGGCTCCACCTTCACGTTTCTTCATATGAAGAAGAGAAGCAACCTCTTTCTTTGTCCATTCTTCGTAATTGTTGAATGAAAGAACAATTGTGGACGCTTGTTGTTGAGTAGGAGCGGTTGGTTGTGTTGATTGTGGTGGTGATATAACACCTGATGATGAAGCAACACCTGACGAAGTAGGATTTGATGATTTCCCCTCCTCCTCCTCGTCTTCCATAATTGAAGATGAGGTTTTGATGCATTCATACGAGGCTGAGTTGCTTTGTTTTGTTTTCTTTGCTTTCTTCTCAGTCTGAAGAGTCTCCGAACTATATTTTCTTTTAGATTTTGAATCCCCGAAAGCTCTTCTGGATTTTCTTTCTTTCATTCTTTTTTCATCATTCTCACCAGGATGAGGAAGATCTTCCACTCTCTCTTCATCCATCACACTTCCTATTTTCTTTCTCTGTTTGTGTGGCAGCATCGTCGAGTTCGTAAGAATATTTTTTTAAGTTTAAAAATAGATAGGAGTACGAGGTATCTTCGGACTTGTGTTATTTTTATTTTTAGCAATCATAGAGGTGAAAAAAAGGTTTGTTGAAGTAAATGCTGAGTCCATTAAAAAAATTGAAATTCTGTCTTATTATGAACAAAATGAATTATACTTCAAAGTTTTTTTCTGACATTGATACCCCAGGTTGTGTTGTAGTGGAATTCTGATCGACAATTAAGCATCTTTTCTCTTACCATTTCATCTTTCGGCACAGTTGGTCCTGTGGTGGCATTTGTTGAACTTCCTTAGATAAATTTTTCAAAACTGATAAACAGGTTCAAATTCCCAAAGAACATGAATATGGAGGCATTATTATGGATATTCATGTCAATCAAGGTCACGCAGGTCGAGACATTTGTGAATCAGTTGCTTCATCAATGTATTACATTCCAAAGTTCCAAGAAAATTCCAGAAGGTAAAAAGTTCTTTCGAGAGTTGCAGAACTACAGAGGCATCCAAAGATATCGTATTGGATAATCATTATGATCCTACTTGTGTTGGGATATTAGTTTTTGTTGACTGTGCATTCTTTCCCAAATGTGGAACAACTGATGGTTGGGAAGTGTTTGTTGATGGTTTATCCAAATATGTGTTTGGATTTATATTATAGTCTAGCAAAAAGTCAAGTGTTATTGCCTCTCATGCCCAGCAAGTAATTGATTTCTTCAAGGCAAGAGGTGTGAATAAGGTTACTTTTGTGTGCGACAACGGGGGTGAATTCAAATCTCAAGAAATTGAAGAGTTTTGTTCCAGCCTCATGACGAGGATGATGATCAAGAGAATGTATTTCAAGAAGTCATTTCTCAACAACAACAACAACAACAATCACTACACCCTTCTCTTGCTGCTCACCAACAGCCTCAACCAAACAATCATGCTTGGTTTATGCCACCTCTGACTCATGTATTTCATCACAATCATCACCAGGAAAGAACAACAAAACAACGACCGGCGAGTGTGAAACAATTTTTCGAAAAGAAATGTTTTATTGAGTGGAAAGATATAACTTTTCCGATGAATTCTCCTCATCCCATTTTGAAAAAAGTTTGTGGATTTGCAGTTCCTGGTAAAATCACTGCTATTTGTGGACCGACAGGTAATTATTAGTTTAGGGTTTCTTTTCGTCTCAAAACTCATTGACTCTGCATTTATCATCAATTCACTCAAAACAATGAATCAATTTTATTGTTACAATATGAATAATTATTATTGATTTCTTGGTTCATGGGATGTAATTTTTATTCCATCATCATGAATTTCGGATGAATAATTCATTTAAAACTTTTGATATATTTCTTGAACGCTGAGTTGAACCTTCTTTTGAAACAAAATCATTCGATCAGCGAGTGGAAAGTCGACACTTCTTCGAATTTTATCCAACCGAGGTTTACACAAACATTACAGTGGAGACATTTTAATCAATGGACAAATTTGCATGAATACACAATTGCAAATGGATCGAGATGTGTCTACCAAGTACAAATCATTGGTGTCTTTTGTCTCGAAAGATTTTTCACCGTCCAACATGCCACTCACAGTGAAAGAAATTTTATATTTTGCCGTTCGTTTCAAGGTACCATTATATTCGAACAATCCACTCTGGACTACACGAGACGAGAGATTGAGTTTGCTATTGAATGCCTATGGATTGAAGAATAAGGAAAATGCACCGTTTCAAACACTTTCTTCTGGTGACAAGCGAAGACTTTCTATTGCTGTTCAAAATGTACTCTTTAATAGAGTGATTCTTTTAGAATATCCCACCGATGGCATTGAATTTGGTGAGTCCTTTCATCTCTTAAAAAAGATGCAAGTTCTCGCCAATTTGGGAATTACCATTGTCATGTGTCTACATAGGCCATCCATTCTCGAATTAGAACTATTTGACTATGTCTCTATTTTATATAAGGGAAGCACCATTGGAAAACCCAACATGATACAGGAGTACTTTAACTTAATTGGTGTACAGCTTCCACTCTATAGACAGAACGTTTTGATCTCTGTATTGGAATTATTGAAACTTCATGAGTTATCCAAATCCAGCGATGAAAACGATCAACAATTGGTTCGTGAATGTTTGGGCGGTAGCGATGAAAAATCTTATGAAAAACGTGATCATTTGAATGTAGAATTTGAACAGAGAATGGACTTATTTTACATTCCACAAAAACAACGGGAACAAGCTCCTTATCTTCAATACAAGATTGAAGATATGGAAACAGAAAAGTATTATTCTGACTACTTTTTTTCAATTTTGTTTTTGTTAAAGAGAAGCTATTTGGTCAAATTTAGAAGATGGAAGACCGATATCTTGTCACCAATTCTTGAAAAATTAATTGTCTCTGTATTCATTGGACTGCTATATTTGCAAATTGAACCTACCAATATGACACTCAAAGGAAAAATTTTTTCTTTTCTCAATTTAAACATTCTGTGACTTCCACTCAATTTTTAAATTGGGTTGGATATTTGTCTTTTCTTTATTATGGCTTTAGAGCGCTTACCATCAATGAATTTAGAGATGTGTTGATTTCCCCACCAACAGCTCCAAACGGAACGTCATACTTCCACCTGGTCACTTCACAAACGGCACTTTGTATTTACAAAAAACTTTTGGAATTACCGATCCACGTTATATGATGTGAGTGTATTTTGGAGTTTTGTGATAGAGCTAGTCTTATCTCATTACCTTATTTGCAATACTACTCGACACATGACACTCAAAAATCTCATCCAAACACTTCAAAATAATCATCATGACACACTCTAACATTTGATGAACACAATAGTATCAATATTCTTCATCAATAAATTTTTAAATAAATATTTTTCATTTCCAAAAAAATTCAAGTATCTCCGACAACCATGATGACATCCTTAGAATGATCAAAATGTCATCAAATTTGATACAATCACATAACATACCTTGTTCTATTACTAGTATTAATTTCAAATCTTAACTCAATACTTAATCTTGATTCTAATAAAAATCTTTAATTTCAACAAACTCCATGATACTCTCATTCAATAATGAGAATGATTCAATGCATACACTCAGTGGCAATATTGTTGAAATGATAAGTGATACAATCTGATCAAGTTTCATGAGAATTTGTCAAGCAAAAGTTTCGACATGACTTGACCCTCCTTACTATTGGACTATCAAGCCAATTCAATTTGACCATGATGATGAACTTTTCCTCCACAGAAAGTCACCAAACTTTGTACACATGTCGAACATGTTATTGTATACTTGTAGTGACAATATCAAACTTTTTCAAGTTCCAATTATATCTCCTTCATATTCGAAATTTTCATCAAGTTTCTCTCTCCAAATGACTCCCATTCAATGAAATGATCATTTCATTCAATAAAACCAACAATATTCTTGTTGCTAGAGCCCATATATTCACCTCCTATCATTTGATGATTCCTTGCAACAAGTAAATATCGTGCTGACACACAATCAAGTTAATATGGACATTCTTGAGAAATTTTCAAATTGAAAAACTCAATCAAAAATTGTTGAATTAAATCACAAAAACAAGGAGAGTAGTAGTTTTAGACAAGAACAACAACAATAATGTGGTCAAATTCACTCCATGATCATTACATCAAAAAGGAGTCATTCAAAATTTTTTCAATTCAATTAAATCTTGATGATACTTGATCACATACACTCAATAATGAATACTATTGATTGATGATCATGTAGAGATGAAATACTCCAAATTCCGAACTTTAAATGATGATCACTGATGAATAAATCATCGCTGATCATGTTGATGAGCCATTTTTTTTTAAGAGACAAAAGACTGAAGCAATTCATAGAGTACACAAGAAGCAAACGATTCACCACAACGAATACTCAACAGATCAACACCATTCTTGATGTATTGCTAATACACATCTCAATGGATGGAAAAGAATCGATTTCATGATCGTATCATGAACACATGCAAAATATAACAACAAATTTAAATTTTATTGAAATTTATCGAACGAATGACCATACACAAGAATTCATATTCACTTCGCTTTCCTTTATTTTACATTCACCTCTGAACCATTCTGTACCTTTATAAACAAAGGATTTGTGATATCAAAACGTAATTTCGATGGTTTTCACACTATCTAACAAGAGCAAACAAATTGGTCTAAAAATTACCTTGTGTTGTAAATTATTTAACAGAGTCACCTTTGCTTAGGGTTTGTCCAAAAACTCATCCTTCTTCGCAATTGAAAACTTGTGAAAGATCATATGTTTATTCATGTTGATGGGATTCCTCCAAGCCAAGACCACTCGAATCTTCGTCCAAATCATGAGGCACCCGTTGATGGTCAGGGATGGGATCTCCCATGGGATTGTGTGGATAAACGGGATCAAAGTGAGGATGTTGTTCTGGGGGTCGATGTGTTCCCGAAAATATGGGATCATGCGGACCCACTTGACTGCTTCCTCCACCTTCGGTCACACCACTTGACGGTGAGGTTTGGAAAGGAGGTGAGACATTGGGATGTAAATCGTCATGACCAACATTGGAAGAGGAAGGTTGAGAGGGGTGTGAGAGGGGTGTTCCTGCACCAGCACCACTTACTGAAGGGTAGCCACCTCCGGCAGACAAGTTAAAGGGTTTCATTTTGTGTCTTATTCTTTTTGTGAATCCAACGAACGTTTGGATTTGCTTGATTAGTTTTTTTACCCAAAATGTTGAACTACCTTAAATCAACCACAAAAGAGCCGGTCAAAATTTCACCTGGACTGGCAGGTCAAAATTTTAGGGTCCTGTTTATAGGTGTAAGCAGAAACAAATAATACATTTTCAATTCCAAACTGTAATTCAACTTCTGCCTTGATTTCACAGATGCTGTCAACAAGTTCAAGTCGGAGATTCATCTCCACCCGAAAATTAAAAAAATGCCAACACAATCATAGCTCTCGAGTGGTTTTATACTCATCAAGACAAAGGTGGACTTGGATTAATTTCTGTTCAAGAAATGAGTTACTCGGACCTAATGTGTAAAGTCAGAAAGTTCCTTGAACAATATGATATTTGTCTTGGATCTTCTACAAGATTCCTTTGTGAACGAATCAAACAGGAGCATGGTTTTGACATCCTCAATGATCCAATCCCTACTTGGTATAAACCAGACCCATGGATTCCTCAATATCTCAAGAGAATAATTTTCATGAACAAATCTTCCAATATTAGATTGTGGCATTCGAGTGACCAATGGCATGAAAAAACTCTCATCCCTTATGGAAAATTCCCTAAAGGTTTAAGACAATTCCTGCTCTATAAAGATTGGAACAGATTAAGTATGTGGGTTCCTGACCCTAAAAATTTACAAGTGAAATTACATAATGACATCAAACATTCCAATCATGTCACCCAAATTCGCAACATTCTCAATAGCATGGATTTTGGAAAAATCAAAGACGAAAGCAAATACTACAAATATGTTGGTAACAACACATCCATGTCAAACCTCTTGAACAAAGCTACACTAATTGGTACTGACGGATCGTGTAACAATAATATTGCTGGATACGGTATTGTAACTGATCAGAATGTTTCCATCTCAAGTCACACCTTAGGACAAGGAACTTCCTACAACAGTGAAGTTCAAGCGCTCCACACAGTTGTTAGATTGCTAGATAACAACACTCCTAGAACAATAGTCATAGATGCGAAAAGTATTTATGACCAACTTTTCCAATTCAGAAAATCTAGAGATCCTTATGTTGAAGAAATTCGTAATTATTTAAAAATGAAGGATCAGATCAAAATTATGCATGTTAATAGTCATACAGGTAAACAAGATATCTATAGCCGCATAAATGAATTAGCAGATAGGGCTGCTAAGAAAGGTGCTGATTGTAACAATATTCTTACTAATATTCCATCCAATAATTGGTATATTATTATCAACAATGTATTATACACTCAAAACACTAGACAAACAATGTACAAACTTCTATTTCAACGCCTCCACAAAAGAACATATACGCCAAAGAACCTTCCTCCCAAGAACAGAAAGTTCACCAACATTTATCCCTCAATAGGAATCGGTTTCAGAACCTTAAATCTAATATTTAAAATTAGAGTGAACGTGATGAAGACTTTGGAAAATTTAAACAAGATATCCAAGACGAACTTGCTATGTCCTTGCTGTAGTAGAGAGACAATGCAACACATTATTTTTGAATGTAAATACTATTGTGATATAAGAAAAGAAATGTTTAGGAATTTATATAATATCTCAATATATGCAAAGAATAACAAGAAGTTCTCCAAACGACTATTGTACCTCATCAAGACTAAACAAGATATCCATAGCCTAACAGGTGCTAAAGTTGGATTGGGTAAGAAATGGGACAAAGTATTTACTAAGGAAGCTTATCGATCTATTACTAAAATGTGGATGAAACGAAATCATTTTTTCATGGAAGAATTGAAACTCACCTGGAATGAATTTGAACAACAATACGATTTTAATCCCAATTTCATTGATTTGAACAAGTTTAAACTATACATGAAATACCCACGACCATGAATAATAATTGAAATTTACAACAATATTTGAAATTTACACTAACCTTGATGACAAACAATAATTGAAATTTACAACAATAATTACACTAACTTTGATGACATGAACCACCTTTAACTGTACTAATTGCACACACAGCCATGAATAACGTTTGAATTTTCGAACAAATAAACGCATGGACAGTGATAAAAAAAAAAAAATGCCAACACAATCATCTGATCCCACATCAACCACCTCTTCACCACCTATTCAATTACGAGTCCGAATTGCCGACAACTCCAAAATCAAAGATGAAAAATTTGTCATGATGGACTCTAGTATAATACCGAGTTTGGATGAATTCGGAAAGATGGCAAAATCCAAGCTAAATTTGAAAAAGAAAATTGTTGCAATATATAATGGAAAGACAGGCCAAGAAGTCTTGGATCAAAATTACTTTTCTAATTTAATTTCTGAATTTGTTCAAGCAAAACGAAATCAATTGAATAGTTCAGGAAATTTAGGAACGTCTTCCAAACCATCGAATGACCTTTTCTTTGTCTTTTCAACCAATGAAAAACAAAAATTTCAAGGAAAGGTCGAAACAAGCCAAGCTCCGACCTTGCAACAGCCGTCACAAACAGAAATTTCAAATAACACTGCTATGAACACACACCAATTACCTCCTGAAGTGACCATTCTCATCAAGGATAGTTGGCTCGATGATGGAGCCATTAAGCAACTACAAGAAACAGCTCGAACTCTCAAAGGAGCTCGGCGTTTAGTCGGTGAACCAGACCTCCACCCCGGCAAAACCTTTCCTGTGGGCGCAGTCATTGCCACTCAACATTACATTTATCCACCATTGGTAGGAAATGACATTGGTTGTGGAATGAGTTTATACAAGACAAATTTATCGTCAAGTACTGGTGTGAAACAGTTAGAAAAATGGGTCAAACGATTGCATGGACTGGAGAGAGGAGGAATTACTGGCGATGAAACAAGACCAGTTCTTGATATTGAGAAGGACCTGTTTGAAGTGAGCATGACAACAACTACTCGATCGATTCCTTTTGATCTAAGTAGTAGTGATAATGATGTCCATGAAGACAACAACAAATCATTCAGCATTGATTCTCAAACACATTCCTCTGTAGTGCTGCTGGATGACAAACACACGTCCAATTTTATTGAACGATATTTAAAATATTTTCAGGTCGATTTGGGAAGTTTGGCTGATGTAACACCCTCTCTCGAGGAACTCAATCAGCTTGAAAAGGAACAAGCAGAAGATTCAAAACAGCAACCATCACAGTCCGAAACTTCACAACACACTCACACCTATGAAAATAAGGCTCTTGAATTTGCTCTTCGACAATTAGGAACAGTGGGTGGTGGTAATCACTTTGCAGAATTACAAATCATTGAAAAGGTTTGCAACTCGAAAATTTTCCTTCAAGAACTTGGCCTTACTGAAGATTTATGCTACTTGATGGTTCACAGTGGAAGTCGTTCTCTTGGAGATCATATTTTGGGCGAACATGAAAAAAAGTTTGGAAATGAAGGATTATTATTTGACTCTCCCGATGCTCAATATTACTTGAAGCACCATGACAATGCATGTAGATGGGCCCAGGCAAATAGAGGTCTCATTGCAAGAAAATTTTTGTCATGCCTTAATGGAACCGGTCAACAAATTCTTGACATTTGTCACAACAATGTCGTTGAAAAACAAATCGGAGATGAAAAATTATTTATTCACAGAAAAGGAGCTGCTCCAACGGATCAAGGCTATTTTGTTATTCCAGGTTCAAGAGGCTCCTTTTCTTATCTTGTTAGAGGACGTGAGGAAGATGTCACGAGTCAAATTCGATGCAACTTCAGTGCAGCTCATGGAGCAGGTAGAAAATGGAAGCGTTCCAAATCGGTAGGAATGTCCAGCAACACTAAAGAAAATATTCAATCCTTCACCACCACGGAACTAGGCTCAAAAGTCATTTGTGAAGACAAGACGCTTCTATTTGAGGAACAACCTGCAGCGTATAAGGATATCGATACAGTAATTTCAGATTTGGAACATTTTGGAGTGATTGAGGTGATAGCCATTTTGAGGCCTTTGATTACTTACAAGATGAGAAGTTGTTGTTATGAATAGTTTATATAAAGTCTCAATGATTCATGTCTCAAAAAGATTTTCATTTGTTTTCTTAAGAAATGAGCTTTCCGAACGTTTCAGCTTCTTTCCGATTAAATCCGGTCATTTTGCAAAATTCCGAAAGTTTGTGCTGAAATGGGAAACAAACGGAATCTACAAAAAAACAGAAGCAAAACATGGAGACGATTGGCTGAAATGATTGACAAACTCAATAATGAAATCATTTCAACCAATGATTCAAAGCAATCAATTCTTGATGGTGAATCTGATGAAGAGAATGTTATCCAAGACGTTATATGTAGTGGTTGTAAAAATGTTGACTCTGCTTCTGTGTGTGGTGAGAATTGTAAGGGAAGTCTTTACATTAAGGAAAAAAAGGTCAAACCGAGACTAATATATTTTTCTGTAAGGGTTCTCATCTGGTGGGGTTTTCAGACGAGGGAGTTGGAGGTGTGAACTTTTTTTTTTGTTGTTGGAATAAATTGAAAGTTGACGATTAAGAAAGGGTCAATTATCGAACAATAATAGCGCTACTATTCAACTACTATTCAAGAAGAAGAACAACACCAACTACTCCAACAGTCCATCCACTTGGTGTTATTCCCAATACCAGTGATTTGTAGCTATAAGTATGAATTTGTATCATCTTTGATCCACACCACTTGATCTATTTTCTTTAATAGTTGCATTATTATGATCATGACCCGAGAACAGAATGGCTTTTGATATTCGGATTCTCTCTAGAAGAATAATGCAACCAGAGATCTTGAGCAAAGCCCTTTTTTTCAGTTAGGGGTGATTTAATTGATAGACTTTCATCGACCCTCAGAAACAAGTATACTTGCTTTAAAAAAATTCATCCTCACCTTTCCTTTGTGTTTTACTCCTATTCTTGCTTATATACTTTAAAATGAACGCCGCTACTACGTTTCGGGCTCTTGTTTTGAAGAGGCTTGATATTGCTGCTTCTGAAAAGAAGTACTCTAAGAAGATTGATGTGTTGTTGGCTTGCGCTCCGGTGAAACAGTTTCAAGCAGGTTTGAAAAACACTGTATTTCCTTCTGCTGAAGAAATCTCATCCAAATCATGGCCTCAGTTGGTGGAGAGTTTTCCCTTTGTCCAACAAGTTGCATCGGTCTTGGAGAAACGGAACGTCCTTGTTGAATTTGTAAAAGGATTGGTACGAGGACAACATCCTGATGAGGAGGGATTTGCTAAAGAGTTTCTCGATAAATCGCCAGATATCCAAACTTGCCACGATCTATTGAGAAGCAACAAGTTGGAAGAAGAGCTCAAGAACATCATGTTCAAAGCCATATTGAATGATACGCCTGTAAAGATGTTTCTTGATGATCTCTTTTCTGAATTCAAAGAAGAAATTATCAAGGAAAACCTTTCATCTGCTTCCGTTATTGAGGCTGGGCTTAAGAAAAAAGGGATGCAAACAACACCATTAGTCATTTCGCTTGCTTTAAGCGTAGGTGCGGATGGGTTAAAGAGGCTCTATGAGAAGAGCAAGCACTTTAAGTTTTGGCAGACAATGTTGGACGAGAACTCTCATCTAAACCAATGTTGCGCTATTTCGAGATTTAGATCAGAAGCTGACAACATTGAAGTTGCACAAACACTACTCCAAGCTACTCGTGAGGCAGTGGCTGAAGAGTATAACGAACTTGTGTCCAAACGTTATCAATCAACGCTTCTTAAAAAGGAGGCCCAACCAATTCCATCCTCAACAAAAAAAAAATCGATGACCAAAACACCCACTCCACAATCATCCAACAACAAGATTGTAACAACTATAGCTTCATCGTCCAACAACGTGGTAACAGCTACATCGCCATCCTCTCAACAATCATCCAAAAACAAGGTTGTAACCACTAGTGCTTCATCATCCAACAACTTGGAAACAAATACATCGCCATCCTCTCAGCTGCCATCCAACGTAGAAGCATTGGCCGTTTCTCAAGAAAATATGGCTGATGAAAAAATGTCGGTAGATCAAATATACAACGCCTTAATCAACAACGATCATAAGGCAATGGCTTCGTTCTATTTTTCTCTTTCCGACTTGCCTCAACAAATTCGTGGCTTAAATGAAACACTGACAAAAATGGATGCGAGAATCACAAGCTTGGATGCGAGAATCACAAGCTTGGATATGAGAATGACAAACTTTGAAAAGAGAATGGAGAAGGAGATGAAAGAGATCCGTGATGACTTACGAATATTAATACAAACATTGGTTGTTTATATGAAGGTCAAGTGAAACTTCAATTCCAAAAAGATGACGAATTTATAACTCACAATCCAGTTGTATTGAAGGAATCTGAGAATCAAGCAGCATTTGCTATTGCTCGAGCCAATCAAGTTTATTCATCGTATCTTATGACTCTACATTTGAATAACAAAATTAGCGACGAGAACGCCAGAAAACTGAATTTAGAAACAAAAGAAATTGAAATTAATTTCATCAAGAAGCACAAAGTAACGGGAGCTGTAGAAATTTTCGAAGCTACTATTTCCACATTTAGTAGCGATGAGAAATTGTTGACGAAAATGATACAATTAGAACGTCAAATTATGTTTTACAAGGAATGTTTCAAAAACACCATCATCAGTAGAGTTGGATTAGTCTCACCTAGCAACTTGACCCTCCAAAGAGTGAAGCAGGTTATTGAAACCCATAACGGCCTCTTTATCAACATTCAATCTTTCGTCAACAACAACACTTTTGACATTATTAGGGAAGGACACAAGCCTGAAATTGATTAAAACCAATATCTACGCTTAATAAAGTAAAGGGGAAGAATAGTTTAATAGTACACGCAAATTATTTGTCGCTCGTAAAAACTTGAATCTTTCCTCTTGTTCCCTAGAGGAGAGTGTGGTCTCTTGTTGTTCTTGATGTTTTCGAAGATGTATTAAAAAAAACAAAAAAGAAAAAAATGATCACTCATTTCTTTATTCTTTCATCGAGAGGAGATAAAATTATTGCGAGAAATTGTAAGTAGCGTTGAAGTGTTGGTGTTCTTGTAGTCATGTTCGTTATGTTTTTTTGTAATGATCCGAATGGATTTTTAAATTTTTAAATTCGGGTGATGATGTTATGATCATGGAATTTACATGGAAACACCGTGTTTCGAAGACGTAAACAACAAGAATCGTTTGGTTAATTTAGAGGAACAAATGGGTTTGTAGTCTCTCCAAACACCTGACCTTGATAAAGGTCCGGTGTTTGTGGGATTTTCTGCATATTTTGTCAATTAACTTTATTCAGCATTTGAATTTTACACAATATGTCATTCGTTGCTTCTCGCTCACAAAACATTAATGTTAAACCACAACAAGGTAACTCTTCAGGTCACCAACAGCAATCCAATACTACTGCATTGTCCACTTCACCTCAAGGAGGAACCTCTCCAAGAAAATCTGGATGGATTTCTGACCTCTTTAGAAAGGTATTTTATTCTGCCTCTGCAGGTCAACAAATCACGTTTGATGAGGAAGTAACAGGAGATCGTGACAACACTCCAATCGATGTGAACAGTACGGCCTATGACGAAAGATTACTCACATTCGATGAGAGACAAGCCACTCATTTCTTCTTGGATAAGTTGAGAAAATTGGATGAGAAAATTTCAAACAAGACTGGAAATTCCACACTCAAGAATCAAATGTGGAAATCCTTATACATTGATGAAAACAAGAACATAGAAGCACAAAACGCTGTTTGTAAAGATAGATTCATGTATAGACACTTTGGTAAGGCTATGGATAATATCAGTGTGAAACACAAAGACGAAAAGAAACCTCCTCTCATGACTGTTAAGGTCATTATCTCAGATACAACAAGCGATTTCAGAAATTCCATCTTTGATCTCTTCAGATCCAATGACAATGATAATTTGTTCGGAACTTTCCACACAGGTCTATTGATTGGACCATGGAGATTTGACTTTTATGATCATTCCATTGTGAGAGTAAGAGGAGATTACAGAAACTTTAGAAACGAGTATGCTGTCTCAGTCATTGATTTTGGAAGCTATCACAAGATTGATCAAATTAAGACAGCTCTCGACACAATTGCATCTGTTTGTATTGAATACAATGGATCAAAGACTTACGATGCTGTTAAATGTAATTGCCAACACTTTGTGATGGATGTCTTGCGTCGTCTCAATTTATGGCAAGAGAAATTACCAAGCTCTCACACCCTACGAAAGATACATGGAAGATTTAAGAAAAGGCATTAGTGAAAGAAGATTCTATTTATCAAAGGCAATTCTCGCCAAGAAGAAGGAATATCCAGATAGCAAATATTGGGATCAAGAATATGTCACTTTCCACACAAGAAAAGAATTGAATGAATTCTGTCATTGGCTTGACAGCATGAAATACTTTGAATCGGATGATGCTTCAGCTAGTATTGACATTCGACTTTTGAAATCATTCGACCGATCGTTCTGTTTGAGAAACATGAACCGAGAAGATGATAGAGGAGAGGAAGACAAGGATACTGTATGGTTCTTCTCTGAAGATGGAACTTATTTGGCCAACTCGATGAATAAGCTAGTGTTTAACTTGCCTGCCTTAACATTCCAACCTCCATGTCGAGTGTAAATTTTAATAAAAACACAAATCAACAACAACAACAACTGTTTGAATCAATAAACAACCATGATAATTCTGAAAAGTGAGTAGTAAGTTCTTGTTCTGAATAGTTTCATCTCGTTTGTCATGAACTGTTCTTAGTGTTTAACAATCTCAAATTTTTTTTTAATAATCACATTCCATGCGTTTATTTGTTCGAAAATTCAAACGAAATTCATGGCTGTGTGTGCAATTAGTACAGTTAAACGTGGTTCATGTCATCAAAGTTAGTGTAATTATTGTTGTAAATTTCAATTATTGTTTCTGTCAAAAATTAGTCTGTACAATATTGCCGAAAATGTACAAGCGTTGATTGGCTGTATATTGAGCTAAAAGGCTATATATTTATGCAAACTTTGCAGTTCAGAATGGATAATAGTGAAGAATATTTTAAACATTTGATTACCATAATAATAGACGGATCAGAACAACCTGCATTTTGTTGTGATTCCGCAATTTTGGATTTTTTGGATTTTGAATTCTATTCTGCAAAAAAAAAAACCAACATAGCGTCACAATTTTGATGGCAATGACTCCTTCTGGCCACATTGGATATCTTTCACCTTGTTTTCCAGGAAGAGTTAATGATAATGAATTGTTTAAACTAACCTCTTCTGAATGGTTGAGTGAAATGGATGCATCTGAATTCATTTTTGGCGATAGTGGTTTTAATGGGCTTCCTCATGTGGGGTTACTCCTCCAGATGAACCATCATTACGCAAAATCTTCTCTAGTGTTCATATCAGAATAGAAAATAAGTTCAGGGAAGTCAAGATATTTAAATCTTGCAAAGAACGAATTAGAATCAAAACCAAAAGCAAAACTGAAGTGCTGCACATTGCTCATATGCGATGGGTGATCGTGGGTGCTTTTTGCAACTTAAATTGGACAAGATATAGTAATAAAGACTTTGAAATGTCTTGCCCATAAAATCCGATGGAATTTGGAAGAATTTGAGAGAATTATGTCCGAAGGTTTCCCATGATCCTCCTATTTTCTACTTTCTTTTGGAATATACGAATCATCCTGATGATGGTGATCACAAGATCCCAACGATAATACTTTTTCATCCTTTTCTAGTGTTGAAAAAGCCTCTTTAACTGAGTCCCTGTAGGACTGCGCCAAAAAAACCGTTTTTTAAAAAATTGAAAAAATATTTATTGGCCCTTCGGTGCCTCAGGTCTTTCGTTTTCCCAGTATTGATTAAAAGCTCTACCCATCAAGAGCGATAGAATTGCTTGAATGTCTACCCAGTACTTGATGATGTCCTGTTTTCTTCTTGTAAAATATGTGTCAGAAGCCTCTTCATCTGTTGTTTAGCATACATTCTTTCCTCCGATAGTAATGTGCAACGTGTGGAATAATGTTCAATAGTTCCGGTGCAATTACATCTGGGGCAGGTGTGAGTTTGTTGTTTAAATGTTTTCATGTGAACATTGTGCATGTTTCTCCAGATTGCATATTTTTGTTGGGGAGAGATATTCTTTGACTTCATGAAATTGAATGTTGTTGGGAAGATGCAAGAAGGGTTAAACTTATTCCTGCTCTTCAAAGTTATTGATTCATTCCATTTCTGAAGTTGTTTGTTCTTGATGAATGTTGCAATATCTGGAATCCAGTGGTTATTGGATTTGAGGATAATTTGGTTTTGGGTAAGTTGTCTGTGAGGAATTATCAATTTTCCTGATGTGCATCCCTTTTTGGCTAATTTGTCTACGTGAATGTTACCACTATTTTGGTGGCCTTTAACTTTGATGATGGTGATTTGTAGGTTTTTAGATTTCTTGAGGAATTCAAATTCAGTTTTAAGGGGGAGAAATGGTTCTCGGTATTTAGGATTTGATAGCAAATTGATACTTATTTCGCTGTCTGTGTAGATTTTTGCTTTTGATTTTGTTGGTAATAATCGGAGAGTGTAGACAATACTTAGTAGTTCAGCTAAGTTATTGCTATGGATTGGGTCAAGTTTGAATTTGTGTCTAGTTGTTATATTTTTGGACTGTAAAATAATACCAAATCCAGTTCCTTGTTCAGTTTTAGATCCATCAGTCCATACTTCAAAGTTTTTACATTTCTTATGGTATTTTAGTGATTCTTCATTTACAAGTTGAGGTATGTAGTTGCAGTTATCAACTTTAAGCTCATACTTCCTTGCTATGTGGTGGAAGTTTTCAAATATATTTAGGTTTTTGGATTTTTTGGTGTTGAATGTTGATGTGATAGCATCATTTACCGCTTCTTGCATGAGTTGGTAATTGTGACATGAGATATTAATTAATGATCTTAGGGTTATGATATCAGTCATCATTTCAAGGCATGGAATACCCATTCCTCCTTGGTAGATTTGTAAGTATAGGCATTCTTTAGGTGTTCTTGCATCAATATTTAGTTTTCTTTTGATTTGGTTTCTGATTGAAGAGTCGAATGATTCTATTTGGGATTGGTTTATTGAATTATTGCGTGCAAGGTGTCTAATTTGGGATAAGGTTTTAGATGTGACTACTTGTTTGAGATTATATGGTTGAATCAGATTAATTGGAAGGATGTTAAGGATATTCATCATCTTATGTTTCCTTTTTTCTAGTTCTTCCTTAAATAATTTAGATTCAAAAAGATATCCTCCGAGGATTCTTTGGTTGTCTTGGTTTGGAATTTTGGTATTGTTAATCAAGGCCTCATTTGGTTTAGGGAGTGAAGTTGTAACTGATTTGGATGGATTAATTTCTAGGAATATTTGTTTGAACCATCTGTTAATTTTCTTGAGTCTTTTGTTGTGGAGAGTAATGTTAGAATTGATAATTGACATATCATCGGCAAAACAAAGTGTGGCAATATCATCAATGTCTAGATCTTGTGGAGTGATTGGGAGTTTTTCTCTTTCAATAATTTTATCAATAATCATTTGGGAGATGCAGTTATAGATTAGAGGAGCTAGAGGACATCCTTGTGGGATTCCTCTTGTCTTGGTGAATTTTTCTGATAGTGTATGATTCCATTCTATTTGGATTTGATGATTTGAGTAAGCATTAATGATGAAGTTTTTAAGTTCTTGGGGGAATTTGCAGTGGGTGAGCGCCATGTCAATGATTTTGAGTTCAATGGAATCATATGCAGCAGCAATATCTATATTGGTTAGAATGAATCCTTTCTTTTTGAATTTGTTAATGAGGGCTTGTATGAGGATGCAGTGATTTGTTGTTTCTCGATTTTGGGTGAATGCTTGTTGTCTAATGTTGATATTTGATTCGGCCCAATCTTTAAGTTTGAATGTTATAATGTTGAATAGGAGTCTATATCCAATATTCATGATTGTGATTGGTCTTAGATCTTTGTAGTCTGTGATTATATCTTTTTTTCCGATTAATTTAATCCATCCTTGTTTCCAGCATTTTGGGATGTCTTGATTTTGGATCATGTCATTAAATGCTGATGCTAATATATTGGGATTGATATTTTCAAATATCTGTTTTGTTGTGAAATCTACCCCTTGTGTTGTTGATTTCATTCTTTTCAACGCGTCCGTAACATCTTCTTTAGTTATTGTAATGTTGGACGGTCCTTCTTTAACTGTTGATTCACCTGGTTTAAATTTAATTTCTGTTTTGTCATCTAGTTTTGAGGTGAATTTGTTTTTAAAGTAGTTCACAGCTCCTTCTTTTGTTATTTTGGTTGAATTCCAATCAATTTCCTTGTATTTGAGATGGTGATCGAAGTTGTGGATTCCTTTGGTGTGTTTGTTATTAATGGAATCTATGAACTTTTTTCTATATTCCGCAAATTCAAGGTTATATTGTTCTTTAGTTTCTTCTTTGTTTCCTTTATAGATCTTTTGATAGTGGATTCATCTTGGGTTGTTTCGGATAATTTTTGTTCATGGAGATTATGGAGCTGTTGTTTCAAATTGGTAATGATTTCAGATTCCTTAAATCCCTTAATAGGATGTGGTTTATGAGATTGGTTCTTGATCTCATGATTGAGTTTTTTCAATTCACTGTTGTTGACGGGAAGAGATTTCAAAATTTCTTCGAGTTTTTTTGCAACACTTTGCTCATCGCTGATTATTCGTTTCCAGGTTGTTGGAATTAATAATTTAAATTTGAACATGATTGGTATGTGGTCATTTGTTGTGACGAGTGGTAAAGCTTGTTCATGTTCTATTTCAATGTGACTCGAGTGGAATAGGTGGTCAGGTCTTGAGATTGTTTCTAATATTTTGTTTTGTGATGTGTATTTTCTGATGTAGGATGGAATTATTGTTTCTCTTTCTTTTAGGTTATGTTGGTCCATAAATGTTTTCCACTTGGTGTCTTTGTAAGCATTTCCTTCTGAACTAAAATTCATGTCACCAATCACTATTATTGGTTGGTGATTTAGGGTTGATAGGGTTTCAGATAATTTCTCGAGTAAAATATTTTCTTCTTCTTCATTTCTGTTTCCAGAGTAGTTATAAATATTAAATATATTCAATAAGCATCCACCGATGTGGATGGTGCATAGTTGGAGACGTCCTGGAATAAGGATTTGATGAATAGATTTCTTTTTGTGACGTTGATGGGTAAGGACAAAAGTTCCATCACGAGAATTATTATTGTTGAGAAAAGAATAATATCGATAGAGGTTTTGGTGAAAAGTGCGTGTGTATTGTGAGTTGTTAATGTGTGATTCTTGGATTGCTATGAAGTTAAGGTGATAGATGTCCATAAGCCGTATGATTTTGTCCAATCTACTTGATTGATTGGGATCCTTTGGAAGGATTCCATTCACATTAAGGGTTGCAATAGTAAAAGTCATTCAATATCTTCATCATGCATGTCCTTTCTCTTCCCAGCTTGGACGAGTCTTTTAACGCTGTGCATTGAGTTTCCATATTCTTAGCAATATATGATATATTGCTTTCCATATTGGAGACTCTTTTTTCAAGGCTGGTAAACATTGCTTCATAATATTTGGAGTAGTAATAGTTGAGAAGTTAGAGCTTTCTTTCTCTGTTGATTGACTTGATTTGGAGATAGCTTTTTCTTTAAAGTACTGCGCTTTGGACTTGAAGGATTTTGTGATGATTCTGCCATGCTTGGTTTCAATAGGATGGACCACTTCTAAGATACGATCGACTTCAGTATCAGATTTAAGAGACACTATGATGTTATAATATGATTCTTCAGGATTAAAAGGAGATGCCTTTTCATCGATTTTGATAGAGTTTGGGTGAATAGTAATTCCTGCTTTAGTGGTGATATCTTTAACGACGTTTACGATTTCATGTTCTTCAAAATCTGTAGAGAGGTCGATAAAGACTTCAAAACGGGAATCTTCAGCTAGTTGAGTATAAGTTTTGAGGCGAAACCATTCGGTGTTAGAGAGGATTTCTTGTAGTGATTGTAAATTCTTAACTGTAACAGTGGTTTTGAAGCAGCTTGAGTCTGGTGGTTTACTAATTCTCATAGCTATTAAACCTTTAGATTTCTCATGCCAATTGCATAGGCAGGAGATCATATGAAGAATATTGTTTTCATCGTTTCCAGTAAGATGTTGAGCGGTGAACTCTGTGATTTGGAGAGACATATCAGAGATAAAGTATTTAAAGTTTGTTTGACTTTTGGCGGTATTGAGGTTCTTGATGATTTCGTCCCTTGAGCTTGATGAGGACGGAACAATTTGGAGTATGAATGGTCTTTCAGAGGGGACCCATGGATCCTTCGCAAGTTTGGAGGCCTTGAGGTGATTGAGGAGAAATTGAAGTGCCTCTTTGTTTTTGTACAAGTTGGTTGCGCAGTATATTGTTAATCCTTTGTTGAAGTCGATAGATTTCTTAGTTGTTGGGCGGGTTGATTGCATTTTTGCGGTCTTTGGTGTTTTTTTTGGTTGAGGTTTTTTTACCTCAGAGTTCGAGTTATCTTTGGTAGAGAGACTTTTCTTGTTTAAGTTGATATTGGTTGTTGTTTCTTGGTTGAATCTACGGCTTTGGTATTTGTTCTTCATAGGAATTTGTTCTTTTTTGTTGTGTGTAAGTGTGTGTGGTGTGTGTGTATGTGTATGTGTTTGTGTATGTGTTTGTGTAGAAGATGGTGCTTGTATTTGTGTTTGGGGGAATATTGGAGTGGACATAACTGACTCATCATTTGGAGGGTTATCATTGATTTTAAGATTAGAAGTAGGTTCATGCAGTTGCTTTTCAATCATATCATTAATTACTTTAGTGAGATCATTCATGGTAGATTGTAAGTATTCAATATATTTTTCAAGGTGCGCAATTTTAGTGATTAACGAGGGATGATCGTCAGTCATTTTTTAAGGGCTCGGCCACAGAAAAAATGCAGCCTGCTACTCCGCAGTTAAAATGTTCAGCCAAACAAACAACACAAAAAACACAACAACCAAGAAGAATATAAATCTCTTCAATGTAAGTGATTGCTGTTCATCATATTAATACATACGACTTCATCAATACAAGATCTAAGTGATAGTGATCAATACTGCAACATAATCATCATCATAAATCCCGACAACATTTCTCCTGTAAGTTGTTCATCATATTGATGACACAATCATCACCTTTAAACTGTATAAATATGAACGATATTGTTGTAATAATAGTTGTAATATTATTGTACTTTTAAACATTATCATTCCCGACATCAACAACAATGGTTATCCAATACAGTAAGACCATGAAGGTCCATAATGAAACAAGAAAGTTCATCAATTATAACGATACTTACTTCACTCAACCATCAAAGAAGCAAAAGCTGAAGGGTGACACTTTTAAAAGTAAGTATTTGTTGTATGTTGACACAAAATAATTAAATTATGCATATCTTAACTGAGTTCATACAGGCTCTGTCAGAGGAATCACAAAGACCACTCGTCTCGGAATTGTTGGCAAGTTTCGAAAACGTCGTTGGGTGAAAACTTTAGAGGCTCATCAAAAAAGAGTAGATATAATTGTGAATTTTGTGGCCAATCCTGTTAGAGACAGGCTTGCCCAAGCTCAGTAATGATCCCTTATGGTATATGAATTTACATTTTCCAACGGAGAAACAACCAACCTTTCAAAAATCGGAATATACAAGCATGACCATTGTGATCAATGATTATGACAACAGAGTACACTGCAACTGGGAAATGGCTAATTATGTAATGAGGATTGATAGAGATGGAATGTCTGGAAGGTGGACAAAGACTACTTAATTTGTTGAATTACATTCATTTTCGAGTTTCATTAACATGTGATATGAAACACATTTACTTGAATCGGTGTTGAGGTAACAATTTTCATCTGCACATTCATTTGATGTCAGAATCATCTAAAAGATTGATTTTGACATGTTCTGGATATTCGAAATCAGATAGGAATTCCATTCATTGTCAATAGAACAACGATTCCGAGTTGTTAGTGTCACCGTTCCAAAATATCATTCAACATCTTGTCAGAATCATCTTCCGTTTCTACACTGGCTTCACTTTCAAAAGGTTCTTCAAGACCTTGAGTTTCTTCAAGTATCTTAAAAACATCTTCTGTGTCAATATCATCATCACTTGCAAAAGTCACTCCTTGTGTGTCATCTAATGTTCTCAAAACATCATCCATGTCCACATCATTTTCCAAATCATTTGTGTTTGTGTCATTTGGTATGAGGAAAATTTCGTTGTCGATTGCTGTGCCAAATTCCACATTATCAGATCCAAAATTTTCTACATAAGGTTCCCTATTGAGTGATTGTCTTTTTTCCGTCGATTTAGCTGCCCGCATATGGCCGAGTGGTTTTTCTGGAACTGTGGCAGCCAACTGGTCCAGCGTTCGAATCCCAGGGGTTGCTGCTGTTATCGTGAGCAGTTTAAACACCTTTACTTCCGGGGTGCCTGCTAGGAAGTCACTACGTATCTTACGTTCGGCTTGTAAATAATGTACATAAAACCATCGAACAACGTTTATCATCGAATAAACCCATCCCTGAATTTTTTCCGTCGATTTAGGAGTCTTTTGAGCTGGTACTGATTTCTGCTTTCTTCCTCTCTTCTTTACCGGCTCATAAATACATTGAGCTCCCACTCTCACACAATTTGAGCGTGGTGATTTGTGGTCACATTTTGCATGTTGTTTCTGACAACGTATACATATGCCTTAATTGAAGTATTTGTAGTTGTTGACGTCCTTTTACTCGCTCCGTTGTCAATAACCCTTCTTCGACGTTGAATTTTCTTCCTAACGGTGCTTGTTTTCCTTTCAGCTTTCTCCCATATGTGTTTTTTGACGACAGTGCTTGACAACGAAGCTCCTTCTGCACTCTTCTCGAGTTTTTCGAAAGCTTCATCATTCAGATCTATTTCAGAGACATCGTGTTTCCATCCTTCAAGCATTTCCTGCCAATGTTTTGATAATGATTTGTCTTCTTGTGTAGTGCCAATCCAATCCCTTCGTCGTCTAGTTGACTTGTACAACACTCTCAAAGGCAATAATACACATTCAGAAAACCCGGAAGCGAGCCTTTTGCTTTGTGATTCGATTTTCTTTCATTAATCAATCGACCTAAGCTATGAACGCTTTCACAACCTTGATTCATAAAACGAGTTAGACTGCCATATTTCCTCAATAAATAAGGCAGATGGTTCAAAATAATATGAACATAATATCCAAACTTTTCATTGGGATAATGCAAACGAAGAATCTCATTTAACTTTTTCAGAGTTGGGATTAAATCTTGCTCAATATTTTGCTTTTCCAGTAACTGAGTAGGAGCCTCCATGTAACCGTAAATTATATATCGAAACATTGACCAGATAGCAACATGTGAATCAAAGCTGCTTTTGACTAAAGCCTCCAAAAAAATTTTCTCAAAATTGAGTAATAAGGTATCGGCTTGCTTGTCATTGAGGTATGGTGGTTCGAAGACATGATTTGACTCCATGACCAACTGTTTCTTGTAAAAGGCTTTTTCTTTAAATTCAAAATTTGAGAAGGATGGGAACCTTGGAATGACATCTTTGATTGCTTCTAATTCATTTGGAACAAGTTTCAGCATTAGTTTGGCCAGCAAATTTCCAACTATTCGAAGCTTTGTATGGAGGACGTCAATTACAACATGTTCCATCAATTTTGGATATTTTTCTAGAATAATATTTCTACAACTAAAATCGAGAGAGTGATTGTGTTCAAATAATGTATTACAATTTTCATGAGTACAATCACAATAAGGGCACACAAAAGTTTCATCACAGAGCTTCCATAATGCTGACATATCAGTACAAATGTATACTGTAACAGGTAAAGTGATACTTTTCTTTACGCCGTTTTCCTCAAAGTTGTAAATAAATCCATTTTCAACTAAATCATTCAATGTTGAGAAAGTTATGTCAAAATATTTCGAAACATTCTTATGTATTTCTTGTCCTTTATACATATCTGTAATAAATGCATTATATCTGCACTGAGTAGAAAGAATACTGTTGAGAATTACAAAGGCATGAATGACTTCGTTTTTGGAATGTCCGTCCCAAAAACTTTTGATTTCTAATTTATCAGGAATTTTCCCTTCAATCTTCATTATGAGATCAACTACCTCGTGTAATAAACACGAAACGTCTACATGAAGAGAATTACTATCATGAGACATATGAAATATTTGTTGAACTAGTTCATTCATCTCATTGCGTTGTTGTTCCAGTTTTTCTTTAGTGCAGACAATAAAATTCAACGCATGGTATTGATAGTGTTCACAGAAAAGATGATCTGACATCAATCTGGTATCTGTAAAATATACAGCACATTCAGGTGATAAATTGTCTTGCAACTCAGGTGATACTAGTGTTTGAAAATGATGAGCTAGTCTTGTATAATTGGTGTGGCCTTTTGATACATGATAATCAATTCTCTTGTAAAGAGAATCTGGATCTTTGTCAAATATATAGTCAATAATGTCATCTAGAGTTGACCATTACTTTTCAATATCTCTTGAATACCAGTAACAAGTCTTTCTGAAGTGAGTTTTTGGTTTTGGCTTGTCATTTCCTTAATATTTTTAACTGCCCTTCGAAATGGCCTATGTTTCAAAAATTCGCCCTCACAATGACTACAAACCAAACCAAAGGCTTTGTTGCAATTGAGTCCTTTTGATGATTTTTTCTCTTTGCCTTTGGGTTTCTTTTTCTTACTGGGTTTTCGAGATTTTTTGTGTAATGTGTCACTTGATGGATCCTCTGTTCTGGAACTACTTGGCGTCCTTTTCTCTTGATCAGTCACCTGAATTGTAGAACAATTATTCTTGTGAGAATATTTCGAAATTTGAGCTTTGATATATTCTATTTGCATTCGATTATTGATTTCTTCTGCAAATTTTTCTCTCAACCATTGATGCACATCTTTCGAAACAGTGCATCCTTTTGAAGTTAGGAAATTGTATAGAGCTATCTTGTCCATCACTGTATATTGGGCATCATATATTACTACAGGGCATTCAAATGTCGTCTTCGACAAATAATACGGGTTTCTATTTTTATTCCATGATGAAGGAACAGAATAAATTACAGAATTTTGTATCAAATTATTGTCAATATTAGGATATTCAGAAATATTGGTGAATTGATATTGTTGAGGAGTAATATTTTCAAAGAAACTATTCGGTGATGAATTGTTTTGATGTTGAAAGTCCATAGTTATCGGAGATGATGAATTTTGTGAATTTGCTTCATGATTAGATTCATAATTTTGAGTCGTATTTAATTGTGACAAGATTGTATCATAGTTTGAGTGATGGTTTATATGTTGTGATGATTCCGATGGTGTGTCGAATAGATTTGTTATTTGTGATGAGTTAGATGCGGCTGTTGTTGATGCTGGAACTTCGTTCTTATACTTCTTGTAGCACTCATTACACCATTGATCCGATCTCTGCTTTTCAGCTTGGCAAAAACGAAATTGTTCGGGAGCCTTGCCTGCAATAGATTTGTGTTGCTTGCCACAACAAGAGCAAAATGTCATTTTTGTTAAATTCAATTCATCCCCAAATAATTCAACCCTTCCATTATTCAATGTAACAACGCTCGTCACATTCAATAATATTAGACAGAAAACCACACAAAATGTCACAATCGTGGATTTTCAGACATGTCTTGACCCTCATTTCTATCGCAAGCTACAAGTTGTAGTGACGATTTCAAGTTCAAATTATGTTTCCTTCATACTCGGAATTTTCATCAAAGTTTTTCTCTCCGAATGACTCCCATTCAATGAAATGATACTATTGTTAATATAGTCTATACAATCACCTCCTATCATTTGATGATTCTCTTGATCGGGTAAATATCGTGATGTAAAGAAAGAAATTTTCAAGTTGAAAAACTCAACAAATATTGTTGAATTAAATCAGGTTGAGAGTAGTTTTGAACAATAACAACAACAATAGAGTGGTCAAATGCACTCCATAATCACTATATCAAAAAGGAGTCATTCAAAATTTTACCAATACATTTAAATCTTGATGATATTTCATCATATACACTCGATGATGAATACTATTGGTTGATGATCATGTAGAGATGAAATATTCCAAATTCCGAATTTTAAATGATGATAACTGATGAATGAATCATCGCTGATGGTGTTGTAATCACTTTATTATCTGGAACTCCCAAAATAGAAGCAACCATGGTTTGAGCGGAGTATGAGAAGGACTTTGTGTCGAGGAAAAGACCAAACCATATGCTTTAAGATCAGTCTCTGCAAGAATAAATCCCATGAGCTGACTCACGTGAGGAATAATTCTTCCTCGTCATGTATGACAGCTTCAACTCAATTTGATTCTTTCACATGTCCAATGGATAAGCTTATGGAAGCTAGACAAGAGTACACTTTTTTCTTCCTTAATGAGTTGTCTCAAAGAACAATCTTTCAATAATTGAACGTTAAACTTGTAGAAGAGCTTAAGATCAGGGTTGCCTATATTCAGACATTCCTCCAGGAACGTTTTGAGGGAGAGGTACATGTTGTTGAAGTAATTTAATGGCTCGTTGGCATGTTTCATTAGAGAGAGTGTTTCCTGTCATTCTATTGAACGGTTTTAGAAGCAGGAACGGTTTTAACATTCCCCCAAATGCAAGTTGGCAAGTATGAATTTTTCCAGTCTCTTTTTCTACAACCATACTCATTCCAGCATTGACAATAGTAATATAATATGAGATGATTGCAACAAAATTCATCGGGAATAGAGCAACTTATTCAAAGAAATGTATCGAAATATTACTATTTGATGAATACTGTTCAAGCTTGTTGCACGTCATATTTGTTACTAGGAAAAAGCATTGAGATTGGTGCCTCTGTGACTTTGACTAACATGTTGAACTTTTTCAAAGACCATTAAGAGTCTGCCATCCTCAATCAATATAACAGATTGAACAAAAATTTAGGTACCAGAGGCAAGCACTCGTTAACCCCTTGGCATATTTGCCGGATGCACCAAAATTCTACAGTAGCTCTATTCCTTTCCAGCCTATACTTTGATAAGGAAGAGAAGTTTCCGGAAAACCTTCCACACAGTGAAAAAGCCCTCGTGAGCTTGGAAAAACTTTTTGAAAGTCAAAGATAAGAGTCATACATTTCTGTCTGTAATTTTTATTGAACAAAACTTTATATTCATGGTTATTGGCTATCCATAAATCATGATTTCAAGTATTGTCAGTCTAACTGATTTATTGACGAAATACCAGTATTCAGATTTCGAAAACAGGTATGAAACCTCTACTATCGAGTTTTTCGCTTGCTAAATTTTTAGCAAGTTATGTTGGCTATATTTACTTTCGAAAAAAATTTTCTCCGGCACACGAATTGTTATGAATAAATATTATATTTGTTGAACTTCCTATGGTTTTTATAATTATGGACATGGCAACCAACAGAACTGGTCTAAAAGTTTTTGTATCGATTTTGTTTTTTGAGCTGTCGAAAGATTATGAACGTCGTGAAATCTTTGAATTGACACCACACAAATTTGGGGAAGAATTATTTGTAATCCATTGAAAGAAGAACATTGAACGTTGACTGTTTGGGAAGAATTATTTGTAATCCATCAAATGGAGCTGTCTCCTCTTGCACCCAAGTAAACGGTGATGATGGCAACTCTTATCTTATCTTTTTAATTGACTCAGAATTACTTCAGAGAGGGTTAAATTTTGATGAATAATAATAGTAATAAAGGTCAAGCAGTGGATCGTACAGAGTTCTGGATATTCACTTGCATCCATCAGAGTGAGTACAAACGGCATCAGACGAGAGCGAGCAACAAAAGTATGTAAGGTTGGAGAGAATGATTGGTCGGATGTGTTGCTTGGTGTGCACACTATATGTCGCTGAAACTAATTCTCAATGGTTGCCTCACAATCATCTTTATTCAACACTTTGTAATTTACAAATCATAACTCTTCTTATAGAGAGATAGCACATCTTCTTCATGATAGGACTTGAATGTTCCACTCCATTCCAGAGGTAAATCAGAAACAACACTACTCAAAATCTTACCAAGTTTTTCTGCACTTTCCAACTTTCCATTTTCATGCATAGAAACAAACATGGCATGTTCATTCATCTTATCCTTACCAATTCTCCTTATATCTGCTTGCATGTCAGTGTCAACAATTCCAGGCTTGACAGAAACAATTTTAACGCGATCCTTTTCAGATATCCCAAACCCTTGAGCATACAATTTTTCTTCACAATCCAAATAAGCAGCAAAATGATTCATGGCAGCTTTTGAGGTTCCATAAATAGCTGTTCCTTCAAAGGCCTTACTGGCCAAACCACTGCTCACAAACAAAATATTACCACGTGATTTTCTCAATTCTGGTAAACAGTAATGACACAACTGAATGGCGCTAAGAACATTGACTTGATAAGCTGCATATAGTCCTTGAGTCAAATGTTGAGTGTCCCATTCACCAATTTTTTCAATCGCTCCCAAAGTGGCAGCATTACAAACCAAACGATCAATTTTGGAATGTTGTTCCATCGCGTGTTGGAAAATATCAAAAGCGGGAGGATGAGGAGGGTCTGTTGTATTTGCGTCGAAGGAATAGCATGTGGTGTGATAGAGATCATTCGATCGATGGCCATCAAATAATTTTCATTAAAGAGAACAAATAATGTTGAAGGCAGAAATTGAACATGAAGATGATCACTTACTATTATCACTAATTGGCTTTGATAAATCGACGCACACGTATGAACAAACACCTCCTTCTTTTGAAATCTCATCATGAGCTTGCTTTAACTTTTCAACATTGGATCCAGTGAGAACGACAGCATGGCCATGATGGAGAGCCAACTGTTTTGCAATGTGAAATCCGATACCTCTCGAAGAACCTGTCACAATGGACACAAGACGTTGGGCAGATGAGGACATTTTTTCTTGTGATTAACAAATCATTGCGAAGATATTGGGTTTCGGTTTTCAGTGCTAATCAATTTGTGCGACTGATTGGTAATCTCACCTCGGAATTTGAATGAGAATCCTGCAAGTAAATCAACAGCGCAATCGCCTCGGAAAATGATTGAAAATGGGAGAATGTAAGCAAGTATAAATGTGTCCGCCAATAATGGTGACAAAGATAACCAATGAATTTATTCAGCTCTATACAATTGCATTGGAGCTTGTCTATTTCTGTAAGCAGGTCCAGGATATTGATCGCTTTGTTTGAAACCAGAAACCCAACCTCTCTCAGTCAACACTTGAATATGTCCGTGTGGATGACCTGGAACAGAGTTGAAGATGGCAACATCACCAATTCTTGGTGGTCCAGAAACCTTTCGGAATCCTGCCTTCTCCAAATTAGGTCCATAATTCTTGGCACTTTGAGTTCTTTGGATCGTCTTTCCAGTAGCAGCTTCAATAGCAGTTCGGACAGCTCGAGCACAATAACCAGTGGCTTTAGTGTTGGATCCATACATTTGAGAAATCTTGTTGGCAATGGCATTTCCGGTTGGTCCAGCAGCAACTCGTGATCCGAGAGCTCTGTCAACAGCACGAGCAGCGACATCTCTTCTTGGTTGTTGAGTTTGTCTTCTATTTGGTCTTCTACCACCAAAGGATTGTCTTCTACCTCCGTATCTTCCTCCGTAAGATTGTCTTCTTCCACCATAGGATGTCATTATAACCGTCAAGATCAAAACCATCCAAAAAAATATGATGTCGAAGAAGCTCTCTGTTGCACTCTTGGTGCTGTTGTTGGCGTGTTTTGCATGCATCGCAGTCCACGCCCAATACTATGATGGCTGATTATTTGGAACATTAAGAGGAACTGAGAGTTCTCAATTACAACAACCAAATTTAAATTTAAATTGAAACGAGAATTGAAGACTTCTCAGCTGACATCCCTATTTGATCAAAATTTTCACACCCTTCAAAACATCATAGACCTTAATCCACAAATGTTGTTGTTTGAGTCTTAACATTCTTCCATCTGCTTTTGTGTGAGTGTAATAGCTCACAGCATTTTCATGGTGGAATGAACCAAATTTTGCTAATGATGCTCCATTAAATTCTTCTCTATTTTCAAATTTAGGAAGTGGAATAAGTTTTTCTTCACCACCCAAATCAAACATTTGATAAACGGTAAATCCTTCAGGTTGTGAAGCTAACAATCCTCGAATGTCCAATAAATATTTGAATTTTTCTGAATCAGCTCTAAATCCATTAGGTGCTGAGACCGTGATGGACATGGTGTTGTCTCTTGAATTTCTGAAATATCTCACTTCAATACCATGAGAGAAGATCATTTGACTCTGTTCTTCATTCATGATTGGATAATGAATCGCAAGAGTCAAATAACCTGAATGTGACTTGGAATTTCCAAATACATTGACGTAATCACTGGTGATATTCAAAGGTAAAATACTGCCAGCTCTATAAAAAGCAGGAAACTCTTCATAAGTCATCGAGTAGTCAAATGTTTCATTGTAAACACCTGCAAAAGTGACGCTATGATCAAAATAGTCCACCCAAGTGCCTTCAGGGAATAAAACATTGGTACAATTGGAATAATCAAAGACAGGTGTCACAATCATGTCTTTACCAAGCTTGAAGGTCCAGAATGTTGGATCAAACATAGTCCAAGATCTATATTCCAAGTGAAATAATAAATTCAGCTTCAAAGTTATGACTTTGAATTTGTACTTACGAGAGTGGTGTAATCAAACTATCCCGATTTTGATAGGCATCAATTCCACTTGTGTACAAATAAGGAACAATTTCATAGTGAGCATGAGTGAATTTTCTGTATAACTTTGTGATGGTCGAGTTGTACAACCATGCTGTTGTGTTAAACCCCATGAAGGTCATTTCACAATTGAGAAATTCAGGAGAATTAATAATTAAACAATCATGACGATGATGGTTAATATTAAATAAAAATTTTAAAGATTTCAACACCATTTCACACAATGATACATACGTTCATGAGTTCCATAACCTCCATTATGCATAGCACTTGTAAACGCAGCAAACTGGAACCATCTCACATACAGATCAGTATCATAGTTCCGAATTCCTTCATATCCTCAAATTGGAGTTAGGTAAATCCCAAATATTTGTTCCAAGCAGAGTGAAGCATGTTTTTCACAGATTCTGTAAAACCAAAGTAATTGGCATATTTGTTTCCAACCCATCCATTAAAGACAATATCTTTTGGAACAAATTCAAAGAAGGCCATTCCTAAAATGGAATCAACAGGAATGTTAACAATCAAAGAATCTTGACCTCTGACTTGTCTGGTATAATTTAAAAAATCATGATAATACATGTATGAATAATCCTTCTCTGAAATGTGACCCTTCTTGCCATAAGCATAGATCAATTCATAGAAATATGGATCTGAGCCATCACATTTCTTTTTCATAATGTTCAAGTTTGTTAAAAACGTGAGTATTCAATCCCTTAGAACCCAAAAACATACCCATCCATCAATTCCCTCTTTTGGATCCGTTTGATTCAAAACCAATACATTATTCATTTGTGAATGCCACCATTGAACTGCGTCTGGATTTGTAATCAATGAAACTTCCTCGTCCTTTCCACCATTCAATGGATCTTCCATCATTGACAAAATATCCTTTCGTGTAAGCAGTATTGTAATTTGGAGAATCCACATTGATGAGAGGAGTAGTCCAACAAATAACTTTAATATTCATGGAATGCATTTGTTTAACAAATTGATAGAGGTTTGGAAATTTACTCCTTATTGGTATTAATAAATTTAAGACCATATATATTGAAATGCAATAGATAATTGATAAGGATTACAGTTTGGGTGTGTGTCTGAAACAATCAAATACTTACTGATCAGGCACAAAACTATTAATTCCTTTCGACCATCTTGCTTCCAAATCCACAGCTCCAACTGGAATATCATTTTGAGAATAGGTGGAAACAAGTTTCAACAATGCTTGTTGACTTTGACTTTCACCGTTCATCCTGTTGTGATGAGGTCGTTATTTCAATTCATGTGAGAAAATTTGTTTGAGGAATTTTCACATGTTCACAACGCATGGATATCATTCAACTCTAATTCTTGGTTTGTTTGTGGATGGAACACTTACCACACCAAATGATGATGAGCCCACTCAGAATAGGGAGCATTGATTTTCTTGATCCGAGGAACAATGAATTTCTGTTGTTGTTTCTCTGATAAAGCTCCAGTGGTGATGGAGATTGATGTTGGTCCTGCATGGGACATGCTTCCTATCATCAGAAAGACGAAAAGGGACAAGGCAGATGCCACCAACAAGAAGAGACCCTTGTGAAATGCAAACATTTTTTTTCGTGTGATCTAAAGACCCATTCCCAAAATGGAAACCTTCGAGTTCAAATGTGACACAACACAACGACAAGCCAGGACTAGGGTAGCTCGTTTTAACACACCCCGGAAAAAAAATACAGGGCCACCCTGCTGCAGTTCGTTGTTCGTTGCGAGCGAGTTGTTCGCAAAAATCTATTCTCCCAGAATCAAGTGGATGTCTTTGTATTGCAATTTATGTCTAACAGCTCAAGAATTTAGTTTGGGAATCATCATTCTTCCACCCTTTTATTCCTCCATGTGATAGTGGTGATGATCAGTAACAATTACGTCTTTGTAAATGTGATGAATTATGTATTGCAAAATGGATTGATAATGTCGCGGAGTAAGGTTTGTTGTGGAATTGACAACTTCTGAATGTGCGTCTGTTGTTGTTGTTGAGGAATTATTCGTATCGTCTCTCATCTTAAAATCACCACATTGGCAAATAACCTCCAGATATGGCAACATGTGGTACTGAATAAATTCTTGAAGGAATGTTCTTTCAGTTTTACATTGCGAGAGAAGCTCATCATATCTTAAAAGAGTTTGTTTGGACTCTTGCATTAGTGTTTCATATTCTTGCTTTAACACACTGTATGATTTGAGGCTCTCTGACAATTTCAGCTTTAGATTTACAAGGTAAGTTTCAAGATCTTGAGTAGATTGAGCATCTTGTGGATCACCTTTGGAATCGCTCATGCTCAACTGGGTGACAAATAAATCCAATCTCAATGTTAAATGCTTGTTCATATTGTACAGAGTCCACTTTTCTATTTGCAATTTCTCTGATGCAATCTTCATCTTTCGAATCTCTTCTTCTAAATTCAAAACTGTGTGTTTCAGTTTCTTCACTTGCTCAACATGTTCTTGCCTTGTTTGTTTCAACATTCGCAATTGTTCTATCGATTCCAATTGCATTTGTTCGTATTTACATCTCATGTTGGCCATGTTTTGATCTTGCTGGTGAATTAACTGTTGATATTGTGAAATGTTGTTGTGAAGATTATCAATTTGGGATAAATATTTCTTGCAATCAGCTTGATACTGTTCTTCGAGCGACTGGTATTGATTCTGGATGGTGCTTGCATTCTCAGATAGTTTATGTTTCAACTCGCTCACTTCTCTCGAATGTTGCAATTCAAGCTGTTGAATTTGAGATTTGAGGACATCCAATTCGATTTGATGAAACTCTACTAATTGATTGTATTGAGTCGATATCGAATCTATTTGATCCTTATAGTGTTGAATCGTTTGTTGGTACATTGGAATGTCGATTTCAATCATGGGATTCACATGATTCACAAATTGTTCGAATTTCTCTTCTTCAACTTTGTGAATGACGTTCGAAATGCACTGTTTGACAAAGAGAGAAATATAATCTCTATTGTTTTGTTGAATATTTTGGTCCATATCATGCAGAGTGGAAATAGTTTGTTTCAACAGTGCATTCACTTTTTGTGAAGTTGTTTCAATGTGGTTTTGATATGAGAGATTTTGTAAAGCTAATTGTGAATTGACATCAATAGTGACTTGGACTGAAGAAGGAGGAGAGGAAGGGGAGGTAGAAGTGACATTCATGTTGTTGTTGTTGTTGGACGGGTTTGATGAGACAGTACTGTTCGAAGAAGTTGATTCATTCATCATCTTTTTAAATTGCTTCTCCAAGAATTGATTTCTATTCTTCAAACTTTCACATTTGGCTTCATTTTCCTTAATGAGCTTTTTACTTTGTTCATATAGAGTCTTGTATTCATTGACATCCATCATAGAGTTATCCAAGTCGATTTTAAGCTTTTGAACTTGTTCCTCTAATTGTTGAGTCTTTTCTGTCAGTTGTTGATATTCTTGGATTGGAAGAGAAATCAAGTGTTGTGCAGAGGATGTAGAACTATTTAGAGATTGGTTCAGTAAGTGTTTGTTGCAACTCAGAGTGGTTGAATTTGTATTTAAATTAGTACTAGAGGTATTTAAACTAATGTCTAGAGCAGATGCATTGCTGCCAGTCATGTTGAGAATAGATGCAACACTATTGGTCTCTCTGGTTGTTACAATTTTCTTTCGCTTATTCGATTTGATAGGATCAGTGTTTGAAGGAAAAAGAAAACCATTGTTGTTGTTGGCAGATAGAGAGGAAACGCTACTTGGCAATGAGACGGTATTTGTAATGGTGGAGAGGGGAGTTCTGGATTTGCTTAGATTAGAAGACATGAGGAGAGATGATGATGAAAATTGTTTACCAGATACGTTTAAAGAACTATTCGACAAGAGAGAGGCCTTTGATGGCAAAAGTGAGGACGTTGTCGTGGAAGGGAGAGTATCAATAGTGTACTTGTTTTGATCCGCTATGGTGCTGGTGCCGGCGCTCGTCGATGTAGTACTACTACCACTTGTTCCTCCTAACAAGGAGTTAACACCACTTCCGCTACTCAAATACATGGAAAAGAGAGAGGATTGGGAGAGACTGGGTCGAGTGAGAATACTAGTGTTGTTGATGTTGGAAGAGGAGGAGGAGGAGGAAGGAGGAACGAAAGCTTGAGAACTGTGGTTGGAAAGATGAAAGGAGGAGAGACTATTTCTTCCGTGTGGATGTTGACTCATTTTTTTATTGAAATGTAACGGTTGATTTTTTTGAAATTGGCGGGATTTAAAAATTCTCTGCTTTTCAAACACGTCCATTAATATAATGATTTCAACAATATGTGTTCCTAATAAGTTAGAGTTTGAGAGGGAATTTGCACTTGTCAATGGTAAAGAAAGAGCCACGATAAGGGTGTGGGAATCGATAAGCTACTTGATCCTTATTTTCTGCTTTGAGGTATTTCTCAGGATACGAATCTGGATAGGCCGTTTGAGAAATGTCAGCAATCGAGCACGTGAGCTTTCCTAAAAATTTTCTTATGGTGAATATATGTGACAAGAATTGACTTTCACAGGTGGTGGCAATAAAGTAGTCTGCTTCGATGGATAACCAAAATGCATACAGGGAGTTGTGGAATTGATGATTTCCTGTCGTTCTCATAATGTCAAATTGAGGATAAACATGAACTTTGTGTTTCGAAGAGAGCTCTGTAAGTCTTAAACCCTCTGTCGATTGCATTTCAAATCCAGCTCCAATCATTAAAATTCTATAATCCTTATCTTTGAATTGAAAATCTCCCAAATAAACAGAAATAAAGTCAGTATTCATAGTTCGTTGACATCCTGGATATATATTTGGATTTTGGTTGGAAGTGTAAATTTGATTATGAATCACAATGAGAGGTCCTTTCGAGTCGAGTTCAGTTTTCCATTTCCAATCTTCCATAACTCGTCTGGAAATTGCAGAGGGTGAGAATAAATCAAAGAACAACACGTAAAGCATGTCCTCCTCAATATCTAATCCTCTCCATCGACCCCACACATATCCAAGATTAATGACTGGATGATTTAAATAACCTGGTTTCTCAGTGGCTTTTTGATGAATAATGTCAACCGCTTCAGAGAGTGACTTTTGACCCAAGGTTTGATCTTGAAGAGGGAATAATTCTTCAGTGGCTTCTTTCAGCAGTTCGGCACTCTCTTCGTATTCCATCACAGAAATTCCAAATCTCTCCATGGCCAATTTTTTGGTTCGTTCCAAATCAAAGAACTTTGAAAAACGATCATTTCCTTCACAAAAACATAATCTTGTTTGGTGTGTTGTGTTCGAGATGGTTGTATGTCGGAAAGTTGCATTCAAGAGTGGCATGTCATCAGCAAATTATTCATGTTAATAAGGTGTATTGGTGACAAGTGACAGAATTCCTGAAACTTACCCCCAATTTCCATCGGTACAAATGGATGGAATGATAAACTTCTTGGCTCCAACCTTTGCAGTAATGGCCAAACAAGTTATCAATTCAAACAGCTGATTTGTGAGTCCACAAGTCAGTGAATGTTGTTGCTTGGTAAAACAGGTCATCACTTTTGATCCATAAATTTGTTCATGCTTTGGATCAGGTTTCAATTTACTCATAAATTCGGAAATTCTTGCTTTTGAATATTGTTTATCAATTCCAGTCCAAAACGTGAGTGGTTTTGATGATATCTGTGTTGTGGATGATTCATTACTTGATTCGGAGTTGTGGAAGATTTGACTCGATGAGGAAGAGGCTAACAAGGTAGATGACGAGGAATTTCGATTGAAAATCACTCCAACAAACATTGAGATCATGCAAATGAATAAGAGTAATACAACAGAAATTTTGGCGATTCGGGGCAGTTTCTGAAGTGAAAGGAATGTCGGTGGAATGAGTGACATTTTTGTATTTCTGTTAGATTGGATAGGTTGTATGGACAGAGGAGAGATGTCGAACGATTTTTTTCTTGTAAATGAAAACAGCGGCATAGTTCACAGGGCTTTAAGCAAAAGCATGTTCATGTTGGCATTTGACGTTGGTGTTTTTGTATGAACATAAATGTAAATGCTTTACAAATTATCACCTGCCTCAATCGATATCGGACTTTTGACTGTTTTAGAAATTGGCCAGATTCTCCCTTACTACTGCATCCATCTGAACTTTAACCGTCAAGCAATTAATTGAAATATCCCCCTCGTTTCCGGATCAAAGCAAGTCACTTGTCAAAAACAAAGCCTTTCGTCCGTTCCACACACAAAAAAAAACAAACTCTCGTTACACTTCTAGGTATTTCCGCGATGACAACCACAAGAAGACTTCTCTTTCTTTTCACTCTCGTTATTTTCTTCCAGAATTTCACACATGCGTTCTCTTGTTATTCCTCCGCCTCGAATCGTCCAAGTCGACTCACTCATGACACCTTGTCAACCTCAAATATCATTCATCGGAAAACTTCCAACACGACAGCTGCCATTGTCACCTCTAGTTTCGTTCAAGCCATCGACGCTGCCACTCGAGATTTGGTCGCCACTTCTCAATTTCAAGACAAATTTTTCGATTATTTGCGATTTCAAGTCCCGACTTGTGTGAAAGCAAATACAATTCGATATCCATCGGGAAATCCTTTTCAATCGAGAACGAGTCTCAAATTTTGCTATCAAATGGAAAATGCAGAACCTTACACAAGTGTCTATGAAATGGTTGCACAGGGAATTTTGGAACAAGTGAATTCACACTATTCGATCTCGCTGACAAAACAAATTATTCTTGTGAATACCACAGATGGATTTTTCGTTTCATTGAAGAGAGCTGTGGATGAGGGAGTGTGTGATGTTGTGGTGGCGGATGTCTCGTATGTTTCCGAGCGCCTACCACTTGTCAATTTTATGTCATGTCCTTATGGTGCCACCTCAATGGCATTCCTCACCACCTCAAAATCCTTAGGTGTTTCTACCGTCACCGATCTCAACAGAAGTGGTCTAAAAGTAGCTACCTACGCTGGTACTATCTTTGAAGATTACATTAAAAAGAATTTACCACTCGCCACCGCACTCGCTGTCGGATTCGATGAACAATTCGAAATGGCCACTTCGAAATCAGTCGATGCCGTTGTTGCCGATGCAGTGGATTTAATGGTTTGGATGAGCAGGAATACGACACAGTGTCCAGATTGTACTGTAAAGATTTTTGGAGATCCAAGTTATTTTGGAGCTTTTACGGCGAGAGTGAATACAGCTGGTTCGAAATTGGGAAACGTTTTTCTCATCATACTAGTGAGTGTGTGGAGCGTGATGGTGTTATTATGTGGTGGACCGCATGTCTAAACCTTAAATCCTCAATAAAAATAATAGTATGTTATAATTTGAAAAATGGAAGAACAAGAACATGAAGACGAAAGAAGTGTAATGGCCATTTCATTGGTCAAAATTGTGAGTTGTTGGCCAACAAGATGGTGATTTCCATTTCCAGAGAATTTGCTTAATTTAGGTTGTAATAGTCATTCAACAAGGTGGAGAAGTGTTTTCGTTCTCATCGACTCAATCAAAATGTTACAGATCAGGTGGGTCAAATTATTGATTCAGGTGTCGATGTGAATCTTTGGTCAGGTCTGTGATCAGAACGATAGCAATCCACAAATTGTTGATTCTTTTACAATGATGAAATGTTGATTGTGATAGCAGCTGGTAACAACGGACACTTTTCGAGTCACGGTACCATCCTGTACCCTTAAAAAAATTCCCAACAATTTGTGATTAAGGTCACGTGGTAATAACAAGGGTGTCATCACGACTAATACAACAGCCACCATGCAACAAAACTCATTAATGAAGTCGCTCTCTCGTAAGGTGTACGAGATAGGATTTCCATGTTTTTAGAACGTCAAATCATTATTAAGGCCAAAGAGACGAATACTGGGGTATGTAAATAGAATCAGTAAATAATTTAATATTTCACATTTTCAGTTACTCTTGAGTACTTTCAGCTGCGACAACAACATCACTCGATCCAACTCCATCTTGCTCAGCAGTAGCAACTTCTTCACTGCTACCGTCACGTGAATTCATCAAGTCTTCCTCCAAATCAGCGAGAACCTTTCTCACTTGATTCTTTCTCTTCTTTTGCTCACTCTTTGTAGCATTCTTAATCTTTTCTTGTTTCAATTGACTTCTCAAATTTTCAAGTTCATTCTCGAGTTGTTTGATTTGTTCTCTATTCATAGAGTCTTCCAATTCTAAACGTTTCTTTTCACTCTCCACTCGTCGGTATCTTGTTTCAGTCTCTTGCAAATTCAAAGTTGCAATTCTAGCTTCACGCTCAGCCTTGGCAGCCTTCTTCTCATATTCTTGCTTGTGAGAGAGCTCTTCTTGAAGTTCACGTTTCACATCGGCCAATTTTTGAGCAGTCTTCTTTTCTTGCTTGATCAAATCGACCTTATCCTTTCTCAATTCTTGGATCAATTGATTCAAATTGGCAATTTCCATCTCGTAATGTTGTTTTCCAGCCACATTGTTTTGATCCAACTTTTTACGTTCACTCACGAGATCAAGTTTCACTGAATCAAGATCTTTACGAGTTTGTTGGAGGGTCTTATCCAAAGCGTTGTATCTTTCCTTTTCATCATTGAGAGCACTTTGCAATTTGCTAATGGTCAATTGATATTCGGAACGGAGTCTCACCAATTCATCTCGCAAGTCTTCCGATTCCTCAGCGAGACTTCTCAACTCTTCAATTTCCTTATCAGCGTGTTGCTTTTGAGCTTGATACTTCTTCTTGAGTTTCTCCTCAGTCTCCAATCTGGACTTGAGTAACAAGTTTTCTTGTTCAATGGTAATGTTCTTATTCTCCAAATTGTGTTTGAGAAGACTCAATTGATCGATTTGAGACTTGAGATTGGAAATGTCAATTTCATACTTTCTCTTGAGGGTTTCAACGACTTGAGAATCGACTGCTCCGGTATTGGCTTCTTGTTGATCTCTCTTGGCATTCTTCAAATCCTTCTTGAGTTTCATATTCTCTTGTTTGAGTTTGTTGAGTTGATCTGACAATTCACGTCCAAATTGTTCACTTTGTTGAGTCAAGGTGGACATTTGTTGTTTCAATTGCCGATTGTCGTTCTCAACATCCTCACGAGATCTGGAAGCATCACGACGAATGTTTTCAATCTCATCTTCAAGTTGTTTGCAGTTTCGCATCTCTTGCACGGTCTTTCTCTCAGCATCTTGCAGTTTCAAACTCAATTCATTGATTTGAGAATTGAGAGAGGCAATTTCATCCTCCAAATCATCTCTCTCAGCCATGGATTCCTTGTTCTTACTCTCGGAATTCTTCAACTCGTTTCTCAAACGTTGATTCTTGTTGGCCTCCTCCTGAAGTTTCGAGTTGGCAATTTCGAGTTCACCTTGAACCGATTGCAATTTAATCTTCAATGATTTAATCTCTTCAGTAGTTTCAGCCAATGAGGATTGTTTGGCTTTGAGAGTTGTCTCCAATTCCTCCTTATTGGATTGTTCCAATTTCAATTGAGCTTCCAACTCCTTAATTCGTTGTTCGAGCTTATCCAACTCCTTTCCGAGAGAAGAAACCTTCTTTTGTGCTTGAATCTTCTCGGAGCTTTCGTGTTCTTTGTCTTTGAGGGCTTGCTCGATACGAGCACCGAGTTGAGAGAGTTCATTCTTGAGATCGTCCTTATCTTTGGAAAGAGATCCTCTCTCGAGTTTGAGATTCTCGAGATCGGTGCTCAGTTTTTGTTGTTCGCCCTTCAATTTGAGAGTGAGAGACTTCTCAGACTCAAGCTCGGACTTGCTCTTATTGAGTTGATCGGTGAGAGTCTTCTTCTCTCTTTCCAAATCTTCCAAATCACTCTCGAGTTTGGAGTTTCTATTCTTTTCAGAGTTTAATTCGGCAGTGACCTTCTCGAGTTGAGCACTAACAGTAGCATACTTTTCATTGGCAGTTTGTAAATCAAATTCAAGGGCCTTCTTCTCGTTGCTGAGTTGCCTTTGAGTATTCTCATAGTCTTGGAGCAATCTGGAGAGACGTTCCTTCTCATCACCAGCTTGGTTCAAGGATTGATCCAATTTGGAAACCTTCTGAAGAGTGTCATTCTTCTCAATATTGGTCAATTCAATGGTCTTGTTCAACTTTTTGATTTCCTTCTCAAGATTCTTGACAGTTTCAGAGAGATCTCTCTTTTCTTGGTTCAATTTGGCTTGCATTTGTTCGGCATCTTGACGATCTTGATCGGATTGCTTCTTCAATCTCATAAACTCTTGAATCTTGATATTCACCTCGTTTTCAAATCTTGCCTTTTGTTCTTGCAATGAGTTTTCCAAATCCTTGATACGTGAATCACGATTTCTAATTTCAACTTCTTCCAAATTGGAAATCTTGCTATTGAGAGTTTGAATTTGACTCTTTTGGGTAGCAATAGTTTCCTCGAGAGTACGAATCTCCTCAGTCAATGCTTGAATTCTGGCATTGGCTGTCTCCAAATCACTCGAGAGCATCTTTCCCTTTGTTTCTGAGGATTTGAGTGATTGTTGCTCATTATCCAACTTGGCTTGAATTTCACGAGCATTTTGTTGAACGCTGTCGAGCTTTCTAGTGAGATCTTCGACTTGTCGTTGCTTCTTCTCACTCTCTTCCTCGACATTCTTCTTCTCGAGTTTGAGCTTGTTGAGCTCCAAACTGAGATCATCCTTCTCTTTTTGTACTTGCTCAATTTCAAGTCTCAACTTCTTATTGGTTTGTTCTGATTTTCTGAGATCCTCCTCCTTTTGGGATCTGTTCTTGGTTTCAGAGCTAAAGCGAGACTTTTCATCTTCCAATTCACTCTCCAAAAGAAGAATCTTTTGATCTCTTGCAGAAACTTCATTACCACTAATGATCAATCGATTTTCCAAATCTGAGATTTTACCTTCCAACTCCTTTTGTTTCTTTCTCAAGAATTCAATATCAGCCTCACGATTCTCAATATCTTGTTGTTTTTGCTTCAATTGAATGTCCTTAGAACGGATGGCTTCCTCCAAGTTATGAATCTTCTCATTGAGTGTCTTTACCACTTCATACAAATCATTCAATTTCTTGTCTTGATCTGTGAGATTACTTGTCTTGTACTCGATATCATCTCTCAAGTTCTTAATGTTTTGCTCCTTATCCAAAATTGTTTGCTCAAGAGTTCGATTCTGAGAGGCCAACTTTTCAATCTCGTTGTGAGCAGCTTTGAGTGCTTCCTTGGCGACATCACGTTCTTGAACCATCTTTTGTTTCTCCAAATCGAGTTTCTTCTTCTCTTCTTGTTCCTTGGCGAGACTCTCTTTGAGTTGATCCAATTCTTGTTTCATCTTTTCAGTTTGTTTTTCAGAAGCAAATTCCTTGAGAAGAGGTTTCACGAGACCAATCAATCTCCACCAATCCCAATCACGTAACTTGCTGTAGCCTCTAAAGTTGCGTTGAATGGTCTTGATACTGAGTAATCTTCTTTGCAACTTTCTATAGGTTGCTCTTTCGAAAGCAGCCAATGCAGCAGCTTGTGCCACATTGATGTATTTGGAGATTTGTACTTCACGGAGAGACTCCAATTCAGCTTCTTGAGAGGCCTTCAAGAATACCTTGGTAAGACCGAGTTTGTATTGAGTAGTTTCCTCAAATTCAATATAATTGAGAATGGCCTTTGCTTTTTCCTTATCGGAGGCGTTCTTATCAGCCAACTTGGTCTTATCTTCAACGAGTAATTCGTAACGACGAACAAAGTCCTTATACAAGATACGACCTGGATAACCCTTTCTGCTAATTCTGATACCTTCCAAGACACCGTTACATCTCAATTGGTGGAGTACATTGTAATCTTCAATGATTCCTGGCTTTTGCAAATTGTTGGGCTTGATGCAACGAATAAAGTGAGGTTCCGTACTGGCCAACAATTCCATCAATTCACTCAACTGTTGTTTGTATTGAGCAGCAACAGTCTTGAATCTGGTACCACCTCCTCCTTGTTTCTTTGAGCTTCCACCGCTTGGAACATCATCACGATCTGATGGTCGATCGAAGAGAGCCTTCACGAATGGATTCTGAGATTTGAGCATGGTCTTTTTACAATCATCATTGAGAGGATCCACATTACGCTTAAACCAATCGTTGGTATCGTACACGACCTTTCCAGCATAGTGTTTGAGTGTAAATTCAAGTTCATTGAATTTGCTCGTCTCAAAGATAGGTTTGTTGCCATGATTCTTGGTGATTTCTCTCACTAAACCAGCTTCATTCTTTTGAGCCATGAATGTTTGTTGATCCAACACAGACAAAATACCGAGAGGCTTCTCAATCAAATCAATGGTTGGTTGTAAATCCAAACCAAAGTCAATAAATGTCCATTCAATCTTTTCTTTCAAGTATTCTTCTTGTTCCTTCTTGAACATGTGATGGTTAAAGAATTGTTGGAGTTTTTCATTGGTATAGTTGATGCACAATTGTTCAAAGCTGTTGTGTTCGAAAATTTCAAAACCAGCAATATCCAACAATCCAATAAAGTTTTTGATGGTTTCCTTGGAGATCAAGTTTTCATTGATACGTGAGACGAGCCAATCAAAGAGACGATTATAAGTGGATTTGACAAGAGCATTTCGGTTGTAGGTTGCTTGGAGTGCTGTGACGTGAGTTTCAATACGATCGGTTGGTGTTACAATATCTGGTTTCATAAAGCCCTTTGCCAAACCATCAGGATTGACCTTCAATAATTCAGAAGCAATTTCCAATGGACCACGATTGCTTGCTGGAAGAGTGGACAATTCATCTACATCCACAAATGTAACATTACCCAAATGAAGAATGGCAGCAATGACTCTACAACATGAATCAATTTCATCTTCGGAAATACCAATCACACGCATACTATGCAATGTATCTTCAAATTCTTTCTTATCATCAATTCCAACAACACTTGTACAGCCTGAATGATTCACATAATTGAATGAATTTACACCACCAGTCAACTTGTACTTGTTTCTGGCCTCAGGATCGGACAAGATTTGATAAAAGAAGTGGAAATTTCTCTCACCATTGGCCTGATTCAACACACGTGTAGTTTCGAGTAAGTAGTGAGTAATTTTAGTTCCCACAATGATTCCTTGAAGTCCAAAATCGATGGAAATGAATTTACCGAAACGGGAAGAGTTGTTGTTTCTCAATGTTTTGGCGTTACCAAAGGCTTCGAGGAGAGGATTGGTTTGCAAGAGTTTTTGCTCCAAATTACCTCCTTGGTGATGATGAGAAGCACCAGCAACTGTGGCAAGGTATTGAATGATCTTTTTGACTAGATAATTTGAAAGGAGTTCAAAGAGTTACGAGTGGTGGTGGTGATTTCAAAAAGTTCATTCGAGAGAGATTAGCGATGAATCAAATTCATGAATGTGTGAATATAAGAATCAGAGTGATCAAGTTCAGTGTGAATATAAGAACCAACACAACAACCAATAATATATATATCAGAAAGTGAATGAGCAATAATAATGGGTCAGCAGTTCAGTGTGAATGAATAGTGGGAATCATTATAAAAATTTGAACAAGATTCACAATTTAGATTCCAAAACTCTAAACAACAACAAAAAACAACATACCACTTTCAGTTTTACCAGCTCCTGATTCACCTGTCACCAACATACTCTGATTCTTCTCATTCAACAACATTTGTCTATATGAAACATCAGCCACAGAGAAAATATGAGGTTCCACATCCTCTCTTCTCTTTCCAGCATGTTTTTTTATAACCTCATGACTGTAGATTGGTAAATTCTTATATGGATTTACAGCCAACAAGAACAAACCAGAATAGGTATAAATATCATCTCGTTGATATCTCAGTTTGAGATTGTGGAGTACAGATGGTTCATTGAGGTGAGACAAAGAGGCCATATCGACTGAGTAATCTAATTTGAGTGGATTGGCAGGACAAACTGTATTCAACTTGAGAGTTTCTTGTTGTTTGGTCAATGAATTTTCACACAAACATGTTTGTTTTGACTCATCAATTGAAATCACTTTTCCCAAATAGAAAGAAGGTTCTCCTGTTGGTGTAGAGGGAGTTTGACTTCCTTCCTCTGCAGATGAAGATGTGTATGTTGGCATCCAGATATCGTCTCCAACTTTGAGTTTGTATTTGGAATCATCTTCGTAGATTTCCAAATCTAAATTGTTATTCTTCTTTCTTGGTGGCATTTTGAATTATAGAATGTTGGTGAATCCAATGATGTCACTTGTCTACTACACTTAATTTGATGTGTGGATAGTAATGATGATGACGATGATGGAGATGATGATATCTCTCAATCAAAAAGTTGTTAATGGTGGTGGTGATGATTTCAAGTGAATGATGATGGACAATGAGTAGATGATGACTCAAAATTCCTATCTTTCAATAATTTCAGTATTGGATTGTTGTATTTTACGGAAGAAGATTCAACACACCACAATAGTAGCAGAAAAGGAGTGGTCGATCGATGATGACGACAATTTCAAAGTGTGTGAATTTTTTTGATGATGTTGATGAATAAAGACGAGATGTGTTTGACGAGTGTCGACTGAAAAAAGGATGATGATGGATGACAGACATTTGTAAAAAATAATAAAAACATCTTTGTCATTTCTTTTCACTCACAACTTCCATACCTTCTCTTATTATGATAAAAAACTCATGCTCGATCACAATTGTGGATCCACTTGAAAATTGATCTCTATGATCATTCCTTGTGACTATGTGAGCGAAATTTTGAAAAGAGAAATTTTTCATCAGATGAACAATCCATCAAAATATTGTCGGATAAATACCAGAATTGACTTGGGTCTTTCCTCTAAAACTAACCATGTTTACAGGACTTTCACTTTTGAATGACGCTTGTCGTGATTTCGTATAGGTCCTATGGCATGTCACACTTCTAGTGACACCCTTTTAGAAAAAATTGTCAGGCTGATTAGCAAAGCCATTAGTGTAAATAGAGGATGGTAGATTCAAATAATTAAGGACAAATCCACGTATGACTCTTCTCCGTTTGTGGCAGTTATTTATTTGTTTTTTCAAGAGTCCTCCTTATGTTGTTGAAATTCAATTCCAAAATTAAGAGACGCTATTCGAAAGTACAGTTGCAAGAATTTTCTCACGATCTACAACACCTCCTAACAACGACCACCACCACAATGTATGGGTGGATTCATTCCTTTTTATGCGCATAAATAAGAAAGACCTTGCGCAATTTCACCTCTTTCATCGGATGAGATAAATTTGCTTCCTCCTCGCTGTTCATTCTTCTCCTCATCTTCAAAAAAAAATATTATTATTCTTTTCTCACCAACACGTTAGGCTTGTTTTCTGCTGAAGGAACAAATAATCTGTTCAAATTTGAATCTATTAAATATTTATTCATCTTGATTCAGCACCGCAACAAGAACGAGAATGCCCCGACCCGCTGAAGAAGATCATACTCCGTCATCATCATCATCATCTTCGGTAAACAATCTCGTTCCAAGAGATGAAGGAGTGATTTTTGCAAATGTGGTAACGAAAGGTTCTACCCAGCAACCAATTATTAATACACAAATTGCTTTTAAGGACAATGAAACAGTGGTGGATGCTGAGCCAAAAAAGATTACCCAAAATGTCGATCAATATTTTAGAGAAGTTCAAGAGAAGGATGAACTTGAAATTGCCGAAGAACATCAGTATGTATTTTAATGCTTCATCATGAATTATTTATGAACTTGATGATTTGAAATGTTATTGATTTTCAAATGGATGTGAAATTTTTTCTTTCAAATGTATGGTGTGTCGAATGTCACTCTCATGGTGTGAACTCAATTTCACATGAATTATTGCAGACAAGCATGTCCGGAAGAGACGGCAAACATTTTCTCACGTCTTTCGTTTTGGTGGTTCAACGGTTTAATGAAAACAGGCTACTCCAAAGTGCTTCAAATGTCGGACCTTCACAAACTGCGAAAGGAAGAAGAAGCCAGTCATCTTTCGGAAGAGTTTCATAAGAATTGGGAACGAGAGGTTGAAAAAGTTCGTGACAGATCCAATCTAGAAGGTCACGAAGTAGGAGAGCAAGAAAAAAAGAAAAAACAATCCAAACCAAGTTTATTATACGCCTTGCACAAAACCTATGGTCCACGTTTCTATATGGCTGGTTTATTGAAAATTATTTACGATATTTCACAATTGGTAAGCCCTTTGGTAGTTAAGTCTATCATTGCTTCCATTCGTGATTCTGCTGAAGTTCCTTGGTTTCAGCCTTATTTATTAGTTCTTGCCCTATTTTTATTGCAAACACTTGGTACATTCTTTATTCAACAATATTTCCACGTTGTAATGACACAAGGAATGCGGCTAAAGACTGGTTTGAGTGCAGCCATTTATAAGAAGAGTTTGAAACTTAGCAATGCTGCTAAACTAAAACTGAATTCTGGAGATGTCATCAATTTCATGGCCATTGACTCAAACAAATTGTGCGGACTGTTGACTTATCTTCACATGGTGTGGAGCGGAGTTTTCCAAATTTCAGTTTGCTTAATCATGCTATTCTCTCTGATTGGATGGTCCACTCTCGCCGGTTTTGCTATTATTATTGTCGTTATTCCGTTGAATGGTCTCATTGCAAGAGTCGTTGCACGAATCCGAAAAATATTACTCAAATTCACAGGAGAACGTATCAAGATGGTAAATGAGGTCATTCAAGGTATTAGAATTATCAAATTCTATGCTTGGGAATTATCATTTGTGAAGAAGATTATGGAAGTCAGAAATAAGGAAATTTGGAAAGTTACTCAAACAGCCTTGATTGGCATTGCCACATCCATGCTCATGTCAATGGCACCACTATTTGTAGGCATTGTCACGTTTGCAATTTATGCCGCCTCAGGCAACATTTTGGATGCAGAAATTATCTTCCCATCTCTCTCGTATTTCAACTTAATTCGATTCCCAACGACCTTCCTTCCAACTATTTTAGCATTTTTAGCTGAGGCAAGAGTTTCTTTGGACAGAATTCAAAACTATCTTCTCGCTGAAGAAACTGAGGAGACACCTATTGGAACAGACTATGAGTATCCTGTTATTGTTGAAAATGGCAATTTTGTTTGGAAGGGAGCTCAGGAAGCAGCTGCTAAAAAAGCCAATCAAGGAGACAAAAAACCAGCTGAGAGCAAGGCTGCAAAATTGTTGTCACTTTTTAAAAAGAAGAACAGTGCCGCCCAACAAGTAGAAAGCCCTACACCAACCAGTTCTAAAACAGTCAAAGAGGAAGAAGAAAAGAAGAAATACAACAAGTTAGAAGACGAAGGAGAAGATCAAGTTCGTGTTGAGCTCTCCATGGAAGATGTTGAAGAAGAGGAAAAAGAAGCAGAATCTAATCAACAGGGTGGCCTTCAATTTATTGATGACGAAAAGAAAGAAGAAGCCAAACCTAATGTTGTTGATGAAAAGAAATCTCAAAAGAAGGACGAAATCAAGCCTGACTTTAAACTCAACGACATTAACATTACAGTGAAGCGTGGTGACTTGGTGGTCATTGTAGGTTTAGTTGGTTCTGGAAAATCTTCGTTATTATCAGCTCTCATTGGAGAAATGTACAAAGAGAGTGGAAATTTGCAAGTTTCAGGACAAGTTGCCTATGTTCCTCAACAGGCTTGGATTAGAAATGCCACTGTTAGAGACAATATTCTATTTGGAAAACCATTTAATCCAGAAAGATATCAGCAAACAATTGAGGCATGTAGTTTGGAGCATGATTTAGAGGTGTTGACGGCAGGAGATTTAACTGAAATTGGTGAAAAGGGAATCAATATTTCAGGAGGACAAAAACAACGTGTCAACTTGGCAAGAGCTGTCTATGCAGATGCAGATGTGTACTTGTTCGATGATGTTCTCTCTGCATTGGATCAACACGTTGGACGATCTGTGTTCCAAAATTGTATTTGTGGACTCTTGAAAAACAAGACACGTGTGTTAGTGACTCATCAATGGCAATACCTCAAGGATGCCGATCACATCATAATTATTCAGGATGGTAAAATTATGGCTCAAGGAACCCATCAAGAATTGGGGCGAAGCGATTCACCATTTTCCTCCATTCTGAAAAATTACTTCAACATGGAACAAGAAGAACAGAAGGAAGAAGAAAAAGAAGAAGAAAAGGGAAAAGATGGCAAAGCAGCCAAGAAGAAAGACGGCAAACTCATGAGTACAGAAGACCGTGCGGAAGGAAGTGTGAAATTCAGTGTCTACAAATCCTATGTTCAATACGCTGGAGGGTATTTCATATTTGCCATCATTTTGCTCCTCTATAGCTTGTCTCAAGCTTCTAACATGATTACCAACTGGTTCTTAGCCGAATGGTCCAATATTGCCACATCTTCGTTACAACCTGACGATGGTCGAGATAGACCTTCACAATTCTATCAAGGATTAATGAGTACCATGCAAAGTGGTGGTAGTGGTGGAAACAACAACCATGATCTCGGTTACAATTTGCCCATGTACATTGGAATTTATATCGCTTTGGGTGTTGGTGCTGCCATCCTCACATTCTTACAAGAATTAACCTTTGGTCTTTCAGGTTTAAAGGCATCGAAGCGATTACACAATAAGGCTCTCGAACGAATCATGAATGCACCTACAGTGTTCTTTGATACAAATCCAGCAGGTCGTATCATTAACAGATTTTCCAAAGATACTGAAGCTATTGATTCCTCTCTCATTGGAACTTTGAAAATGTTCATGTCATGCTTGTTCCAAGTGATTGGTACTCTTCTTCTTATTGGGTCAGTGAATTACTTGTTCTTGATTCCAATATTCCCAATTCTTTTCATTTACTATTACATTCAAAAGTATTACAGAAGTACGAGTCGTGAATTGAAGAGATTGGACTCCATTAGTAGAAGCCCTCTTTTTGCTCATTTTGGTGAGACATTGACTGGTGTGGCCACCATTCGAGCATACCGTAGAAAAGAAGATTTCATGCGTGAAAATGAAAAACTTTTGGATCGAAACAATAAGGCTTATTTCGCTCAATTAGTTTCTCAGAGATGGCTTGCATTCCGTTTGGAACTTGTTGGAGCACTCATTGTTTTATTTGCAGCCTTGTCAGGTGTCATTGGAGGATCTTCATCGGCAATGGCAGGTCTCACATTGACCTATGCTCTCAGTTTAACAAGTACTGCCTCATGGTTGGTTCGTTGTGCAGTTGAGGCTGAGGCTTCTATGAACTCGGTCGAAAGAGTCTTGTATTATTGCGAAGAAATTCCTCAGGAAGCTTCAAAAACCATTGAGGACACAAAACCTCCAGAAGATTGGCCACAAAAGGGAGAAATTGAGTTGAGACATGTCTACCTCAAATACAGAGAAGATCTCGACTTTGTACTCCGTGATTTGAGTTTGCACATTTATCCAAGAGAAAAAGTTGGTGTCGTTGGTAGAACAGGCTGTGGAAAGTCAACTTTAATGCAAGCATTGTTTAGAATGACTGAAATTACACAAGGTCAAACCATAATTGACGGAGTGGATGTTGGACAAATTGGATTGCATGATCTACGATCAAAATTAGCCATCATCCCACAAGATCCAGTCATGTTCAGCGGAACCTTAAGATTCAACTTGGATCCATTCGGTGAATTTGAGGATTATCAAATTTGGCAAGCATTGGAGCGATCTCACATCAAGGATAAAGTCTTAAATCTTGAAGGTCAATTAGAGTCCAAGGTTGCCGAGTACGGAGAAAACTTTTCACTCGGTGAACGTCAATTACTTTGTGTTGCAAGAGCTATTCTTAGAAAGACCAAAATCCTTATTATGGATGAAGCTACCGCCTCTGTAGATATCCATACAGATGCTCTTCTCCAACAAACCGTGCGTACAGAATTTAGTGATCGAACTGTGTTAACAGTGGCCCACAGATTGAACACTATCATTGACTCGGATCGTATTCTTGCTTTGAAAGCAGGAGAAGTCGCCGAATTTGACTCTCCAAAGAATTTACTCACTCGACAAGAACCCTCCATATTTGCCTCATTGATTGAGGAAACTGGTAAGGCCAACTCCTCCTATCTCAAGTCCATTGTCTTGGAGGGTGTGGATTATTTGAGCGAATTGAAAAAAGCTGAGCGACAAGCTTCAGAGCATGAACATTAAATTCTTGCAATTCTTCTTCAAATTCATCTTGTGTGTTTGCTTACTGTACTCCAACTAAGCATCATATAATTCTTACTCCAACAAACTATTTCTTTTGTTTTGAGAAGAATTGCAAAATTTTCACTTGTTTTGTACGTTTCCTATTTTTTTCATAGTCTTCATTGATATCTGAATCAGATGTGACAATTAGTGTCGACTTCTTTTTTCGTTTTCGTGATGTAGTGATTTCAACAGTTTCATTGTGACAATCGGAAATTTCTGAATCTTCTTCGTCCACTAAAAAATTATCTTGATTCTTTTTTCTAGTTTTACGATTACTTGAGCTGTTTTTCTTGATTTGTATCGAATCACTCTCTGTTGAAATTTTCATTTCATTTGTATTCACTTGAGGTGAATAATTATTTCTTTCTACTTCTTCGATAATTTCCATCCATGCTGGTTTTTTCTTCTTTACTAGTGCATGATGTTCTTTTTCATGAGTTTCTTTTTGATACTTGTTTTTTTCAATTTCCAACCCGATTTTTGAAATTGTTTTTTCAGAAGAGGATGCCTCCACTAATTCCGTATTTGAACATTCAAAACGTTTTTTCAATTTTTCAAGCACCACCAAAGCAATAAAATTCTTAACCTCCTTTTCAGAGGTTAATGATTTTCGTTTTTTCCGTTTTGTTGATGGAGAGGTTTTTGAGGAGGACGAAGAAGAAGAAGCACTCATTGATAATGTTGATTTGTTGATGGTTGGTGATGCCTTCTTCTTTTCGGAACCATAGGATTCCTCATTGCCATCATCACTTTTATGGCTTTCATGCATTTTATTTCATCCTTTCCAATCAAGGCACTCCAATCATAACAACCCTTATACTCTCTAAATTGACCATTGAAACCATGTTGATTGATTCCAATCTTCCCATCATCATCACGATCTAGAGTTGAAGAGAATCTTTTTCTCAATCAAAAAAATAATTTGATTTCACAGTATTTTCCGAAAGCTTGAAAATCATTATCATCAGCACTTTTATTTCATTCACTGAATCACTCAGTGGTTGAACCATCACCACCACCACTGCCATTATTATCATATTCGCTTTTAGATTTTTTGCAGTTATTTAAGTTATTTAATTTATTATCATCATACAATGTCAAGGCTGTTACGGAGATTCTTTTCATCCTATCATACACGATTATTTGGATGTGGATTTAATGGACATTATCAACTCTTTTTGAATGATAATATTAATAGGAATGTATTTACAGCTTCTGATGCAATCTTGTTTTCCGATCGGGAAGAACGGATCAAGATGATTGATGCTGGAGAGAAGCATGCGTTTGTTTTAACCAATAAGGGAAGACTATTCGGTATTGGTAGGTTTGAGAAACGAAATCGTGTAAAAATTATTTAGCTTGGATCAACACGTGTTCTGAAACTGATAAAAATTTAAAAAAACTCGAATGAATGGTTTGCAAAATCACGATTTCAACAATAATAATAATGGTCGATTTTTCAATCATTGAAAATCTAATATCCTTCAATAGGATGTAACGATGTAGGACAGGTTGGAGTTGGAAATGTCACCTCCTTCTTAGTTAATATTCCAGAAGGATCCACTAGTAAGCAAATGATGGAGAAAGTGACTTCGAGTACTCATATTGACATTGATCACATATTGAACCCTCCTGGAACAACAGAAAGAGGTTTGTTTCGTCCTGTGTTTTGATGTGACACATTCTTTTGTTTAATCTTTTAAATTTTTAAACACACTCCACGTAGACTATATCACTGTTGTAGCATGTGGAAGAGATTTCAGTTTTATAGCCACCAAGCAAGGAAAGTTGTACAGTTGTGGCTCAAATTTATATGGTAATTTAGGACTCGATCTTAGAACAAAAAACAAGACTTATTTCACAAGAGTTAACTTCCCAAAACATGCAAAAATTGCAAACATTTCATGTGGAGCTTATCATACGATCATTCTGACTGAGGACCATCATATTTACGGAATGGTAGGTATACTAATTGTTTAAAATCTCAAAATAATGATTCATAACATCTTTAGGGTCTTAATATTTTCGGACAATTAGGTACGTCCTAATATTTACAAATTTACCTAATTTTTTCGACTATTGACTGAAATACAACCTAACTTGCATCACCTCACACGCATGTCACAACAATTGAACGATTCATCATCATCCCTCATAGGTTTCAATCCAAAAGAAATGGAAAAACGAATCCAACAAGAAAATTATTTTCAATCCAAAGGAGAGCAGCTTGACTTTAGTTATGTGTCAAAACCCATTCGACTTGATTGTTTCGACCATTTAGCCTATGAAGGAGACTATATAGCAGAAGTAGCTACAGGTGCTTGTCACACTGTTTTTTTAACAAAGAGTGGAAAAGTTTATGTCTGTGGATTAAATATACATGGAGAAATTGGGCTTGGAAAAGATGTTCGTTGTTCGTACACTCCAGTGAATCCTATTTTTTTGCATCCCATGCCATACATGGATGACATACCAGTCGTGAAATGGATCTCTGCAGGTCTAGATCATACGATTCTAGTTACCGAGTCTGGAGAGGCTTATGCATGCGGGTAGGTTGAAAGTGACATTTTTTAACCAATCGAATGTGAAATGTGACTAATGAATTGAGCCTGATAACATTTGGCATGCGAACCTTAATTTTTTTGTATCTTCGCCCAACAGAAAAAACGAAGATGGCCAACTTGGACTTGGAGATTACAAGAATCGATATGAATTTAACATGATTGAGAAGTTTGAACAAAAGAATATTCGAGTTCTGCAGGCCACTTGCGGCATGTCCCACACGTATTTTACGACCACGTCCTTAGATGGTTCGTCCAAACAAGATTTTTATGCTACAGGTAAGCAACAAGAATGAGCAAAATATTTTTGAAATGTTCACTTCATCAATCGACGTAACTTTATTTGCCACAACGTCGTACTGTGTTTACATATTATGACATTTCAATGAATCACTCGGATGCTTCCGATAGGTTGCAATACATTTGGCAACTTAGGTTTAGGCCATTTCTACACGGTCAATGAACCAAAACTCTTGAGTGGAGTAGCAAAAGCAAAGGAAGGTATTCGATGGCAAGTATTCTGCAGTTCTCATAGCAACACCACCTATCTCGTTCAAATCAAGGAAAAGAGTTTGCTGAAACGGATAAGGGACAGTTTATTTATGGGAGCTTAAATATCATGTTAAATAACACTCAAACACTTTTTTCGATCATCTATTTCATATGAATGATGATTTCACAAGCTGGAACAGGTCCTCTTCTAAACTTGTTAATCAATAAAGGAGAGGAAAAAGAGCTCGAGCATCATCCTCCTTTATTGAGCTTGGTATGTAAAAGGAACTTGTGACAATGAAAAATCACCAAAATGGATCCTATTGCAATATATCATTTTCAATAAATCTTCTTTCATACAAATCAAGTGCTTAAGGAGCATGACTCAATGGACATCATTGTAAATTCACATTTTTGGAAAATACCCTAAAAAAGAATTTTTCATCAATAAGGCAAAATAAATCACAAGACCACCACACAATCTCTCTACTCCAATTCCTTCTTCAAACAAAAATTCTCTTCCTCCTCATTCATTAATTCTTCCTTCATAACGTTTCACACAACAATTTCCATTTTTTGATCTGTAATTACTAATCAACATCATCATGAGAGACTTTCCAAAGAGTAACGAAAAGGAAGATCTTGGTTCTGAAAAACCAACCAATTTTCTTGGAGTTCAACCTGAAAAGACTCTTCCCGGAATTACCAACACTTACAATAACATGAATAGTGTGAGCAATCCGAACACTCCAATTATGAATACACCAACGCCTTCGATTGTACAGAGTAAAAAGAAAGCTTTTAAGAGAAAATACGATCCAAAAGATGAAGATTGGGTAATGATGTAAAAATCACTAATCCATTAAATCATCTCATTACAATAAACAACCATTCAAAAAAAGACACTTGGTGGTTCACTCATTCACAATTTGTAGAGGTTTTATCATCTCAACAATACCTCGACAATGAACGAACAGTATTCTCTTCACTTAAACCATTCTTTCTTATTTTCAATCAAGTTTGAGGCACTGCTTCTCAGAAAACCCATAATGATCCACCCAAGAGTGTTGTTAATTAGAGGTACATGCCTCTCAAATCTTTTGTTGCTCTATATAGATCGCCTGGGCAATAATAAATTTGGTAATGAGACCGGCCTTAACAATCCCTGTGTGAATGAGATTAAAAAAAATTAGACATTCTTGACAATCAATCAGCACTTGTCTTGTTCGATTTAAAACTATCATTTGAAACAATTTCCACAACATTCGGTCGTGGCACTGAAGAGCAATCATCAATCTCTCTGATTGTGTCTTGTTGAGTGAAATGGATCAAGAAAGAACTTGCCCAGTTGCAATTATTGAAAGACAAAAGGGAATTGGAAGGTGACGCAAAGGACTTCTATGAGAGATTTTGAATCCTAGGATCCACCTTCCGAAATGTTGTGCTTCCGTTGTATCCTTTGATTGTCCTTTTTGATGAAAAAGATTCAGTCAGCTTTTATGATTTAAGCTGGCATACTCAATGAACCTCTATTTACCACCATCTCACATCCACGTGCTCCACAAGACTCAAGATCAAAAGATTGAAACAAAGATTTAACTGTAGTTGGAGTCATGGATTTTACTACGGACCCATTTTTTCAACTTTTTTGGACCTCACGAAACCTAAAAAGTTCTTGACCACTCTTCTTTTGAACTCGATTTTCAAAAATGTCAAAGTTTAAAAATTTACTGCTCTCGAACATATTTCCAGTGTCTCTCTGCACGATGCTTTCTCAAGAGTACTGGATCCAACGCCTGTTGTAACCATCATCGATGATGAGTCTTGCGACGGATGGCTTTAAATCAACCATCCACCACGTGTGCTCTCAATCTTTTTCAGCCGAAAAAAAAGCACCAAAACCACAACACCCTTAAAATCAATTCATTCACCTCCACCTGCCCACTCACCATGCACAAGAATAGTATTCAAGAATTCTTTCATCATATCCAATTGAAGGACATGATTCCATCGGGACAAAAGCTTGTCTTGTTGAAGGAAGATGAGACTCTTCAAGAAGTTGTAAATCAACTCTCTCAACATCATCTTTTGGCTGCTCCCGTTTTGGACAAGCACAATCAATTGATTGGTATGCTCTCCATGCTGGATATTGTTCAATACATTGTGGCTGCAGCTCCTGAGATGGATCAATTGAGAAATTTATCGGATGTTGCCATTGCTGGAAGATGTATCACTTTGCAAACTGCCAAGAACGTTATGGGCTTCTCTGTTCGTGATCAATACATGCCATTGAAGAGCAACGTTCCAGCCACTATGGCTATTGAGCTCTTCTCGAGAGGAGTTCATAGATGCATCGTTGAAGAGGATGTAACCAAGGACTTGTACATTGGAACTCTCTCTCAGACCGATGTTGTCAAGAAGCTTTCCGAACACTTGCACATGGGCAAGATGAAGAATTTGGGAGAGAAACTCGTTAAGGATTTGGGTCTTGGTTTGGCAACCCCTGTTTCAGTGAATCAAAATGATGTCGTTTTGAGTGGTATGAAGACTTTGGCTAAAACTGGAGTGAGTGCTTTGCCAGTCGTGGACCACTCTGGTAAATTGGTTGGCAATTTGAGTGCCTCCGATTTGAGAGGATTCTACTTGGACAGACTTCCTCACTTTGAATTGACTACACGTTCCTTCTTGGAGCAATACTCTCCAAAATCTTTGGTGCCATTCTTTGTGGAGTTGGACGGATTGAAGTTTGTGGATTTGGTGCGAAAATTGGTGCACCCAGAAGTGCACGATGTGTTGCATGGACAAACTGTCAAGCTCGATCATTCCATGCACAGAGTGTGGGTTGTCGATGACGAGAGAAAGGTCACTGGTGTCATCACTTTGACTGACATTATGAAGGTCATCATGGACTATAGCGAGGAATTTTAAGTTGATCCTTCAAAAAACACACAGTTTTGAATGACGAAAATTCAAATACCAATGAATTTTGCTACCCTCAAAAGCCTTAAATAAAAGTAAAGCTTCAAAATTTTAAATGTAAGGAATAACCGAAAATTCTTAAGGAATTAGTATTCCATAAATTTCTCAGTTATTGTTCAAGAAAACATAAGTTGATTTAATATTTACACACAAATATCAATGCTGCAATAAAAAATCTTTGCACAAATGCTCACACCCCAATGATGACAACAAAAGGCTTATTCATTGGATCTACGCTTGGACATTGGAGAAATGAATGATTTGAGTGCTGTGGCATTCTTAGTTTGAGCAGGTTTTCTATGATTCACAGGAATATATTTACGATGCTCGATACCAGTGTAGACTTGTTTTGGTCTGAAAATCTTAACGTCAGGATCTTCCAAACTTTCAATCCAGTGAGCCAACCAACCAGCAACACGAGGAATCAAGAAGAGAACTGGATAATAATCTGTTGGGAATCCCAAAGCCTTATACACGAGACCTGAATAAAAGTCAACATTTGGATACAATTTACGTTCCTTAAAGTAAGGATCATTGAGTGCAATTCTCTCCAATTCAATAGCAATTTCAATCATTGGTTCCTTTCCGAGAATTTCAAACACCTCGTCTGCCACTTGCTTGACAATCTTGGCACGAGGATCATAGGAACGATAAATTCTGTGACCAAATCCCATGAGTTTCTTCTTTCGATTCTTGACATCCTCAATGAACTTGGGAATATTTTCCTTACTTCCAATTTCGTCCAACATGTGCAAAACTGCTTCGCAGGCACCTCCGTGCAATGGACCATACAATGCTCCTCCAGCACCTGCAATTGCTGTATATGGATCCACTCGACTCGAACTCAAGTGACGCATGGCAGCAGTTGAACAATTCATTTCATGTTCTGCATGAATAATCCACAACTTTTCAAGAGCACGTGCCAACACAGGATTTGGATGATAATTGGTCTCACTCAATCGATCCAACATGTAAAGGAAATTTCCAGTATAGTTCAAATTATTCACTGGATTATTGTAAGGTTTACCAATTCTGTGACGATAGGCACACGCAGCAATGGTTGGCAATTTACCCAAGAGACGATAAATTTGTTTAAATCGTAATTGATCGACTCGAATTGGTTCCTTTCCTTCACCCTTCAAATACAAATCAGCACCTTTCAATGCAGGATTTGCATCTTCATAAAAAGTTCCCAAAGCAGCAATGGATGAAATGACCATTCCCATTGGATGTGCATCGTATCTAAATTGCTTCAACAAAGTGACCATGTTTTCATGGAGATAGGAATGCTTAGTCACTCGATCCTCCCACAAACTCAACTGATTTCGATCGGGAAGTTCTCCATTAATCAATAAGAAGGCAACTTCAAGGAATGAAGACTTTTCAGCCAATTCTTCAATATCATATCCACGATAACGTAAAATTCCCTTCTCTCCATCAATGTATGAGATACTGGAACGAGCAATGGCAGTATTCAAGAATCCAGGATCTAAACAAACCAAATTCAATGATTCAAAAGCAACGGATTTGATGGCATCTCCTTCCTCCACATTGATCTTGATGACCTTTCCAGTCTTGGAGTCTTTGACTTCTAAATAACGTTTTTCAGGTGTTGTTGAAGTTTGTTGTTGTTGGAAAGAAGAACCAATGGATGATGATACAGAGGCCGTAGTGGGATTGGTTGTAGCAGCAGTTTGATGATTTTCAATTGAAATCCCATGATGATTTAAAGCATCGGATGGTATTAAATGTTGTTTGATATTCATCATTCTCCGAAAAGAAGAAGCCTTTGAAGAAGAAGAAGAAATCAATTCCGACATTTCAGTTTGTCTGTCCTAATGAATGGGCTTTTGGATCAAAGAATAATAAATAGTAATGATGATAATAATAATAATACAACGATCGGTTCCCCAAATCAGTGATGCACAATAATATTCTGTTGTGAAACAAATGAACGGAAACAGAGAAAATCAGTCTCTCGAGAGAGGGGAATGAGTCTCTTTTTTTTTTCTTTCTGATGAATTCCAAAAAAAGTGTTTTCATTCGTGCCCACAATAATCCTCCTAAAATTTTCCGGTTCTCCTCTTCTCTCTTTCCAAAGCTCCGAAATCGTGAGGACGGAAACAACAAGTACTGGAGAGGATCTTTCGGATCGATGATATTGTGTTTACAATGCAAATGTTTGTCGAACAAATGTCTGCCAGGGGAGTATTACACTCGACATGTCTTTATTCTTTATATATTCATTCATTGAAGAACAACCAAAACAACAACAAGAATTGGTTATATGTGTGTTGTCGTATACAACCACACAACCACACACACAACTTTGGAAAACTTATTAACATTTATTAAAAAAAATTAAATTCCGAATTATTAAATTAACCTTAATGCCTCATTGTTGGCCATTCGATTTCGATAATTTTTCACAAATAAGAAAATAGTAGAACCCAACAATAGACATGCAAAGAGAAGGAACAAAATACACAAAGTTACAATAAATCCAAATAAAACCTTTCCAATGGTCAAATTTTGAGATTCCACACAAACATTGTTCACAGAATCCAAAACAAATCCTTCCACACATTCGAATGGACAGTTATTACTAGTGGATGAATTGGTGTATCGAGAATTGTCGGAAGATGGTTTGTTGGTACAGGCGAGACATGTTGTTCCATCTGTGCCCTTATAGTGTCCAATTGGACATGGTTGACATGAAGAATCGGTGGTGGCCACACCAAATCCTGGAGCACATGCAACGAGTTGACATTGTGTCGCATATTTTCCTCCAACACAAGATTGTTGTCCACTTCCATTTGGAATTTCACATGATTTGGTTTGCCATGTAGCACAAATATCGAAAAATTGTAAAGTGTCAATCCAAACTTTGGATCGATCGACAGCACTCTCCTTGGAGTAATCCAATCGGAAATCAGAACCTTCGAAAAAGAATTCGAGTGGTTTCAAATCTGGTTCAGACCAAGCATACGCTTCACGAATGGCAAATCTCAATCGAGATTTCACAGGAAGTGGACTTGGAGCAAGGTCACTATTAATTTTAAGAGTTTGAATATCGGCCAATAAATCTTCAAATTCATAAACTTGTCCTCCAGGTACTTGAGCAATTTGTTGAGATTGTCTATGCACACCACCAACCACCACAGTTTTTGCTTTCTTTGATTCTTGCAAATGTCGTGTGAATAAGGCGCATGTACTTGCACATCTACCATTCGACAACAAGATGATATTATCAGGTGAATAGTTCAATAAATCCTCTCCAGTGAAATAATAATTATCAAATGAGGATTGACAATAATTTTCTTTCAAAATGGAGGTGTAGGCATGCGATGGAGCATTGTTTCCACCACGTGTGTAATTATGTTGCACCGTGTACCATGAAGCATCAGAATAAGTGACACCATTCATGTCTCGCCATGTGGTTGGATTCCAAATCGAGTCATCATTAGGTCCCAATTGACTTGCTCCTTTGAGAGCCAATGCTCGTCCCAATTCAGTTGCAATCATGTCCGTTCTTGCAAAGAGAGTTGCAAAATTTTGTGAAAATGTCGATGAATACAAATACTTGATTAAGGCATAACCCAAACATTCTTCACCGCCTCCATTATTTGTCACATCAATGATGAGTTTTGGAATTTTGTTGAGCTTGGCCATGTACATGCTCATTTGGAAATCTTTAGCAAAAGCAACTTCAGATTGTGGAACAAATGAATCAATGGTAATGACACCAACTTGTCCATCAATTTCAAAATAACTCACTTGATCTCCAGTGAGACGATTCACAACTTTGTGTTCTGTTTGAACAGTATGTGAGAGAAGTGGACTTGTTCTTAATTCTTGTAATGGATGTAACAATTTTTGACGTTTTGCTTCAATGAGAGGTTGTTGAGTGAGTGTTGTTCGTGTTGTGTGTTGAGAAGATGGTGACGACAAACATGATTGATAAAAATCCACAGAACTATTGTAGCTCATCAATGAAGAGCCAACCCAAGGAAGTTCCAATGTGACATCTGCAGCTCCATCACGTGACAGAACATAAGTGACAGTTGGCTTGGATGGAATGGGTGATCGATTCAATGAACGAGTCATAAACAAGTTACTAATTGCAACATTGAATCGAGCTCCAGGATCTTTGTATCCACCAGAATATTGATTTGCCCAATTGATCATATAATTCAATGCAAGTTCACCATCAATTTCCTTAATTTCACTTCCAACATATGAATTCAAATCAAAACCAAGTTGTTGATAATAATTCACAATTCCAGAAGCGTTATTGAGAGAAGCAATTCCAATTTTTTGAATACCATTTTCAACATAGGAAATAATGGTGAAAGGTTGTCGATAAATTAAGTTTCCATAACATTGTGGTCCAAAATATAAAGTATGACCATCATTCAACTTTCTGAAAAGAGTGACAAGATCTTGATGAAAATCGAAATCTCTCTCATAGTGTTGTTGTGAAATTTTTTCCAATTCTGCCAACAAATCGACTTGAATGTTGAAATGAGGATCCAAAGCATCTTTGACATATTCTAAAAAGACGTACATGGGAATGGTTTTTCGAATGCTGGACAGAGTTTGAGAAAAGACGGAGGAATCGAGAGAAATGTTGAGAGCACAATTTTTGATTTGATCGAATGGAACAGGAGTGTCTGTGTGGTAGTATAGTTGTGGTGGTGGTGATGGTGATTGAAAGTCCGTTAGAACACACATGAAAATTAGGTCCATCCGTGTATCAAGGAACGATATATGACAGGTGTAAAAAAGTGAGGGAGTGAGTGAGTTCATGATGGGAATACCAACCATGATTTGGTTGAATGATGGTATTTGTATCAAAAATTAGGTTCATTCATTCATTCGGAATGAAATATATATGAAATGGACAATCAAGAAAATTCATTCAAGAATTTTGAGAAGTTGATGGAATTTGAACAATTTGTGAAACATATTTCAGAAATAGACGGATGACACCACAAGTACTTACTGGCCACAAAGTTACAAACTCCTCCTTCGGATGATGATACCACGAGAGTATTCAGGTTCAGTAGTACGAGGATGACGAGAGTGGTACACACTGCCATCCATGGACACCTGTGTTGTGGAGTTGTCATTTTTGTTTGTTCGAAAGTCTTGAGCTTCATCTCTGTAATGGCGACTCGGTGCATTAAATACCAACTCTGACAACTCCAGACAACCCTTAACGGAGTTGGCAGGAGTTCCAAACACATGCTGAAGGAGTTTCAACGATAGGCTCAACAAATTGTGAATAATTAATGATTTATTTCTTGCGAAATATGTTCGTTCACACACAATCCTAGTCGATGAGGAAGACACAAATTTACCTTCTCTTCTTTCTTGGATCCTCTTGTTCATGTTCATTAATACGAATCATGTCATCGATACGGAGGATGGTAATAGCAGCCTCGGTAGCAAATTGAATGTATTTAACCTTTAACATGGCTGGTTCCAAAACTCCTGCTTCCAAATTGTCTCTCACATTGTCAGCCATAAGATCCAAACCATATCTCAAATATTCCTTCTTCTTCAATTCATGAACATCGTTGTGATAGGCTCGCAATTTAGCAACCAATTCAGTTGCATCAAGAGCAGCATTAACAGCAAGAGTCTTTGGAATCACTAAGAGAGAATTGGCAAAAGCAGCAATAGCCAATTGTTCTCTAGTTTCAATGGTCATTGCAAATCGATCCAAATATACAGAGAGAGCTGTTTCAACAGAACCACCACCTGGAACAACATTCTTTGATTCCAAAACTCGTTTCAATGCACACATAGCGTCATGAATAGTACGACTCATTTCATCCAACAAGAAACTGTTAGCACCACGTAACACAATGGATTGAGATGATGTAAGTTTTGTTCCACGGATATAAATTAAAGAATCTCCTGCAAGTTCCTCTTCAGCAACTTCCTCTGCATAGCCCAAATTTTCAGGAGAGAATGACTCTTCACCTTCCAAATCAGCAAATGAGGTAACCAAATTACCTCCTGTCAATTTAGCAATACGTTTCAAATCATCCTTATCACATCTTCTGACAGCAATGGCATTAGCTTCCACAAAGTATTTCAAACACATGTCATCAATACCCTTTGTTGTTAAAATGACATTTGCACCTGCATTCAAAAGCATTTGAATACGATCACGAATTAAGGTTTGTTCACGTTCTTGAACGCCTTCTAATTCCTTTGGATCTGTAATTTGGAATTTAATTCCCAACTTCATTCTTTGTCTGTTGAGAGCAATATCCAAAAGAGCAATTTTGGCACCCTTGATGACTTTTGGCATTTGTTGTGAAGAACGAGTGTTGTTCAAGGCAAAACCATTAACCAAAGTACTTTCTTTCATTGACTTTCCGTGTTGTTTAAGAATGTTAATAGCCTTGATTGGATATCTCTCTTTTCCTGTACCTGTAACAACTTTTACTGCCAACAATGCATCGACACATAATTTGGCAAACAAGTCAGATTCTGGACCCAAAACCTTTGAAGCCATAGATGTCTTGGCAACATTAATCAATGATTCACGATCGAGTGTCTGTGTAGAAATTTGTAATTCATTCTTAATATATTCAGTAGCCTTTTTAGCAGCTAATTTGTATCCGGAAATGATGTTAGTTGGATGAATCTTTTCCTTGATTAATTCTTGACCTTGTTTCAGCAATTCAGCTGCTAACAATACTACAGATGTGGTACCATCACCAACAGCTTCATCTTGGGTACGAGCAAGTTCCACAAGAGTCTTTGCTGCTGGATGGTTGACTTCAATGAGATTGAGAATAGTGGCTCCGTCGTTCGTTACGGTAACATCACCGACTTCATCGACAAGCATCTTATCAAGTCCTTGAGGACCGAAGGATGTCTTCATGATGTTTTGAATGGTTTGACATGCTTGCACTGTGTTGTTAGAGGGAAATATGATGAAAAGGTGTTGTAGAGAGTTGTTGTTTCAAGGAAGGAATGATATACATTGATGAGAAGGAGTTGTTGTAATACAAGAGGAAGACAATATTCCGTGAGGTTCCGTGGGTTATCAACCATCATCGGTAAGGAATTTTGTTTTGGTTCATCATCATTCGTTATCCAGCAGCAGCAATTATACAAATAGTATTGTTGTTATGATTCATCATTGTTTGCACAACCGGAATGTTCAACATCATCATCGTCATCATCGTATTATTCCTCTATATCGTAACTTACCATTCTCCACTCTAACTTCATTTCCCGTTGTTCTCTCTCCATCAATGTAGAGAGGATTGATACTTGGTGCCATCATCATTTTGTATGAATTTTTGTATTGGAAAAAAGGCTATCAAAGCTTTCGGGTGGATATGAGAGGCAAAATACAACAGCCAATTTTTTTTTAATGTTTTTTTGTTTTCACTCTCCTCAATACAACACACCTTCCGAGAGTTTCCGTTCGAATGTCAAAACGCTGCCATGAAGAAAAACCATGTACTCTGGTGAGCTTTACATGATACAACATTTCCACCTCTTTTTTCTTGAACTATCTTTCTTTTCATGATTCGTCGATGATGAGGAAATCTTTGCTTTCATGTGCCGGCCTGATTGAGAGAGATCACCGCCATCCATAGCATTGACAAGGTACTTGTTGTGTTTGCCTGAAGATTTTGAATTTGAGCATTCGTGTTTCTCAGAATTATGGTGGTGATGGGCTGGCATAAAGACTTTTTCTTTCGTTTCTTCGAGAAATTTATCGTCACTCACAAACGGTACTTGCTTCTTAGTGCTTTCTTCTTCAATGAAATAGGGCGTTTCGTCTTGCTTGGAAGGGAATGGCTTTCCATGATTATGTGTGCTATTTGTTATTGATGTTGCTTTGTTTTGATGATGACTACTCTCAGCAAGAGTGTCAACCAGTTGAGTTTGTGAAAGTCCTCTAAGTGGGAAGGCAATTTTTTTGGAGCTACTGTAGATTTGTTTTGGTGTACGGCCTGATGAAGGAGGATTGTAGACATTGTTTTCATCCATCTCTTGGTGATGAGGAGTTTCTGAAAGAGGTGTCACACTTGAGGATGCTAAGAGCGCTAGGGCGTTCTGAACAAATGAAGACGAGCCTGCCGGCTGTTGTTGAGTTGATTGAGCTTTGTTGAAAACTTCCTGACTGGAGGGAGAGATCGAATTTGGGTGAGGATGGCTCATTTCAGAGAGCAATGATGAGGTCTCTATGACCACAGAAGAGGAGGAATTAATGTCCATATGAAGAGCTGTTACCGATCCTTCAAAAGATTGATGATGGGCACTGTTGTTGTTACTATTTGTTGAACCAGTGTTGGTAGTTGAAGCTATTGCAACTGCATTAATATGATGGAAACCACTTCGATTGCTACTGGCGCTCTCGCTACTTCCTCCAACTGCTTTTCTTGCGGATATTGGAGGAGCTGTTGTACGGTCGGTTGAGGGAGAAATCATGGGAGGAACAAAGTATTCCTTCTCAAGAAGTGTTCCTTTGTCAAATTTTTGAAAGATATGCCGATAAACTTTTAAAAACATTTCCAAGTCGAGCCATTCTAAATCTTGATAATTGTATCGAATAAGAGCTTTTGTGAACTGAATATCATCAATACCGCACATGAACGACAATTTTCTCGCTTCATGAACGCTTGTCACCTTTTGTTGGGCCGAAGAACGTTTCAAGTTTCGACTTGTGGAGCTATTTGAGGAAGAGCGACACAACTCAAAAATTGTTTCTCCAAATATTTCAAGAAAAAGACATAAATTTCGTTTGCATTGGGCTGATATCAAGCATAAAATCATGAATACAGACTCTTTTGATATACTTCCTATTCGCTTAATATCCAAATAATCAAAAAATTCAAGAGAAATGAACTCCTGCCACACGAACAGTAAATTGTTCACTCTTGTCGACGTTGAAAATTGATCATGTCTGGGTGCAATTAAAGAAATGAAATAGTCTACAACTTGTACAAACGCTTCTTCATAAATAATGGATGATGCTTTTTTCAGTTTGCTTAACTCATCACGCAAATAGGTTTGAAAATGTGGAAACTCAAAATTTCCCTTTTCTTCCATTCTTTCATCAAAATATTGAAGCTTGTAAACCTCCTTAATTTCTTCCTCTTGCTCTTCTTGTATCCACATTGAAAAAAGAGTATACATCCTTTCACTGTCACTTAACAGAGAAAAATGGTCTATTTCAACTTGTTCCCAAAAACTACACTGTTCATGATCTTCATCGTTAGTATTAGCCACATGATTATTCTCCGATTTCTTGGAAAAGCTTTGTTGAAGAATCCGCAATTCCTTTTCACTAAAGGTTCGAACGTCATCCTCATGGTCATATGAACTCGCATTGCTTTGTTTTGATCGAGAGGAAGAATTGGAGCCTTGAAGTGAACTTTGGGAGCCTTGCTTACCCAGTCTAGGAGTCTGAGAATTACTGTGGGTTTTGTGAAACACATCTTCGACCGCAGAACGAACTGTCAGAACTTCAATAGACGAGTCATCGGGCGAACCATCTTCCTCCTCAACATTGTCCATTTCATTTGAACGATTCGAATAATCCATTTCGAGTCCGAAATCATGCGAAAGCAAAATAATATTTGTACCTAGTGGCGATTTTTGTTGTGAGCTATTTCCTTTTTTCCTTCTTGAACTATTGGGTAAAGAAGAGCTTTTGGCGACCACTACATTTGAAAGTTCTTTTCGTGATGAAAGTACGGTCGGCGTTTCATTGCTTGTGCTTTTTTGTGTTTGGACATTACTATCAATTTTGTTATTCTCGGATTTTTGTTTTGGCGTTCTTTGTGATACATTGTTTGTCAGTATCGATTTGTCAATCACTGTTGTTGTTTTATCAGGTAAAGTTAGTGGTATGACAGGTATTACATTCTTGAGGTTAAGAGAAAAGTTTAGTCCCTTGCTATTCTCGGAGTTGTTGTTTACAGAAATATTATTATTTGTAGATAAATTAGAGGGAGAGGTAGCGTCGTTGGAGTTGGCTGAGTAAGGAATGGCAGGTTTTACAAGTTGTCCTAGACTATTATTGCTAGAACTGGAGGTAGTGGAAGAAGATGATTGTGGTGTGTAAGTGTTGAAATTAGAGGATTTGGAAGAGACACGTTTGGAGGATGACGATCGTATGACGGAATTTTGTTGATTATTGTTTGAAGCTGAAATTTTGGAGTTGTTGATGACGGGTGGCAAATTAACAGTGTTATGAAATGACGATGGTTTTCCTGTTTGCTGAGCGGAAGTTGAGCTTATCCTTGAGGAACGTGGTGTGTTATTTGGTTTTTCGAGAGCCTTGTTAGAAAGAGAGGTCTCCAATTGGCGTAGTGAAGCCAATGATTGTTTTCTTGAGTGGTTTAATTTGGACGGAGTTGATGATACATCTTTAGAGTTGTTATCGTCGATCCCAGACAGGTTTTTTAAAGAGCGTGATGAAGAATTTTTGTTTGGGGAAGGAAGAATTTTTGCTGCATCGTTAGAAGGGGTGTTTTTCATGTACCGATCTCTTGATGAGGATTTCGGGGTTGAAATGACATTATCGTTATTTCTTCTAGCTGATGAATTTCCTTGAGATAGTTCTTGCTGTGATGATGGTTTATGAAATCGCAGGGGAGGAACAGTTTTCGAATACTTTGAGGTTGATGATGGAGTCTCGGTGTAACCCGGTATATCCGAAGAATCATCGGTACCATATTGATGAAACGATAAGACAGTTTCAACCATTATTGATTCATTCTTATAACTCCCGATGTATTACGCAAAAAAGAAGCAAGAATTTTTTTTAACTTGTTTTGAGACTGTAACGAAATGGCGCGCTTTGCTAATATAAGAAAAAAATTCTACTCCCCCAAGTGGGCTCGAACCACTGACCTGCAGATTAACAGTCTGACGCTCTACCGACTGAGCTATGGGGGAATTCTCCTAAAATTTAAAAACTATCAATAATATTGGTTACATTAATCAGCAAGATCATTGAGGAATTCCTCTCAGAGAAACCTCACTCTTCAATTACTGCTCTAATGACCAATTCTTTCCATTCCCTCTAATCATATCAAATCCTTTCAAATACCCCTTCCAAAAAAAAAGTATAGCTATTTTGCACTTTCCAAATCGGTTGCAAGAACCCTAATGGATCAAACATCCCTTTCAATTTCATATTAATAACATTGAACACAGTTCACAACTCAAAAAACTGTGAGCGTTTCGTAACGTTTCTTCTTCGGTAGAATCATAAACAATTCATAGCAACAACCATTCGGCTTTTGAGTGCCGAATATCAAACAACATCTCATGATTCCCAACTCATTCCAACAACAACCTCGTCACTATGGGAAACACCTGTTGTTGGAGAGGTTAAAACTTGACCTTCATCCCAAAAGAACTTTTTCAAGTAGCAATGGTCTCCTTCACAAGGGTGGTTTGCATGAAGGTTCTAGTGCTCTCTCGGTAGCAAGGTCGTCCAATCTAAAACAAAAGCAGTTATTTAGAAAAAATAATTCAAGTTCTCCATCATTGAATCGATTGGAAACTCCTTCCTCATCCGTGTCCACCATGAGTGCTTTCTATGAATCAGAAAGAATCATGTTGTCGTCAACAGCTTACAACTTCACACATTTAGACTCTGAAAGAAAGATAGTCATTGATGCTTCTGGAGCAGAAGGTCAAAATGATTGGTACGTATTTTAGTGTTATGCACATCATCATAACCTTCTTTCGTGTTTCTTACGAATGTTGATTCATATAAAAGTGGTGCCAACGGGCAAGATGTGTTGGTGGTGATCGAAGAAGAAGAGCAAGAAGCAAAGAAGAATACATTGCTCGTTAAAGTGTATAAATCTCAGCCCATCTCTAACGTCGTATTGAATGCTTCTGTTGTTGAAAGTGTGCATTCCATCTCAGAGTATCAAGAAAAACCCTTTCACATCCAAATTCATGCAAAGGGAGGAAGGTAAGTGGAACATTGTACTGATGTGAAAAGTTATTCAATATCTCAAACTTACTTTTCATGCGCGAAACGTCCGTTCTCAAATGTCCTTACTTTTTTGACACAACGTCTTAATGAAACATGTGTCAAAAATGAATAATTGAACAGAGGCGGCAAAGCTCCAAATCTAAATCCTAACTCACCCGGTTTAAAATCCAAATTCTCTGCCCCATACCTCTTTGGAGACATTTCTCCAACGTCAAATCTTCTCAATGACCAGTTTAATTTTTCCTCCACTTCATTGGCATCGACTTCCAATGCCTCCACTTCACTCTCTCAACTGAATGGTTTTGACGGTGGAGATGGAGGTAATATTACCATCGTCACTTCGCAAAGGTTGAAACATGTCTTATTCAACATTGAGGTGAATTGTAACGGTGGAGAAGGAGGAGAGGCTGGATCCACTCAATTTACATTTGAGAGTAAGAGAAGTCTACCGATGAGAGATTCGTTCCAATTTCCAGCTGAAGTTCCGTTGTCCACGTCAGTTACTTCGAACGAAGTCTTGACATTCTCCCATTTAAGCTTCTACAATCCAAACAAGGTTGCTTCAAAGATTCGTGACTCACGAGACGAGTCATTCATCGAACAGGGTACTGGTGGCGTAAATTCCGTGGTTCGAGGTCTAGATGGAAGAAAAGGAAGAGACGGCTCTGTGAAATTTGTGATTATCTCCGATCAAGACAAAGAAGTGATTGTTGAACAGTCGGTATCCATGTTCGCTTTGGAATTGACAAACTTTAGAATTCAGAGACGAATTCCAAAGCGATCCAATTCACAGAGCTCAAATGAGCACAAGGATCCATCTGCACTAGGGAACGTACAAGAACAGAAAGTTCGACCACCTACTCCCTTCTCGAACGACCAGCAGCGAAGGCAAAAAGTATTTGGTAATCTCATTATCGAGGATGATGATGATGATGAGTGTATGGAATCAAAACAGACGCCACAACTTCCTGGAGAACCTGGAAAAACAACAAATGGCAAAAGTAATGAATCGAATATCAATACTCCATCTGCTGGCACAAGTCTGGAAGAAGTATTTGAAACACCAACAGAGTCCAACAACGTTGAGTATGATTTGATCGATCTTGATGAATTTGCAGAGCCTGGATCAGAACTTGTCATCTCAGAAATTGAAGTGAAAAATCTGGGAGGGTTGTCCACTCCAGAAAATTGTTTGTTCACATTCAAAGGAAATGCACTTTTCGATCCATTAGGATTTGATAAGATCTCTCTAACTCCCTTTCTACGTTCATCTGTAAAACCACGAAATAGTACTTCAACCATGAGTGATGGGAACGAAAGAAGTCAGACCTCCTTCTCGAATGAGTACGTGAAAATTCCATCCCTCAAATGTGGAGAGACATTTTCTATATTGACTCCTTTCATTGCTAGAATTCGAAGGATAGATAAATCGAGTGTGGATTTGCCTTCAGAACCAAAAATCACTTCTCTTCATCAAGAGTGTGTCATTAGTAGTGAGTTTTCCCACATTCCCTCTCAGACATTATCATGGCAGTCCTCGAATTCTCTTGAGAATGCTTACTCCTTACAACGAGTCATAGCCAACATTCCTATTCAATATCCAATAGCAGTGAGCGAAATATCAACTCCAAAAACATTATTGATTGGTGAATTGAGTTCTCGATCGAATTCACATCATCATGGAGGTGACAATGAGCACACAGGTGGAGCCATAATTGAAGTGAAGCTGAGAAATACGTCATCAACAAGCATTCACAATCAAGTGCAAATTCGAATCCAAATACGAATGGATGAAGAAGCAGGAGAGACAGCAACTAAGGAACGCTCGCTCCCATCTCCCCCACAACGTGAGGAACCTTCGTCTTCCGATCAGCAACCAGAAAGTAGTGCATCCACCATTGTCACTTCACACTCCTCAGAAAAAAGTTACTTTTTTTTGATTGACAAAGTATCCACGCTGAGTTTACCTCCCACAATTCAAGATATCTCCAAAAAAGCAACCTCTGGAGGTCAACCAAATCGTTCAGCTCTCCTCTCATCTTCATCCTCTCGAAATAACGCTCCAAATCACCGAAGTGGCAAGAATGATCGATCTCTTCTCTTCAACGATCAATTATCAATGATTGAGTCAGTAGTCGTGACTTCTTCGACTCATCTTGAAGAAGAGTCTCAAATGGTATCCTCGAAGAGTAGAATTAGGCAACAGGACGATTTGTATTCCATCTATCAACAACAGAAGGAGAAGAATGAGGTGTTCTTTGAAACTTTGGAAGCATTACCACCTTATTCAGAATCTTCATGGGTCTTCCAATTGAAACTCTATGATTTACACAAGATCTTGATGAAGAGAAACAAACAACGATCTCAGAATCAACAACAAGCACCACAATCATCCTCCTATGGGCAGTCTTCTTACTTCAGTCTTCCGCCCTTGGATGAATTATTGGGTTTCTGTCAAGGCTCGATCATTATTTCCATCTATTACAAGGATTGTCTTTTAGAGAGACGAGTGAGTAACTTCAAATGTATTCCTAAAACGGTGCAACAAGTGATGGCGAAAGGGTCCTTCCTGTTGAATACCAATAGCTCAACAACCCTATTGGGACGTTCTCATTCTTCTCGATATCCTCATCACCAAGAATTTGCTTCTTCATCCTCTTCTTCCAAAGCTCTTCATGAACGCTATGCCATTCTCCTCACAAGTAGTGAGAATCTTCAAAACAAGTCCTACGTCTTTTACAAACGTCTTGTCAGAGAGTTGGGCTTGGAATTGATTGTGTGGGACTTGGATTCAAAATGGCCAGGTGGAGAGGTTTCGCGAACGGATTCCGTTCAGCACTCCCTCTCGGACTCTCATCATCAAATATTGACTCTCTTCAAAGATAACTTAATTCTCATAACTCTCTTCAAAGCTCCTCAACACGATTCCAAGAATGCTCAATTCAATGCTCTCATAGGACAACTCTTGCAAAAGCAACAAGAATTTGAGAGGGACTTGCTCGAGGAGTCGAGAGGCTTATTTTTTGAAGGAGGAATTCTTTTTGTTTCGAGTTGCACAACCTTGGACAAAGTCAATACTTTGTCATCATTGCAACAACCGTTCACGAGCTCTACACCGAGTGAATACTTGAGAAATCAAATACTGAACAAGTGTCGTCCACCCTTGCAAATGATCGAGCCCAAGAGTCTTTCGATCTTTTATCCCTTTGAGAAACCGAGCAAGCAACTGTTTCAAGAAAAGGTGGACAAGTATTTGAGAAAGAAACAGGAAGAGAATCCTTCGAATGTCATTCAAATTCATAGAAAGGAATATTTTGATATTTCCAAATCGAGAATGCCTCGAAAGATTTTGTTAGGATCATGTCAATATTCCATTTTACCAGTCAAAGTTTACAATCGTATTTTCAGGTATGTTTTTTCAAGTGGTTGTTCTTCACAAATGTTTTACTAAAATGTCGTTTTTCATTAAGAGTTTCACTTCTTACAAATCCCTCTTCCACAACATCGAATAAGGAAGATATTGACTTTACTCCTGACATTTTGGAAACGTATCATAAATTCTCAGTGAATAGTAAAACCTTTGCATTGATCTTTGGAATGATCATGTCCATGAACATTCAATCTAAAGTGAATTTGTTGCATTCCACACGAAGAATGAACAGCAACACGAACGCCAAAGGTTCAACAGATTTCAAGGAATGGATTTTTTGTGATCAAGGTGTCATTGATGCTTTGACCCTTAAAGATGTTGCCTTATTTTCATTGTGTCACGACTTGACACAAGAGTTGGCTCTTCGTGATTGCGGTTTTGAAAGGTTTGAAAGACTCATTCAAGCCATCTTGAAATGCTTTTACACAACTTTAAGCTCAACTCAAATGGATCGAAGAGGAGGCAACAGCAATGCAAGAAGCAAGCCCTCCAAGTCAAATGTCACAACCGATTCGAGTCACCATCAAGGAAACTCCAACAACTCGAATAAGGAATTGGCTGCAGTTCAAGAGGAATTCCTACAACACGTAAAACTCATTTTGGACGTTCTAAAAGGAGAGGTCCATTCTAGACTCAAAAAAACAGACAAAGTCATGACTCAACGAAAACGAGAGTTTTTGAAATATCATACTCAATTGAGAAAACATCTCATTGAAAAGTGTCGTTCCATGGTTGATTCAGGTCGAAGTAAGGGCTCTTCGAAACGTTTGTATCGAATGTTGGGTGGTGATGCTCTCTACTTGAAAAGAAAACAATTTGGAACGATTTGTAAATATTTGAATGGATTCTTGAGCAATCCATGGAACGGAACTGGAAGTGCTCACAACTTGAAAGGTTCTTCTTCGTCCGCTTCCTCCACTGACCATCTCAATCCATGGGTATTCATTGCTACTGGTGGTGGGAGTAATTCGAGAGAAATTCCCTTGTTGTACAAGTGGAGTTTGGAAAAGGTATTTTCAGGTGGAAACAACAACAACAACACCTCCAGCAGTCAAGGTCCTCTCACAACTTCCACTTCTTCAAGCAACAACGCAAAGCAAGAACAACCCAATGAAGAGTGAAAATCGTTATTAAATATATATAAACCGTTGTGACCGTGATTTTAGAATTTTGTGTTGGTTTCATTGGTCAATAATCGATAGGTGATCGACGATGGCATCATGTCGAAATAAAACACACGAGAGAGTGTGTGTGTGAGGGTTGACTCAAACAACAAGATTGAGGGAATCAAAAAAAAATTCCATTCTTCTTGTTCAGGCCCACACCACCACTCAAGTCCACGAAGGTTGGAGATTGCAAAAGAACTCAGAGGATGAATCATTCTCAAAATTCTCAAACTTGTAAACCAGGTCGTCTTTCATCAACGCTAACAAGCGCAACAACAACCATCAATAATCCGGTCGGAAAGAAACAACGGCCAGCTAGTGCATCATGTATCGGGAAGAGAGATTCCTCGAATTCATCAGGCTTGATAGGCCATTCTCATCATGGCGCGACTCAAAAGGCTCGTCCTCAAAGTTCTCATAGTAGAAGCAGGAAACTCACGCCCATGAAAGAGGGACCAGTGACTTGTACCCAATACGAGACTGGCAGTGAGGTAAGGGAAGAAATTAAGGAAAAATCAAGGCTCAATATTCGGAATCAAAGACTCTCTGAAAGGTACTTTCTTACCTCGATGCAATTGTTGGGAAAGATTAATGGAGGATCCGAGGTTCATAATAAGGAGAGAAGGTTGGCGTTGGAGCGTTTGAAATTCATGGAAGATCTTCATCTCAAATCCATTGAGAACAATGATCTTAATCTCTGCAAAAGTGAAACAACAAAATCAAAATATTCAAAGGTTCCATCACGTGTGTTTCAGTCTCCAAGCAGGATGGAACGAAATATTTCAAGGCGAGAACAACAAGACCAGCCGAATGTTAAGGACAGTCCGAATGAGGTAACTAATGAGCCAAAGAAAAACCATCCATCAACATTGATCTCATCAAAGAAAAACCAAATGGAAACCTCGCTTGAAAATACAGCCACTGTTTCAAAAAACGGAACACTCGACAGTGATAAGAATGAATCAAAAAGAAGAGTTCTTCGTGGTAAAAGCAATTCTCGAATTGAAACTACAGTCAGTCGTGAAAAGGAAAATTCAACAATCAAAGAAGAGAACCCTTCCCAAAGCAATTCTGAAATTTCAGATTTAGCATCGTCAGTAGTCCCATCACATTCACCAAAAGAAGAATTCAAAAAAGTAATTCATTACTCTAGTCATATTGGTACCACAAGGATTGAAGGAAAACATAATAACCAGCTCAACGGTCCGTATGACGTCAAGATTCATCCAACCCAAAATTTAATTATCATTTCAGATTCGAAGAACTCTCGAATTCAATTTTTCGACCTGCAGTCACATGATTTTCAATTCTGTATCACAACTCCAGCTACTCCTCACTGTGTGGCATTAGGATTATTTGACAATTCTGTTGTGGTGTCATGCCAAAATGATTGCATTTACAAGTATAGTTTGGAAACAAGAAAGCAAGTATGGAGGGCAGGAGGTCATGGCACTGCTCCTTCTCAATTTCATTTTCCTCTAGGTGTGGTCGTGGATGAACACGACAGCAACAAGGTATATGTATGTGACAGCCGAAACCATAGAGTGCAATGTTTATCTTCAAACGGGCAATACCTTACCGAATTTTCATTGTCGCCCACTTTTTCACCCTTCTCTGTTGATATTTCCAAAGAAGGACACCTGATTGTGATGGACAATAGAAACTCCTGTTTGTATGTTCTTCAAAAAGACGGAACTTTACTGAGATCAATCGAGCATTCCTTCTTGCAACCCTTATGTGTCTCTGTTGACCGTAAGAGTGGACGGGTGTTTGTATGTGATTCGAATAACTTGAGAATTGTTGTGCTAGATTCTGAATGCATCCAAATTATTGAAACAATCGGGTCATATAGTTCCTACATGCTTCATCCTGCAAAACCCTTAGGTATATCCGTGTATGGCCAAATTCTTGTTGTGGCTGATTATGAAAACCACCGAGTGTTACAGGCGTTCTTAGAATAAATTGTAATGTTTGGAAAGTGTTGTTTTTCAAGTACATTCAATTTTTCAATGGACATGAAACATGTTTATTTGCAATCGAAAAATTCACGCCCTTCACTTAGTTCAGAATTTATCGTATTCGAGTCATTCTTTGGGTAAAACTTATCCAACAATTCTTTGAGAGTGGATTTTTGGCATGGCTTGAATAGAACAGCATCGAAAATAGTTGTTGGCAATTCAGCCAGCACGTCTGCAGTCAGAGCAAAGATTTTTACCGTTCGACTTCTTGATTTCAACACCTTTGCTGCTTCAAATCCATTAAGCTTGGGCATATTCTGCAATTCATTCAACAGATTATTCAGTTACAAAATATTCGTTTAAAATGTCGAATTCATATTTTGACGATGAGATGGCACGCATTGTGAATTCCTACTTACAATGTCAGTAATCACAATATGGTGACGATCCTTGTTGAAATTCTCGATGAGTTGTTGTCCGTCATTCACACAATCAACTGAAAAGCCCATGCTTTCAATTAATTTTGAAATTATTTTTCGATTGATTGAATTGTCGTCTGCAATGATAATATGCGCATTTTGAGTGTGAGGACGCACATGTTGTTCTGATTGAGTTATGTGCTTTAAATATTCCTCTTGAATGGACAACTGCCTTTGAATAGAAGTGTCCACTTGGTTTTCTTCCGTCTGTTCGGATGTGGCAATTTCAAGTGGAAGTGTGATGGTAAATGAAGATCCTAAGTAAAAGAGACGTAAAAATTACAATAATCATAATTTTGATTAGAATGGAGGATTTCATGCGAAACAAACAACTTACCTTTACCAACTTCAGATTCTAGTGAAATGGTTCCTCCCATGGATCGCACATGATAAAGAACAATACTCAGACCTAGTCCAGAACCTGGGTAGATACTCTCATTAAGGTTATGCAATTGTGAAAATGGTTCAAAGATGGTGCGTTGCTTTTCTTTGGGAATTCCACAACCATGATCACTCTTTCAAACATGTTGTAATATCAGAATGATCATGTGTTAAGATAAGGAAATTGACTTACCACTTGAAATGTGACTTCTTGTTGTGTCCGTCCATTGTTGTTTTTTGGTTTTCCAGTCAAGCAACAAGTGAGTTCAACTGTGTCATTGGGCTTAGATGCCTTATTATTTTCAAGAAAATTACCATCAATATTCAACATATTTGAATTGCGGAACAACATAGCAACAAAATACTAACTTTAACAGCATTTGTAAGTAAATTTGTAATAATTTGATGAATCCGTTGTTGATTTCCTCTAACCACAGTGGATTTTGTTTTCTCATCAATTTGGGCTTTAAAATTCACACGAAAATGCGTCGAGTAGCTTTTGATTATATTTTCCAAAATTTTTACACTTTTTCCAAGTGAAAATGTTTTTGTAGATTGATTTGAATGAACATGTGAAGAGTCCTTCTTTTCCGACTTCTGTTCATATTCAAGCTTGACAAGTGTTAAAATATCCTCAATGAGAGTTAATAGAATACCGTCAGCAGCGGCTATATGAACAATGATGAATGTCAATCAATGGTTCTACATTTGTAATTACTAACCAATTGTATCAATCAACTCTTGTTGAATGGGTGTCAGTGGTGTTTCTCTTAATAGTTCTACACTTCCCAGGCTTTTTGGCATGTTGTGAAAAATGACTAAGGCTTCGTTTGTTTTTGGCACCTACCTGCTTAAACATGGAGATCTGTTGATCATGTTTTGGTACATCACGCACATGAACAATAGTATTGCCACTCACTTACCTAAATTCGTGAGAAATATGTCGTAGAAAGGTTTGTTTGGCAGAAAGAGCTTTTTCCAATTGGTCTCCAGCTTTCTCCAGAGATTGCACCTTGCTTTTCAAATTGGTCGATATTGTGACAATATAAAAACTATATAATAACACACAAAGCATTATGGACACACTGTGAGAAAGTACCAGAAGCGAGTGTTGAGTTAATCCTTCGTGTGACGTGCATTGCACAAATTCATAAAGACCACTCATAAAATAATGAGCGGAAATGTAGTAGGGAGGAAAGAAGACCCAAAGGGCCTGTTTGCCTTTCAAAGCGTTTGCAGATGTGATCACCATGAAATAAATTGGAACTAAAAGGATACGATTCGAGGGTTCTATAATAAAATATCGAACAGAAAAAAGTGCCATATTAAACATCATTCGATTCCTTTCAATCATGTTTGAGGTGTGCTCGTCCACGGTCGCATTGTCAACAGCTTTCCACAACGAAGCTACAATATACTTGGAATTACTAAGCACACCTGCCACGCACGTCAGGAACATGATGACCCAAATGGCCATTCCCTGAGAAAGATATGTATGCAAAAGGAGAAAGAAATATTGAACTACCAAGACGATAGTCACAAGCTTGGGGCTGAACATTAATTTCATGAGGAAAATCTCCATCCAACGACTAGAGCAACTATTACAACTCGACCCATGATCATCATCATCATCAATGAGGAGTCTTTTCGTATCAATACCTTCGGATAATTTTAAAAGGACTAAGCCTTGACCTTTTTGTTGTTGTTCCGACAACGTGGTCGTTGTGGTGCTGATGTTGTTGTGTCGTGCCATATCAGGAAGGCCAATCGTTTCAGTGATGATGTGTTGTTTGTTGAAGCCCAGTATGTTGGTATTGTTGGGATTCGGCAGATCTTTTGGTGAATCATCATCATCGCTCGGAGAGTAATGGTTGTGCACTACTGAATAGGGTAGGCGGTTGTTGTCGTTGTTTTTGTTGCTATTGAATGGACGAATATCATCATCATCATCATCGAGAGTCTTCTTCTTCATGATGTTGAGCCTTCTTCTCGGAGAGTTTTCTACTCTCGTCCTTTCCTCTTGATTCCACTCTCGCGAGGCAGTACTTTCAAGATTCAGAGTACCACTCTTCATGAGCGATTCATGCTGTTGTTGTTCTTGTTGTTGTGTTGGTGGTTGCTTCATCCAAAAGAGATGCAGATTTCAGCAATTTTCTGTACAGAACTTCTTGTAAGGATGATGATACTTTTGGAGTTGGTGAATCTAAATTTTTTGAGAGGTGGTTTTTTATGGGAGAGTCCAAGGACCGAAAAGCAGGTTTCAGAGTTCTCTTTTGGAAATTGGCGATGGACATTTGTGGCTACATGCACGACAAAGAACAGAGTTCTCGTGTGGCTCCGCGACGTGGAGAGAGCAAGATTTGTCTTGTTATTGTTGTTGAACAGTTTTAATAGTTTTACATGCACGATTCCGAGTGCAAAAGTGATTAAGGGAATCGATCCTAACAGAATCGTTTTTTTCTACTTCTGTTTATTGTTGCTGCTAATTCTGGAGAGAACAAAATCTGAATAGTGTGTCGGAAGGTCAAATTCATCAAATTTAGAAGCGTCAAAATCAAATTCGTGACGCAGTCGATGGAACAAGTCGGCAGGAACATCAGTGAATAACATGGAATGGACATGCTTTGCATTCGAGATTTGGGTCCTTGAATAATGTGATTGTACGTCTTTGGTTGGAATTGGCTGCATGACATAAAGGTGTGATTCGAATGTATACGATCCTTGAAGGTCTGGCCTCTTGGTTTTTGAGTTAAATCCAAAGTACCTTAAATATATTAAATTTTTCAAATATTCAGCGGCTTTTGACGCCGATTTGGAGTCCACATTTCCTCCAGCTTTAGGACAGTTTGGAAGGCAAATCGTTAATACTTCGACTGAATCGGGAAGATGAGAAACAGTTGCATAAGAGCCTTCACAAATTGGGTAAGCATATACGATATGTTTTGCATTGGGTGGAGGTGTTGGAATATTCTTGTAAGAAATGTAGCAATATTTTTTCACGTTGGTAAATACATCAAAACTTAAGCTCGATGCCGTGCTGTGACTGCCATAACAGACCAATGTGTCGATTTTGTTAACAATTCTTTGTGAGAATGTAATCTTTTTGTTCTTTTCCAAGTCTTCCCTAATAAATAATTGAGTTAAATTGGGATTCGTTTTCAACAAAGAATCTGTCGCAGTATCGCAGGTTTGTGTGACAACAATTTCAACACCAATCAATGCTTTAAATGGTGGAGGGGTTGCATTCTTGTTGACCTTAGTTATTTTACACAAACCAAGGATGCAAGAACAATATTGTTGAATGGCATCTTTCAAGTTGGTCGAGAGTTCAGTTAATCTCTTAATGACGCTCCATTCAACGACTTCATGATGAAATAGAAAATTGAAAATCAAACCCAAGCAATCGGCACCCAATTTGTGAAACTTGGCATTCTGCAAACCTTCTTTTGTTTTCTCAAATCGATTGATGGTCGAGTAGGCAACTCTGGTTTTTGGATGTATTTTCAATACTTTCAATACAGCTTGTCGTTCTGCCTCTAATTCCAATATTTGTTGATCAAGATGATTAAAACGTTCTTCATATTCTCCGATATTTTCAATTTTGCAAATACGTTCCACTTCCTCTTCCAATATGGAATTGAGAGCCTTTGATGTAGAGGCTTCATTGCTGGCGCTTTCTACAACGATTGCAGCATCATCATTATCGGAAGCTTCTGGTGATGCTTTGGTCTTTTTTCGCGAACTTTTAGCTTTGACCTGTTGGTGGTTCTTTGCATCGTCTTCTTCACTTTCTGCTGCTTTCTTTGGACGACGACCTCGTTTCATATTTTTTTGTTTTTTTGATTATGATCCTTTCGACTCTCTTCTTGAAATGTACACTAGTCAGGCAACCGTGAGTGTTTTTGATTGAATTTCAGGAGAACCTTCTTGTGTGAAGATGAAAAGTTTGCAGCCTCTGCGCTCGAGTTTGTACCATAGACTTACTTCTGCATTGTATTGGTTCCTTAGATCTCTGCTCCAACATATGACAACATTGCACTTTATTGAATGAATAGAAAAAAACTAGTAGTGAGAAATTAATTGCTGGTAAACTCGAAAGAAAGGTCTGTGAAATGGTTCGAGAATAGCAATGGAAGAAGTCTATGTTGGAATTGCCTTTCAATAGTTCCAGTTTCTGAAAAATTCATGGTAAAGATTGAGATTTTGTTACTGGATTGAGTCGCATAGGCTCCCAAAAAGTAAAAGCTCGAAGCTTGTGGAACCCATGAAATATTGGTATAGGTAGAGCTGACACGTTCCACAATGAGAATTTTAGTAATGTACACATCCAAAAGATTGCTTGAGGATAATGAAGACAAGGATGAATTTTTGTGTTGTCCGTGTGGAATGAATGAGAATATGTAAAGATGTGGATCGTGTGCAGTGTCATTGTCATATTCAGTGTTCTTGCAGCCTCCATAAACAGCCATCTGATAGCAATTTTCAAGTCCACTTGCAAATTTGTAATTTGCATCAAAATAATGCTTTTCGTAGCCATAAATACGAGTGGAATGACACACGTGAGCACATGGTAAATTGGAAGTCGTGATGGATGGATTCAAAATATTCTCAGATTGAATAATTTGAAATTCGTTTCTCTTAAAGTGATAAATTAAAATCTCAGAGAGCATGGGGGCGTCAGCACCTTTTCTGACCTTTCCCGCAAAACTCACCATAATATCATATTTTGGCAAATATTCAGCAGTGTGATAGGAACGATTGGTCACAATCGAGTGATTAGTTGCAGTAATTTTTCTTGCGGTTGGAATGGGCATGTTAAGATCCTTGATGTCAAGCCCTTGCTCATCTCTTCGTCTCAATTCCAAACAATATTGTTCAAAACGAGAAATATCAATCTCATACAAATCGTTCACGAACAAGGAACCTGTTGTGTTTCCTCCAAATATATAAAGTTTGTCACCTCTCTTTACCATGGTATGACCTTCGAGAGGAATCATCTCATCAATTTCTTGTGATTCAATGATACATAATCGTTCCAAATCAATGGCAACAAAGAGTTTGGACACTTTTCGGGGAATGGAATGAATGGCTCCTCCAAACATGTAAGCCAATCCTGTTTTTTCATCAACTGTTAGAGCTTGAAATAGAACATAGGTTTCCCGAATATTCAGGGTTGCATCATTGTAGGACACCACATTGCACGGAATTCTTTCGCTCATCACGTGTTGTGTGATCAATACATCGTTGTCATCATTGTCGTCATCATCACTCTTGGTCGAATTTTCTGGTTTTCTTGAGGAATAGAGTCTTTCCATGTGAGATTTCCATCGAAACTTTACAATCTCCTTGTAATCTTCAGAATACATATCCAACATTCTACTAGTAGGGCCCGAATACTGCTCGGGATCAATGACTGCTAAATTCAAAGCGTCCAATAAAGTATGAACCGTGATATCTTGTAATGAAATTCTCACTTCAAACAAACGATTTTGATACAAGACGGTCAATGAATGCGATTCTTCAGAATACGGCACGCTATGATACCAATACGTATAGGGTTCCAAGGTTGTTGATTGAGTCGTAGTGCTTGCGTTGTTGTTATTGGAAGTGGAGCTTTGGGGTGCCGGTGTCTGTTCATCATCATCATCATCGCTTTCAAATAAACCATGACCATCATCAAAATAATCATCATCTTCTTCAAATTGTTTGCATGCTTCTTCTCCGTTTTTCAAAATTGTTCCGGAATGTTGTAGTAATTCAATCCGCTTGCACTTGTGATGAGAAATTTCAAGCAATTCATTTCCCTTCTTATTACTGGGCATCATTTTTTTTTTCAAAAGTTCATTTTGAAATTTCACAAGTGTTGGCGAAGAAATGTAAATCAAAAGCTTTTGCGAGAGGGTAATGCGATGTGGTATATATGGGTATATAATTCATAAGTTTATTAATGTTTGTGGTACAAAGGTGTGTGGTTATAAAATTATCGACAATAATGATTACATAATAACATGTTATTATGTCGATAATTTTATAACCACACACCTTTGAAGAAATTTCTACTCACTTTTGAACTAACAATCTGAAGTGAGGTCTTGAAGTTCCTTATTCACCCTTACGTGCATTAAATACCACCTTAGAGAGCTTTGGAGACCACATTTAATCTTGTGAATATTTTGAGTGTTGATTTCAAATTTTACATCAATTTGATTGTAATTCTAAATAACTAATGGCCCGAATTGCCATAAAGTAAATGGTTATACTTTTCTCTACAATTGGATCCTTATTTAAATCTAGTGAGATGAGTTGTGTTTGAACGGAGAAAAAAGTACAACAATTCACTTGATGGCAATTCGGGCCAATGTATTTTGTTTTTATTGTGATTAAGTATAACTAGTGCTTCTTCTTCTTCTTCTTAAATGTTTCATAAGTGGTCACCTCAATTTGATTGGATTACTTTAAATGTTGAACTTCAATCGTTGAATCTTGTTGATTTTTTTGCTATTCCCATTTGAATCATCAAAGTCATCCGAATCATCAGAGTATCCATGTTGGAAGTGGACTTGGTGATAATATCTTCAGAATGGTGTGAAGGGCATGAATGTTTTTGATTGTAAACAATTAAGAGACGACATTTGAGATGATAAACTTATTCGAAATTAAGAAAAAAAATGATCCCAATGACCAATAATAACCCTCCTGAATTGCTGAAACAACAAATTCAACAACAGCTCTCCCGATTATTGAAACAATTACAGGATGTGGAAAATGATAAAGAAATGTTGGATTCTGAAGAAGAATATTTGGAAATTAAAAAGGAAACGCTGCAGCAAATGAAAGAATTTCAAAATACATTGGATCAAATTGGAAAGAATGATGAGCTGCTTCGGGATGATATTAAATCATTTAGAATGGCGGTTAGAGCAGCTTGTGTAGAGACTTTTAAAACTTTGGAAATCATTCAAATGTTCGCACAACAAAATACTAATCAAATCAAGGAAAAACTATCGTCATTGGAAACGTCGTTCCGCTTACACAAAATATCAGAACAGGAATACATTTCTCAGAAAACAGAAATATTGGGCGTGTTGCAAAAATTGAATTCACCTCTCACCAATGAACAAGAACAATTTCTCAAGAAACACATGAACTCTAAATTGAAAGAATTTATTGGAAGTGATGAATTCGAAAAAAATATCTTGTCCAACATTAAAAATTAGAATTCTCTTAAGAGTCAAATATGATCACCATTTCGGACGAGTTTGGATTTATCAATTTTTGCAAGGTCAGTTATCATCAACAAAAACCCTTTTTCAATATATATCGAAAGAAAGAATAATTGTTTATTTACATTTCTAGATGGTAAGCACATTAAAGCAAAGTTGAAGCACCTCCGCAAGTGTTTCTCAAAATAATCGATTCAGTGGCAACTCCAGGACCGAATGCAACAGCCAAAGCCCATTCATTGTTAAGGTATTGTTGAGTTCTTCTGTAGTATTCCATGACGAACAAGATGGTTACAGAGCTCATATTACCATACTTGCTCATAATTTCCCATGAGGCATGCAATTCATCCTTGCTCATTTCGAGAGCCTTCTCAACAGCGTACAAGATGGCTTTACCACCAGGATGGGCCAATACATTACAATTTTGCTTCAATGCAATTTCATCCTTGTGTTGTGATTTTCTAATCAGTGTATTGACATAGTCCTTCAAAGAGTTGTTAATAATTTGTGGAACTTCAGGTGACAAGCTCAAATGGAAACCATCATTGAAAACTCTCCATGTCATGCATTCTTCAGTGTTTGGAGTGGTGTAGGAATGAGTTTCAAACAATTCATAAATTGGTTTCTCTCCCTTTGGTGTATTAGGTTGAGCACCAACAACCATGGCAGCAACACCGTCACCGAAAATAGCAGAGACAATCTTTTCATCGGTATTGTTTGAAATTCTAAAGTGAACGGAGGACAACTCAATACAAATAATCAACACTCTATTCTTGGATGGATTGAGAGCATTGAGGGCACGAGCAGTCTTCAATGTAATTAATCCAGCAGCACAGCCAGACATGTTAATTGGGAAGTATTCAACAGAACGAGAAAGTCCCAATCGATCCATAAACTTCAAATGAATATTTGGAACAGCAATACCTGTGGAAGTACAAGTAATGAGATGAGTAATTTCCTTGGCATCTCCTTTCCATTCTTCGAGAGCCTTACTGGCAGCTTGATAAGCAAGTTCAGGAGCAATTCGATGGAACAATTCATTTCTACTTTCAATGGTCTTCAAATCATTGGTGGAATATTTGGTAAAATCAAAAGCGACACATCGTTCCTTAATTTCACATCCATTAAAGAGATTGTGAATTCTTTCTCTAATCTTTTCATCAGCAGTATTGTAATCTTTCATGATACCTTGGAAGAGTTCTTCTTGTGACTTGCGTGGTGGATTGGCTGTTCCCATACCAAGAATGAATGAGTTGGAAGCATTCTTCATGTTGGCCGTTCGTGCATGAGTCATAAAGTCCTTCACAGGTCCAACAGTTGTAGTTGCTACTTTTGTGGTCAAATCATCAGTAGTGGAGATCTTTTCAACTGATTCCACACTACCACGAGAAGGTGGAGAGAGCGTCTTTTGTGCAGGGCTGCTTGCGATGGCTGGTGTAGCAGGTTTGTTGGAGGAGGGAGAAGTGGTGGTGGCGATGGTCTGAGAGACTGGAGGCTTCTCTTGGGTAGTAGTAGGAACAGAAGTGGCAGTAGTAGTAGTAGCTGAGCTATTTGGCTTTTTGGCGACAGCTTCACTCTTCTTTGTGGTGTCCTTCTTGGAGTTATTCAATGATGTCTGATCAGACATCTTTTCACTAATCTTGGCAGCAAGTGATTTCACAGTAGTATCCTTCTTCAAAATATCAATGGTAGTGATAGAACCACGAGGATAGGTCTTATCGAGCCAATTCTTGAGTTGAGTAGCCATCAAGGAATCCATACCGTATTGTCTGAGTGGTTCAGTAATTTCAATTGATTCCAAAGGAACACCCAAAATCTTTGCCAATTGAGTGGCAATCATTTGATCGACGGATAATTGACTTGTGGCAGCGTCAAGAGCAGCATCCTTATTCGCACTCTCAACAAACAATTCACCAAACATTTGCTTCAAATGCTTAAAGTTATCTGAGTGATCCTTCCAGTCAATGCAACTGATAATCTTTTGTGCACTGCTGTTGTTCTTGTTTTGCTCTTGTTCAATCAATGCCTTTTCCAAACACTTGACCAATAGAGGAATAGGCATCGAGATGAAACCTCTCGATCTCAAAATAACCTTTGTCGAGTATTTACGAGAAACAAAACCATCATCAATGGCTCCAAAGTTCACACTCAAGGCAGGTAAATTCAAAATTGATTTTCTGTAGTGGGCAAGAGCATCCAACACACAGTTAGCAGCAGCATAGTTGGATTGTTCCATGTTACCGTTAATGGCCACGAAACTAGAGAACATGACAAAGTAATTCAAGGTAGAGGATTCAGAAAGAGTTGCTTCATGAATATTCCAAGCAGAAACTGCCTTAGCATTGATGACCGAGTTGAATTTGTCTTCGGTCATGTTGTTAATGGATGCATCTTCATAAACAGTTGCAAGATGGAAAACAGACTCCAAAGGTGGAAAGTTCAATTCAGAACGAATACGAGTCACAACTTGTTGAACTTGTTGCTTGTTCGAAACGTCACATGCTAACACATAAAGACGAATTGAACTGTCTTGTTTCAATAATTCCTCAATACGATCCTTAGAGACACCATCTGTCAATTTTCCGCTTCTTGACAAAATGACCAAATTCTTCACTTGCTTTTGTTCCAAGAGCCACAAGACAAGAGATAAACCAACACCACGGGAACCACCGACAACGAGATGGGTCTTATCAGCAGAGAAGGTCAACCCCTTCATTTCTTCTTTCAATTTCTGATATCTTTGAATAGCAGTGGAGAGATCTTCATTGGTCATGTTCAAAACAATTTTACCAATGTGTTTGGCGTGAGCCATAAAGTTGAAAGCGTCATGCAACTTCTCCTTATCATAGACAACGAGTGGAAGTGGGAAGAGGCGTTTTTGTTCCATGAGGTCCATGACTTCCTTAAACATTTGTTGAACGAGTTCTGGTTTCTCATCCATCATTCTATCCAAATCAACAGAGGAATAACTCAAGTTTCTATGCATTTGTTGCAAATTGACACAAGTTCCATCATAAATATCTCTAATACCAATTTCAACAAATCTACCATATGGGCCCAATGACTCAAAGTTTGCTGACAACATGTCAGTTCCTGCCAATGAGTTCAAAATAACATCACATCCCTTTCCATTAGTGAATTTCATAACATCGTCACGGAATTGAGTGGAGCGAGAATCGGTGGTATAAGTCACCTTATAGGTTGCATCTGTCTCCAAAAATGTTCTCTTTTCACCTCGTCCAACAGTACCAATCGTGACTGCTCCGACATGGTTTGCAATTTGAACAGCAGACAACCCAACAGCACCAGCTGCTGAATGAATCAAGCAAGTTTCACCCTTCTTCAAACGAGCCACGTGAATCAAGCTGTACCATGAAGTTAAGAATGCTGAAGGAATGGTTGAAGCTTGTTCGTAGGTCATCCAAGATGGTTTCTTGGCAATAAGTTGAACTTTAACATTCACATAGGAAGAGAAACACTTTCTAGCAATGCAGACAACATCATCTCCAATTGAGAATGCACCGCCCAATGCAACTTGTGAACCAAGCTCGACAACAACTCCAGAACATTCCAAACCAAATGGAGGATTCCATTTACCACCTCTTCTAAAGGCCTTATCTGGAATTCTTCCCAGAGCAAACATCAAATCCTTAAAGCTCAATGCAGAGGCCTTCACTTGAATACGGACTTCATCAGGTTCGAGTGGTACAAACTCTTCAACTTCTTGGAATGTTAATTCACTTACTGAACCAATGGAATTGGATTTCAGAGTAACTGGTGCGTTAGGTTTTGGAAGTTGAGTTGGCTTGACAACCTTCAAATATTTGAGAGTACCATCCGATGTCATGGCTAATTCGTTGTATTCTAATGAGCTAGCACTTCTGAATAATTTACCACACAAAGCGACCACAGAAGTGTCGTTCAATTTCAATGTTTCATCGAAATCTAACATGAAGCTTAAAATGTTTGGATGTTCACTTCTGAAAGTTCGTCCTACACCGATGAATTGAGCTGTTGTTGGGCGTGTGTATGAGAGTTGAGCGCCCTTAGTGACGATCCACAATTTGGTGTTGCATTCACCAATATCCAATTCAATATTGACAAGTTCCTTAATAATTTTCATCAACAACCAGGTATTAGGTTCTTGAGCGACTTGGTTGCTTTCTGTCGCGTTTGACACAAAAACGATGCCTTCAATGTGTTCCTTTTCTTTCAACATGTTAAGAGCTTGTTCTCCATTCACAACTGTAACATTTAGGTCCTCCAATGAAGCAACCACTGCCTTTGTCACATCATCTTCATCGCTCAATTCAGAGACAACCAGCCATCTTGGAATTTCTTCTTCAGCAGGACTGGCTTCATCAGGAGCAGTAAAGATCTTTTCAAGAGCTTCCTTGCTCACAGTATTCCATTCAACATTGTACAAACAATCGTTAGAGGTGATTGTGAAAAGAGTTGGGCAGGAAGGTTGAGTAATGGCTCTACATTTCACGCACAAGAAGGAAGCAATTGGAACATCTGGAGATCCAGCCTTATGTCCATAAATAAAGACATCTCCTTCGAGTTCGTATTGGGATTGGTTGGTCAACTTGCAATACACTGAAATGCTGTCCATATCTGGTACTTTTTGATTCAAACAAACATCAGTATTGAGAACACAAGTTTCAATTGAAGCTGGAATATAAACAATACTGTCTTCTTCGGCAATGGCAATCAAAGATTGCAAGCAAGAGTCCAAAATACCAACTTCCAATACTGATTTTTCTCGCTTGAGATCCAAAATGGATTTCTTCACATGACTATCGGTAGAATTAACAGAAGAGAGATTCTTCTTAAGAGACAACTCGGTAACTCCTTCTCCTTTACCAACGTAAATCTTGTCCAATTGTTGGAATACAGGACCATACTCTAAGCCCATCTTTCTCAACTTGGAATAGAGCTCAGTCTTGGACATTGACACTTCCATGCAACGAGTCTTGGCTTCATTCAAGTCAGGATGAGACTTGAGGTTTGTTGGAGGTAAAATTCTCAAGAAACACTTGTAGTGATTGCTCCATTCCTCCAAACCTCTCTTGCTTCTAATTTCAATCATTTGACTGTTTTGAGTAGATTGATTCAAAGGAGTGACATCTGTCTCAACAATGAAACCACCATTTGTGGTTTGAGAAAGTGAAAGGGCATCTTTGAAATCACAGTGTTGCAAGATGAATTGTTTGGCAAGCTCTTTCTGCTCAGAATCTTTTTCGTTGGCTCGAATTTGAGCAACTGCTGCATGCAAAGACATTAAAACGTAAGAGACACCTGGATAAATAATGTCTCCTTGTATTACGTGGTCCTTCAAATTAGGGAAGTGATCTAATGAAATTCTGTTTTGGAATGTGACACTACCGGTTCGCAACGATTTATGACCAACCAAATTTGTTGGATATCCTCTTCTCCACTCTGCTGCTTGTTCTTCAGTTTGATTCCAAATGAGTTGTGATCTATCCCAAGGATAGTGTGGAACTTTGACCTTGCCAAACAACTCGTTCCATTTCACATTTTGAGTGAATGTTGCATTGTGAACAAAACCATTCAAGAACAAATCTTTCACACATCCAAGCATGGTATCTTGTTCATCAACGCCTCTCTTCAAAGTCAAGAAGCATTTAATGTCTTCAAGTCCAAGATCTTGAGCACATTCCTTAATAGAAGCAGCCAATACTGGGTGAGGACTAATCTCCACAAAGCCCTTGTATCCTTGCTTGAGAAGTTCAGTGATTGGTTCGCTGAACAGTACTGCTTGTCTAACGTTGCCCCACAAATAATTGACATCCATGTTCTCGACCGTTGTGTCATACATTTTACCAGTCACAGTGGAATAGAGTGGGAAAAGAGTTGGCTTACCAAGAGACTTTGGAGTAAAGTCCTTCAACGCATTGAACATTTCTTCCTTAATAGGTTCTTGATATTGAGAATGGAATGCACAATATCCTCTCAACTTTCTACAGAACACTCCTTTTCCTTTAGAGATGTCTTTTTCTAACTTGTTGATAAGCTCAGGTGAACCAGCAAGGGTGCAAGAAGATGGGCCGTTGATGGCAGCCACAACGACAGCACTTCGATCGGTTGGATTTTCCAAATATTCATCCAAAAACTTTTCACATTCAGCAGGGGAAACACCAACAGCTAACATGTTACCACTTCCACATGTCTTTTCTTGCAAGGTACTTCTCCAGTACAGAATGGTGATAGCCTCTTCCAAAGTGTAGACACCTGCAGCGTAAGCACTTCCAACTTCACCAGCAGAGTGTCCGATCACTACTGATGGTTGAATGTCCCATAATTTCAACAAGGCAAAGAGACCTGCTTGGAGGAAGAAGATGGATGGTTGAGCATATTTTGGGTGGTCCATATCTTCATCTGAGAGACTTTGTTCCTTGATCCATTTTCCAACCAAAGACCAACCAGCGAGTTTAGAGAACAAGGCGTCACATTCATCGAGAACCTTTCTAAATTCTTCATACTTGTTGTAGAGCATGATACCCATAGATTTTGTTTGAGGACCTTGTCCAGGGAAAACAAATATCAAACCCTTGTCACTTCTGTTGGTGTTTGTGACAAGACCTTTTTGCTTTAAAGCATCAGGTGTTTCAGTTGCAAGAGTCTTCAATTGTCTCAAACAATCATCTACACTTGAGGTGATGAGACAAGTTCTGAGTTTGTGATGAGCTCTGAATTGGTTCTGAACAGTGCACACATTGACCAAGGATTGTTCATCGTAGAGTGATTCCTTACTTGTCAATTCTTGTGCAAATCGTTGCAGTGAAGGGATAGTTTGAGCCGAAAGCATCAAGAGTTTCTTTTCTGGTGTGGCAGTAACAGTCGTTTGTTCCTTTTGAGTCTTCTTTTCATATTCTTGCAAAATGACGTGAGCATTCACACCACCGATACCCATAGAGTTCACGCCGAAAAGTAATGGTTTAGATCCATTCTTCTTGACTAATGGAACAGGTTCTGTCACAACTCTCATATTGTACTTTTCTAATGGAATCTTTGGATTCAACTTTTTCACGTTAATGGTTGGGCAGAGTAGTCGGTTTTCCATCATGAGAACGGCCTTAATAAGACCTGCAACACCTGAGGCGCATTCCAAGTGTCCAATGTTGCCCTTAACACTTCCTACATAGAGTGGTTTGGTTCTTTCTGCTCCTGAAAAGACTTCTCCAATGGCAACAGTTTCAACTACATCTCCTTTTGCAGTACCTGTACCGTGGCATTCAACATAGTCGACCTCATAAGGAGACAAGAATTGAGCAGTTTCGCTTGGCAATCGTTCATATGCTTTCTTCATGTTTAAGGATTGTGTAATGGAGGATGGAGTGATCAAACTGTCTTCAGCAGCACCGTCCACGTTCACACTGGATCCACGAATGACTCCATAAATGTAATCTCCACTCTCAATAGCTTTCTTAAGAGGCTTTAACACAACCAATCCGGCGCCTTCACCTCTGACAAATCCGTTTGCACTCTCATCAAAAGGTTTACATTTTCCATCCTTGGAAAGAACTCCAACCTTACTAAATTCGACATATGGAGCTGGTGACAAAATTAAACTGACACCACCTGCGATTGCCATCTCACATTCATTGTTCTTCAAACTTTGACAAGCTTGATGGACAGCAACCAAGGATGAAGAGCATGCAGTGTCAATACTCATGGAAGGACCTCTAAAATCATAGAGGAAAGAAATACGGTTAGATGCTATACTCAACGTGTTGCCGTTGTGAGTATATGAGGTAATTCTCTCAAAATTGTTGTTATCCAATTGGACAGAATAGAAATCCAATTGGCCAATACCTATGAATACTCCTGTCTTATCGAAGAGTTTAGAATTTGTGGTATCTTTCTTTGGTCTAATTCCAGCATCTTCCAAACATTCCCAAGTCAATTCCAAAAGCAAACGTTGTTGTGGATCCATGACTTCGACTTCTTTTTGGCTTACACCCAGTACATTGCAATCGAAACCTGTAATTCAAAAGTATATACATATTAATATGCATCATTCAGCATTATTCAAATCACATGAATACATTATTAAATCAAGATCCATCTAACTAAAACATACCTTTGATTTGATCTTCTGGAATATAACCTCCACGGGAGGATGACATTAAGCCAGGAACATTGGAGGCGTCACTAGACTCATAATTCTTGGCCGACCATCTCCACTCAGGTGTATCTCTCATGTGTTCAGACGCTTCAGTTAAGAGTCTCCAAAATTCGTGCTTGTCTTTGGCACCAGGAAGACGACACGAGAGACCAACGATAGCATAACTATCTGCTGTAATTGAGTCGATGTGCTGGTTGCTCATTTGTGGTGAATAGCAAAGGGGATAATGATGGTAGTAGTAGTAGTGATACCTTGTGTGGAGTGATGGTATTCGTATTAAAACTGATCGATCGATCGGTCAATAAAGGTGGTAATTGAGGAATGATATATTTACACAGAGAATATGTAAAAGTCACGAATAAACTGCTGTAATGGTCGTGAGTGTCGTTGTTGCAGGTTATATAGAAGGGACAAGTGTGTGTGCGTGTACGTGGTCAAGTAACAGCAAACACAAGGTGGTGTGACTTATTGTGAGAGAGGTACTCGGTGGTGCCTTTTTTTCGAATGTTCAAACAAAAGGCAATGTTGAAGCTTAATTCGTTAAAAACCTTCAAGTGTTCGAAGTCTATGTGGAAGGTTCGCCAAGCCGATTCGTGACGCAGCAACAACTGCTGAAGATTATTGATCGTGGTGCAACATCATCAGCACAACAAAATGAAAATGAACGTAGTCAGAATCCCACAAAATTCAACACTCCACACCAAATATCTACGAGAGTTTGAATTGAGGAGTCAACATATCCGTTGAATTCTTACTCGAAAACTATGGAATTTTCAGTGGCATCCTTTGCTTCTTCAACATGATCTCCATTCACCCTCGCAATGAAATAGTGAAATATCCAAATTTGTGTTGGACTTGAAAGTACGTTTATGGAGACCTTGACATGTGTAATTGCACGAGAGTTGGAGAAAAACTCTCCTCGATCTCGTTTGATTCCAAATGGTGAACACAACCACACTTGAGTCGTCCTTGTAGCCTCAATTTTGTGAAGCCTCAACATTAAGATTTCGAACAATGTTGGAATTGGAAAGGTTCAGAATACAACCAATTCCTTCTCTTAACTAACCAACGGATTGTTGTTTGGGTGATTACTCATGTACTTCCAAATATGTTTCCAAATAGTTCCATTATCATCATTAACACCTCTCACACACAACAATTTTAAATTGTGTGTGAGACAACATTGGTGTTGTTGTTGTGCACCATGTAAGAGGATTCATGATGAGAGAGGCCAAACAAGAAGATTCATGAAGCTTCTTCTTGTCATGAATGGACAGATTCCTTCTGAGAAATTTGTGCGAGAAATTGTGAAATGTCAATTCGGAAAGTAGACATTTTGGAGAGAGAGGATGATCAACAAGTTCTGGAAAGCAATGAGCAAACAGACTTACCCACTACTACCCCACCAACAACATGAAATTTCAAATCTCAGTACAGTGAAACAACCCGAGATCTTATTTGAATAATCATCCATAAGGACTGTATACAAATTTACAGTTTGAAAGTAGAGGTGGATCATCTCTTTCTCCTCTAGTTGGTGAAGTCTCTCATCACGATGATGATGATCCAAATTTGAGAAATCATTCAGATCTTGAATATATTGATCAAATTGGTTCCGATAGTGTATCATCCACTTTCCTGGTCCATTCCTTCTTCTTAACACTTCAACTCGTGTTTACCTGGCTGGCCTATGGCACATAATGGTGTGTTGGTTGCTCGTCATTCGGTTGGGGTAGAAGAGGCTTTAAATTTTTCAATTTTCCAAATTTTCCTGTAGCGAAACACTACTCTTCAATGCAATGGAAAGGAAGGCTAAGAAGGCATAATAAGGGAAGAACCATTCGTTGTTGTTGTTTCCGAACACAAGTCAGGAGGCTGGCTTTTTCATGATGAGGAGGACATTCAACAAAATATATGATTTCCCAATCCGAAAAAATGTCTTCACAATCCAAAGCACCCAAAACATTCAAATCGTTGCAGAAAGTTGGAACTTCATTGACGAAAACCTCTTCTTCTTCCTCGGAACAGGCTTCTACTACTTCTAAAAAAACCAAAACTTCATCATCGAGCAGTAGTAGTAATACCACAACAACGAATAAATCAACAATTACAAAACAACAACAGGGATTGAAGAGAAAACTTTCCGATACAACTCTGCTAGAAGAAGAAACTGAAAATCAAGAAACATCTCCATCCTCCATTCAACAATCTAATAATAATGATTCAACCGGAGAACAACAACAACAGCCAAACAAGGCTGATTCATCAGTCATTGATACCTCAGTTACATTCGCTTCACTCGGGCTCTCTCAAGTCTTGTGTGATACTTTGAAAGATATTGGTTACAAACATCCAACTAAAATTCAAAGAGAAGTAATTCCAGTGGCTATTAAGGAGGCTTATCATGACGAAGAAACAGGCTTTACCAAATATAATGATATTATTGGAATTTCGGAAACTGGTTCTGGAAAAACCGCTTCCTATGTGCTTCCAATTTTAGAGCGATTGCTACAATTGAAAGGAGATCCTTCTCCTTGCTCTGCTCTCATCTTGGCACCCACCCGAGAATTGGCAACACAAATTCAATATCATGTAAATGCACTAGGAAGTAAGATTGGTATTACATCAACCACTCTCATTGGAGGAACTACAATTGCAAATGACTCTCTTCGATTCAAGAAGAATAGATATCATGTTGTGGTTGGAACTCCTGGCAGAGTTTGTGATTTGTTGCAATATGGAAAGAGTAACTTTAATTTGAATCATACTCGATTTTTAGTTTTGGATGAGGCTGACAAAATGTTGGGAAGCGAATTTGACAAGTGGCTGACCGCAATTTCTGAAAAATTGAAGAGAAAACAATGTACAGTTTATTTATTCAGCGCTACCATGACCACAAAAATTGACAAACTGCTCAAGTTGCATCAAATGACAAATCCTGTAAAGATTCAAGTGACTAGCTCGAAATATCACACGGTCGATACTCTCACTCAACAATATTTACTTGTGCCTGAGAAGTATAAGGAACAATATCTCGTGTACTTGCTCAATGAAAATCCAGGCAAGAGAATTTTAGTGTTTGCAGGACAAAATGCAACATGCATCATGTTGAGCATCATGTTACGATCATTGAAATTCCCAGCCGTACCACTTTCGGGCCATATGGATGAAACACATCGACAACATTGCCTCAGAAAGTTTATTAGTGGAGATCGTCCAATTCTAGTCGCAACTGATATCGCTGCTCGTGGTTTGGATATTCCTCTCGTTGAAATTGTTATTAACTTTGATATTCCAGCACACTCTAAAGAATATGTTCATCGTGTAGGAAGAACTGCCAGGATTGGAAATCAAGGTCTTGCCATAACATTTGTTACACAATACGATTTGCAATATTTCCAAAAGATTGAAGCCTTAATTGAAAAGAAGATGGATGCCTGTCCTGTCAATAAGGAAAATGCAATGCTTCTAACGAACACAGTGTCAAAAGCTGTTAAATTAGCTAAAAAGAAAATGTCAGACATGGAGAAGGGCGATTTACCCGTACAGAGCGATGAATTCACTGAAGAAGAGGAAGTTTTGAATAATGCCATTCGATCCTTAGCCTCCAAACGAGAGAATGCCGGAAAAAAGAAAGGTGGTGGTAGCTCAGGAGGACCAGGTAACCTCAAAAAGAAACGAAAAGAGCAAAAGTAATGTGATACCATAATTAAAGAAGATCATTTTTGATGATGACTTGCATTTAGCCTTCCATGAATAATAAACAGCAGCGCATAATAGGACATGATCGAGGAAGAAACAATTATTGCTATTATCCGTTTGTCCAACTCTTTTGAAAGAAACCTTATCATAATCTTCCATCAACAACAACAACAAAAAATGCAAACACAAGATGGAGGAGGAGGCTTGAATCGTCGTCGTTCCACATCATCATCGACCGAGAAGGATGATGATGAACAGACTCGATCCGATGAATTTCCTCTCTCGGAAAAGAAGAGAACCTCCACACAAACAGAGCCAAATACATCATTGACCACTCTTGCAAGTGAATGGTATCCAACATTCCGAAAATTGTATTTTCTTGCACTCTTGATTTTGACAATCTTTTGTGGCTATAAACGATTACTAAGCAAGGAATCGGATGCTTTTAAAACAATAGCCATCAAGTTAGATGTTTTTGTAAAGAATATTCTACTCTTGGTGCTTGCTACGAGTGCCTCCTGGTTCACCACTTCTCAACTCTTGAATTACATATTTCCGAAATTCAATTCAATCTTGCGAGAAAAATCAACTCTTGGAACACTTTTTATTTATTTATTAATTTATTTGAATATAGCCATGTATTTACAAACATTTTCAAACATGAATGGAAGGATGGGCAACTGGATATGGAGATGTTTGGTTTCGTATGCAAGTGGATTTTGGCAAATGACATGCATGTTTTTCTCCCTCTTTATGGGACTGTTCTATTTTCCATTGTATTTAACAACGAAGAGAGTGGAGAGAATCGCTCACATTATCAAAACAATCCTTCTTGCCATTGTTCTTGTGTTGTGTCTATTTGGTTTATTCCACACTTTGAGCGAGAGAGAAGTCATGAGATACACACTCGATGTGTCATCATCCATGAAGAGCAGCAAGAATGTTGTGAAAATTATTCCAATTAGTGATGTACATTTGGGAATATATATGGGCGTTCAAGATTTGCAAAAACTTTCAATGGAAATCATTTCTCTCGTGAAGAAAGATCCTGACAATACTCTTGTTTTATTCATGGGTGACTTTTTCACATTTGAATCTGAATTTAATGTCGCTTATGAGGATGCAATTTATGAAGGACTGAAACCACTTTCACAATCGTATCACGATAAGGTTTATGTAGCTCTGGGTAATCATGATTATGATCTCATCGATCATGTGTTGCATCAACTTGAAAAATTGAAATTCAAGGTGTTGAGAGACGAATCTTTGTATTTGAAGGACAAGAGCATTCAATTAATTGGATTTAATTTTGCATTCAAAAATGCAGAGCAAGCAACTAGAGCCGTCGTGAAGAAGAGTTTACAACAAGATTCCAATGATCATCATCTCGTCAAACTACGACTTTTATTATTACATCATCCAAGTCATTTTCAATATGCTGCATCAGAGTTAAGTGAACATCATCACCACCACCATTCGTCAACCGTTCCATCCATTACTTTTAGTGGACATTTTCATGGAGGTCAATTCTCTGGAAGAAAATTCTTCAAGAATTTAAAAACTGGATTTGTGAATGCAGTTTTGGGAGCTCCAGATTATGCATGGTATATTTTTGATGAGAATCAACACAAGGTGACACAAACTCATTTTGAAGAAAATACGAAATTGGTCTCTCAAAATGTGTTTACTCCACGATTATATGTTGTAAGGTGAGTGTATTTGTATTTGGATACGATTCATATGAATATAATATTTATGGAATTACAAATGATTGCAACAATGATCATGATTTTATTTGGATTTTGAAATACATTGCATTTCACTTGTCAATAACATCAACAACAATATTAATTATTACAATTTTTAATAACAACAATAACAACAACAATAACAGTGGAACTGGATTCTATGGCCCTCCCCTAAGAATTGGAACCATCAATGAACTTCCCTACATTCAAGTGATTTATTAAGAGATATATTCCCTCAATCCCAATTTGGAAATATTCAACAAAAAAAATAATTTAAAAAAATCTTTCATCATCATGAGTCGGCAAATGCATGTCATTCTTCTTCTTTCCATCATCATCCTCTCTCATCGCAATAACAGCAGCAACACTTAATCATGTCGAGTCCACAACAAGAATCACGACATCAACAACAACAACAACCATCGATGCTCTTCTCGTCACCACTTTCACACGTGCCAACAATGACACTCTCCCATTACTCTCTTCATGTAATGCTTCGGTCTTGGCTCGAATGCCTGGTGGATTCAATTCACAGTCCTCATTAAGATGGATTCCACCATTCAATCCATATCTGGAAATGCTCAAGCTTATGACTCGAAAAATCTCTTGTATTATGATTCAGTGACAACTTTGAAGGGAGTTTATTATTATTGTTTTGACATGTTGCAGAAAAAGCTTGTCCACATGTCTCCAGTACCATTCTCGTTGGATAATGCAGAATTTGATGCAAGTGAGAATCGACTGATTGGATTAGTGGATGATGTTTTTGCTTATTTGGATTTGGAGAGTGGAAAATTTGTGAGAATTCCATCATTGAATTTTTCACGTATTGGCTTTCGTCAATTGGGAGCTTCTGCCATTTCGAGTGATTCAAGATATTACTTTGTGTTTTATGAGAATCATCAAGCAGAGTCATTCTTTGTGAGGGTGGATTTAAAGACTCTGTCGTATCGAGTGAATCAAGTGTATGATTTGATTGGAACGATGATTTATATTCCTTAGAATAATATATGAATTCATTGAAATAAAATGATGTTGATTTCTGAATGAACATTTCAGGTGAATGTGTCACGGATATGGCGTGTGTTTTCTTCCGATAATTCATCCACAACATTCAAAGTAGGAAGGGCCCTTATGGAGCTTTTGAAATTTCCAAGATGTTAAATGATAACCATTATTTACAAAATAATCCACGAATACTAATCCCAAAGTGTGTCATAACTATTGTCCAAAATTTTTCTCATATTCAGAGGCCAATTGTTGTTAAGGCTTTTCATCATGAATCGCCTTTGGCTACATGGCTGGTTGTCGCAGTTAGTTTCCTATTACTGGTTTGAGCCAGGTTTTTTCTCGCTAATTTCTTTCATCCAGTCATCAAAATTTTGAAGTGTTTTTCGATTTTCGTACCATTGCAACAAATTGTTCGAAACATTCTTAAGACTATCCAAATGCTTGATACAAGCATAAATGACGGCAACAATCGCCATTATGTACAATCCTATCACAACTTTTCCAGCATGATTTGTATTGGTATCGCAATAAGTGATTACTTCCATATCGTCTTCGACATTTGTTCTGCATGCATATCTCACAAAGTAGTCTTTGGGTACAAACCATCGCAACCATAAATTGGATCGATATACCTTGTCCAATGGACTTTCTTTGTTGTGAATACTCTTCTTATCATACTTGACAGAGACCAAGCATTGAGAACAATTCAAAATTGGAAGATATTTGTATTTTCCGGTTAAAGTACCACAAGCAACTGTGGATTGAAGTTGAGGAAGTTTTGTGTAGTTAATTATTCCCTTTGCTATCAATGGAAAGAGAAAAAACTTCATCGGATAGGCAAAATTAATCTTGTTCTTCACCAACAAGTCCATTAAATTGGTTCCTTTGGGGACATTTCGTAAGACTATTTCATCAAGATTTTCCAGTAATCAACATGTTCAAAATCAATCCTCACATGATCAATGAATCATTCATGAAATACATTCATTAAATCATAGTCCGCATAATATTTACGTTATTGCCCACGGTCATGATGAGAATTTCCGATCATTACGATGAAAATAAGAACATACTTTTCTGTCCCACTCGGACCGTACAATATTTCTTCTCTCGTGTTGATTTGTTGGGTGAAGAAGATGATGAGGAAGAAGATGAAGACGATGAAGGCGTTGTTGAATTATTTTGAGTCGTCGACATTTTTTTTAATAATTTTGTAAGTAATTTGCGGTCAAATTTTTACAGTCTTTTACGAAAGCATGATTTCATTTGGCATGTGAATCGCTAGAGTTGAAAATATTGTGTCATCTTAGTGGTGTCTCTTTTGTAAAGAATTAACAATTCGAAACACCATGAAATATTAGAACATCATTTACTTGCGAATGGTGACCACTTGTTCAATGTCCGTACTGAGAACAATGTGAAGAGAATTCTCAGGATTTTGCTGATATTGTTGTTTGAGATATCGCAAAGCAATCCACATTTCACGACCATTTTTCTTGGCTGCTGTTTCGATTGGACCCAATGATGATGATTCAGAGCTTGTGGAGTTGTTTGTGGCAGTAGGCTGATTGGCGCCTGAAGTGGTGGTAGTGGCTCCCTGATTCAAGGTGGTTGGAGTGGTAGTGGCGGTACCTTGTGGTTTTTTAGTGTTGTTGTTGTTGTTGTTGGAGGTACCTTGTTTTGTGCCTTTGGTTGCTTGTGGTTGAGGTGGTTTTTCTGGTTGTTGCAAAAACACGGGTTGAAGAATGGCGCTCTCTGAGGCGAGAATATTCTTGTCAATCATGACATTTAAATTTGTCTGAATTAAATTTAACCATTTCACATGTTGATGTTTGTGAAGACATCTGAATAGAGACATGATTGCATTGTTTCCAAGTGTGTTGTAGCTGAGATCTAAATGCGTGAGAGAAGTATTATGTTCCAATGCCTTAGTAATGGGTTGTAGACCTTCCTCATCGAATCGGTTGTGTGAAATATTCAGAACGCACAATGCATCACTTTCTGAAATAAACTGAGATAAGAGTTTGCAATGTTCATTATTGAGTCCAATCCAAGAAAGATTCAACTCTACGAGAGAGTTATTTGATTTTAGTCCAAGCAGCATGCTTGAAATTCCTTGTTTTCGAAGAGAAGTCCATGACAAATCCAAACGTCGCAGACGAGTCGTTGCCAATAAATGTCCTAAAGTTTGTCCTGAATGATCAGTAAAATCGTTTGATGAAATGTCAAGGTATGTTAGAGTGATATTATCGTTTAACCCTTCGACAATGTACTTCAAGTGTTGGTCTGTGAGGTGATTATCGTGCACAATAAAGGATTCTAAAACAGAATTCTTCTTGAGGAGGTTGAGCATAGCCTGGCTACATTCATCCGGTGTTTCTGAGCCACCAGCTCCAGCGGTTGCACTGGTGATTGTACTCGATAACGAAAAAGAAGAAGCACCACCATTCTCTGTATGTGTACCATCGTTTGAGGACGAGATATTAATGACAGACATGGCTAAATTTCCTGAATTGATCAATGCAAGTTTGTTATCTGAAATGTCCAAATGTTTTAGAGTGGTATTCTTTCGCAGTGAGGTCACAAGATCGGTAAAACCAAGCGACGAAATATTATTATCAGCCAAAGTTAATGTTTGAATGACATTATTAAGTCTCAACATGGAGCTAATCGCCTGAACACCCTTATCTCCAAGAGTAAGGTGAGAAAGGTCAAGAGTTTTGTGATTAAACTTCTCAATAATGGACAAAACTGGAAAATTAAAGAAGGAAAAGTTATCACATCTCTCAAGAAAAGCGTCAACTCCACTATGCACTGGAGGGGCATCGACTGCATTGCTACTTTTTCTGTTCTTTCGACGACGAGAGGTGGCATGAGCAGAGCCAATTTTTCTCTTGTATTCATATTCCTCATCGGCCTTCTCTTCACTCATTGTTTCTGCAATCTCAGATTGGCTATATCGACTCGATGGAATGGGCGAGTTTTCATCCAACACAATGTCCATTCTGCCCAATATGGATTCATAGTTGGCCTCTTGTTCGGAAATGGACTCTGCAAAGAGTCTCGTATTGGCCAACTCGTGAGATAAGGAGTTCAATTCCTCAATTTCCTGATCCAATTCTCGTGCAATCATATCCTCAATATTTCCATCCCCTCCTTCCAAGAGCAAATTTTGTTTTTTCATTCGATTTTGTCGATTCAACTCTTCTTGGGCAATTTGATCGAGTAAGGAGATGGAACGAGTGGCTTGTTGAAAATCCAATCTCCTCTCCAACTCTTCTGAAAAACTAACCTCAGTAGCTTTACGTGCAGAAATTAAACCTGCAATACTATCCATGACTTCTCTTCGGATTTCATGATCGTTGTCATCATTGAAAGCCGGTGATCGGGTTGGATCAAAAACTTGATCAGAAACTGTATTGCTACGGGAGGACTTTAATGATGATGAGGAGGAGGGTGTTTTTAGGAGGTGATGATGATTCTCTGTTGGATCGTTCTTTGGTGGATCATCTACAACGATCGGAGAAAGCAGAGAAAGATCTCTAATCGTTCCTGTTTCATCTTCCTCAATTCGGTTCTCAAGTAAAAGATCTTGTCGGGTACTTGGAGGAGGTAAATCAATATCATCCTCACGGAAACTCGTCTTGTTTAATCCCGACAAATCATTTTCTATGGCTCCAGAAGATGTATTCATCATCATTATCCTACTGTCTCACGTGATTGTGGAATAGTATTAAATCTTTATGTATACTCGAGTAAATATTTGGAGAAATTCTTAGTGTTGTTTGGTTGAAGAGCAACAATCACAACAATCCTAAACAAAGAAAACAACTTTTTGAGATTTAATTTTTTGAGTGATTCACTCGACATGATGGCACAACGCGCCAAATTTGACTGTAAATTGATCATGATGATCCAAATCTCTTTCACAACAACCAATGACACGTCTATCCAATACCTGTCAATATCTTTTAAAACAGAGGATCATGAATGAATGAATGATCATTGGAGGATCAATTAATTGCATATTGAAACAAATTTTTGTTTCTAAAAAAAATTTGTGTAACGGTTTTTTGTAGCGGCACCCAAAAAGCCTTTGCGTTGAAAGTACTTCAATGTCCAAAGCCATCATGAAGATGAGTCAAACATCAAAATCTCTCAAAAACAAGATCTTGATTCCATCCACGATTCATACTAGTTCTCCTTCTGCTGTCTGTTATTCGACGACAACGACTAGTAGTAGTAATGGCAGCAGAGGTTTCAAATTCTCAAAACGTTATCCTCTCACTCCGAGTGAGAAGATCATCAAATATGTCATTGGTGAGAAGGGAAAGAACATCAATGAAATTCAACAAAGGTCTCAATGTCGAGTGAGTATTGAAGAAAATAGTCGAGGTGTTGTGATTGGAGGAGAGAATGAACAAAGTGTCCAATTCGCTTGGAATTTAATTGAAGAGACTTTGCGTGATTTTGGATGGAGATTTGATCGCCAACGACAAACGTTTTATGAAATTCAATCAGAAGGTGAGTTGCAGCGTCAAGATGGGTTGTTGAACTCTTGAATTTTAATGCCACACACATCATTGTGGACACCTGTCAATTTTGCACAAAATATCAACATACTCATGAATTTAACAAAATCAATGGTAGCGCAAAAACTCTTTGCTGAGCTTGAGAAAAACATTGAAAAAGAGGCGTCTCTCATGGCAGAATGCTTTTCCAAGTCACAAAAAGCCTTCAAACAAGACAAAAAAGAGGAAGCAAAAGCTTTAAGTGAAGAAGGCAAAAAACATCAAGAATTAATGCAAAAGTACCAAAACCAATCTTCGGAGGAAATGCTGAAATTCATGTAAGTTCAAATAGTATTTGGGGGTTCTTGCGTTACAATGTCATGCTTAATTGAATGATGATTACAACACGCCTCTCATTATCACAACTTGGATGCACATTTAAATACATACTAAAAGTAATAAGAATAATCCCGTAGATGTTTTGGATCTGCATTGCCAATATTCTCAATTTGTTCTGGATATTGTGATACATCGAATGAGTGAGCTTAAAAAGAAGGGTTGCAAGCAATTTACAATTGTTCATGGAGCAGGAAGTCACTCCGATAAGCGAGGACCAAAAATCAAACCAATCATTATAAATTATTTGAAGAATAACCGTGTGGATTTTGAAGAGGTCAATAGTGGTCAAATCCGAGTGACTCTTTGTAAATGATCATAATTTTGATGGCGTTTGCATCGCCGAATGAGTCATCACTTGATAGCATTTCATGATTAGGTGAATAAGAAAAATTTAATCTACAGAAACAGCTACAGTGTCAACAACACGCAGTATAGGATTATTGTTCTAAGGCTTTTTCAATATCTAACAAAATGCAAAGTTAGGAAGGAATAATGCATGAACAAATCGATCATTTCACAATTCGTTGAAAAGTTTCACTAACCTACCTTTGACGATCGAAGATGGAGTGGTGGTTGGAGCATATCTAGCAATCACATTACCGTTTTTATCAATCAAGAACTTGGTAAAGTTCCATTTGATGGCAGTTGTTCCCAATAGACCATGTGGTCCCTTTTCTTTCAAATATTGATACACAGGATGAGTGGAGGCACCATTCACATCCACTTTCTCCATCATTTTAAATGTCACATTAAATTTTGATTTTGCAAATTGACACACTTGTTCATTCGAACCTGTTTCTTGATTGAATGAATTACTGGGAAAGGCAATAACTTCAAATTTTCCACTCTTTCCATACGTATCATAGAGTTGTTGCAATTCTTCAAATTGTTTCGTAAATCCACAACTACTTGCCGTGTTTACAATCAGACACACTTTTCCTTTCAAATCACTCAATAGATATTCCGAGCCATGAATATCCTTGGCAGTCAATTCATACAAAGAACCATTCGTACATGATTCATTATTCGCTGATGTTTTGTTTGCTGTTTGATTCATTGTTGTGGTGGTTAAATGGATGTTACATGCCACACAACGATGGTAATTCTTCATATTACATTGAGATTGATCGGAAATGGTGTTCATTAAGGTAACATGATTACCATAATTCCACGATGAGGATAGATTTTTGTTTTTAAATAGAGGTGATGAGGATAGATTTTGATTCTTGATCAAAGATATCCTCATCATCGGAAGGAAGGATCGAATTTTCATTGTTGATGATGATCCAAAATTCATCAGGGAAGTTCAAAACAATTAATTTACAAAATCTTGTTTCAAATCTTTCCAAATCCCAATCAATGTTAGATATTCTAATCTACTCTGCAATCAAATCCTCTCTCTCTCTACAAAGTGTGAAGCATATAATCGAGCAATTCAAAAAGAGTCTCCGATTTTGTTTCAAATCAAAAGAATGCGTGCGAACAAATTTTTTCAAAAAAAAATTCTCTAAAAAAGTTTTGTTTTTTTGAGTTTCAGCATATCCTCTCAATCGGAACATCTCGGGATCTTCTCTTCTTATCGATTCAAACTATTCTTCGGAAGTGTAGTATACTTCTACTACAGATGGATTTTGATAAGGCAGCACAAAAATTAAAGGAAAAAGGAAATACTCATTATCAACGGAAAGAATATTTACAGGCCATTAAAAACTATCAAGAAGGCTTTTCCTATACCAATGATAGTGATCCCTTTTTCAAGACGAACATTGCATTGTGTTTTATTAAATTGATGCAGTATGAACAAGCCATTGAGGAATGTAAAGTGGCAATTAAATTGAACCCTAAATTTGTTAAGGCTTATTATTTGATGGGAGAGGCTTATTTGCATACAATGCATTATGATGATGCAGAGAAGGCTTTTTTGAAGGCTGAGGTTTTGGCAAAGGAGTTACATAATACATCGAGTTCAATGTTATTGAGTATTTATAAGGGAATTGATCAATCACGAGCTAGAAAATATGAAAAACAAGAACAGGAACGTCAACATGTGGTGATTGAAATGAAGAAATTTGTGGGAAAGTTGATGCGAGAGAGTGAGAAAAAACAAATGTCTGACTCGGAGAGAGAGGAATTTAATTTGAAACAATTTCAATTAGAATCGTTTTTTGATCAAAATATTCATCCACCTAAGGTTAGTGATTTGGTTGACTGAAAATTTGGTTGTGGTTGACTAATCGTTCATCAATAATGGTGACAATCATGCATTTTGAATTCAAATTAAATAGGAGTTGGAAGTACCTGACGTGCTATGTTGTAAAATTACATTTACCATCATGAGAGATCCAGTCGTGACGCCCTCAGGAATTTCCTATGAACGATCAGCAATTTTAAAACATTTAAAAGACAATGGATTGTTTGATCCTGTCACACGAACACCTCTTTCACCAGAACAATTGTATCCTAATTTAACTTTAAAAGAAATTATTGACGATTGGATTCGAAAGTATCCATACACAATTACGGAAGATCATTATTATTCCATTGATTAATCATGAGCCTCAATGAATCAATGACTGCGCCAAGATATACTGTACAAAATGTCTATTCTTGTCACAAACTCATTAAAACAGAATAATTTATTGAAAGTTATAATTCTTCGAGAAGTGTCATTTCATGCTATTCGAAATTCTGTTGCAATTTTGGAATTCATGCACCAGAACTCACACTTTGTTTTTCTTGTCTTTATTATTGCCCACTTATTAAAATCAAACCTCTAAACTCTGGAAACACACTTCGAAGACGAACCTCTCCAGTCTCATTATCCACCGCTGACTGCACCTCAATTCGATACCAACTTCCATGAATGGGCACACAATCGAGAATGTGTCTTAGGGCAGGAGATGAGTGAACGACTTGAGCCAATGTCAACAATGCAATGTAACATTCGGGAGAGACACCAACCCACATGGATTTCAAATCTCCTTGTGTGAAATGATAGGGACTATCTTGAGATATCTTATTGAATTGAACTTGGACAAAATCCGGTGTGAGTTGTTGATCCCTTCGAACACTAGCAGAGATGGAATCAAATCCTCGTTCATTGTAGACTGAGTCGTCATAATAATACTAATAGAAGTACCCAGCATCAGTGGTGTGACAGTGTAATTACAAATTAGGATTAGGTTCAACTCTCCGACAATGTCACCTCACACACTTACCTTAAACCAATAATGATATCCAGAAACTTTTTGCTTATTTCTCTCTCCAACCACACAATGTTCAAATCCTGATAAATCTGGATTATTGAAATTCAAAGGATATTGTTGGAACCACATATTCAATAAGAATGATTTCAATGAAGGTGATACACCGCTTTCTGCTGTCATTCTCATGCTCTCATGCTCTCCCTCTTCGTCATTGATTCTTTTAATCAAACCAATTTGTTTCAAATAGGCTCCCAATAATTGAATGCATCGCGTCTGCAAAATTCCATCCAAAAATTCATCAATTTCAATCGCTTCTTGTTCTGTATTGGTTTCTCTCAATCGTTGATCTTCTTTATAATTATCAAATAATGTTGCAATGAGAGAATAGGTTCGAGTTTGAGGCAATCGAGATTTTAAAAATTCACGAGGATTGGTTTTCACATAGCTTTGTAATGAGGAATGGTACTTGTACAAATTGAACAAGTGATGTTGATTTGAATTGATTTGACTCAACACGAGACATATATATGGAGTATAGTATTCACCAGGTTTTGAAGGAAGAGCATTGAGAGGTGTGATGCGATTCACGTCGGCCTGCCAAATTTCATCGAAGAGTTTCTGAGGATCTAACAAACCACCTCCGTGAGTGGCGAGAGTACTCGGTAGAATGTTGGTGAGAGACATGGTTTTTTCAAAGGTGTTGATTGATCATTAAAATGTGTGTGGTATGAAAATGGTTCAATGAAGTTTGGTAACTAGATTTGGTATTGATACTTTTTAGGAAATATGTCAAAGAATAACGACCAATGTACCACTGTGCTTGTTCATCAACAACATGTTAAGGTATTAGAATATTGTATTACAAGTCTCTTTCATAATACTTTCAAGAACAATAATTTAGAGTAATAATAATTGAAAATGTTCATCCATATTACTTGGTCTTTTTCATTTGTGATAGTTTTGAAAATAAATTCTTCTTTTCGGAAATACCCTTAATCAATACTTCACGGTGTAGTTGACCAATGACTCGACCATTCCACAATACAAATACATCGTCCAATCTCAATTGTGAGAACAACAAGTGAGCAATAATAGCAGGTGTATCCTCGGCAATACTGATTTGACAAGTGTCATAATCCAATCGGATGGGTTGTCTCTTCTTTTCTTGAATGACTTCCATTTCAGGTGAAGCAGTCTCTTCGAGTTCAATAGCAGAAGATTGAGCACTGCTGACACTATCTACTTGGCCCTCGGTAGTGTCACCTGTTGTGTTATTCAATGCATCGATACCAGTAATTTGTTCAATTTTTTGGAAAATTTCATTGCCCTCTTCCTCTTCGTGGGCTTGCTCGATGTTTTCAGCTTGACCGACATAATCCTTAAATCCAATAAATTCATCAAAAATGTCATAGAAATAGTTGGATGTGGTCACAGGCTTGGAAATACCTTGCTTGATCTCGTCAAGTGATAACTCTGGTAAATTGTCAAAATCAATAGTTGTGGATGAAGGCGCTTGTTGTTCATCTGTTGTCATGACAATAGTGGGAGTGTTTTGATTATTTGATTTTGCCAGCTCTTTTTGTCTTTGAGCTTCCAATTGTAAGAATAGTTTAGACAACTCTTCCTTCTTTGTGTCGTAAAGAGTTCTCAACTGAATGACACTCACGACTCCAAGTAACACTAAATCCTTTTTCGTGTTGACAACAGGGAAAGTCTTGGGAATAGCATCTTTGGATTCGAATATTTCTTCCAATTCATTGAAGGTCGTTTTTTCTTCCAAAATAATCATTTTTTCTACATTGGTCATGATATCTCTAACTTTCATGTCTTCACTATCAGTTTTAGTTTCCAGGAGAGCTGGCCATCCTCTCAGCTTAATTTGAGCATCGTACGCAGAATAGTAGAGGGCTCTTGAAATTTTCACAGCAATCAAACTAGCTAGACATGCCGGCCAATGAATTCCCATACCTGCAATTTCTAAAAACATGAAGACTGTACTGAAAGCTTGTGTGGCACTTGCTGAAAGCGCTAAGCCGCCTACGAGAGCATATGCTCCTGGACGAATATAGGAATAGGTCTTTTCTGTATCAGCAATAGCCGACCAACCATCAGGAAGTGCAAAGGCAAACAATTCTCCCCAAAATCTTCCAATACCTGCGCCCATAATCAGTAATGTTACGTAGATACATGTTGGAAGTGGTAACGAGACAGAGAGAGGTGAAAGAATCACACGAACGAGAATGAAGAGTGCCAAATTCTTGAACACTTCAGCATAGTACTCGTAAGGCATTGTGTCCATACTGGACTCACTGATTTTGTCAGAGAGTGCGGCAGGAATCCATTCACCTTGGGCACCGTTTTCTTTTAGTAAGGGTTTGTTCATCATCAAATCTTCAATGAGTTTTCCTGGTGAGAGTGACATGAATTTTCCAATCACGGTTGGATAAATCAATATGGATGTAATAATGCAAATGATGACTGACCATAAAAATTGAGTTTGGACAAATGTGAGAGGATATTTGAGGAATTTGAATTTGCTCTTTGGATCCTCAATGTTAAAATGCTTTCTTCTAAAGAAGAGGAAATATCTTCGACCAATTTTGTTTCGGAGCCACAACAATTTCTCATTCAAGAATGTAAATAAAACTCCTAATAATCCCATAATAATTCCTAAAAATCCAAGTGAAAGGAAGTCCATCACTGTAAATGATGGTACGTCCAAATTAACATTATAAACAGGAACTAATAAAATTGAATGCTCTTGCCACGTGTGCAACAAACGTGACACATAGGCAGCAATGAGAGCTACATAAAAATTCTTCAAATAGTTACGCAAACTGTAATACGTTCCGACTGCCTCCAATGCGAACAAGACACCACCAGCAGGTGTACCAAACACGGCTCCAACTCCAAGAGCACATCCACAACCAATTAATTGCACACGAAGAGTCTTATTCTTTCTCATAGCACGAAAAGGTTTGAGCTTTAAAAGATTGTCTGCTAGAGCTGCACCAATGGCAATCATACCACCCACTTTACCAGAGAATAATCCAGACCCTACTACACATGGTACTCCTACCATCTTTACCAACAGATTTTTTAAACTCAGCGGTTCTTTCAAGCTATCCACACCAGTCTATGTGTGTTTTCAAGAGCAGAAGACATGTTTCGAACATTCATTATAAAAAGTGTTATGAGTTGACATTAAAATCAATGCATTCCGTAGAATTAACATACAACAGTAATATAATGAATATTGACAACACATTCAATGTGGTGGACAAACTTACCAAAATTGCTTTCACCGAAGGAATTCCACTTCCTTCAGCAATTGGAGAGACCCATAAAGTCAGTAATACTGAAAAAATCACAAAAGCCAAGTTATATAAAATCCAGACAAACATTTTCAATGATGGAGATGCATCAACCATTCCTTCAATCATTGAGTCTCTTCCAACAAAAATATAGTCCACTAAAGTGTCCAAACAAAATCCAATCATTCCTCCCAAAACTCCTAAAACAGTTAAAAAGGTCCACACAAATTCCATTTCAGAAAAACCACCAAAAAACGACGTTCTCTCCAAAATTCTGTGGTTTTTTCGAATTCTATTTTCCACATCTGAAGACTCTCTCAATAATCGGAGCACATCCATCGTGTGTAAACTCTTTGCATTGGAGGAATAGGAAACTGTGGATAATTCTTCCTTCTTACTCTTCTTTCGTTGAGTGAGTAGTTGAGAAGCAGATTTCAAAATAGGCTTGTGATTGGGTAGCATGGTGCTCGATATTATTGGACGTTCAGCCTGCTCTTCCAACATGACCATGGTTCCTCCTTCATGAAGGGTGGAAAAGGAGGCTTTTTCTCCTTCCTCATCATCATTCTTTTGTGTGAGTGGTTCCGAGAAGGAGACGGAGTTGGTTTTTGATCGAGTGGTACTACTGGCATCCTCAACCATCTCGGATGATGATGGCCGAATATTAGAGGTTGCAATCATATGATTGTTGTTATTCACCATAAAGAATTATAAAGTCCAAATGATGATTCAGTATTCAATAATGATATTATGATGATGGTGATGATGATTCAGGATGTGCCACAAGAGCAAATTCGGATCACCTCCAGCTGAAAGAGAAATTTGTGAATTTTTTTTAAAGTGGGTAATGAAAACGGATAAAGCAACCGCTACAAATTTGGATCGTCATAACAATATTTGATAATCAACAATTTTCATTCTTGTGGATTTAGATGTGAATACTCTTTGGTTTGAAGTCGAGTATCCACATGCGATAAACAGGAGCGTGTGAAATCTTTAATCTCAAATTTTTCACTCAAACTTTTGAAACATCCTTGTTGCAAATCGAAACACAATTATTAAGGGATATCTTGGAGGATTTGTTATTGAGAGAAGTGACGACTTGTGAAGTTTCTAAAAGTTGGTAATTTAATCCAAGTTGAAGGTGAAAGAAGAATTTGAAAAATTAGTGAATCCAAGAAAAATTGCAGTCAAATACAATTAAATGATGTCATCATCATTCATTTCGAAAGGAGACGTTCCCTTTTTAAAGGATTAAAACCCACGACCATGATGATATGATTGATATCAGTAATAATAGATGGTAATGTTAGAACTCTGTATATTGAGGAAAAAACGAAAGAAGTCATGAATTTACTTTTGTAAGGACCAAATTGATTTAAAACAAGAACAGAATTGAAGTGGCAATGTTCTTCTTGAAGCGAAAATACAAGAAATGAATGGTCAGTTTGAGAAGAACCGTGTGAAAGTTTCTGGCACATTTTTGGTAATCGTAAACTCTAGTGATTATGATCATTCATAATTAAGGTCAATGATGAAAGTGTGAAACAAACACTTCAACTCATTCGTATTTCTCTCTTTCGATGAGACTGATTAATCATTGGCCTAAACCATTGTTTCAGGGCAGTGCTGTTGTTGGTCATCGATAGTACTTTTATGATGCCTCATCTTATCCAAATACCGCTGCATGAAAGGGTGCATTTTCATCACATTGTCATCCTTATCTTTTCTCTTGACTATTATCAGTAGAAGGTCTATACTTTAGAAATGTTATTTTCTTTCTTTTATCTGAAAAGTAAAAAGAAGGAGGAAGAGTACAATTTTGAAAAGCTTTCTGTAACACAAGATGACATTCGTTGGAGATGGTTGTTTCACTCTCATCCTCTTCATTGATATAAAACCACAAACTTTTCTTTTTTTCATTAAGGGACATCTATAGATTTTCAATTAAACAAAATTAGTGGCATGTATGAGAATTCAAATTGAATTTTAGAAGCAAATTAAACATTATTAATCCTACCTTAGAATAAGGCCAACGGTTTCCATTGCTCACTTCCTTGTATCTTCTCTTCAATGTAGAAACACTCACTCCAAGCATGCGAGCTGCAATCGACTGCGGCGAATGAAAGTATTTTGACTACCAGTGCGTTGGTGTGCGAAAAATTCATGTCACAAATGAAAATCCAACAGATGAGTTGTGCGCAGAATCAATGATGATCAATAATTATTATTAAACAATGAAGGACTTACCATCTCCTCAAGAGACTGCATGATCGCACACATGATATTATTCGATTGATCAAAGTCGCAAATGATAAGTCGTGGGATTGATCACCATGCAATGAAATAAGAGTAAATACACATTCACAATGACATGTACACATGTAACTCACACTGGCTATAACATACCACTTGTAATCGACAACTAGCCGAGGGCAAGATGGGAGATGTGCGTTGTTGTTTCACAATGCCTTCGAATTTTCTCTTTCCTTCAAATTTTGCACCATGTTGCATGTTTTGTTGCATCTTTTCGGTGCTGATTGTGGTTGTTGTGGTTATTGTTGTTGTTGAAGAATAACGTGATGAATGATGATGAGAAGAAGAATTGGAAACTTCATAAAAGAATTTTCCCTCTGATTCAAATGTCTTCCTTTTAGAGGGCAACATGGCCTTCTGTTGCTGCTCATTGTGTGGTAATGGTTTCACAGCCATGATGTGTCTCTGCGGTGACTCTTTCGGCAACCATACAAACGTTTGGAAACAATTATTTTTGTGTTGTTGTGTTTGATCCATGACAAGGTTGATGCTGCCAATGTTGTGATGTTTGTTTTTGTGTGTGTTTGAACAGTATACTTCCAGGTGTATTTCGAGCAGGTTTGACTGGTTCTGATCCGTTAAAAAAGAAGAGGGATGATAGATCGCCTTGTTTGGGTTCAAATTTGTAAGTGTGAGCTCAGCAAACAGTGTTCAAATTTGGATAGAAATACGTACGGATCAATTATGCAATCAGAGAGACCTAAAATGTGGATTTTCTTAAAAAATAAAGCTGCACTCTTTTGATCAAAAGTCCTGCAACGTTGTGGGTTGAATGTTTGGATCAGAAGAGACGTTGACGTAATTGACGCATTTGCGACCATACATATCAAGCACATGCATCGTTCATCTCAAATTTGTAAAGCAGGAACTTTCTCTGATCCTTTTCTCATATTTGAAAAGTGTCACACTCAATCGATCAATAACCTTTGAGCTTGTTTGCAAATTTTTGAAACGGAAATGATCATTCCAAAAGTTGCCTCAAAAGAATCAAGCGTTAAATTGTTGTGACGTCAGCACAGATATTCAATGCTTGAACGATAGAGGTAGGTCTATTTACAATCTTCCATAATTTGATATAATTGTTTGGATCCACCTTTCAATCGAGGCTCTCTCATCGATAATTCTGATGTTGTTGCTGCATGAGAACTCATCTCATGTTGAGGAATGTAATTCAAAAATGTGAAATCTTTCTTTCTTGGTTTTGGTTTTAATTCGGAAAAATAATGTTCCAGAGGAAGTGTACAATTTTCAAAAGCCTTTTCTAATACTTGTTCACATTTTGAAGAAATAAATTTCTCATCTTCATTCTCATCGTTGATATAAAACCACAGTGAATGACGCTTCTCTAAATTTGTTAACTTTGTAAATAGTTCAAATAATTATTATGCGTGAAAATAGAAAATGTGACCATATTTCTCATTGTGTGTGATCGAACGGTATTTACCTTGTGATAGGGCCACCTATGAAATTGTACCTCATAAGATTCTTTGAATCTTCTCTTGAGAGTTGAAACACTCACTCCCAATAATCGAGCAGCGAGGGCTTGTGAAGCTCCAAAATATCGTTCCTAAAGTCCAATGCAAGGGTCGAATTGCGATAGTTCATTTTTGGTGAACGTCAACGAAAAAGATACATGTTGTGATCTTCCAATCAATAATACGACAGATCAAAAGACATACCATTTCTTTTTTTGTCTACAGTAAACAGGATAAAGTTTTTGATTTGAATGAAAAGAGTGTTGTTTTCGGCAGTAATCATTGTTCACCAATTAACACATTCATGTATCATGCATGACATTCGCACATTTCGTATACATGTGTAGAGGTTGGAATGATAGTACAATAAACACGCAATACATGTACATTTGAGTGTGCTGCAATCATGGTGAATACTTACAACATTGATTTTACTTTGAGAGTGGTTGTGTGTAGTTGAGAATGTGTCTAACATGCATGCACCTGTGGTTGTTGGTGAAAAAGTCCATACATACTCCGATTGAAGAGGAGGAGTTGGTGTTGTTGTGTTCCTCGTTGCATGACCTTCTTGTTGAAGGTGTTCAATCGTCTCAAGTGCATGTTGCATTGCATGTGGCTGTTGGTGTTGTTGAACGTATGGACCTTCAATCGTTATAGACGCATGCTGTGCATGTTTGTTGACATAAGGCTGCTGTGGAGGCGTGTTGTTGAATGTGAGTGCATGCTCTTCTTCATTCATCTTGTGAACATTGTTTTCTTCTTCACACACATGAGTGGACATTGTTGTTGATCAAAGTAGCAGTATGGTAGAATTGAGTAGTACTACTGTGTGTCTGCTGGATCTCATCCATGGAAAACACGGAAAAATTTTTTTGTTGTGGACGTGAGAGCCGAAATTGTATCGCGTGAGGTGAATACACTATGAACAAATACGTCGTACGCATGCGTGTTGTTGTTTGGAATGGTACAATCGACCCACCACGGGCGAATACAAAAAGACATTCCAAACGCAAAAAGTAATAATCAACTAGCAACTTGAAGACCTTCAAAAGGAAAGCAGTTACAGACGAGGGACGAGATAAATAGGTTCAATGATGATTTTAGGAATCGTGTTGTTACCCACTCATCATTTTCGTGTTTCTCGGAAGTGAAGAATCACTGAAGATCTCAACACACCCAGCACACGCGAGAGAGGTCGTGATCACACACGCGTATCGAGGTGTGGTTGCTTTTGCAAGCATGACCCAAACAAGGTTAAACTCTTTCACAAGTGTTGTGTTTACAACTGCTTATGGGGAGAAGACTTCCTGACTCATCCGAATCAACAATCTCATCGTCCTTCATATGTTGGAGAAAAAAGAGGACCACCTGGTGAGGAGAGAACTACGAGTATTTCTAGTTGTTAACGTTGATGATGATGATGAAGGAGGAGTGCGCTTCACGAGCGGAGTAGACGCGAGAGAATGTTCCGAAATCTTCGCGAAGAAAACATTTTTTGAATTTTTTTTGCCACCAAACAGTTGAATTGAGGTTTAAAGAACTGACCTTCAATTTACGAATAGTCGTTCCAATGAATCAGCTCTGTTCACTCCATCATCAAGCAAATGGGACAACATGCATGTCAATCGTTTCATGATAGGTTTTGAAAATGTCATGAAACGATTGAACCAAAAAATTCGGGACTGCCAAATGAGCCAATTGTTTAAGGCAAGAGAAAGCAAGAGAAAGTTCAACATCTCTCTTGTGGGAGTTCTAGCATTGACAACTCCTCTTTACACATTTCATGTAATTGGAGGATGGATTTGCAAAAACGCATCATCTGTAATAATAGAACAATCGTGTCACTTATTGGAAAGAAAAGAAATCAAACACTCGTTTCCTGTTGTTCACTTTTTCATCGAGTTGTTTCGGAATTGATCAAACAATTCCTTCCCTTCAATTATTATATCCACTGCACGCTCTTCAGTACAATAATCTATCACAAATTGATCATTGCCATCGTGGGATATCAAATGGGTCTTTCATGGTTGCAACTTGTCATTCACGATTGGTCAAAATTTACACCAAATGAATGGAGAGGATATTTCAAAAAAACAAAAAAAAGTTTGAATTTAGAACTGTTGGTAAAATCAAACACAACAACCCATTGGCATCGACCACAAAATCACAAAGAAGATGACGAAGAAGAAGAATATGGTTTTCTTTATCATCAAAATAGAATATTGTATAAGTGTGGACACGATAACTGGAAAAGTCAAACCTCTGAAAATTCCTCATAACTATGTCACCGAGATGGTTGTGGATTGGGTAGCAGCGAATCTGGCATACTCGAGTAATGCCTTCTGCCTCGTTCTTGACAATAATACACTCACCCAACAAGACTCACGAAAAAAATCAGAGCCTGTTAAATCAAACAAGACAAATGAAATTTCTGCAAACTTTCAGTGATCTCATTCATCTGGAAACAAAACAGCACATTCATGAAGAAGTGCTGAGATTATCGCATGTCTTTCAATTTGAATTGGAACCAACATTTGTGAATTTTCTTGAGAATGAATTTAAGGTCTAATAGAAGGATTTAAAAAATTCTCACAAAAGCATTCGAGAGAGTAAAAAAAACATCCTCACGTGGTTTCAATCAGGCCTAGCTACTGATTATTGAGTCAAAATATCAGGAGACAACCAATTTTTCACTCCCTCCACTCGACCTCTCGTATCTGGAAAATATTTTGTTCTTGGTTTCACAGTTCCATCATTTTCAACAATAATTGGATAATGCATCAAATGTGAATGCATGGGAGTAAATTCCTCAGCTATGAAGCTCTCCCAATTAATTTCTGCAATTTCATCAATTTTACGTTGTGTGAACAAATCAAGAGGATCTTCCCAATCGTTGCATTCTGAATTTCGCCCCAAATGCTCGCAAAATAAATTTTTTCTGAATTTCTTAATTTCACAAGCTTCATCTGCTGATGTTGAATCGTCGCGCGGTTGAAAGGCGCCAATACAAATTTCAGTATCTCTGTCACCAGACAAACTTCTCTCATTAATGTTTGCAGATCCCACTATAATATATTCATCGTCGAAAATGGCCATTTTAGAGTGAACATAAATCATACTTCGTTGAGCTTTGAGCATTTTGTATTGTGGTGAATGCTTGGTCACACTCTCCAGTTTTTCTTGCAAATTCTCACATTCTTCTCTTTGACCTAAACAAAAGAATTTTAAAAAATCAGTAGGTCTATAACTCTTCATTTGGGTCTTCTCAATCATCTCTCCAATAATCTTGTACATGCTTTTTATGGTTGAGTAGGTGAAGAAAATTTGTTCTTGTTGAAATTGATTCTCTGGAGAATTAAATCCATCGGGGCTGTGATATTGGTGTTGGATAATTTTGCAAATTGTAGTGTTAGTTTGGGCATCAAGAATTTTTCTATAATGTCTCAGTATATACTTACAATAATGGCTAAATAAGTGAAATTACATGTGTCATATTCACTCTACAAAAATTAATACTTACAATCACAATGAACACTGTAAAAGGTTCTCCACTTTGAATTTTCTCATGAATTTTTTCAAGAATTTCGAAAGGTATTCTATTATTCAGTGATTGAGCATCCAATCGATTCTCCCATAAAAAACTAGAGCCACAAAAATATTGATTTTCGATATAGATAAACCTTTTGGATCTTTGGATCAAACTAATATATGCTTCTTGAATTCTTGGGAAAACAGTAAAACTATTAGCGAAAGGTCTGATCGAGTCCGAGTCACATGATCGAAAAACTTGTACACACCATGAGTTTTCCTTGAAATTTTCAGCGTAGGTGGGTGGCCGTTTTGGTAGTGAGACTCCAAGTTGCGCTGTCCATCGTTCTTCAAAATTTTGTAAAATATCAAATGCAACCTTCCCTTCCACTAAGCAGTGAATGTCATGCCAAGGTTGACGGGGTCCCAAATGTTTCACTTCGAGTGGGCGAGACGAGTAAACCTCGTCCTTGTGATACGAATCGAGAGTTGAGAAGAGAGGGTGTGCCGGCGTGTCATAGCGCCCTTTTGTTAAGTCCAGTCCTCCAACTGTTGAAACATATAGTGTCATGATATATTTCTCATTGAATGTGAAACTTACTGAATGCTATAACAGTTCTCTTGTTCTTCTCTGGAATAAACTTGTCACAAATTAATGTTTTTTGATGGTGTGAAAAGATGAGACCTGTATATCCTGATCGTCGTGAAAGAACAGCTACTACACGAGTATTTTGGAAATATTGAATTGTCTCTCCATCATTTGTATCCATGTTCGATGATATGGTACTTCCTGTTTCATTCCATAGAATAATATTAACAGACACACCTTCATTCGCCTTATCAATGAGCAGCTGTCCAAGTGTTCTTGCTTCTTTGGAATCTTCAGGAGCATCTCGTTTCAGACGGATGTGGGGATTGATTGACCATCCTGTGATATAGACAAGCTGCTTGGCATTTTCAATGGCGTCATACATGTCTTCAAAGGCATTTCTTCCATTTAAAGAATGATGAGCATCGTGATACAATGTAAGACGACAATTCTTGTGAATTGGAAACCAATCTCGGTAGGGAGTAATTTGTTTCATGAGATCGCTGCCGTAATCGGTATCACCCAAATCTCGCATTCCACGTTCAGCTAACTTGGTAATTCTTTCCAACAATTCTTCGTCACTTATTGAAATCTTTCCTTTCTTTTTTATGGTTACGAGTTTCCCAATTTTACGGAATAAATCAAAAGGATATTGATGTTGCTTATCATACAGTAGTTTTCTCTTAAATCGTTTTAAATCCTTGTCGTCAAGTAATTCGTCTTTCTCTTCAGCAGATATATTATTTTGGTCAATGGCATATGAGACGTATCCGGTCATTTCTGCTTTCTGTCTAAGCTTCTTCAAATAAATTGGTGTTGTTTTGTTGTAGAAGGGCATCAAACTGAACATGGGAATATCAAAACTGTGAGTTACAGGAACCGAATAAAATTTGGTCAATGTTGTTTCTAGAATGTGACCATCAAGAGCTTGCGCAGTATATTTTGGAAATAGGTGTACTAAAATCCAGTCACCAAAATAAAGTATTGCACAACCCAATATAGCAAACGAAATTAAATTATAAAATATGACAATGTTCAAAACTTCTTTAAACCAAACGACCCATGCATGAATTTGAATTCCGATTACCAGCATGAATGGAATGAAAATGACTGATGGCCATTGTGAAAATCTAAAATAATTCAAAATGACATCTCTAAAATAAATAATAATTACAAAAAAGTAAATAATGATATGAGGCAAATATTTGATGAATGAAATGAGAGATTTTTTCACATTCTTTGCTTGAATGTTTTCAATAGTTTTTCCAGGATGTTTTGCGATTTCCTTAATAGAGCGTTTGATATTTTCCTTTCTCATAGAGTATCCCAAACGAATCAATTGATCGGTTGTCTTGTTTCGCACTTCATTTGGTTTTGGTGATTTGTATCTTCGTTTGTATTTCAAATATTTCAATTCTCTTCGATCACTCTCCGTTGAAGTTGAAGGTAAATAGAGCGGAACACCTCCTCCATACACTGACAAGGTATCACTCGAAGAATCTACACTTGATATTCTGTTGTTGTTCATATTATTACTCTGCTTTACAAAATCCTCAAGATTATCTCCTCTTCTTCTCGGAGAAATCTTATTCGGAGGATACAATGACCATGAGACCACACGTGGTGATCCTTCCTCGTGATCGGAATTATCACTCTCCGATGAGGAGGAAGACGTTAATTGAATGGAATCCAATGAAATAGATTTCTTCAATGTTTGTTGTCCTTGATGATGAGTCTCATGATGATGATGGTGAGGAGGAGGAGTCGAGGAGCTAACCTGTCCAACTGCTCCTCCCGACGTGCTATTCCGAGAGAGGGAATCCTCTCCTTGATTTGAGAGCATTTTTTTGTATGCAAAAAAAGATATTACAATTAAAGATCATCTCTTTACAAAATTAAAGTACAGGAATGGGTTTATTGAAAAATAAACAAATTATAGGTACTCAATTGTCCGACGATAGTGTGTCTAATGGGTGTGTAGGTGTGAGGTGTAAATGTTGTCGGAGTTGAGTTCGCCAGGCTGACTGCTAAATGTTTCCCAAGCAGTTGCAAATTTTGCAGTTTTGGGTTTAATTATATATCCTCTAGCTTCTCGAGTACAGTTGAACTGTTCCAAGTGGCGTTTTTGTAACAACTGCCAACATAGGCAGCGAATGAGAGATATATTTCATTTAGCCAATCAGTCAAAGCTGGGGGAGATAAATCTTTGATACTACCATTCCAATCCATTGGAATACAAGAGAGAGAATGGTTTGAGGGAAGTCTGATAAGAGGGGCGTTGAATTTGAGGGAACTGTTGTCCCATTTTGTGTACAATGATTTGATTTCCGGACCACACATGGTGCATGAGGTGAATACATGTTCCCAGTTGGCTTTGGTGTTGCAAATGTGGCAATTAGGGTAATCTTTTCCGAAATTTCTAAGGATTTCTGCTTTGTGTAGGTGAGCAAATAATAGTCGTTGTTGGAAGGGTTTGAGTGAATAATTGCCACATTTGCAACACCAAAGCCAACTGGGAACATGTTAAACCACCATGTGTCACTCTTAATTTCTTAACGATCTTGAATACTATCAACCACCGCCACCACCGCAACGGATGATCACCCTAAGGTGTTCCCACCACATATTTTGTGACCTTCTAAAAAGTTCATTCCTTCTCGTATCCTCTTCCAAGTCAAAAGGCGCATTCCACTTTTGAGCATTCACGATCAAAAAAATCTTTCGAATTTTAGTTCTCTTCCAATATTAATAGAAAAAGGAATTACAAGAAGGAATTCTATCCCATTCTCAACAGCAGCAGCAATAAACACACCACAACAACATCAATAACCATCGGAACTCTACACACTGATGTCCAATCATCAAGTTCGGGAGTCTTTATCTTTTGCTCTTAAATTTGAGGATGAAAAGCACTATGTGGAAGCCTTTGCTCAATACTTGTGTTGTATTGATTTGATTACTTCGCAATTGAGAGAACTCACCATTCCGATGAATATTTCTCATATTGATTTGTATTCTCAGGAAGTTCAGTTGAAAACGGATCAATTGTTTTATTTTGCAAGAGAGTGTTTGTATAGGAGTGAATTAATATTCAATGATAAGAGATCGTATTTTGGAGGAAGAGGAGGAGGAAGCGTTAGCAATGATGGAAAAGGTCCCATTAATGATTCAAAGGATAGCCAAAAAGATTCAACCTCATCATCATCATGGCTCTATAATCCAAATGTATCTTATAACTCTTCTAACATGTATCCATCGGTAACAAATCAAAATTATGGAAATATCGGAAATGGAGGTGGATTGTTATTGGGCGAGAGTTTGCATAAAACTGAACAGAAATTCCAAAGTTTCAAAATGACAGCCTCAACGACAATTTCTACAGCTCCGAAATCATCAGAAATTAATATTCAAAACTTACAAAAGACGAAGACAACACCACCGAACAAATCTACCACGCAATCAAAACCTTTAGAAACAATGGACACAAATAATAATAGAAATTTATCACCAAGAAGAACTCCTCCACCCTTGAAAAAAAGTAATAGTACGCCATCATCAGAATTGAAATCTAGTTCGTCTTCAACGAGCTCAACAACAAGTAATGCAAGCACAAGTCCTAACAATATTGTAACAAGTTCTTCAAGAGTACCACCCAAACTGCCCTCAAAAATGTCTGCAAAAACTTCAGATATTACACCTCCGAAAACTTCCTCTCGAAGTGAAAATGTTCAACAAGAAACCCCCAAGACACCTCTTAGTGATGATGTTCAAAAAAAGGAGGATTTAACATTTGTGAAACAACAAATTGCTTTTTACGATTCGATCAACAAAAACCATGAAAACAATAACTCAGCGATACGAAAAACTAACTCTTTTTCAGCAGCCAGCCTGTCACCAAGACAATCACGTCCTTCCTCAGAAACGACACAAACAACTTCTAGCGAAATCAAAAACAGCCCATCTGTAGCTACTCCTAGATCAGTTTCTAACAATCGGTCACAACGCATATCTGAAGATTTTTCGTCAACAAATTCATCACAAACAAGCAACCCCAGACTTTCACTCCGTTTGACCACAACAACTGCCAAAGATTTGTTAACTTCTCCACGAGGAAATCCAAAATCAAACGGTGACCATAAAAGATCTCTTTCACAACGAATGATCAGTAGTATCAGCAAACGAGATTTAACAAACAAATTTTCAGAAGAAGAGCACAAATATTTGACATTTGTATTTCACATTATAGATTCACAATCCAAGGATAGTTATTTAGATCTGTGCGAATTTACACAACATTTATCGCTGTTAGGTTTTGACAGAACCTTTATGTTTGACTTTAATGCTCCGTATCCCACCATTAAAAAGTCCAAAATACAGCCAACATTTGCCGGGCGATTATTTAATGCCTTAGATTTAAATAAGAGTGGCTCTATTGAAATATTTGATTTCAAAGAGTCTGCTTCAATACTCTATTCTAATGTTGGGGTTGAGGAACAAGCAAAACTTGGATTTAACATTTTTGACAGGGACAATGACGGAGTGGCCACAAAACAAGATTTTATCACAGTTTTTCAACAAATTTTCTCAACCCTTGATTTTATGGGCCTGTACAAAAACGCAACGACAGATGGATCCAATTCTCCATTCAGTTTTCTACTTGTTGGCCATTCAGAAATTTTGTCTCACGCCACAACTATTGCAGAGAAAATATTTTCAGCCATTGATCAATCGAATAATGGCTCAGTTACTGTTGCTGAATATTGCAAAGCATTGAAAGAGAATCCATTCTTAATATTAGGATTTTCACAAATACCGATTAACGACTTGTTAAAATTCAAGCTAACCAGAAATTTGTCACGAAACGGAGGCCAACCTGTTTTTATCGGCCATCCTTCGTTCCACAAAGTTTTATGCATGATGGTTGGAATTCGTCTTGCACAAGAAATAAGACCAATTATTTCAGGAGCACACTTAACGGAAAGAGATTTTAAATTTATGAACACATTTGAAATAACATCACCAAAATTCTTGAGATGTATCCAACCACCAGCTCACTATAATCTTGATGATCCCAACACCAAGTACATTGACGAACAGACAACATTTACGGATTGTGCTCCTCTTGTTTTTAAGAATATTCGAGCTCTCTTTGGAGTGAGTGAAGAGGTGAGTATAATATTCATGTGATAGGTATTGTTTAGACCGATTTATTGTTTTTTCAATAATTGGATATTGAATTCAACAACTGCCCAATGGATGTATTCTTTTTCACACACACTCATTAGGAATATGCACTTTCATTTGGACCAGAAATGCTTTTCAGTAATTTATTAATGGGTAAATTGGCAACACTGAGTGAACGTTTGACTGATGGAAAGAGCGGAAATTTCTTCTTCTACACACACAACGGACGATTTTTATGTAAAACAATATCCTCAGCTGAATTTGAAACGACCATGGAATTTTTAGCAAACTATTATTCATACTTGTACAATAACCGAGAAACCTTATTGACCAAAATTTATGGACTTTACAAAATTAACGATATTTGCTTTATTGTGATGGGTAATGTGTTCGATACACAGCTTCCCATTGACAAAATTTATGACCTTAAAGGAAGTACCATTGGAAGATACAATTCTACAGGCCTTGGAATTTTAAAAGATTTAAATTGGAAAGATTCAGACAAGACCCTCCATATCGATCCCATGAAAAAAGATCGTCTCTTGAAACAAATCATGGACGACACTAAATTTTTAGAACACAATGAAATTATCGACTATTCCTTACTCGTTGGAATTCATGAAACCAAAAAATTCCGTGAAAAACCCATTCATTACAAAGATCCCATCTATTCTGCCCCAAGTCCCATTCGCACTTTTTATCAAGAAGACTATGGAGGAATGCTCTCCACTCACAACAATGGAGAAGAAATTTATTTTGTGGCCATTATTGACATTCTCATTCAATATGGATTGAAAAAGAGAGGTGAGAATTTAATCAAAACCATTTACTTTGGTGAAGAGAGTGGAATTAGTGTGGTTGATCCGAATATGTATGCTGGACGATTTTTGAATTTTATTAAGAGTATTGTGGATTAAAAGTGGTGTTTTAACTCTTTTCGGTGAATGGAAACGATATCGTTTTGGTGTGAAATAGTTAACCGCTTAATCTTTTGGAATATTGGCCTTAGGTCAACTCATTAATGATTTTACAAAAAAAATTTAAAAAAAATTATAAAAAAATTAGCGATTACAATAACAAGAGACAAAATTGTTTCATTTGCGGATCAAGCTTTTATAAATTTTCATCATCATCGCCGCGGTCATGAATTTTTCTTCCGTACCAACCAATACAACAGTGAATGAAATTAAAATTTCGGGGATTATCAATGATGATCAATTAAAACCATTGATGGAACGATTAACTGGACTTTTCGGAACCAAAGAAATACCTTTCAAAGAATGGATTAATGTATATAAAGCTCTCTCATCATTACCTCCACCACAATCATCAACGACACAATCCGAGGATGCTACGGTTGTTTCTTCGCTCTCTCTTTCAAAAGAATTTGAAATACATGTGGTGGCCGATGTGGTGAAAGCAAATGTTCAGGAAAAGGCTGAAGTGAAGGAAACGGAAAAAATTGTGTGGAGAGATATTAAATCGTTAGGAATTCATGTATTACCACAGAAGGATATGCCATTTAAATCAAATGTGAGAACTGTAACGTTGAGTGAAGTTTATGGTGGAAACCCGTTGGCTATGTTGGAAATGTTGGCTTGTGAGTATGTGTTATTTGGAGTTGTGTTTGTTTTGTATGAATGAATTTTGTGACATGATTATTGGAATAATTTGATCTTGATTGGTAATTGAAAAATTATTTTCATGATCAAAATAACTTTGAATGATCGAAACATTCAGCTTTGTGTATGAATATGTCAAGGAAGGTTATCGTTTCATTTCAAAAACTGGTACATATATTGATATTTATACCTTGAAAAAAGTAATGAGACGAGGAATTCCATTCAAAGAAAACTGCGTTCCTGTGAATGATGCAACCTCATATGGTGTGGAAGCTTACAAATTTTCTCCTCAAAATTTAGAAATCACCTATGCCATGGAAAAAGAACTGACCACATTGGCAAGTAATTTGGCGAATCTTGAGATTTATCTAGTAAAAGCAGAATAATTACCACAACAGTTATGTTGTTGCCAGGTATCCAACAAAAAGCTCTAGGGTTTATTTAAAATTTAAAAGCAGAATTCATAATGTGTTTAACTTCTGCTTCATGAACATATTTCAAACCAGTAGCTGGTGCTGAAGCAGCATTTCTTCCAATATATCTGATCAAATTGTATCTATTGTCACCGTGAATGACAGTGTTAATAGCCTTATTAAGTCTTGGAGCAACAAAGGTCTACAATGATCAAGCAAGAGGATAAGATGAACAAACCACAATAATTTTTGACTACTTACATAGGCACCCATGTTTTCATGCTCTTCTTGAATCCAGGTCCATTCGACAGTCTTCATCCAGTCCTTGTTCCAGTTATTCATCACTTCATACAATTGTTCGAATGGGAATGGACTCAACTGTTCCAATCTAATGATCAATACTTGCTCCTCCATATTTCTCTTTGCTCTCTCTTCGAAAAGGTCATAATAAATCTTACCACTACAGAAGAGGACTCTCTTGACCTTTGATAAATCTTTGTGCTTGTAATCATCAGTCAACACTCTTTGGAAAATAGTACCTTCAGCGAATTCAGTCAAATTGCTGACGCATTCCTTCTTCTTCAACAAAATCTTTGGTGTAAAGACAATCAATGGTTTTCTGAAATTTCTCTTCATTTGTCTTCTCAAAACGTGGAAATAGTTCGCAGGTGTTGAACAATTCACCACACACATATTCACTCGTTTTTGAACGAGTTCATCCGTGTTAATGTCACTATCACACAATTGAAGGAATCTTTCAATACGACCACTGCTGTGTTCTGGGCCAGCTCCATCCATACCATGAGGAAGCAACAAGGTCAAACCAGAGCACAAGCACCACTTATCTTCACCACTTCCAATGAAGGTGTCAATAATAATTTGGCCACCATTGAAGAAATCTCCGAATTGCATTTCCATGACAGAGAAACTGTAGAAATATATAAAATCATCATGGAATGAACATTATGATTGTCTCAAATCATGCGACCAAAAATGATAAATTATTGAACTTACTTGTTTGGATTGTCAATTGTGTAACCATACTCAAAGCCCATCACGGCAAATTCAGAGAGTGGTGATTGACCAAGTTCAAATCGATCCTCAGCTCCTGGAATGGCACTAAGCATTGGAAGAACTCTTGATTCATTTTCTTGATCCACAAATTCCAAGTGTCTTTGATTGAAAGTTCCTCGAATGACATCTTGACCACTCAATCTGACAGTGTAGCCCTCATCGAGCATGGAACCAAATGCCATCACTTCTGCCGTTACCCAATCCACAAAGATATCTTTTTCATCCTTTTGAAGAGCTTGCAAACGTTGACTAATGTGATACTTTTCCAAGTGCTTGTGAACATTGAATCCGGGTGGAATAGTCACGCTAGCAATTGCAATTTCTTTCAATCTCTTCATGTTGTAACCAGTAATTGGGAGAGAAAGTTTGGAAAAGTCAGTTGCTTGGATAATATTGTGCCAATCTCCCAAGAAATAGCGTTTCTCAGGCTTGTATGTATCAACAGCCTTATATTCATTATCCAAATGTTGAGTATAGTTTTCTCTAATCTTTGATACCTCTTGTGATGTTGTGACATTATTTTTCACACATTGTTCAGAGTAAGCGGCTGGGAATGTTTGTTTCGATCGGATCACATGATACATTTTTGGTTGTGTGAATGAAGGTTCATCCAATTCATTGTGTCCATGACGACGATAACCAAACAATTCCACAATAACATCCTTGTTAAATTTGGCTCTATATTTGGCGGCAATGACCATGACCTTTCTGACATCATCCACATTTTCAGCATTTACAGCCAAGACTGGACATCCAACCATCTTACCAACATCTCCAGAATATCTAGTACTTCTTGAAAGGTGTGGAGCAGTGGTGAAACCAATTTGATTGTTCACAATAATGTGAATAGTACCACCAGTCTTAAACAAGGGCAATCTAGACAAGGTGAATGTTTCAGCAACAATTCCTTGTCCAGCAAATGAAGCATCTCCGTGCATTAAAATGCAAGCAGCATTCTTTCCATGACTAATCTTGGCACGTGTCTTACCAAGAGCAACAGGATTAATGGCTTCCAAATGAGATGGATTGTTCAACAAGGACAAGGAAACTTTCTTGTCACCATACACAAGTTCAGTACTAATACCGAGGTGAGAAAGAACATCTCCAGTAGCAACCAATTCTTCAGGGAATTCGCAACCTCCTTTCACCTTGTGGAATAAAGCACGCGCTGGGAAATTCAACAAACCAGTCAATAAATTCAAACGACCTCTATGAGGCATTCCCAACACAATATCTGAAATGTTATCATGAGCTAATTGTTCAATGACAACATCCATGGCATAAATCATGGATTCACATCCTTCCAAACCATATCTCTTGACACCAGGGAATTTTCTGGCCATGAAATGATCAAAAGCTTCACTTTCAACCATCAAAGTCATGGCTCTCTTTTGTTCCTGAGGTGACATGGCTTCACTTTTCAAAGATTCCAATTGTTTGGCCAACCACAATTGTTCCTTGGTTGTTTCCAAATGAGAAAATTGAGCAGCAATGTTTCCACAATAGACTTCTTTGAGATGATTCACAATTTCTGGAATGGTTGCTGTTTTCTTTGGAAATTGAGCACTTCCGATATGAACAATGCCATCAATATCAACCGGAGTTGTAGAGAGGTTGGCTTGATCCGCATCTTTGAGATGATAGACAGCTGGATTTAATTCAATGGTACTTCCTCTATCAGTATCGTTGTTATGAACATACGATTGAAAAATTATTCAAGATGATTGTTGTTGGATGATGAAGATTTGAAAAATCAGGTTGTTGTTGATGATGATTTTTTACAAATATATTATTATAATCAAATCAATGAATATTACAAGAATACATTATTATAACACATATAAACATTTGGTTGGGTCATATTAAAGTAAAACAAATTATTAGAGATCATCATCATGATGATACCTACTTTTTTGGAGTATTAATTCCGAGAGGATCAATATCAGCCTCAAGATGTCCATAATTTCTGTAGGCTCTCACCATGGAATGGACTCTACACAACAATTCATCCTTATTCAATGAAGTCAAGGCATTGGTATGAAACGAAAGTTTCGTTGTGGTTGAATTCGTTCCAGATTTGGTGTTCAGCAACTTCATCGTGCTAGTTGCCGATGACGACAAGGAAGAGAAGAGAAATTGAGAGGCCACTCTTCGAGCATTTGGTTGCTGAGAGTGTTGTGGGGATGAAATGAGCCTTCTTCCGTTTTGGATCATTTTTTGTCTGTTGGAGCTCAAGATTACAACAATTATGTCCGAATGTAATGAATCGGTCAAAAGCATCGGCCACATCTTCAAAGATTCAAAAGGTTTATACGTTTAAAAGGATAATATTAAATTGCATATCACTCTCTCACCTATGGTCATCAGAAAAAGGTACCGACCAAAAAGAATCATTAAATGCTCCATATGTACTATGCTGGACGAGATTCTCACAATTCATTCTTTTTTGCCTGTTGTCGGTGTTGAGAAGCGTCATCTTCATCACTGCCCATTTGCTCATACCTCGTATTGGCAAATTGAATCACATCTTGAATCAATACTTTAGGATTTTCCAATGCAGCAAAATGTCCACCTTGTTCATATCTATTAAATTGAACCAAATTGAAATTTCTCTGAGCCGTATATCGAGTCGCTCGAAATAAATCTTTAAAGACTGCACAAGCCGTTGGTGTGGACAGATAGGGTTTATCTTCACCAAAGGACTTTTGATTGGTCATTGTGAAATAGTACAATCGAATACTGGAGGCAATGGTTTGTGTCGTTTGATAAATCATCACATTGGTCAAGAAATCATCGCGTGAAATTCGACTGAATAATTGGGAGGTATCTTTTTGTGGCAAATCAGTCCATGCAATGAATTTCTCTAAAAGATAGGCCATCATTCCCACTGGAGAATCCAATAAGGCAATTCCCAAACTATCGGGTCGTGTCGATTGTAAATGTTGATAACCACCATCGATAGTGAAATATTTCACAGCATACATTAAGAAGGAACTGAAAGACTCTGTATTCTCAATAAGAGGAGTCCCAAAGATGAGTTTTTTCAGAGCATCGATGGCCACTTGAATCCAATCTTGCCAATAAGGTAACACGACACACATATTCGAATGATAACCAATACAATGAGAGGGATCCAATCGTGCCACATGCTCCCCAATGATACTTCCCCAATCTCCTCCTTGAACAATATATTTTCCATAACCGAGTTGTTTCATGAGTTTGACAAAAAGAGAGGCCACTTTCTTGACATCACAACAACCTTCTCGTTTTGGAATAAAAGAATAGCCATAACCTGGAATCGAAGGTGCGACCACATCGTAGCCATGCACCTGAACCAACTCATCCACCATGTTGTGAAATTCCCAAACACTTCCTGGCCATCCATGAAGGAGAAGAAGGACCTTTCGTTCACCATTCATTTTCCCTTTTTTGGAGGTTAATGATGACTTTCTCCAAGCAAAACGAATCATTACTTCTTCATCATCATCATCAATCAGAGTTGTTTCATAATGTGGAAGTTTGGTATTCAATTTCTCAACCTGACCCTTCCAATCAAACACATCATGCCAATACTGAACCAACTCCACAACTTGATCGAGATCTGTACCCATTTCCCATCTCAAGGATGTCTTCGAGTACAATTTTGGGAAAACTCGATCCATAGTCTTCTTGAACATGGAAAGAGTTTCATTCAATCGAAAAAGAAGCTTTAGATGTTCGGAATGAGCATAGGGAATGATGAAGGGACGAATGAGGAGAGATGAATCCTCCTTATTCTCGGAAGTGGTGTGGTGTTCTTCTTGTCGTGATCGATCCATCATCATGATGGGATTCATGGCCATGCAAGGAAGATGATGAGGTAGCAGTAGTAGTATGGCCACTAAGAAGAGTAAGCAGAAAAGAAACTGAAGATGGAGAGGACGAAGAGGATGGTGATGACGGTTCGACATTTTTCTTTTGAAAAGTCGCTGTATTGCTGAAAATGGTGAATCTCCGCTCGCTGACATTCAAAATCATGTATTTGACAATGAAGGAATGTCAGTGATTGAATTGGCTAAAATCTTGATTTAAGGGATTAATGTTGTTGTCATCAAGAGTGAGATAATGAACTGAAAGGAAATAAAGTGTCAACCACTTTGACACTTTCTTTAAATGGGCAAATTACATATTAAAAGAATTGCCTCAATGATAAAAAAGCACAAGAAACAATCATTCACATTTCTCGAGTTCGAACTCGAGAATCCAAAAAAATTAACATGATGTTCGAAACTAATCCTCTCCAATTGTGGATGAATTTCACTCATTTTCTCTTCAACAACAATGATCCCGTGAATTTATGGCATCTCTTCAAAGAATTGCTCGAATTACATGTTGTTTTCATTTGTTATCCCATTCTTTCACTCATTGCCATTTTCGTTCAAACGTTTCGATTTTTTTATCAATTAACCAAACAAGGTTTACAAAATTCTGAAACCACAAATCTTCCCAAAATGGATTCTGTTTGCATTACAGGAGCAAGTTCAGGATTAGGAAAAGCTCTCGCGAAACAAGTGGTCGTGTATTGGCTACGACAAGCATTCCTTGCAAGTGAGAGGAAATCTTTTTCCAACACCACCACCACTGGCATGACTTCGACGACAAGTGACACCACCACGAGCAACGAATCGAACGCAACTTCTTCCACTCCAAAAACTGTCACACTCGTTTCCAGAAATAGATCCAAATTGGAAAAAGTTCAACAAGAGTTGCAGAAAATTGTCTCTGAAAGTGGGGTATTAAGCTCCGATTCCGTTCACGTTATTGTTCGAGAATGTGACATTTGTGATGAAAAATTCATTGAAAGTATTGTCACAGAGGTGGATTATGATTTAGTCATTTGTGGTGCAGCGACGAATTCACAAATTTTAGCAAGAGAAATGCAAATCGATCAAAAAGGAATGGTCACTTCCACCGCCTCGAATAGTGATAATGTGGTCATTGATGAAGAAGATGTTCTCCGAAAAGAATTCCAAGTGAATATTAATGGAACTTTGAACACCATTCTTCCTGCTTTGAAACAAGCTAAAAAGCTTCGAAATCCACAATTTCATTCTCCCAAACAAATTGCCATCATTTCCAGCTCGGTTGGATATTTTGGAAAATTAATGGGTCCTTATGGCATTACAAAAACTTTTCTATTTGAATTTTTCAGACTCATGAATTTCCTCATTGAAAGCACCTCGATGAATGGCATTCAATTATTAACTGAAAGTAGTTCAGATCAAGTTCGAGTATTCAAAGAATGGACACGAAAGTTTGCCAATTCACATCAAGTCTCTTTTCATGTCATTAATCCAGCAGGTGTCATTGATACTAAAATGGGAGAGTCAATTCGCAATTTGGAACAATTTCCAGGAAGTGTCCATGCACAAAATGCAGCTCGAAGAATATTGAATGGTCTCTTGCAAGGACAACAAGTCATTGATTTGAGTCATCCGTTCATGTATGTTGCACTTCGATTGTTGAATGCACTTCCATTGAGTGCTGAAAGTCTCTTGACACGAGTGTTTCAATTAGAATTGTATTCTTAATTTGATAAAACTGAATTCAGTCTATTTGATTCTTAATTCTACGGAAGTAATTTTATTAACAATCTTTAAAAAATTAACAACAAGAATTTCTTTATAAAAATTAACAACAAGAATTCAAGTCCGTTAATCGTATTAATTGCAATCTTTTGTTCCAAAAATAAAAAAATGTCTCAAACCTCATCGTTTGTTGTTGTTCGTACCGTGTTGGATGGAACCTTGATGGTTCCCCTTGATGATATGAGCACCACCTTCTCCTCCTCCTCCTCAACGACTACTACTACTACTAGTTTAAAAACCATTTCCGATCTCAAGAATTATCTTTCCAAATTGAAAGGATATGATCGTAGTGTTCAACACATTTATCAGAATGGAACGGAATTGAATGATCAAGCCAATTTGAATGATTTTCCATTGGGAAAGGGTTTTGTTTTGATGATTCCAATTAGTCATTCAACGAGGAAATATAAAACTCAGAAGGAAGTTGAAGCAGATTATGTGGCTTCATTGACCATGAATGAAATTAATCGACAGGCTTCCACTTCGGGAGGTTCTGTATCGGATCAGTTGGAGCAAATTATGGCTGAATTTACGAGCACTCATCCACCACAGACTTCAACTACGGGCTCAACCACTTCACCTTCGGCAACAACAAGACCTCCAACATTGACTTCGCAAACTCATCCTAGAGGTACCACTACTGCTTCCTCAACGACGACTACTACGACAACAACAACGAGTGGCAGCACTACCACACCACATCCTCCAAGAAGTACCACTTCATCAACAACATCAACAACGACAGGTGCAACGTCACAGCAAGCTCCACCAGTTACTGTTGCTAGCTTGCCTGTCTCAGAAGACCTTGTTGCTGCCATTACAGAACTCGGCTTCTCAAGGCACAGAGCTAAGAAAGCCCTCATTTTGAACGATTTGAATGTTGAGCAAGCTGTGGAGTGGATTTTCAACAATATCGATTCTCCCTATGTATTGGATAGCGAGTTTACGCCTCAAGAACTAGTCGCACTTGCTGAAAAATACAAGAACATGATGAGTGATGAATAAGAATGTTTTTCACCACTAATTTTTAATTAATTAAGATTGATCAATTAATTTATATTTTAATTATTAATTTGTATTTTAATTATTAATTTATTTTGTTACCATTTTGTTCAAGTTCAGTTGCAATCAACAAATACTGTTTATTATTCAATTAACAAATGTTGTTTTCATGAAACTAACATCATATTTTCCAATAAATTAAAAGGTAAAATCTCAACACAACTCAAACACCACACCACTCAACAATGGTCAAAGCAATAATCTCAGCTGCCTTGTAAATATTATCAATTGGAATGTACTCGTTGGTTTGGTGAGCCATGTGTGTGACACCAGGTCCAAAAACTACGGAAGGCGTATTTCCCATCATGTTCACATAACCTGCATCAGTTGCCCAAGGACTTGAAGCAATGATTGGATTTTGACCCATGACCTCGCTAAATGATCTTGATAACTGACTCACAAATTCATGCTCCAATGGAACATATCCTGGAACCCAACTAGCACCAATAAATTCTAATTTACAAGGATAAGCAGAGAAGTGTGCCTTATCAAGTTCAGGAATGGTCTTGAAAACCAAACCATGCAACACTTGTTTGGCATCCTCGACAGTTTCATAATTTGGAATAATGCCAAATCTTCCTTCAATCACAGTAAAATCAGGTACAGAGCTTGGCCATTCACCTATTTCAGATCACAGTATTCAGAAAATCGTCACACGACTAATGTTAGAAAAATGCGTTCAAAATTGTTGTATACATACCTCCTCTAATAACTCCAACGTTGATTGGAACAGGAATTGTAATATTTTCGAACAGCTTATTCTTGAGCACATTTCGAATGAGATCGGTTCTTTCATCTTCCAACTTTTTGATTGCATTCAAGACAATTTGTGATTTTTCAATGGCACTAATTCCATCATATCTGGTACCACCGTGTGCACTCTTTCCATAGACAGTAATTCTGAACCACAAAGATCCTTGTTGTTGAGGAAAGATTAAGAAATTCGATGGCTCTGGAAAAATACCTGCATCTGCATGTCCATAACCACGCAGGATGGTACTCACAGTACCAGCGCCACCACTTTCCTCCTCAACGACACTGTGAACAATAATTTTACCTTTCATATTGGTGACACCGAGAGATTTTTGAATAGCTTCAATGGCCAATAAACCAGAATAGAGACCTCCTTTCATATCGGTCGTTCCACGTCCATAAATCTTGGAATCATTAATATGACCACTGAATGGATTTTCTAAATACCATTGTTTTGGATCACCCACTGGAACGACATCAATATGTCCATTAATAATGAGAGATTTGTATGGCTTAAATTTAGTGGATGCAACATTTTGAATGGATCCTTCTTGTGTTGTCTCTACCAAATCTTCTGGAGCTGTTCCATCCAAGACTCCAACCACAATAGGACTCTTCTTCAAAGAATCAAAATTACGAGGAGTATTAAAGAATTTGCTATTTTCCAATTCAACCTTTTGTTGATCCATGGTCCAAATATCAACCTTGTTGAAATGGAGTTCCTCCTTCAAATATTTGGCAATATCAAGCTGAATATCTTTTTCATGTTCGGGTAGAGAAGCGTATCGGACCCATCGTTGGAAGGTTTCTAAATTCTTAACATCGGAACGATGTTGTTGTAAATAGTTTTTAATCTTTTGAGAGGCTGGAAGAATTTCGGAATGAACCACAACATCAGAATGATGAACCAGCAGCAGTAGTAGTAGCAGTAGTATCGCACCAGTGATGATGAGCATTGGTGGGATGGCAAGTTGAACTTGCTGAGGCCTACCTTGTTTCAACATTTTTTTTCAACAGTTCATTCTCGCTGTTTTGTTGGATCTGATTAAGTGAAACAAATTGGATTTGTCAAAAAATTGCAATCAAATCCAGGTACTATGTACATGCAATTTGCTCAAACAAAAATTCTTGATTTTTAATCTCTTAGAAAGTTTGAAAAAGTTTTCAATGTCTACGCTTGTTTCTTATTCAACTTTAACACGATAAATTCCAAAAGTCTATCCACATAATTTAGCACAACAAAAACACCTGCACACACAGCTAACAGATCCACCACAAAATGAGTGAAGGGTACTGTAAACTCTTCATAGGTAATTCGAATGGGCTCAAAATTGTAAACAATAAATACTCCTGGTAGCATCATTACTTTCTGACTATCAAATGACATGACATGTTTGGTAAATGAGAATTGATAGGTATTAATGACTTGGGAAAATAAACCAGCTCCCAAAATTGGTGTTGCACTCTTGTAGGTAGTTGGCACTACTTTCACAAAGTACTTGAAGAGTGCAGTCTTTGGTGCCTTTTCATCTGTTTCCTCAATTTTTGGAATAATTCCAACAGTATCATCCAAAGGATAGGTGACATGTGGAATTCTTAATCCAAATGAAAGTGAGTGGATGATATGAGTACTATTAAATCTGTCCACAAGAATTGGATTAAATTCATGAATATGGTGAACACGTGTCTCATATTCCTGTGAAAAACTTCTACCTGGCAAGAAGTGGAAATTTCCATTCACCTTTTGAACATCCAAAGTTCCATAAATATTGCATCCAGGATGATTTTTCGAAGCATCAAATAAACATTGCTCAATATCCTCAACTCTTGGAGGAGCAAGTCCGTTTCTCTTGTAAACCTCCATCACATCTTGACACGTATTACAACATTGTCCACGTTTCTTCTCAATATAGCAGCTTCCACAAAACATGACACTATGTGGATCCTTTGTAGGATCATATTTCTCTTGGGGCATTTCAGTTCCGAGCTTGGCCTTATGTTTTGATTCTAAATGAGTAATTCTGCCCGATGCATCAACAGGTACTTTGTGAATATGGTGTGCAACATCAATGGCAGCATCACCGCTAGCATCCACTGAATCCAAATGAAGATCATAACATTTCAAATCTGGGAAGGAAATATTAAAGAAAATAACAACTCGATCCTCCACTTGAATGTCCACCGAGAGTGTATCTCGTCGGTCCACGCTCAAATATCGAATGAGAGCCGATCCTACGAGTAAAGTTATAATGAGCATGGCAAATAAAGAGACTGTTATGAAAAGTTTTGAATGAATTATTTGATGATGAATATAATGTTTGCCATTTGAAATGTCCGAATTGATGATGATAATAGAAAATGAATAGATAAATATATTAATATTTAATTAATCAATACGAATAGGAATAAAATAGGATGGCCATATTATGAATGATTAATTTCGTTAATATGAATGATCCACAAAAAGTCTTACATAAGATCATCATCATCACCGTACTACCACTTACCAAAACCTCCCAGTGATGTCTTTTTTGTAGCCACAGAATCTGTTTTAGGATACAAATCAAAATTTCTAATACTCTTGATGATCTTAGTCTTCATTTCCGTTTTAGACTTATCTTCATGAGAATAAGACGAGAAGTGTTCATCGGAAACACCTGGTCTCCTCCGAAGAAGATTTGCTTGTGGAGGCACGAACCCGAAAGATCGCTGAGGCTCGAACATTTTTTGTTTGCTTTTTATGAATTTATACTTTTGACAGAACAATAGAGAAACGATCATCATTGAGAATTTTCAACGGAATCATGTGCCGTTAAAAACATATAAAGTCACTAATGGCTATGATGTGAAAGTCACTTGTTTTGAGTTTGTAGTTTTGAAAAAGGATTGTTTTTACTTGTAGGAAGGACACACGTTCCTTTTGTCACTTTTCACAATTTTCACAAGTGTCACTCAGAAGGATTTTTCTAAAAAAACTGTCGAGTGTCATTAACGCAAAGAAAGATTCGTTCGGTCGTCGAGTCGACTCGCGTGTTGTCGTTCCCCACACACTCATCTCCATAACAATTGTAATACCATCATCACATACCGAACACTGACGATTCGAAGCGACATCACAAAGGAGAGTGTGTGAGCAGCGAGTGAGAAAAAACTTCTTTCATCATCAATTATTCCATTAAATCATCACATCATCAGAGTTACTTTTTCAAAACATTATCACCATTATTAGGTAATTACTACCACCATCACCACAACCACAACTACAACAACCACAACAACAACAACACCAAGGCACACGATGGACATCTTTTGTGTATGCCTTGCCGAATTTGATCTCCTCAAAGGCAACACACTCTCCTATGTCTATCCGCCCGAACGGAGGGCTATTCTCTCTCGCTTCTCTCAACATATGGGAGATTATTGTCTTCCCGATGGAGCTCACTACTATGAAGAGGATACCACTCTGGTGGTGATTCCTTCCAATGTGGTGAGTTCGGCCTTGTATGCGTTTTTACGGAAAGGAACAACCCTTTCATCATCACCGCCATCATCATCACCATCCGCATTATCAGGAAATGGAAAACCCACTACATCATCAAACAGTAGTAATAATGGAACTGGTGGAGGAGTAGGAGGCTTATCAAAACTCAGCAAGACAGGTAGCCTTAAAAGTTTCAATTTAGAGGACGATACATACGAAACGGAAACATCATCAACCATCATGAATGACAACCTCACGACGGAGGGTGAAACGACGAACAACAACCAAAGCACGAGTACGGCATTAACAAGTTCTTTTTCTTCATCATCATCATCATCATCATCGTCTTCATCGTCATCATCATCATTGCAGCAACAAAACATGTTGTTATCATTCATTGAACCGTACGTGGATAAACCCATGTATGCCCACTGTTTATTCCGTAACAAGAAGGATTCACGAGTGAAACGTGGAGCCATTCAAAAATCCATCATTCTCTTCTCAACACAGCCTCACTTTACAGTCTATGAAAATTTACTGAGAGTCGCCATCAACCGTATACTCGATTTGGAAAATATATATTTGCAAGTGAATGCAACCGCTTCGAAAAAACAACCCGGAGAGGAATTATCGGAAGAATTAGTGAAACAATTGAATCAAGTACATGAACAAATTAATGATATTTTGAAGGAGTTTTATGATCAATGCACAACTTGTAACATGTTGCAATTGAAATTATTTCCGACCGTTTCGAATGAAACGACCTTTACATTGAATATTCCTCGACAAATTGATCCTTTCACACCTGTGGCATATACTCATGGTACTTCACTCATTCAATTGATTCAATTATTTGGAGTTGAGGTCATGCTGACGTGCTGGAATGCTCTTTTACTCGATAAGAGAATTATGGTCATTGGATCACCTGCAAAATTGGTTTCACAAATATGTTTCACATTGCCTCTTCTTGTTTATCCCTTCCAAATCAATGTAAATCGAATTCATCCCTATGTTCCACTTTCTGACATGGATGATGTGTTGGCAGCTACTTCAAAAACTCCAGAATATATTATTGGAACCACAAATGCATTGTTTGAAACACAAGGAAAGAATCAACGAACGCAATGGTGGGATGTGTGTCTCAGTGTCAACTCTCGTAAGGTACAAATTGCAGAAAAGATGCCACCACATTTTTCTGGATCGGATCTGCTGGTCGGGGGAGTGTCACCAAATGCCGTCAACGATTCAGACTCACCCACTCAAATCGAAAAACTCAATGCATATCAAAAGGTATTCATTCTCAATGTTATGAATGAAATTCGAGAAGGAAAGACAGAACAATGGGTTCGTGAACAGTTCAAAACTCACAACATCAAATTCATTACTGAATTGCTCTCAAAAGGAAAATTATTACACATTATTAACAATGCTACTACAGATGTTTTCTCAGATCCACAAAAACAGGCCTCTCTGTTAAAAACAAGTTCTGGACAATTGAAAAAGATTCAACGACAATTCATTACGGAATCATCCAAGTTCAGAAATTATGCTTTCAAGCAATATCCTCACTTTAAACTAATGCATTTCACAGGAATGACAGATTCACCTTCTGACGCTACACCTGGAAAGAATAATCTTTCACTCGAGTATTTTGATGCCATTCAACTCTTACAATATTTACAAGATGAAAAAATCATCAAGAAGCAAAAACTGAAATATCTTTATGACTTGGACAAGTTACTATCGAGTGACGCAAATCAAATTGATTTATTACTTTCTGTGAATGATAGTTCTAGTATTTTCACAACCATCCGAAATAACAAATGGCTGGTCGATGACAATAATCAATGGAGAAAATACAGTGCCAGTATATTGTCTCAATTGGCTGTGAGTGTCAAAGGACAAATTCAACTTCTTTCTCTCCTACCTTATATCAAATTATTGACTGAAGATGCCATGCCAAATGTAAAAAGAATTGGATACTATTGTATCATGAAAGTGAGCAATCTGTATATTGGTACCTATGCCATTCTCAGAATTCACCACGATATCATTGACAAAATTTTGGATAATATTCTCAATGAAAGTCTGACAGATGCCAACTTTTATGAGATTAGAATGTACAGTATTCAGACGTTACTCCAAATTTGCTACTATTTTGATTATTTCAAGCAGAGTGTTCCAGTGGTCATGTCTGATCGGGCTGATCATCGCTCTACTACTGAATTTTCGAACATGATAGAGGATGATGAAGAATATGCTAGAATTTTGGGAGTCTCAGTAGATGATGTCTCAATGGTAAACACCCTTATGGAAAAATTAGAAAATTTCAAACGAAAAATAGTTGACGCTTTTTCCTTTGACAATATTTCGAACAATAATACCACCAAGAGAAGTTTGAAGGATTACAAATTTATTGACAAACTTCTGATTTTGTATGATTTCTATGAGGTTTATAATAATTATCACATTTTAACAGAGAGTGCTCTCAAGTACAACATGAGTGTATTTTACTATTTGAGAAAGGGAGATCTGGGACAAACTCAATCACTTCCATCCTTCACAGAAATGTATCATCATATTTCAAGTTTGGTTCTCAATATTAAGTATGACTTGAAGAAGAGTAGTTCGTTGACTCATCAACAACAAGCGTCTGAAGAGGAAGGTACCGGCAGTGTTCAATCTCAAATTAATGAATTTCACCATCATCACATTAGCGTCTTCCTATTGGCTCTTCTTCAAAGCACGAATTTGGTGAATATTATTTTCAACGAGTTTATTATGAATGTGAATCATATTCGAGTTTATAAGAATTACAAATTGCTATATATGGTCATGCAATTACTGTACTTTGTCATTGATACAAACATTGGCATGTATTATTTGCTCATTTCCAACTATATTGAATATTGTTTGACATTTATCAAGTATTTCAGTGTGGTTAATGTGAGAGATGGAGAGACAGATGTGAGTGACAGCAATCTCAATTTCCGACTGTTCAAATGTTACACTTTTATCATGTTTGTGAAACGATTGTGCAAGTATAGAAAGGCAGCATCTCGACTCATTGAATCGAATGCACTACAAATTCTGGGACAATTCATAATTACACATTATCACAATCCTCTCTTATCCAACCTAACGTTTGCAGTTATTGACGTATTTCAAGAATTGTGTGTCTTTTACTTTAAACATTATTCGAAAGAAGGAAATCCATTAACTGCCTACATCATTGAGGAAGAAGATGAAAATGATGAGGAGGAAGAGGGCCGAGACGATACGGAGCAATTCTTTAAGAACCCTCTCTATGAACGAAATTCTTCACTCTTTTTCAAAAAGAGAATTAAGGATCGACTTGAAATGCTTCCTTCACTTCGAAAGAGAGTCATCTCTTCATCATCGTCGTCGTCACAAGACAATTTAGAAAAGCAACAATATCAATATCAATCCATTCTAGAGTCTTCTAATTTTAATTATCATTATGGTAATGTTTCTGAGTCATCATTATCTGGATCAGTCACATCCTCCGATTTTTCCTCTCCACGCAACAACAGTTCTCGATTAGGAAAATTCAAACAACTTTATACTACTCAAAAAGCATCAAAAGATGACGAGAAAGATGGACTTTTCGAAATGACAGCACTCGATGAAAAACTGCAACAATGTCTTCATATCTTGAACTCGTTTGTGTTCAAATCAGATTTTGAAAATGGAGATGAGTAGTGAAAATCATCGAAATGTCCAATAATACCTCATCATTCAATGGTAATAAAATTGTAATAATATATTTACAGAAATAATATATAGATAGGTGAAAAAACCATCCGTCCATCCGTTTCGATTTGTTTTGATCCATTCAATTCAAAATTTCAAAACACAACTCTCAACTTCAATAAAAATGATGCAAGACGATCATTCGATGATGGAGCCGCCAACAACAACAACGTTGTTCTCCTCTTCGGAAACAACTCCAATGATGAATCGAGAGTTTTACATTCAATACTACACACAAAAACTACAGCGGATGGCCCTTGAAAGACAAAATCAAGCACTCTCTCAAATGGAACAATTATTTCAACATGAGCCTCATCTTGTGGCTGAAATGATTCACTCCGAAATGGTGCAAGCCTTTCTCAACCCCACTCATCCATCCTCTCTCATGATAGTGCCAAGTTTAAAGTGTTTAAAAACACTCATTGTGATCCTCACAACGATTCATATTCTCATACAGAGGCAGCAAGAGCCTTCTTCATCATCGGAACAATTACTGAATCAAGAGCAAGCCTTGTTGCAATACTTTATATCAAGTGGATGTAGAAATAATATGGAAATGTATCAATGGCTGAAAGGAATTCAACAAGCCATGATGAACATGTTGGGATTGCACAATTTGGAGCAACCAAACCAACAACAACAACAAGCTCTGTATTGGTATCAATCACTGGAGAGGTATTTTGATTTGATTCTCTTTCCAGAATTGAATGAAGAATATATCAATAATTATGTGAGACCGTCAACTTCATTAACAAACAGTGGAATTTCTCCAAACCAATCAGAGGAAAAGAAAGCATTTGTGTTTTTATTATTTGAATTTGTGGATGCCATTCACACCATCCTAAAAGTTAGAAAGTGATCATGTAGATACAATACTGAAAAAAACTAAATTACTATTAACAATCTATTGCAATCAAACACTATTCAATGAGCTCATCTTCAAAGAAACGAGAAACCAAAGAGTTCGATTACAAAAAAATGACACGACTGCGGTCAACCGATTCAGCAAGAAGATTTTTCGAATCACCTCGTACCCAATGTCCCAACTCACATCATCCTTCCCCAATCCGTAAAATTTTGTTATCATTATCCGAATGGTCATATCGGAACAACAACAGTATGGATTCCATGCTGCCGAAAGTTAATTCTTCTCTCTCCTCCTCCTCATCTTGTAAATATTATTATTATTATTATTTGTTATTTATTTTCATCTTGGTTGTGATGATGTCAAGTCGGATTCTTCCAACTCTGGCAGTACATGCATCAAGTCCTTCAATCACTCAAGATTTGGCCTCCAATCCTTATTCAAAATTCCAACTATTGAATGACCAGCAAGAGGAATCATCATCTGTGGACATTTCAACAAAATTTATGAGAGCTCTTTCTAAACAAAAAGAATTTCATCTTTCTGGAAAGCGAAGAAATGCTGTCACGAATATGGCCAATGGAGGAGAACAACCTTTTGAATTGTTTCCAATTGCTGGGCGTAATCAACCCATCGCTGTTAAAGCCGATATTGAATACAGGTTTTTAGGAATGGACTTTGGTGGCCAGTATGTGAACGGACATTTGATCATTTTGAAAAATCCTATTCAACATTTTTCGTTTTTGGAACCAGGCCCTCCACCAAAAGTGGAATCAAGCAAAAAATCAGAAAACACATCATCCATATCAAAAATAGTCAATGCTTACCAACAATCAAACAGAGACATGAGGGGTGGTTGTTATTATAATGTGACAGCGACCGTTGTGGAAACAGCAAAGAATAACTTGAATAATCATTTCTGTCTATATGCCACAAATGCTGGATTTTTTAATACTCATGTTCATTCATGTTTAGGAAATGTTATTTCTGATGGCAGAATAGTTCACTCAAGTAAGAGACATAATGTAAATTTTGGAATTACCAAGGATGGCGAGTATTTCGTTGGATATTTGAATGAGAACACAGATTTAACCAAGTTTGATCAATTGATGGCAGGAGTTATTTGGCTTGTGAGAAAAGGTCAATCATTTGTTACCGAATCTGAAATGATTGAAGAAATGACCACACAAGAGACTGGTCCATCGTTTGTCACCGTACGTGCATCTCGATCTGCTATCGGTCACAATAAGGACGGTCATCTTGTTCTCATATCTATTGACGGTGACGGAAATCATAGCAAAGGGCCAACACTTCATGAATTAGCCTTGTTACTTATTGAACTAGGTGTCGAGAATGCCATTAACCTAGACGGAGGAGGATCTGTGACTGTTGTTCGTGACAATAACATCATCATCAACAGTGTCAGTGATGGATGTCATGCATCTGCCGACAACGACTATGATGCCGATTTTGGCAAAAGAAACTCATATTTTAGATGCCCTAGAAATGTCATGACTACTACATGTTTTCATGATTATTTGAGCGAAACGGAGAGAGCCATCCAAAAGGCACTTGTTGGACAAGACCAAGAGCAATTTTCTTCGAGAATCAATCAGTTTATATTCCTCATGCAAATATTGATTGCTTTGGTGTTAATTATTGGATTTTCTGTCATTATCCTGTTGATTGTTTTCACATGTTCCCTGTGTTGCTGTGGTGGAATTGGTGGCAGTCGCAGTGATACTCATGGCGTAAAAAAGCCAAGAAAAGGACCTAAATATGCCAAACTTAATGAAAATGACTTGGAAATGATGAACATGTCTATTGACGAAGACGACCAGAGTGAAAATGGAGATGTTCTTCAATCAGTGGACAAGGAATTTATGGAAACTCAGAGCCCTCAAACAACAACCAAATAGTTTTGATTAATATTGCGCACGAACTTCATAGAAATGAATGATCCAATAGGCTTCCTGGATCGTGTTGAATTACATGTCACTACTGATTTGGTCCTTGTGAGCTTGGCGATATTTTTCAGTATAATATGCATTTCGAGCGGCACTTTTCAAAACACACCGTTCATACTTTTTCCAATATCGTTCTGTTTTTTTCTCAAACTGTATAAAATGTAGAGGAAGAGCTCGATACTCTGCGAGTGGTCTTTTACAATTCAACACTGATTCTATTGTGATGATTTTCAGAAAAGTATATTGCATGCAATTATGATATTTGGCATAAAGGGAATAAATTTTGTGATTATCATATTGTGAAAAGTCTTCTCCAACAATCATTGATTGAGCTTTCCCTTCCACTGGTTCCTCAAGGATGTTTTCGTGCAAAACTTGTTGTTCGGGTTGTTTTAACAAGACATGCTTTCCGAAATAATCCAAAAAATTAGAATCCACTTTCGATTCCTGTAAATACGATTTCAATAAATTAATATTCACCAAATCATTCGGATAATTTTCTTTTTCCTTCTCAATAACTTCCAATAATTGGTCTTTAAATTCCCAACAATTTTTTATCTTGATCATCATTAATAAATCATTAAAATATTTCTGTTTCATCAATTTATATTCATTCGGCCGAATCGGTAAAGAGAATTTTCCATCATCACTTTCGGCAAGATTTCTATCAGTTACAGTTGTTCTCGGATGTCTTTTGGTTCTATCAAAGAGACCTCTCCAATTGAGTATTGGCCTCTCCATATTGGGATCAGGTGGAATGTGAGAACTTTGTGGAGGATACGATTTACTCATTTTTTTGATGGTGTTGAGGATGAGATTCTCAATATTAATTATTGATTGAAAGAAAAGGTTATTGCAATAGGGATTGTTTCTCGTCCTGGAAGAGATTATGAAATCAAAAAAGGTAAACTTCCAGCAAGCAAATGATCTCATCAATGCACAATTCGAATCGAACAGTGAAGAACCTATTGAGGAATTGAATGTCAAAAAGAAATAATTTCTGCCTATAAAAAAATTGTTTGCCCTTTGATTTTGGTCATTTTCGAGCATTCTGTGAAAAAGATTCATTATGCAGGTGCTTTGGTGCAATGTTCCTTCTTTAGAAAAGTGATTCAAAACATACTCTCGTTGAACTATATTTCAAAATACATCAAAAAGAGAAGAAAACGATTCAAGGAAGAATTTAGAGAAAAGGTCTTTGAAGGAACAGAGTTGCATTTCTCTATTGCAGGATCTAGTTGTCTCATTGAAGGATTCTTTAAGATGATTGAAAATTCAAAAGGTCTTCTACAACCTCTCACTCTTCCTGTATGCAAAAAAAGACAGGACCTTATATCGAGCCCCCATTCTTCAACACGATATAAAGACAGGAAAGAATTCCCTTGCTGTCATTTGGTCTTTGCAAGAAATGTCAGAGTTGCAAGATTTTGAAGTTTTTATTATTGGATTCAACTCTGTCATGAATGTGGATGAAATCGAAGAGATTACATACGAAAATTTTAAGGAATTTGGAATCGATCAACTCGAAAGATTCTCCACAATTGTTCTCATGTTTGATAGAGATTCCATCACGACTACCAATCTCAATTATTTGGTTCATGTTGTGGATCCCAAAATGGTCACACTCCATTTTTACTTTTCTCGACTCTCACATTACTACATGAGTGTTCTCGAGGTGAATCGAGAGGGAAGAGTTGAAAAACTTCCAGTCTGTGGAGTAGAATCTTTAATTTTTGATTCAGTGGAAGATGAAATCCGTACTTGGTGATTACATTCAATTTAGTATTCGATTCCACTCAAGTAATAGACTCAGAGATGTCATATCTTTTTTTGAAAGTTTAGGATACCATTCACATGAAAAGATAGCTCCAAAGAAGACTAAATATGTTGAATTGACCATTCCTGAATTGAACCATGGAGACAATGAGGCAGTGAAGAAGGCATTGATCTTTGTATGTTCGAGTGATATTGGAAACAGTAGTCACAGAATTACCCCTCAAACCTTAAAGAAATACAAGCTTGTGTTTTCAAAATCGAAAAGCAAGCTTGTTTGTGGAAAGATTTGCAAGACGTGTTACGCAAAATATGTTTCAGCAGCCAAGATCGATGATTTTGGATGTAAAAAGCAAAAGAAGTGAATTTGTGAAGATTCAATTCTTGTTGACGAGAGAGTATCAAACAGAAAATCATGAACGGAATTCTGAAAAAGGTGTGCTCCTCTTGCAAAATATTTTGATTCTCCGATCGGAGGATTTTCTGGGAGTGAGACATTAGAATTCCAAATTCAATTTTTCAAAAAAAAACAAAACACGCTTCCGATCACGAACAAGAATTCATTCCTTTTATTGATTCACTGATCACGATGATACAGAGTAACCAAAGCAATCACGGTAGCCATTCGGTTTCTTCCTTTCAAACTTCAACAACTTTGAATTCTTCTTCTAATCATTTATTTTCATCCAATGCCATGCCACCACAAACACAATGGGGTGAGCTCACATTAGACGATGAGCAAAGTCCTCTCCTTCAGACGCTTCAGAGAAGTATCTTTCATATTTACTTCACACCCCCGTCTTCTATGGTCGATCATCACATGACTAGTGCTGTCAGTAATCATTCCAACCCGACGTCCGATGTCAAGAAATTCAAATTACAACTGGTCCTGTTTTCGACATGTTCTCTCGAGAATCAAGATGAAGGACAACCTTCATCACGCTCTAGTTGTGTAGATTTGACTGTTATGTCTGCTGGTTCGTTCTTTGATCAGAGTCAATATTACGTCATGGTGAGAAAACCTTCGCTCATGATGGAGGCGTTAGCTGGAGTGACAGAAATGTATTTTTATATGCGAGATGATCGTGGAATTGAATACAAGAGTAAGATTTTTCGTTGCAATGAACACCAAGCAGGAACGAAATCACAAGAAATGACAATTGACAGCAACCTTCATTCAGATCATTCCCTCACTGTTGAAAAGAAACAAGTGTTGAAAAAGTTGAAAGAATCTCCTTTGGGATCTACTCTTTCAGAACCAATTTTCAATCAATTCTTGTCCCATTTATTTGACAAATTTGACCAATCCACTTGTGAATTATTTGGAACCACTTTTCCTTTGTTTGGTAACTATGATATCCAAAACTGCTCTTTCACACTGATCGACGGTGGCACAAAAAGAGATTCTGCTCTTCATTCCTTTTGTAGATTTTCTCGAATTCTCATGTCTCTTCACTTGGGAAAGTCATTATTATTTGTTCGACTTGTCAACTTTAAGAAACATGGTCAACCATCGACTGTGAATTCCAACAACAGCTTTCCAACCAAAACATCATCTCCAACCACTGCTTCTTCACCATCTTCTCAATCCTCTTCAAAATTAAGTTTTACCGAAACTCAGAATTTCAACTCTTCTCTCATTGAGCGCGCTTGCACTTCTCCCCTTTCCATTCCTTCCCAAAAAGGAAAGTATCATTTCTTTGCCACCAGTATTTCTGGAACAAAGGGAGACACTTGTTGCTTTGTTCATGAAAATTTCAATCTTCAACACTTGCGAAATTTATTGGGAGATTTTTCGAGAGCTGAGAAAAGTGGTCCTTGTAAAACCTTTTCGAGAATGGCTCTCAATTTTGGAAAATGTTTGAAAAGTGAAAGACCTCTCTGTGAAGAGAAGGAAGTTTGTTACTTGTCATCGAAGGAGGAAGAGGAATTTCCTGGAACGGATGGAATTGGATTTATTCATGAAGAGTTGGCTCATGAATTGTTGTTATCGGTGTATAAGGATCCATATGATGTGCAGGGTGAAAAATCAAAAACAAAATTACTATTTAAGGAAAAAAGAGAATTGAGAGGTATTGGTGCTATTCAAGTACGTTATGCTGGATGTAAGGGAGTATTGCAATTGATTCCTGCTTCGTATTGGTCCACTCTTCAGAAACAGTACAACTTGTCAGATGCCATTCGAGTGGTCTTTCGAGATTCCATGGTCAAATTTAACGGAAATACTCAAATCTATCCATATATGGATATTTTAAATTATTCCTCCATCCAAGGTGGATACATGAACAGAAATGACATGAGTTGTTTATTAATTCGATCTTCTCGTCCCAAAGAGATGCAACAAGTATTTCAACAAGCCTTAAAAGAATATCTCAATGAAATGATTGAAAGAAAAGAGGATCCTTCCTTCATTTGTAATCAATTATTTCCCATTCATCATGAAGAATCTACGATGGATTCTATGGAAATGGTCATTCATTCCATGGTCATGGCTGGTCAACGATTGGATAATCCATTTTTACAAAAGAGAATTCACAAAAAAATTAAGTGCAAATTTCAGAGCTTGTTGGATGATTCTGTAAATTTGAGAATTCCATTTCCATGCGTGGATTTAATTGCAGAAATTGATGAAAGCAGAGCATTGAACGATGATGAAATTTATGTTCCATGTGAAAAGTTGATTCAAGATTTGGGTTTTGCTGAATATCAAAAATTGGAATTTGTCATTGCGTATCGACAACCATTGACCTATGAAGGAGATTTTCAAAAATTCAAATTGGTGAAGAATCCACAAAATGAATTTTTGAAATCTCGTGTCAACTCCGTGGTGTTTCCAAAATTGAAAGGTCGCAAGTCACCTCATCAATTCATGGCAGGTGGTGATTTAGATGGGTAAGTGAAAATCAAAGTTACTTTCAATTATTTAATATTAATTCATTTAAATATTTAATGATATATATATATATATAATGAATTTTGAATATCTTTGAACTTTGACTTTTTTGGAAACTATTTTTAAAAGTGACTTGTACAAGATCATTTATCATCCAACAGTGGTCAAACTCTTTGATCAATTTTCTTCTCCAAAAATTGATTACGATGAAGGAAAGAAAACTGTCATTGCCACTCGTCCTCCAACCATTCACGAATGCATTCAAGCCAATATTAAGGCCTTCTCCAACAAGAATACTCATACAGGCCTTTTGTATTTTCATGCCTTTGTGTTACGTGAGAAACCACATTTGAATTTGGATTTGAGAAAACGCGTTTGTTTGGCACATGCAGAGTCAATTGATGCCATGAAAAGTGACACGCCTCCACAAGATTACAAGAAATTATATCAAGAAATTGATCAGTTGAAATTGAAAAGACCAGATTGGTGGGAAATGAAAGCTAATTTGAAATTGAAGAATTTATCAAAAGTTCTTCCCCTGTTCAATAATTCCTTTGAATGTGAAATGACCAAGATTGTAATGGAACAATTCAAGATTTTGAAAGAACAGAAAAAACCATACAACATGGTCATTGATTCAGATTTAATGAATGTCGGTAAATATAAGGAACATGAATTGGACTGGAAATTGGAATTCGAAAATAGTTTGAAAGAATGGAATTACACTTGGAGTTCTGAAAAGAATTCCATAACGTCAAATTTCAATCAACTCATGGATGAAACGAGCCAAAAACGACTCCATCGAAGAGCCATCACAGAACAGATTGTGAATGGTATTTATGAAAGCATTTCATCTTCTGTAGAAAATGATCATCAACGATGGTGGAAGAAATTTGTTGGAAACGACGAACAACAACACATCAATGAAGATGTTTTGCTTCATAAGGCATCGTATTGGTTAAGTTTGGCCTATGAAAATGAAACACAAGCAAAACGACCATTTGTATATACTTGTTGTTACATGTATTTGAATGATTTGAAGTGTAAAAGAAGTGCTCATAGAAAGCCACAAAATGTTTTGGCAAGAGTGGTCCATCCATCGATTTCAGTGAAAGTCATTTCAAAATAAAGACTCGAATTATCTTGAATTTGTGTGTATCTGTTTAAATATACATATATACATTGACCAATAAGCTAAACGCAAGATGAATTGCTCGACTTGTTGTTGACATTCTGGGGTATTAATACATCAACTTGTCGTAAAGCCAACCCTTCATATGAACCACCCACCATCAAAAAATTGTATACAACGCTTCTTCCATCCTTTAACGGTTTTTTAATAGTTTCTAACATCATCTTCTCTCGAGAAACATCAATCTTTCAAAAAACGATCATGTCCCTCCGGTCATCATCCGTACTACTTTTGCTTGTGTTATTTAGTGCCTTACTCGTTGTTGCTCATTTGGTGGATGGCAAGGAACACCATCATCAACTTCAGCAACTACCACAGAAACAACCAACCGACATGAATGATCATTCAAACGCTTGGATTAATTGCCAATGTATTTGTTGCGGAGTGGATATTTACGAGAAGATTGAAAACCGAGAGAGATTGTTGGAGAGAAATTTAGAGTATATTCAAGACAATCGTCTCTTCTTGAAGACATTCCATTTCAATCATCACCATGCGGTAAAGGAAGAAATGATTGAAAAGAATTACGGAAATGTGATCAACAACATTTTCAAATCATTCGCTCGCAAATGATCACCGAATCTCACTGTATTATATAATTCAATTGTACCATAAACAAATTCATGTCCGTGAAAATCAAACACACAATTTACTGTGCCACTCATCGCGTGTGAAACCTTAATAAAAGAATTTTTCAATTCTGTTGATGATCATTTCTCAACAGAAGTCAATTTTTCTGCCAACAACTCGGTTCTCCACAAGTTTCCACATGACCTTGCGATCTTGCATACCAATCATTTCCTATGACTTGCACCTTTCTTGTTAGCAGCAACGATTTTATGAGCCGTATTGAAAACTCCCTTAGTGTTTTGTCCACAGCAAGCACAATGTGGCTCCTTTCCTCCATTATATCGATCGATGGCACATTTACTGCAAAAGTAATGTCCACATAAGGTCACAATTGGATCTTTGAATGGCTGTCTACAAATAAAACATGCATGAGGTAATTGTTGTGAGGAGTCTTTTTGTGCACGAGCATCTTCGAGCTTTTTCTTTTGCTCGTTTTCCCATGCCTTTGTATATTCAATCGAGTTGACGTATTTTCTCGTACGTGTGCAAATTTGCAATTGTCACCATAACCACAAAATCCAGTTTCGTAATAATCCTTGCAAATATCTGGCTGATAATCCATTCTGCTTGTGACACGAACATGCTTTGAAACTTTTGTAGGACCAACGTCTTTCTTTTTCTTTTCTGTATCCAATTCATCAAATTCATTCACGTTCGTCGAGGTTATCCGATCCAAATAGGATTCATCATGTTTTCCCTCTCGGTTTGCCTTGATAATAGTGTCATGAATGGGTAAAACACTTTTCGTGTGGCTTTTTGTAGAAGATGAAAGAAGAGATTTTTCTTGATTCGATTTGGATTTTCTATCTTTGATTTTTTCGGTCGGTAACACATCTACAATATTGTCCTCATCATTCTCATGGCCGGAATTAGCAGTGATATGCTCACGCTGCGGACTTTTTTCATTACTTGCTGTTATATTATTTGAAATTGTTGAATTTTCATTGCCAAAATCATAATTCTTCACTACAAGTTGAGTATCTTGATGTTCTTCATGTTCCTCATCATTTTCCGAAGGCTTTGTTTTTTTGATTGCTCTCTGATTGGAGAGTTGAGCCTTGCTGGTGCGTTTTTTAATCATTTTTTTTAATATTTTTAAAATTTTGAAAAAATTGAACCTGAAGAGTTTTCAATTCAGTTCATCATGCATGATGAATTCAGGAATTCGAATTTATTCATTCATATTAGGACGGATCATTTAAAAACCAATAATGATTTATGCAAGAGACCAACGTAGTTGTCCTCTCATTTCATTCAATGACACCTCTCAGTAGGATGTGATTTTGTCTCCATAAGAATGGACTTGTGTGCCTTTTAAAGAATAGATTTTGTCGTTATTGTGATCGCACATAATCAATCGCGGTGCTTCAGAATTCATGACTATTGTGACCATCATAATTTTCTTCAACGCACAGATGGCATGGATATGAAAATGGAATTTTTCACTGACTAGTTTTTAAATCAAGAGCAATGATTCTTGTTGTCCTTTCAACCTCTTCTCTCTTAGTGCGTGAAAAAAAAAATGACCTTCTTTCACTTTGTTTCCACCTTCCTATTGTCCTTTGTCTCTCCCTATGTCGTATATTATTCAAAACAGTCATCATCAGCGACATCATCATCGGGATTAAAGGAAAAAGATGAAAGAAGATTTAGTAATATTGTGGTCGGAATTGTTGCCTATGGCTTAACATTATTTTGTAAAATGTTTTTAATTGCTGTGGTGATTCAAGATGGAACCAATTTGCAAAGTGGAGCAATTAATTTTGATGATACTACTACATCATCGGGAATGGTTGAAAGTTTGAGTTTTTCCTTTTTAATTACCGAAGTGCTGAAAACATTGATTGGTGCTTTGGATATGATCGGAATTTACTTCTTGCTATCTTCAAGATGGCTGTTGGGCGACCAGATTTCACAAATTTATGGATGTGCTATTGGATGGACAATGGGTGATAATTTATTGAATCGTCTAATTCCACTTTGGTTTAGTACTCGTGGCTTACAATTTGAAACAAAGGCTCTCCAAATGGCTGTCTATTCCAATGTTGTCATGCTTGAATGGATTTCTGTGGTGATTTTTGTTTTCCTTTACAGTAGAAAAAAGTATGACCAAAAGACCTTTGCTTGGAATGCTTTAGCAGCTCTTTCTGTGGTTCCACTTGTGGTCGAAATTTTGAAAATCCTACTAGGTCTGAATCAATGCGTATGGTGCTTGGTTGGAATTAAGGCTGTCGTGTATGGTGTCACCTTGTTGATTGCCAATTCAAGATACTCTCAATTTGAACAACAACAAAAGTAAATTATTGAAATGATGCTTTGGTGTGATTTTGAAATATCCAAGAAGAAGTGTCGAATGATTGAAGGATGAATTGTTTTTCGCATCATCATGTTGTTCGATCAAAATCGACCTGTTCGTACATATGCACCACAGCAACAATTTGTATTTCATATCAGCCACGTGCAAAGTTTAGTTCAAATTTGGAGTGTACGCGAAGATCCAGTTCAGATTTTTCAGAGATTGGGCAAAACCAATGAGAGAAAAAAATTCAAACACACACATCATCACTGATTAGGTCCCTGCTGACTTTTGTACACACCGCGCCCTTCCCACACTATTCCGAAGAACATTGTCCCTACTTGAAGCGCAATAGTGCGACCGATGATCCAAGTGTGCACACTACAAGTGCATCATATTTTCCTCTCACCACTCTCTTTATTGGATTTTCTTAAAATTTGTCGTCCACACCACTTCAACCACACACTCCAACTCACACTGCAACCACACTTCAAACGCGTTGTCTCCATGAACGATCACAATAACCAAACAAGGCGATCCGAGAAGGAAAATACCACCGATCCGAGTAGTAGTAGTAGTAGCACCAGCAGCACTTGTAATTTCTCCAATAGAAACAATCCTTCCACCACTCCTTCTTCTTCTTCATATACTCTCTTCAATCCATCTTCATGTTCTTATTGCTATCATTCCAAATTGGATAGCCTTTTGAGTGATTATCTTCCGTGCTCGAGTCGGGATCTCCGAGAATATTATGGAACCGAGCACTTTGTTGAGTTGTGTTCGATTTTGGCCACATCATGTTGTAACACGAAAGAACAACAGCAATATTATAATTCCTTCATGAATAAGAACTTTTCATTGGGCTCACAACTCACTGCATCTTCGCAACAGGAGATTGAGAATACAGTGGTGGCGAATCTATTTGTGTCACCAACAGAGAGACAAGCCATGGTGAATGCAATCACTCTCAAGGCGATCAAATTGGTGATCGATCCAAGTACGGCCAAAATTGCCTTAAATTTTCACCCTCGTTTTGAACATTCACTTGGTTTTTTACCTGGTCGAACCTTTGTGGTGATGGGAAATAATGAGAGCAATTGTTTGGGATGCTCCACTCATGAATGGCTCAAATTTATAACTGGTGACACTGGCTTAGAACTTAAAAATCCACAAACCATGTTCTTACCAGAGAACTTTGAGGATGATCAAGAGGATTTGTTTGAAAGCTTAAAGTTGTCACCAAAAATTTATTCAATCAGTGACAGCAGTTCTGAAATTGAATTTGTTTCAACGGGTCATGATTTTAGTATTTTTCTGTTTAAGTGTGGATGTATTGGATTGTGTGGAACATGGTCTGAAGGATCTGCTCCATTATTTCGCTATACATGGTCAAAACCTTTGAAAACTGTTTGTCCTTCAATGTTTGCCACTTTTTTCATATCAAGTAAGTGATTATTCAATGAGGATTTCAATGCGATTGTGTGATTGTGACAAATTAATCACCTCATATTCTCAATTATTAGGTGACTGCAAATCCATTTACTCATGGGGTTTTAATTCTCAGGGTCAAGGAGTAAGTTTTTAAAAAACAATTTACAAGATTTGAAATTTACTGAAACATAATAGTCCACTAAAGTGGGTGATGCATTTGTTTTACCACGGCGAGTTGATCCAAATTTGTACAATAATGAATCGATCAAATTGGTAAAGATTGGCTCTGAAAATTCATACCTGATCACAGAAAATGATAAATTGTAAGTAAGAATGCGAGACATTCCTTTTCAAAAGCCCACCTATTCATTGTTTAGATTCGTTTCTGGATGTAACAGAAATCATGAATTAGGAATTCCATGGAAGGATATTACAGAAGGAAATGACAATGACACTACTACTTTTCACTTTGATTACCCAATTCAAGACAACATTCTCGAATTAATTAAGGAACGAAAAATCATTTCTCAATTTACACAAATAGACTATTTACCGAAAAATATAACTCTTGTCGATCTCAGTATTGGAGAAAAACATGTATTTGTTTTGACTGGAGATGGTGAAATCTACTTTACTGGACAAAATTCACATGGTCAGCTTGGTTATGAAGACATTACCGAACAATGGACATTCCAAAAGCACAAATGGACTGACGAAAACAATACTCGCATACGATTGATCCATTGCTTTGCCAATTCTACCCTATGGGTGACCGTGAATGATGAAGTCTATATTTGTGGCGACAATGCTCTATGTGAAATGGGCATGAAAGACACAGAGAGTTGCATCATGACTCCAATCTTGCATCCCACACTCAGTTATCAAGGAATTTCTAAATTCTTTGGAACGAACAATATTTTCGCTCTCACCTACGATGGTAGAATCTATTGCTGGGGAAGTAATGAGAATAATGAACTCGGCCTTGACGAGGAGACTCTTTGTGACAACCCAAATGGTATTGAAACACCCGTTCGTAATTATTTCCTCGAAGGAATTTCTCGAACCGTTTGGGAACGAGGATACAAACTTGAACTCTCTGCTGGCTTCAACCATACCATTGTTTACTTTAAGAACATTTCCAAAATGGTGACCATGATGTTCTCAAAATTAGAACAAGCTTCTAAGGGTAGTGAATATGCAAGTAGCTTTTCCGATATTTCTATTCGAATAATAGAAATGACAGAAAATGGAATTGAACATGGTATGACCAAGGATGAAAATGGAATCGAAAACACCCATTCTGAGAGCCTGTTGGTGAAACGAAAGCTTTCGACAAGTCTCTCTTCCTCCTATGGAGAGGAAGATGAAGAGAGCAACAACTCAACTTCTCTCCATTACGGTGGTGGACACACCAAGAAATCAAAGCCCTAACAATTGTAGTTTCCTTATATCGATATATTAATTCGATCACATGGAATGTCTCGTTGAGGTGAGACAAGGTGAATGCATATGCATTGGCGAGGTCTTGGAATTCTAACACCACTCTCTGCGATATGGAAAAAAAGTGAAAAAAAATGAAAACATTTAACACCAGCAGCGACTACGACGACTCTCTTGATGATGATGTGATGGCATTTCAAAGAAGTTTACTGAAACATTTGTTGAATTGTTACATGTGGAAGGAAATGGATAGAGTCAAGAGTGGTCATGTATTGTATGATTCGATTCGGAAACAATATTTGAAAAAGCAACAAGATGAAAAAACAAAACGGAAATTGAGTGTTGATCATTTATTAAATCATTCGGTGAATGATATCTTTCTATTTCATAAGGCCATGATGTAAAATGGTTTTCTTTCCGAGCTCTAATGGAAACAAAAGAACAAAAGAAAAAAGCCTTTTTTGTCTCCGAAAATTAAGATTAGAAAAAATGGCTTCACAACGATGGAGACGAGTGACTACTTCTTTCATTGAAATTGTTGATCAACAACTAAGCGGAAAGAATGATCATTATTCTCCACTTTCATCATTTGTAATACTGTGTAAAAGATCGGAAAAGGTTAATTCATTTCCTCATCATTGGGCTGCATTTTCGGGATCTATCGAAAGAAATTCTCATTCAGTTGCAAAATCAACAACACCAACCACAACCTCTTTGTCTTTAGCCAATACGAATGATGTATCATCCGTACCAACCGATAGTTATAAATTGAAAGTAGATAGAACGGATCATCCACCGGAATTTTCTGAAACCTTTAAAGAAAATGCGTTTGAATGTGCCATCAGAGAGTTGGAAGAAGAAACACAGCTTAAAGTTGGAAAGCATTTGCAGTTTATTAGAAGCGGAAGAGTTCAATGGATACCAAGCAATACCAATTCCGAGAAAAAAGGATTTATTGTTTATCCTTTTCTATTTAGATTTAACCTCTCAAATGTGAATGAATATAAGAATAATGAAATAGATTTTACTTCGCTCTCAAAAAGGGAATTGGAAGAATCAAACTTTAAAATTGACTGGGAACATGACACTTTTGAAATTTTCAACGTTGAGAAGTTTTTACGTCAACGTGATGATTCACATTCAGTTCAGCAAGATTCTCCCTCTCTAACCAATACTGTTCCTAATTTGAGAGAAACGCTTCATCGAGTGTTTTTCACCTCTCAAGATTATTCCCTTGAAGAAGAAATTGACAAACAAATTGTGAACAATTTCTCCGATGGAGCAAGCCAAATAGCGTTGAAATCCATTGAAATATTGAAAAAGGGAGTACAATTGTATGGAGGTTTGACATATGAAGATATTCCTGCTTTCTTCAAGTTAAATATAAACAAAGGATCTGAAAAAAACCATGAAGCAGTTGTGGCACTTTATATTTATGAAAAGCTCAGAGACTTGGTATGGCATTTGGATAACTGCAGAAAAGAAATGCCTTCTATTGGAAATTTAGCCATCTACATATTTCACAAAGCGATATATTTTGAATACTCAAAGGACACTACCACACAGAAGAATAATCAACTTGATACACTGAAGAAAATATTGAAAGGTCAGTCAATTACAGAGTGGATTTCAAACATGGAAATGAAAATAGAACAACACCTCAATCAAGTCAAAGAAAATTCAAACAAGATCTCTCAACGGTTTCTTGAAGCCATTCAGCACACACTTGGACCACTGTCCAAATTAACAATCTTGACCCATAGCTGGAGCAGTAACACATTGTTCTCTCTTCATAAGCTCATGACACATTACTGCAACAAATCTGGAGATGAGTTTGAGTTAACAATATTTGTCACAGAATCCCGACCAGAAAATGAAGGATATAACACCGCAAAACAACTTGTAAGATATGCTTCTGATATATCTCGTAACGTATCAAATAAGAAGTGCAACATTAAGGTTCAAGTTTGCACGGAGGCTTCTGTTGGCTATCTGTGTCGAAATCATATCATTGATGCCATTTTAGTTGGATCCGACTCTGTTCAAATGCAGGATGGCCATCGAATTATCATTTCCAACAAAACTGGAACTTGCATGCTTCATACCATTGCTGAGGCCTTTAAAATACCTTTCTTTGTATTGACAGATTCTCTCAAATTTAAGTCAAAAGAAACACTGAATGATGAAGAGGATATGATGACTAGGACTCTACATGAATGTGCACACATGAACGTACAGTGTTCTGAACAAGAAGAAGCTGATCTTCCCAAGATCTTCAAGCAGCCGCTTTTTGAGACTGTTTTCATCGATTATAGCCAACCAGAAAAGAGCAAGACACAGTTAATTTTCGAATGTGACAAATCCTTACAGGACATTCAATCGGAATTTGATTCATGGAGAGAAGATGTTTATGGGTTGTAGCTTTCCATAATAATGATCATTCATTTACTAGCTTATATAGCTTTCCATAATACACAAAACTGCGCCACAACAGAGATAATCCATCATCCTATCATTTCACACTTCTCATGAACAGCAATGAGAGTTTCTTTCGCAGGCAACACGATGCGCCAAATTTGGCGCCCAGAGCAAAATTCCAAAAAACAATTCGTTACGAAAAAACAATACGCAAAAAAATGTCTTCCTCAATACTCGCCGCCAACACTCACCATGCAGCAGTGACGCGGAATGAGAGAGATAGTAAGGCTGTTCTTCATCAACAACAACAACAGAAAGCAAGAACGCAGAACAACTTTGACAATGCTTCCAATGGAGGGTCTACTGTGAGGCCAGCTTCGGCATTGGTTTCATCCACGAATCGGGAGGTAAAGACTCGATCCAGAGGGAGTAGTAATGTAACGTTTAAGGAGGGACATGAAGTGTTAGAGGGACCTCCTGCGATGACGTCATCGTCAAGAAATAACAACAACAATAGTAATAGCGGAGGAGGAACTTCTAATAGTTCTCGGAATCAGGGAACGCCAACGATGGTTTCGACTACCACTTCACAACAACAAACCCTCAACAGTAGCTCCCCGTCAATACAAGCACAACAACAACTGATCTCAAGCCACATCTCTTCACGACAAATGCAACATCATGGAGTGGAACAACCGAGTGGATCTCATCGAGCCAGGTTGGACATTGTTAGCGATGTTGGTGGAACACAAACGAATTTGGAAAATGCTCCAAAAGTTGCTCACCCTCTGATACCGACTCTACATGAACAACAAACAAAAACACAAAGTGACAAAAATTCACCCTTGTTGGGTGGACCCTTAATAGAATTTGACGAATTGCTAGAATTTGTCAAGAAAATTGTGAGCATTAGTGAGGCTTTGAAAGATTCAAAACTGAAGAAAAATGGAAATGTTATTCATATACGATTGTTACATATTGAGGTGAGTAGAGAATGTAAAGCATGTGGATGTTCTGACTTGGACAACCATTTGGATTTAAAATATACAATGTAGGATGAAGTGACGCACTGGGGAAGAGATTTAATTAAACAATCGAATGACAAACAAATAGGAAAGGCTCTCCAGTTACTCTACCAACAATTAACAAAAGTACATACCCTCCTTTCTAAAATTCAACGGTGTAAATGGTTTGTAGATATACGATTCTCAAAGAAGGCAAAAAAGCTCACAGAAGAATTGGACAATGTGACGACAATTTTAGGAGTGAGCATTACGTATTTCAAGGCACAAACTGCCTATGCCAATGTACATAAATTAGGCATAGTGTCAGGATATCCAGATATTGACATATTTGATCTTGACGACAAGAATAATCTTGCTTTGGCAGCTGACCGATTTTATATGGGACATGGTGTGACGCAGAATTTTGAAATGGCCTATCGACTCTATTTACACGCAGCACGGTTAGAAGAAGCACGGTCACAATATATCGTAGGCTCAATGCTCATTGATGGTGTTGGAGTTGAAAAAGATTCTCGACTTGGTGTCAAATGGATCCTTAAATCAGCTTCTCAGGACTACCCCGATGCTCTCAACCAAATGGGAATTTTCTATGAGACTGGTTTCATTGTGGAACAAAACTTTGAGACGGCAGCTAAATTTTATTTAAGGGCCTCTCATATGGCTCACTTGGATGGCATGACGAACTATGCTGCTCTTCTCTTACAAGGAAAGGGTGTGGAGAAGAATGAAAAGAAAGCAGCATGGCTCCTAAAGAAGGCATGTGAAAGAAATTATGCCAAAGCACAGAATGAACTCGGTGTCATGTACTACAAAGGATTAGGAGTTGAGGAAGCTCCTGACAAAGCTGTTGAACTTTTCACGCAAAGTGCTGACAAGGGAAATGTGTATGCTCTCAACAATTTGGGAATTGCTTACGAAGAAGGAAAAGGTGTGGTTCGTGACTATGCAAAGGCTACCATTTGTTATGAAAAGTCTGCGAGACTTGGTAACATTAACGGTTTGAACAATTTGGGATATATCAAATTATTGCAGAAACAATATGACCAGGCATTGGATTTACTGCATGAAGCTGCAGATCGAGGAAGTGTGGATGCCATGTATAATATTGGCAACATGTACAGGTTAGGGTTAGGTGTGACTGCCGATATTACCATCGCTTTCAAGTTTTTCTACAGAGCTGCCACGTTGGGACATGTCAAATCTCAACGGATTGTAGCTGATATGCTTTATTCGGGCAAGTATGAGTCCATTCCAGCTAACAAAAAAGAAGCAGCATCGTTTTATTACAAGGCTGCCCTTAATGGAGATGCTGAAAGCTGTAACAATTTGGGAATAATGTATGAAGATGGTTGTGAAGGTCTTCATAAGGACGAGCAAAAAGCAATCGAATGGTTTCGACGAGGGGCAGAACTTGGAAGTGACAATGCCATGTATAATCTTGCAACAATTCTCGAAAGGAGGAATCAACAAGAGCAAGCAAAAGCGCTATTACGTCGTGCAAGCTCAATGGGAAATAGCAAGGCCAGAGAGAGAATTGGTATTGTGTTGGAATGAAAGGCCTTCCTATTTTAAACCCACACAAATGTACAGTGATGACACCTTCAAATAAGATTTATTTATTTATTGCTCATGATCAATGTATTGAGATCCATGTTCACTCAAGTGAGCAGCACTTGTCTTGGCATCAAAGAACATATCGTGCACTTCTTCAATATCTTCAGCTGTGACTTCTTCTCTTCCATTTGTCTTGCTCAAAATATTTGCTGGAGTTAATAATTGAACGGCATATCTCAGTGATGTTTTATCACCAATTTCTCCTAGCTTTTCCAAAGAACCTGGTGCCAATTGGATGCCTTCCGTCTTGGCTCTTAGAGCAATGATTTGAACAATTTCATTGAGTCTATAGAGAGATGTCTTAATAATTAGCAATCGATCAAGCAAGTCTACTGGAATTCCGTGAGGAGAAACAATTTCTGTACCTCTAATCTTACAGTTTGCTCTGTTCGTGGCAAAATGACAATTGGAGCAAGAGTAGACTCCAAAGCTCTGTTAAGATATGTGAAACATTCAATATCGAGCATGTGAACTTCATCAATAAATAACACACCAGGCACTAATTCAGCAACACCTTGATCAATGTACTTGTTAACAATTCTGTTGACTTCGGTTCTCAATTTTTCAGTGATTTCTGTTTTCTTTGGTTTCATCATGCTATTCATAATGCTAAACATGTCGTGTCCTCCTTGTGGTCGAGCATTTGCAACATCCAAATCATGCAATGTAACATCTTGAATAACTTCCTTCTTCTTGTGAACGTCACCTTTTGGTATTGGCACATATTCCTCAGCTTCCAAATCATGTTCAGCAATATATTCATCGGATCTACCAACTCGCTTCACTGCACCACTGTTAGCTTCAATGTAAATCACGTCACCAATTTGAACTTTTTTCTTTTTGAATGGATTCATAAATGGATGGATCCAACCTTAGAGTTTTTGTGCCTTTAGTAGTCTTTAATCCAATTAAAACATGCTTAATCACTTTGCTTCCATAGTTTGTAGAAAGTTCATCCTCAGCTTCTTCGGGCGTCAGTTGAATCACAACTCCCTCATAGACTTCTTTTTGTTCTTTGATTCTAATTCCGATACTTCTTCTAAAGTTTTCCATGAGAATTTCTGTTTTCTTGACTTCGGATGAGTATACTTCAGATCCGACCATTGGGCAGAAGGGTACTTTCTTTCCTAATTCTTGTGAAATGGCAAGAGAAATTGCAGTTTTACCTGTATGGTTGTATTGAACGAAAATTTCACAAATTTCATGAATGTCATTTGTTCGAATTTTGTTGTGAATGCAAGTTGAATATGTAATTATTGATAAAACATGTGTTAAAGTGTAGAATGTTTGCGGCATTCAACATTTCCGAATATGATCTCCAAATATATCGGGAAACAATAATTATTTAAATACAAACCTGTTCCTGGAGGTCCAGCCAATAACAAGGCTCTACCAGCCATCTTTTTGGACTTGATTAAATCGACAACCACTCCTGCGGCTTCTCTGGCACTCTCTTGACCAACTAAGCCTCCAGCTTCATTGCTGGCAACTTTTCCAGTGATTGGATCCAATCCGAGGCCTATTTGTATCATACACGAGTGATTGTTGTGATTCCATCGTCATGATGTCATCCGAATTCAAAAACACGAACAACCATAGCAATATATTTGCATGGCACACAATGATTAAATGATTGTATTCAATTTTATCTTCTACATACCCGTAATGTGTGAGTGAGCAGCAATACGGAGTGTCTTTTCAGTGGATGTAACTTCTTGAATCTTTACGGAAGGCATTGTATAAGAATCGTCTTGTTGTATTTTTCTTTTGAAGAATTTTATTCATCACCTCATACAACAATTCCGAGAGTTAAAGTCAAGGACCTCAAAAGTGATGTTATGATGGTGTACAATGTTTTCTCGTGATGATTAATAAATCATCCATACGGATGTTGTTCTTGTTTGATGATTGATTTAAAAAGGAGAGTCTCTTGGTGTAGAATACACACTCAAATTCCCATTAACCAGCAATGATGATACAACGAAACGATGATATGAATCATATCGTGATGAGATGGCGACTGTAAAGTCTATTTTTCCTTGGTTTGTTGTTCTTGGTTGGATTCCGGTTGTTGTTTTGGAACTTCTCCTTCCTTGATCTTTTCAATAAATTGATTCATCTTGGTTGGTGTTGGAATCAGTCCGGGATGATGTTGGTAATACTTTTGTTTGAATTCTTTAATCTTGAGGTCTCGATGATACTATTTCATTGGAAGATGGGATGTACAAATAATCGATACACCATGATGGAGATTCGGAATGTTTTGTGGATGAACAAATAAATCGGTAGATCCAACAAGACATCAATACATTTGCATAACATTTACAAATAATAATTGTCATCATCATTCATGCAACTCATCAAGATTAGGAGTCTCTCAAACCTACCGAAACAGTGTCCAAATATCGATAATCCTCTCTTGTCAATGCGTTCATCACATAAAAGCCTCCGAGTAGAATGGTCGCTAAAGTAAACCCATAAGCTCCAGTTTTCAGAATAATTCTCGGAACAAATTTCCTCTCCAATTGTTTAAACATTTCAGGTGTAATCTCTGGAGGAACATTTTCATTGAGGGGTGGTTGTTGTTGGTTCATGTTGAAAATGGTGATGGTGAAATTTTTTGTAAGTATTGAAGGAAATCATGCACCCCTTCGAAAGCAGAAAACAAATGGTTTTGTTTTATTCATGAGGAGATTGGAATATTGTTTTGAATTGATTTTTCAAATATTGTGAAGGATTCAGTGACTTGAAATAATTACAAAGGCGTTCATACATGGTTTCTTGCACTTTTCTAAATGTATCGTCCTTCTGAGCCGTGCGTTCTTTTGTCAGGGAATACACAACAATTCCCATTACAAGAATGATTAAGGAGATGACATCAAATAAGGAAAGTTGAGATTCAAACGCTTCTCCAGCAATAAATTTCACAAGAAAGAATAAATTACTCAATGCCAACCTCGAAACAGCTGCAATCACAGCTAAGGTGGAACTTCCATATTGAAATACATATAACTATGTAAAGGTCAATTTTCTTTAAAAGATTGCTTCGAAAGTGAACTTACCTCCAAAGTTGCATAGGTGAAATTAAAAAACAAATCAATCCAAAACACTGCAGGAAATCCTTCACATCGATCCGGTACAGGACCATCCATGATGGTGTTCACTCCCACACTACACTTAATTCCTCCCCAAATATATTTGGTAATTCCAAACCAATCAGAGTACGCAGTGCCAGGAAGTGGAACAAACACAAACAATGAGGTCAAAATTCCAAATAACACTTGCCAAACGGAGACCCAATAATTGACAAGCCAAACGTCGAGCTGTTCTTGTTTTAAGCATTTTTCCTTATAAACATTGCTTGCTGCTGCTGGAATGTTGGAAGAAAATAACAATAAAACCCATAACCAGTTCAAGTCATAGGAAGAGTCTGAAATTTGACCAGAATCGTTTTGTGCAAAGAGTGGAAACATTAATAGCCAATCCACAAATGACTAGAATGACACCTGACATGTGAAAGGAGTTGTATCTTGCATGAAGGAAGACGAAACTAAATGCAATGTTTAACACAACGACTGCTTGAGAAAGCATTGTGTTCACACTTCCACTTAAAAAGGCAGCAGGAATTGTGGAGAGTGTATTAGTGGCATTGTCTAGAAAGGCCATCACAATGTATTTGTATTGAGGTGTTCTTTCGATGAACAGTTGAAACAAAAATCTGAATCATCTACATAGACTACTTACTCTCTCATGGCTTTTGTAATTTTTCCTCTCCATCTTTGAATGACCACAATTGGGAAGAGTATAATCACATAGGCCACATTGACAAAGTTTGTTAACATGTATCTATATATGCCAAGATTGACAAAAGTTGTTGAAAAGGTCCACTTTGACATTGCCATTATTGTTGCTCACTTACATGTAATTTTGAATTTCATAGGTTAAACGAACATATAAAACTGTATCGCAACTCTTTGCAATGACCATCACGATGGTTAGAAGATAAAGCACAAGCGATTTCCAGACGGATCTCCATTTGTATGGTTTAAAAAGGGTGTCATTTTGCATTAATTGAGGAGATAATTCCTGTATGTTATCACAGAAATTGTCTTCTGAGTGGTTGACACTCATTACTCGAGATGAAAGAAGAGGAGAGTCCTCAAACAGAAGAGGAGTATTCTCACGTGGTAAGGATTCAGGTGAAAAGGTCATGTAGATGGTTTTTTTGTGTTTTTCATCGATTTCAATTTCATAAAACACTTTAAGCAATCCTTTCGGTCTTAAACATATAGATTGTGAGTCAAAATAATCTCCTTTTGGAATATTATCCAAATTGTGAGTATCCATGATTATCCGTGAATAACAGTTCTCTGAGTTTGAAAGTAATGCAAATCCAGAACATACTTTGTAAACTATTTTCAAGAATTTTCTGTTGTTGTTCAACAAGAATGTATTTTAATAATTTGAAAAGAACTAATTGTTGATGTTTCCGCCATTCTGATCATGTTATTGATCAATCAATTCATTGGTTCTTGACCAGTTGTGGTCTATAGCACCATCGGAAGGTTGACCTAAGGCGCAAACGATGAAATTGTAAATTTTTTTCTTTTTGAAACAAAAAATTTTCAAAATGCGAGGAAACCACATGAGAGCATTGGCCAAACGAGCTTCGGCTTTGATTTCTTCTTCTTCCACAACAGGTAGAGCTTCATCATCATGTATAAGAATGTTCTCAACGAGTACGAGCTCAGTGATGAAAATCTATGGATCGAGTGAGATGAGCCTCTTCAATGCTGTTTCCTCTTCTTCTTCTTCAAGGTATATATTTTGTTATGATTATTTATCAACTTGATGATGGTGGAGTGTAATCATCTTATTATATGAAAATTTGTTTGTTTCATGTCATGATGATGGTGATTTGGATGAAATTGCTCCCTTCTCTCGGACGCAACTTTTGTTCATCAACTTGGAAAACACGCTAGAAATTCTTCATCGAGAAATATAAGCATTAGAAATATGGCAAACGGTGCGGCTTTCGGGCAATTCACAGTTTTTGGATCAAACGATGATGATGGTTAGTATGGTTCGTAGCATCATGTTTTCAGTATGTGTGGATTTATTTGAATCATCATGATGATGACAACAACATTTCGGAATTTTAAAATTCAACAGGTGGATAGTACTGCTTGTATGGTGTGTATTCTTTCTTGGCGAATATAGTTTCCTTTTCTTTTACCTGTAATCATAATTCATTAACAATCATTCATGTTCTCATAATAATTTTCATTCGTCGATTGGTTGATTTAGCAAACCTTATATATACTTACTGGGATGTTTATTAAAGGTGTTTGACAATCTGAATGTTTGACACGACTCGACTGACCTAAATGATTCAAAGGAGAATCATTTCCCTCCCCAACTGTATTTATTAACACTTTCTCATCAATTTTTGGATACCTCTATTGTGTTCTATTAAATCTAAATTGTTTTTTTCTCAATAATGCATAAACTCTATTTCATGTCGTGGTTTGGATCATCCTTTTGCATGCAGTTCAAAAACAAAGTTGAAAAAAATGCCAGCATCAAGTATGTTCACACCTATTTTGGTTGTTTGTGACAAACCGATGATCTCATTGAAATATTTAAATTTATTCATTACGGAATGAAATATTGAAACTATTGAATTGCAACCATTCCGATCGGACTTTTTAATCGTTTTATTATTATGATTATTCCACGAAACAAATGGCTTGCTTGTTTAACCGAAATTTCGGTTCAAAGAGAAGAAAATTAAACAAAAATTAAAGCAAAAAGAAAAGAAACAATCCTCCAAATTGAATCCAGAAATTGAAGTTGAAAAAAAAATTCCACAAAATGCAAATGATTTTCAACAAACATTGGATTCTATTGCCAATCAATTGTCTTCCATGAATTCTCTTGGAGAACAGGTGAATCAGTACGATGATGAAGACAGTGCAAGTGTAGTCCCATCACAATTGGCAAAGAAAAGAGGTATTCAAAAAATTCAATCAAAGAAGAAAAAGGAAAAACAAAAAAAGAATTTAGAAAAAGCTCTTTCTTATCAAGAACGGTTAGATACAACTGTTGTTAAGGATCTTCATTCACAAATCATGAAATTACCAGAAGAACGACAACGAAAACATAGACCAGTGAAACAGTCAGCCATCAAGCAGTAATTTACATTGAGTTGTTGGAGGTCGACACTTCTGAGTTGAATCAAAATTTGGTATGTTTCATTCCAACTAAACTGTCATTTCCTTACTATTAGTAACAAGTACATACTATTTATGGACATTAGTAATAATACAATTATCGAATTCTCTAGTTACAATCTTCAAAATTTTCTTCTTCTTCGTCACTTCCTATGCTAATGTCGCCAGAAATATCAATGTGAAAATTATCAATATCAATACTTTGTGTTTTGCCAACCGCTCTTTTGATATAATGACTGAGCTCTTTGCCTCCACTACTCTGTAAGTTTTTAATGTGAAAAGTTTTGCGAACTGGAGTGATGATTTTGCTCTCTTGAGGGCATGCAACTGCTTGAGAGCTTGTCGAGACATTTTGAGAATTTTCTACGCTAGCTGCATCAGTTCGAGAAGCATCATTCTGGAGAGTTGTAGAATTGTTCTCGATACTGCCATTGGTTGGCACGTCCTTCGAAGATTCTATCTCTGAAGTTTTAACATCTGGAGTAGTTTTTTCAATATTCTTGTCATCCTTTCCATTGCCTGCGCAGATCACTCTCTCTACTCCCTCTAAGGGAGGAAGATCTTCCTGAGCAGTAGGAGTCATTTCATCCAAACGAATTGCCTTAGTATCTTGTGGCACCACTTGAAATTGGTCTTCATTAATTTTCTCTAATTCTAAATCTTGGAATAGTTGAAGAAAAAACTTGGGAGCTGAAAAAACATGAATCGAACTTATAGATAGAAACATGCTATTGTTTGCATGGGGAGTGGTAAAGGCAAATATTTCTGACACGTCTGACTCTAGAATATGATGAATGTAAACATCATTAATGCTGCTACTGTTGCTGGAAGGAGGGGTTGAGGTGATGGACTTTCCTGACGTCGAGTGTGCTCCATTACTATTAATGAACGATGAGGATTCCTCATTAAGTTCATCAGAACTCTTTTTCTTGAATACTTTCAACTCCAATTGAATTTTAGCTGCTTTCTTTTTCGATTTGTTATCGAGACGAAGATAGAATTTTCCTTGAGGAAGCTTTCGTGTATGCCACGAAAATGTAATGACCAAGATTGGAATATTGCATAAATTATGCATGAGCGTTGAAGAATCCATTTAGATTACGTTAAATTTTAATCCCACTACCTACCGTATATTCAATAGTCGTCGGAGTGAGCGGATCTATAGTACCTTCCTTACACAAAATAGAAATGGAGCCATGACTCACCAACACAGACTGCCTTTTTTGAGTGGTTTTCTTTCTTATTTTTTGATCTAAGGCCGATTGCTTCTCCCGATAATTATAAGATTTAGTTGTGTGTGGTGGGGCTGTAGTTGGTTCATTCTCAGAATAATCTTCTTCATTGAGATCCTCCAGAGATGCCACAATATATTTTGGTTCTGTGGAGGTTTCTGAATGGAGTGAGTGGGACGAAGAATTGTATGGATCTTTGGAGTTTCTTAATTCCGAATGATGCTTTACGGCTATCACTGATGATTGTTTCTTTTTGGTGCTTGATGATGAAGCAGATGACCACGATTTGGATCTTGCTCGTTCCGTCCCGGATGATTCTGAAGCATTGGAGAAGGAAGAGTTTGATTTCGTTACACCAAAGCACAGAAAGAGATTTTGAAACATTTTTTGGACCTCAATAAGGATTGCCTTAATTTGTGTGGTGTGAGGGTTGGGCCATGCTGTGCACACAACTCTTACGTTTGAACATCATGTACTGGTAACTGTATTGTGTACCATCGGACTGATCCAAACGGTTACAAGAAGTACACTTTTACGGGCTCCAATGTTTATTGACACTGGTGAGTATTTGAAATTTCTTTCGAAGATTATTAGATTCAGCCAAGAGTTCCAACACTTTTGCCTCCTCTTCATCAATCAAATGGTTATGTTCTGTTTCGTCACAACGATCTTCAGGGAAGAACACCTGATCAAACACGGATGGAAAGTTTAGAGTTTTGGTTGAAATTTTGTAGCTAGGCCTATTTTGGGCACTTTTCCGCTTCTCTAACCATCGACTGGATTGTTCAGAGGCTGATTTTGGAGGAATCTTGCTTCCTGATTTGGCTCGTATTAAGGGAAGTTTTGTAGTTCCTCTGATTTGTTGCTTGTCACTTGCTCTTGTACTGCTCGAGGAGTTAGATCTTGCTCTTCCTCTTCCTTCAACTTCAGACGCCGACTTGGATCTATCATGAGTAATACGTGAGTGAGGATGATTCGAATTAATATTATTTGAAACATTACTGAGTGAAACTTGTTTGTTGAGTGCTGAACTTGTCATGAAATGGGATTGGGCAGAGGTGAATTCTTGACTTGCCTTCTCAATGAATTTGGAGTACAGGGCTGTGGTGGTTGAGGTTGGATATATTCGCTTGTACTTTCCTTTTGACATGACCTCATCTTCAATTCTGGTATGAGTAGCGATGATTTCCTCTCGTGAGGGCATATTTTCAACAATCTTCTCAACATCATTGCTGTAATGACCTGTAATTCTCTCTCGAGACATGGCTTTTTCAATCTTCATCCCAATAATCCTCTCATTGGGATTGATCGCTAACATTTTCATGGTTTCTGTGAGTAGATTTAACTTGACGTGTTTGTCCAGAGGAGTGTCCGTATTGAATGAGGGAGAATGATTCACTTCCAAGAGCCACGGTTTGATAGTTTCATCAAGCAAAATATCAAAACCGAGAATTTCAAAACACACAAAGTCACCGTGTTTGGGTGTGAGAGATGTTCTATACTGATGCAGCAATTGTGGATAAATGGTGAGAACGGTCTTGATAATGATGTCTGCAATGCTGTCCCAAACTTTGTCTGGACTATGGCCTTGTGACTCGAGGTACTTGTTTAAAAAGTTGAAATCTCTCTTACTGCCAACGGAAAAATTGTTTGGATCATATTCAAAGCAGTCACTCTTCTTGTTGACACTGTAATTGGTCAGATGCATGCAATCTGTTTTGATATTTAAGCTAGAGGGTGCCTTATATTTTTCGGTGCAAATACGAACGAGTCCTTCCTTGTACATGAAGATTTTGAGAGGATCCACACTGAGGACGAGAGCGTACACCCTCAAATCGAACTTATATCCATCAATTAGAAAGGGTCTATCGACATAGAGCTGTACCACACAATCTCCGTATCTTTCGGCATCGGTTGGGTCTTGTGTTAACACAATGCCCTTTCCTTGACAACCTGCAGTTGGTTTTATAATGTACGTTTTTCCAATAATTTTCTTGCTATTTTTGAATTTAAAGTATCTATTTGAATTTCGAGAAGTTTAAAATCGTTAGTTCAGATACATCTAAGAATACTCCAAGTAACACTTACTCTTGAGGCAATACCCATGTGTGGGGAAGAAAAGAAAAGTCTTCAGGAAATGCTTTTCGAAGTCGTTTCATGTTGCGTGCTAAGGGAATTTTTCGACATATTCCTCCCATGGCTGGGAAGTGATTGATCTTTTGGAACGTTCTCAATTTCATGATTCTGTCTGGAGCACTCGACTGATCCATCCAAAAAACAGTAAAATCTTTTGCATTGCTGGTTGGTTTTCGAATTTTCCAACCATTCGCTAAGGCTGCTTCTCTCACCACATTGTATTTCTATACAATTCAAAACATTTTGAAAATTTGATCCAATAAGGTCATTATTTGAAGTCATACTGAAATGAAAAAAACCTACACAACTTGTCAGGTCAATAATAATTGGAGAAAGTTTTGAGGAAGGAGAAGCAGATTCCTCACTACTGCAACTGCTCGCTCCAGGAGATGAGGAAGAATCTGAGCCATTCGGAGACTCCTCCAGAAGCGAGTCCAAGGATTTTGATTTGTCCTGTCTTCTCGGGGTTGTTGTATTTGGAAAAACACTAGGTAACTCTGTCATTTTCTTCACTTTCAATGGTGTTCACTTGTGTAAGCGTTCAAATATGGTGTCGATGATGTCCGTTTCTTTGATATATACCCTTCACGTAGTCTCATAGCACGAAGGCGCTTGAATGATCTCTTTTTTTGATTATTATTTTTGGTTGTATTTTTTATGGCGGGATGTCTTTCTCTAACGACGGCGCCAAAAAAAACCGTTGTTGATGGCCTTTTTAAAAAATGTCGATGTGTCCGTTTGAAGAGTCTCTTCTGCATCATCTTTCTGTCGTGAATCATCCTTACCCATCGGAGCCGTCCGCATGTAATAATACTCGGAATCATCATTTATTTCTGGATGACTACTCCAAAAGGATGGAATTCCTCTCGAGTATTAAAATTAATGGAAACAATGAAAATCAGAGTCGAACGCACTCACATTCATGCACTTTCAAAAATATGGCCGAGCAGTCATCATGTCCCGAGAGTCATCATAATTATTCTAGTCCAGTTGAAGATTCAAAGAGTTGCAATTGCTTTTTTTCTTGGAGTAAGGCAAATCATCGAATGTATTTGAGGAATGAGTTAAAGAAAGCCTTTGGAGGTGATGAACATGTTCCTTTTCAAATGGTCTCTCAAGATAAGAGTGTGGTGACTGTTTGCCATGTTGGAAAAATGTTGACCAAAATTATTCTTAATCATTCACCATTCTCTTTAAGTGATTCTAAAATTTCTTGCTCCATCAGTACATCTGAACAATTACAAATGCAACAACACACTTCATTTGGAAAGTATCAAAATATTATTAATGAATTGAGAACATGTTGGAGGAAGAGGCATCAACATCGTCCATTCAAACATGTCATTTCATGGATTACGAATTTTATTCAGATGCATCATACCAAAGAGGCTATGCTTCCCATTTATTCTCTTTTTCACAATGAAGAAACACCACAATTAAGGGTTCCTAAGAATTCACTCATTCTACCAAACAGCAACAAAATTCGAATATTTATTGGATTCTCAAAAGAGGATGTTTTGAAACATGTACGAAATATTGTACTGATAGCTCTTCATAGTCTCTTGTCGTCACAAACACACACCATACATCTACTTTTGGTAGAGGAAAAATGGATGTACTGGATTAAGCTTGAATTTAAAAAGAGTCTTAAAAAAGCGCTGGTTAACTTGATCAAATATGACCTTAATCAATTAGAACATTTGTGTGCGCTGTTTGTGGAGTTGTGGAAATTAATGGATAGTGTAAAGCCGGCTGAAGTCGATTCAGAAGATTGTCCAAGATTTGAACAATTCTCACACCTTTGTTCTGAAAGGAATGCCGTTGGTGACACTACTTGTGAAAATCACAAATCAAAAGCACGAACTCTCACCAAAAACAAACAACAGTTGCTGAAAAGAACAAGAGACATTTTACAAACTATTCCCTTGCTGCAACTTTATTCGTGTGGAAGCAATGGAAATGTGCAAAAAACGTCACCTCATGAGATGGAATGTATTTCTTCGCGAGTGGAAGAAAGGTTTGTGAAATAAGCATAATGAGGATGTTCGTAAATTCTCCATGATATTTTACAACTTTCCAGGTGAAATCTGTCACAAATTTCGAGCAATTTTTGGTGAAATTCTTGTTCATGATTTTACTCTTGAGTTACTTTCGGCGTGCCATTTATGTACACATTCCAAACACCAAGATCGTGCGCTTCTTTGATTTCAAAAGGATCTTTCCAAAATTCGTGCACTGAACCCATCAAGCCAAATTCATTCATCCTTCCTTTTTAATATCATTTCCACAAATTCATCAGGACCATCACACACATGTGTTCAAACCACGACTGACGCCATTACTTACTAGTTTTCAAAAAGGAGAGTTTGACGTTGTGGCTATTGACTTGGTATTGTTGATTTGGAGATTTTTCTTGAACAACGTTTTTAATATTTCTCATCATCTCATTGAAAAATGTCGTCGTTGCTCCTTGGTCTTCGTCAACAGATGGGCCAAACCGAGTTTTCTTCTTCTGCTGCCACCGACATGACTACTTCTTTTGTTCACGAGGATGGAATTCCTTCTCATCATTCTTTATGGAGTACTTTCTTGAACAATTTAATTGTGAGTGCTTGGGAATTGTTGATCGGGCACCACCAACAGCCTTTTTCATCATCATCATCAATAACCAACAGTTATCATCGTTATGAAATGGTCCAAAATCATCATCATCACTATCAACAACAAATTCAATTACTACCACAAGATGGAATTTCTCTTACGGCTCTACAGCAACAACCCGAAACGGATTCATTACAATTAGCCGAAGAAATTGCCAATATTTTGAGTATTTGTATGATCATGTTCAGTTTCCTGTGTAGTTTGTTTGTTCTCATTAATTTATGTAAGAAGAATATAAAAGCAGAGAAGGATGAGAAGGCCATGTTGGCTCGATTTGAAAATTCAAACCCGAGTGTCATTGAATCCTTGACCTCAAAGAAACATCTCTATACAAAACTAACTTCTTTCTGCATATTGTGTATGATCATTTCGGATTTATTGTTTACTGCCTTTTATTTTCCAACCAATACATTGAGATTGATCAAAGGTTTTCTGTTTCAAGATTTACCAAAAGCTCAAACGTTGAAATTGGATCCTTATTTCTCAATTCCGATTTATATCACGGCTGAGATTACAGAAATGTTTGTCATTAGTAGTGGTATCTTCTCATTGCTTCTCACATTATGTATTTACAAAACAATTAAGAGTATTAAGCCTTCTGGCTCTTCGGCAGATGATCAATCTTCAAATTATTCGCACTCATCAAATCAGAGATCATCCATTGGCTTAGATTCCCAATACCAACAAAGTGCGTCGAATTATGGAACGAATGGATCCTCAACCGCAACAGCTCCTTACAGTGGTGACCAATCTAATCCCTATCATAACGAGAATGAAAAGAGTCGACTTGTGTCACCCAATTCCGACATGAATTCCGTGAATACTCCACCACGAACACCAGAAGAAGAATATGGAAATCATGACGCCCATGTTCAACAACCCTTTACAGTGAAAGGAAGGTATTTGAAAATGCAACAACGTAAAAAGTGGATTCAAACAGTATTTTGCCTTATTTCATGGGGAATTCCAGCAATATTTGCCGTAGTGTGGATCATTATTGAGGAATTATATTTAGGAGTGAATACCACTCCAGCAGGAGTATTTTATGCCAATATCATTCCTGACATGGTTAAGAATTTGATTTATATTGCCATTGAGGTGGGCTCTGTTGCTCTGAGAATCATGATTTATACAGACACTAAAAAATTGTTCCGTGACACCACCATTGTTGAAAATACCTCGAGTGCAAAGAAGAAACGAGAAAAGGAGAGAAATTTATTCAAACAATTACTATTTTATGCACTTCCATTCTTTCTATTTGGTATTTGGGTCATTGTGTACAGATTAGCCACAGACATTATTTATATTGTGCGTGTTGCTGAGCATGGCATTAATTCTTTCAATGATGACATGGATTTGGCAGGCCTGATAGTTTTAAGTATTCACCACATATTGAGTCCTCTCAGAGCCTTTGCCAACAGCGTTGTGTACTGCTTGCTTTCGAAATGGTTCAGCGAACGAGTGAAAGGATCCTTCAAGAGGTGTTGTGGTTCTTCTCAGTGACGAAATGGGTGACAATTTGGTCATATGAATAGGCAGTCTCACTTCGCGCTATATAAAATTTTGCAACAATTCTCATTCCAAGACGTTAAGCTAATTGAATCAAAAACAAAATATTCAACTTCTTCTCGACACTGGGATCACATGGCAAAATTAAGTTGGGCATTACATTACAATTAATCTTGAGGGTTCGACGTCGAAACAACAATATGGTTTCTCTTTGTGTTGTAAAATGTAAACGTCAAAAATTCTTGAGCATATCTCCAATAATCATTCCACAAAGCATTTGTTTGAATCATTGGTGTAAAGTCGTACTGAATGAGATGATCATACGAAGGATTTTCAATGTCAATATCAAGACGTTCCTTTCGTAACGCTGCAAATGTTGATGGAAGGTTTGGATCTGTTCCATAGCAGGACCTACTCGAACTTGTAAAGACGTCAAGATATTCAGAGGTTGGAGTTAACACAACATTCCATTCATTGATGGATTGATGGAGTTGTAATCCACTGTGATTGTTGAGAGTCCTTCCAATCTCAAAATGGTCCTTCTCTCATTGAGTTGAACTCGATGTTTCTCCTTCAGTTCTGCGAAATTGTCCATCAAGTGCAACATGAGCTCTCCAAGCAGGATCTTTAAAGAAGGTTGTGAACTCAGCAATGGTGTACATCATTCACTCACAATGATAACATCATTATCACCATGACATGAAGTTGACCCACGTAAAGCACTTTCTATGACTCCTGAAATCCACTGATAGAGTCCATTCAAACCTTTCAGCCATTTGTTGGTCGAGGACTGTGTTTGTGGCATTGTGTTATTGTGTTTCGACTCGAAAGGAACATATTCTCGAGAAAAGTACGCATGGACATGATCCGAATAGGACAATATTGGCAACACATGACACATGACCTTGAATTGATGGATGACAAATTGAAATTCCCCTCTCAATTCGTGATAACAACTTGCAAATAAAACTCTCAAAAATCGACAAGGTTTAAAAACACTCATGTCACAGTTCCTCCCATTCTAAAAAACTCTTCATACCAATCAGAAGAATGCAGAGTGGAATGGAGGAACGGTTGGGTCATGAATTCCTTAAATAAGGATCGGAAAGGATGAGGATCATCTCGGAGATGTTCATCATGGTTTTCGATCAAGAGAGAGAGCTCTTCCTCAAGTTTGGTAATCCTTTCTCTGTCATTACTGTTAGGACCATCTCGGAATATATTTCGATTCCTCAAGGTTTGATACAAAATTCTTGAATAAACCACTCGGTCGTGCTTCCGAATGAGGTCATTGAAGACTCTTCCAGTGCTCTGCAGAATATGAATGGTCCTCACATCAAGATATGGAAATACATGTTCGATCAAAACCTCTTCCAACAGATCGTTAAGGAATGATTTCAAATGCGCATGAGCATCCTCTGGATTGGCTTTTTCAAAATCATGGTAATGATGACATTCATGAAATCTGTTTGATTGCATTTTTCTTGTGGAATGATAGAATTTGAAAACCTCAAGATTGCATTTCTGGAAACACGCTTCCTTTCAAATTGGCTTGTTGAATGCATTCAAGATGAGCACAAATCTCATATGGATGGGATTCCTTTTGAAATGTCACCATACGTGAAGGTTTAGAATTTATTGAAATTGAGCAAAGTGAATGAAGGAAGAGAACATGGTGGATGGGAAAATGGATGTAATTTTGGTGGTAAATTGTCAGAGATTCAAAAGAATCATCATCGACTCATGACAGAATCAAATCATACACTTCTCGTCGGAACAGCTCCATAATGGAGCTCAACAAGAATATCATCCATCACTAGCTGCTAAAAGAAGGAGATGAGAGAAGGACAATGATATAAACCCATTTCGGAGCCTCTGAATGATGATGATGGTGAATTTACGGAATGAAATAAACTCCTCTAAAACATTGAAGAGGTATCTTCATCTCTCAAATATTGACCAACATCGGCCTGATGGAAACAAACAATATCTGTTGGTTTTACATATCTACACTCTTCCGTAGACTTGGCTGTAACACCAAATCCCAACGGAACATCATTCATATTCAAAACAACGACTCCTTGATATTGTGGACAATCTTCAGTCATCCTTCCGAGACCAGTCTTCAAAATATGATTTCCATACAGAAAGGAGAGTTCCGCCTGAGGTTTTACCCACACTTTATACTCTGCATATTGGGCCACATAATCCAAACAAGTAATCTCCAATTTAAACTTTTTAGATTTGCTGAATTTACCGAAACAAACACCCATGGTTTTCAGTCGTTCAAACGTGATATTCTCTGCAAATTGCAGTACTTGATTACTCAAATAAAATACTTTATCTTTATGAAATCGGAACGAGTATTTGTCGTTGATGAGTTGTTTGACATTCTTTCCAATGTATTTGGTGAGTTTGTCAAAGAAAATTTCCATCTCTTCGTCGGTGAGAGGTCTCATTTTTTCAAAGTTGTTCTTTTTAAAAAAAATTCACACAAAAGTTTGAACTTGAACGTTTTTTTTTGGTGTCGAATGATAGTTATTAATGCGAAAACAGACACCATCAAACAGAAGCAAAACCTCTCACAATTTGTTGTCCGTATATACACCGGCATGAGATCTGCTGAAATTTATGAAATGACTTTTAGGAAGTACAAATCACATTACCCACTTCAAAAAATACAGGAATGGGTTTATTGAAAAATAAACAAATTATAGGTACTCAATTGTCCGACGATAGTGTGTCTAATGGGTGTGTAGGTGTGAGGTGTAGATGTTGTTGGAGTTGAGTTCGCCAAGCTGACTGCTAAATGTTTCCCAAGCAGTTGCAAATTTTGCAGTTTTGGGTTTAATTATATATCTTCTAGCCTTCTTGAGTACAGTTGAACTGTTCCAAGTGGCGTTTTTGTAACAACTGCCAACATAGGCAGCGAATGAGAGATATATTTCATTTAGCCAATCAGTCAAAGCTGGGGGAGATAAGTCTAATTGTTGAAGAGGTTCGTCTTTGATACTACCATTCCAATCCATTGGAATACAAGAGAGAGAATGGTTTGAGGGAAGTCTGATAAGAGGGGCATTGAATTTGAGGGAACTGTTGTCCCATTTTGTGTATAATGATTTGATTTCCGGACCACACATGGTGCATGAGGTGAATACATGTTCCCAGTTGGCTTTGGTATTGCAAATGTGGCAATTAGGGTAATCTTTTCCGAAATTTCTAAGGATTTCTGCTTTGTGTAGGTGAGCAAATAATAGTCGTTGTTGGAAGGGTTTGAGTGAATAATTGCTCCAAAAGGAGATGGTACATGGATGCCAGGTTCTATTATGGTCTAAGATTCCAAGGCCTGAGATGCTCATGGTTGATCTATCGTTGTTTAGTAATTCAGTTCTAGGGTCGACAGGGGTTTCGTATTCATTGACAAATGAATACCGTTCATCAATGTAATGGAGAGACCAATTATTTTGAGCCGCGATATTTTTCACGTGGTTCCAAAATGGTTCGTTAAAGGTAAGATCATTCCAAGCAGCCAAAGCAATATTTTTGGTGATGGTGGAGGAGGAGTTGAATAATCTAACTGCTGTGCAAATAGGTTCAATGGAGAATAAAGTAGAGGGGCGAGTAATACCAAGGCCCCCAATTTGTTTGCAATTAAAAATGACTGATTTTGATAATGTGTAATCTAATCCAATAGCCTTTCTGACAAAATTAGCAACCATAATATCTGCTTTGTCTAGAGAATTCTTATTGATTCCATTGAAACTACAGGCATATCTAGGCAAAGATATGATTTTGGACATTAATGTAGTGGTGATGCTGTTGAGATATAGATTAGAAGTTTTAGCTGATGCCAGTTGATTCGAGATTTTGTTGATTGGATTATCAGAGGACCAAGAAAAATCATTCTTAAAGGTACATATACCCCCAAGATATTCAATAGAAGAAGATGTGGCAATTATATCCTGTCCAATAGTGACTAGGGCCTTAGATAGTTTGGCTTTGGCTGTAATAGCTAAGAGTTTGCATTTCTTGGGAGCTAAAGCGAGTCCTATTTTCTTTAATTCACGGCCGAGGCTTTTTAGAGAGGAATTCATTTCGATCTTAGTATTAGCTATCAATAAAATATCATCGGCATATAATAATAAAAGGATGGTAATATTAAATATTTGAACTCCTTTAAGCTTTTCTTGTATGTTAGTTGAGGAGTTAATATAAAGATTAAACCATGCCGGGCTTGAAGGATCGCCTTGCGGAACTCCAACATTCGCATCGAAAGGGGAGGATAGAAATCCGTTGACTAGTACTTTCATAACGCTATTGGAGATCATGGATGTCAAGAGATTAATGACAGAGCTATGGAAACCATGTTTCTTGAGAATGCTGATAAATCTTTTATGGATTACTGATCCATAAGCATTTTTGATATCCAGAGCCATAGCAAATACTTCTTGTTTGTGCTGATATTTGTATGCAAAGGCAGTCCGAAGACTGATAAGGTGTTCTAATGTTGAACCTTTTTTCATGAATCCTCGTTGCGCAGTGTGGATTAAATTAGCCTCTTCAAGGACATTCATGAATTGTTTGTTGATAATAGAAGAAAATAGACGATAGATCACGGATAATACAACTATAGGTCTAAAGTCTGATAATTTTGAAGGCATGTTGATTTTTGGGTAATGGGAGTAGAATACCGATACCCAATTCTTTAGGAACCATTTCACTGTCAATTGTGTGATTGATACATTTTGCAAGTATTTGGAGCGAATTGTTGTCTAGAATTTTCAACAATGGCACCGAAATGTTATCATAGCCAGCCATAGAATTTTTTGTCTTAGAAATAACTTTATCCAACTCTTTGGCAGTGATATGATGGAATTTCCATTGGGCTACAGTATTGTTTTTCTTGATTTCCGGGAGAGTTTTAGTCACTTCTTGTTCTGTATTAAACATGGCTGAAAAATGATCTACAATTGTCGAGTTATGGTTACTTTGGACTACATTGAGTATAGAAGGACTGACTAGTTCTTTTCTGAAGGCATAAGAATACGGTTGTTTAGAGTTAAGATTGTTAATTCTATTCACAAAGACCCGTTTACGGTCAGCCAATAAAGATCCAATAAGCTTGTTGAGTGAGGTTTTAGCTTCCTCTAATTTAGCCTTGACATTGTTGAGGCTAAAATTATTGTTCAAAAATTGGCTGGTGATAGTAGAAACATGTTTACGCTTATAGAGATATTGTTTCAAATCGAAAATAAAAGTCTGAAATTGTCTGACATTACGATTATCAGTGATCAATGAGGGCTTGTTTGTGCTAAGAGAACCATATTTCTTCACAATTTTAGCAAGGGTATTTTGGGCTTCTAAAAGAGTGTCAGGGTTTTCCTTAGCAAAATCGTTATTAATTTCCTTCATCTTGGATTGTAAAATTTTAGGATGGATAATATATTTGTTGAACTGTTCTGGGAAGTCTAAAATGGGATTACTGGGGAAGGAGATAGTTAAAAGTTTGTGAGAATAAGCAGTAGGAACATCTTCTACACCAGAATAATCATTGTGGGAAGTAATAATATGGTCCGGGCGAGAAAAACCATGAGAGTATTTGTTGCGTTGAGAAAACGAAGGTGTGTTTGGAATAGGAACAACATCAAAGAATTTCAATTTGTCACATTGGTCAATTAATAGTCGTTCATGGGCGGCATAAGATACCTTATTGAATGTTTTAGTATTGGCATTCAAATCTCCCAATATGACAATACGTTCACCATGAAAGACCGCTGTTTGAGCAGAAATGTTGATAATATTGAGAGCCTTATTCATGAATTCTAGTTTGTTTTTGTTAGCCGGGCCATACCAATTGAAAATGCGAGCCACACCTAGGTATTTATGTTCCAAAATGACTTCTGATAATCTGCCTTGAATATGTTCGACGAATTGGAGTACTTTAATAAAAGGTGACGGTCTGATAATAGTAGCAATTCCTGCTCCATTATCACCTTCAGTGGCGTTGGAATTGTAAACTAAGTAGCCACGAAAGAAGGATCTGAAATACCATATATTCCAATAGTCTTTCGTACTGGATTTTAAATGAGTTTCCTGGATATTAAGGACATCCAGTTCATATTTGCGGGCTAAGGTAAGTAATTGAGATTGTTTTACCCAGCCAACTCCTCCAAAATTAGCAGTACCTAAATTGAAGGAGTTTCTTTTTAGAATGAGGGTCCATTAAAGGGAATGTCGGCCCTTCTTATGCCCACTTTTACCCTTGTTGCGAGTAGTAGTACCTAAGAGAGCGTTGATTTTTTGATTAATTTCTTCAACAGCTTTGTTGATCTTATTAAAGCCTTCCGTGACCTTTTTACCAGACCAGACAACCATTTCCTTTGTCAATTTTTGGAGAGCTGATGACATTTCAGACATTTGTTTTTCAACAGCTTCCATTCTGTGACTGATAGAATTGGCAACTCTAGTAGAGAATGAGAGGTTTCTGAAACTATAATTACCAACTTGGACGAACTTGGTAATGTTATTGGTAATTTGATCTTTTTTAATGCCAACAACAGCCATCTTCTTAGCCAACTCGATACTCTCAATCTTGACTTTCCATTGGGAACTAATGGCACCCTTGAGTTTAGGAAGATCTTTTTCTTTACCATTAAAGGCAATACGGAAGCGAGAGATATCTGTTCTCATTTTGGAAAGCTTAAATTTCTTCAAATGATTGGCAGGTAACTCAATATTAGTACCAATAGCCCAAAATTCCTGATCATCCATCTTGCTAAAATTGATATTGTTGATAGAAGAACCAAGGGTTGAGATAATAGAATGCATATTAGTCTTGTCTAAATCCTTGTCGACCTTATAACGGAATGATGTTTTGACGGTTTGAGGTATCATAGTGAGCTTGGACTTAGCACCAGCAGATATTGCTTGGTTTGCCAATTTGCGCGACTTGAAGAAGAAGATAATACAATCTAATTCACTGACAACTCTACTACCGTACAACGTATCGGCATTCATTGCGACGGTTGCAAGGACTTCTTCGACAGAGTTGGTAGTAAAGGCTACCACTCTGAAGAGCTTATGATGTCGCTTCAATTTAGTAGAATGGTCATCGGTCATGGCTGAGGTATTAAAAACTGAGACTCCAGAGGTTGTAGTAATATTAGAGACCTCTGGCTGCGACAACATTGGGGAGTTGTATATGCTGGGTGGGCTTGGTTGTATTTCCGACAAATTGGCTATATTGACGGAAGACGGAGCCTCTAGAATTTCATTTTCCATTTCTTCTCTCCATTTATCATGTGCCGATTTTTGAGCAGAAAGAGATTTGTTTGCAGTATGCGGGCGAATAGCGACCTCTTTGATAGAGGCGTGATGGCGAAGGTGATTAGTGTCTTCATCGCCGAGGGCGGTTTGGTTTTCAGACATTTTTTCGAAGACCATTACCCACTTCAAAAAATGGAAAAAAGGTTCAAAAGGCACTCCCTTCTGTTCCAAATAACACCAAATTATGCCCGAATTCGTTTGTGTTGTAGAATACAAGACACATATTGTCAAATTCAAAATTGTGTTTTCAATAACTGTACAATAAATTTCAATTTTTAATACCTTATTTGCTGCATTTGGGAAGTATGGTAAGGCTGTTCCGCAACTCAGTTAAGGACTGTTCCGCACAGCTTTCGGAAGTTCACAGTTCACCCTTTTCAGCTGCATTTCCTCTGTGGATCGACTTAGTGGTCATATCATTTTTCGCTGGCATCACTTTCCAACACGGTAAAAAATGATAGAATATAACGCATCTATCGATAGGTCAGGACGGACCCAAAGGACAACAAAAACCAAATGTTTTCGAGGTTTTAGTTTTGAGAAGAGAGAAATCGATGAGGAATTTGCAATCCTTTCAAGGAACCCAGATTGATCACAATAATGCTTGGCTAACATTTCATGTGTGTTCTCTGCTTTGAAGTGTAATGCCCAAAACATTGCATTTCTTCCCATCATGTCTTTTTGGTGAATATTGGCCTCGATCGAGATTCTCTTCAATTCCAAAACCTTACTTCAACAACAGGACAACAGTGATAAGGAATCAAGTATCTATTAATAAGTGGAGTGGTTGTTCCTCCTCATTGATGATGTGATCAGATCAAAAAACATTTAAAAAAATGTCCTCTTCATCCTCTTCATCGGTTGCCTCCACGGCCACCACCAAACAACCCCAAGCCAAACAAGTGTTGGCCATTGTAGAAAAGATCGGATTGAAAATTGGAGTGGTGAATGGAGGAAAGAGTCTAGAGAACATGTTAGATACTCATTTACCACAACTGCTAATGTTATTGGCTTTTCCTGATACGAGTGTTCGGACCAAAGTGATTGAAGTATTGAGTAATACTGTGAATAAGAGAGTAAAACTAGAAACATCTATTAAATTACCGTTCGGAAAAATTTTGGAATTATTTCAAAAGGAATTATCCAATGCGTTCATCAAGAACTTTGCAGTCATGTATTTGGATATGGGCTTTCCTCAATTAAACTCATCAGAGATCAATGAATATTTGCCATCCTTCTTCCAGGCTCTGCCTTTACTTGCGTCAAATGCATCCGGAGGTGATACTTCTCTCTCTAATCGCCAACATCAATCCATGTTTTTGAGATTTATTTTGGAATCTTTGGCTCATGTTTCATATCCTGACAAAGAAGAGGATGCTCTCGAGAAGTTTCAAGATATTCGAAATAATGAGAATGGTGCTTTGGATATCTTCTTAGAATTTGCAACAGATTTCATGTTGTTTAAGCCGTCACAAAAATCACAAGGCACTCTTCAATCAGTCATACCCAATGGATTGAATATGATGAAAATTAAGAGAATACTTGGAAGTAAGGAAAACATGGACGCTCAAGAAGTTCAAACTAAGAAAATGCAGCTCATTGACTTTGTCACAAAAAGTACATGCTTTTCAGAGAACCAACAATTTTTAATTTTATTGATTGGAATGTCACAACAAGAGTCAACCGATCATCTCGGATCAAGGTGTGACGTCCTACTGAAGAAATTGAATCCTGATTTTGAAGAACCAACACTCATTGACAAATTTTTTTCACTTTATCTAGGCGATTCTTCGAATGGTATTTCACAAGCTTCTCTCCCACTCAAATACAAGATTTTGACCTATTTATGTAAATCAACCTTGGCAGCCAACCACTTCCCTGAAACGCATCTCGTTCTTATGGACTCATTATTTAATGAATATGCCTCGATGAAATTGCGTGGTTTTGGTATGCAATTTTTCATGTGGATTATTCAGGAAGGTACTACAATAGAACCCAAATATGCCTCTGAAGTTTTCAGCTCCATTCTTTCCAATGTAAATAGACTGTCCTCATCGGGATCCAACACTACTGCCCTCTCCTTGAATGAGATCACTATTCTCAAGGAAAACATGTATACTGCACTTGGTTCATTCACAAGAAAATTTCCAAATTTTGTTTTGGATCGTTTTGATTTAGTGGAACGATTTTTTGATGCTCTTGCTTTTGAAGATTCAAATGTTCGTGTTGCCGTTTTGCAAGGGCTAAGTCATTTAACCCATGCTTTCAAAGTTTTGTTCATGAATAGGCCTGAGAATGAAATTGCCGATTTGAAAAAGCATTTTGAAAAGTTATTTTATGAATGGATTGTTGAACGTAACACTGGCCTTACAGATCTATTGAACGGTGGTACATCGCAATATCAGAAAATGACACCTTCTGCTCGAACTGCTGTGACTTCTGCTGTTTTGAGGTGTGCCAATAACTTGTTCCCGTTCGATCATGTTATTACAAGATTTTTATGTTTATTTTGTACTGCTGGTGGATTTGGATCAACAGCATCTTCCTCTGACAATCAGAGCCATCAAATCAGAGAGGAATGTAGCAAAGGCACTGATATTGAAAAATTCACCAAGTTCCGACAATTGGATCATTGGATCTTACAAAAGAAAACGAGTGAGGAGGTCAGAAAGAATTCTACCAGTGCTGACATGGATGTCGACACGAATTCTGAAAAATCTGTCGAAGAAGAAGAAGAACGCAACGCATTACCCTTGTTCAAAACTGTACATTTCACATACCCCTCTTTCAAATCGATGGTTACCTTTATTTATGACTTCATGGCCAAGTTTGACGTATCCATCACTAAGAGTACAAGTATGCCAGCCTTAAATAAGATTGTCACACCATCAGCTCACTCAGCCATGATCAAATTCTGTTTTGAGTGTTTGAAAGAAGAGTCCAAGCAACAAGAAATTTCCATGTTGCAGCTGATTCAAAATATGTCTACTCAATCCAACAATATGAATGATGAGAATGAAAAAGATGATTTTGAGAAATTCTTGTACATTATTGAAAAGTCGTTTGACGATAAGATATTATTGCAATCCGGTTCAACCTCTAACGCTACGGATCTTCTATTGGAAGCCACTGATACTTTACTCAAACTGTTACTATTCTTGAAGGATCGAAAAGAATTCATAGAACATATTTCTAGGAGATTTAGTTTCCTGTTGGAAGACAGAGGTCCATTCCTATTCGATATCATGATTGGAAATTATGATGAAATTGCAAGAGAACAATTCTCCAAGTTTATTGCATTGCTGTTTATTTTCGTTAGACAAGATCCCAGCAAAGCTCAACAGTGTGAAAAATTAACTGGCTTGTGGAGAGACTTTATTCAACGTCAGCTTACTTCATTTTCATTGTCTGATCACAGAGGAGAAGCCAATGCATTGGGAAGTATTCTAACAGTTGCGAATGTGATCAGTCTGAATTATTGCATGAGTCATAACATCGATGATCAAAACGAGAGAAGTCATGTGGGGACATATCTAGTTGATTCCTTCCAGCTCATTCTTGATATTATAACAACCGTTCCTCTTTCAAATGTCAGAGAGCCGCTTCATCAAGCCTGTTACTATGCATTGGGTGAAATGGGAAATAGCGGAGCGTTGCAACATTATTTACTGCAATATATTAGTCAACAACAAGAGCAAACAGTTGTAAGTGAAACAACATCTTCACCAAGCACTGCCTCTAGCGAGGATCCAAAAATCAAATCCATGAATGAGTTATCATCAATACTCGTTAAACGAATTGAAAAGTATGCATCACTCGCCCGTCAAAAGAATGCTTCCATTACTAACGAGAAAATTCTTGAAAAGTTGATCACTGCAGTGGGCCGCTTAACCATTGGAACCTTACCACAAAAAGATCCAAATGCAGCTCAGCACTTGGAAGCATTCATTTCAGCACTTTTCGAATTGAACAATGTGAAATCTGCCTCAACAAATACTGGCACTGGAGGTTCCTCGAGCAGTAGTAGCTCTAGCTCCTCTTCCTCATCGACAACGCCACAGGTTTCTGTTGATGAAAACATTTCATTCACTGTTGGAGAAGCACTTGCACTCATGTCAGGAGGTCTAAAATATTGCACTCTTTCACATTCTGATAGTTATTATGAAATTTACAAGATGAAGCAATCATTCAAGTCAGAACAAGAAGAAAATGAACACTATGATTCCAGAATGAGATATGTTCTGACAAGATTGGTCAGAGAATGTGTATTGAATCCGAAAAAAATTGTTCGCCAAGCATCTAGCATTTGGCTTCTTTCTGTGACCAAATACAGTGGTGTAAATAATGAGTTCTTCAGAAAGTATATCAAAGAGGTTCAAAAAGCATTCTCACTACTTGTGACAGAAAATAATGAAGTGACATCTGAAGTTGCTGGAAGAGGTCTTGGTTACGTGTATGAAATGGCTGAACCTTCAGATCGAAAGGCACTGGTCTCTTCTCTTATGACCTATCTCATTGGAAACAAAAAGCCACAAAACACAATTCAAGACACCGAAGAACTTGTTTTATTCCCTGCAGGTGAAGAACATCAAAAGGGAGGAAAGAATGCTCCTACTCTTTCAACATACAAGGAACTTGTGGATGCTGCTACTGATATTGGAAGACCAGAAATGATTTATCAATTATTAGCTGTCTCTAACCATAATGCCATTTGGAACGCAAAGAAGGCATATGCATTTTCAATTTCATCAATTTTAAGCAGTGTGACAGGCGATGGTGGAATGAGCGATGAAGAGTTTGAAAAAGCAATGCCTCAATTAGTGCCAAAATTGTATCGTTTCTTATTCGATCCAAATCCAGCAATTAGTAGCTCCATGAAGGAAATGTGGAAATCTTTGTTTGGGCAAAACCAAACAGAATATCATTACCTCTAAATATCTACCTCGAATTATGAGAGAAATTTTGAATGGCCTAAACCAAGAATTGTGGAGAATCAGAGAAGCATGTTGCTATGCAGTTTGTGATCTATTTGGGGGAGGTAGCGCTAAAACCTTCGAAGAAATGGCTCCCTACATTAAGGAGTGTTTCCAAAAAGTTTGGAGGGTGACTGATGACATCAAAGACACCTGCAGAAAAGCAGCTAATAGTGCCTTACAAAGATTGAGCGCATTTTCAATCAAATCATGCAATCCTACCTATACAAGCAAGAGAGAAAATGTAAGCCGAGCATTATCGATCATCATTCCTCTTCTATTGCATGAAGGTTTACTCTTTCCATTTAAAGATGTTGTATTTGTGAGTCTTTCTACACTTAAAGAAGTGGTCCATGTCAGTGCACAGTACATCAAACCTCACATTTATGATATCATTTCTACCATTCTTCAACAAATGTCTGTTTTAGAACCAGCAGAATTTAATTATTTACAAATGAATGCAGAAAGATATGGTATTTCGGTGGAACAATTGGAATCTTTGAGATTATCTGCCATGTCAAGAAGTGGCCCACTTTCTGAAATTATCATGTACTGTGAAAGACATATTGACGAATCTGTGTTGCGACAATTAGTTCCAAGTTTATTAGAAATTTTACAACTTGGAGTTGGACTTCAAACACGTGCCCACTGTGCTAAATTTATTTCTCATTTAGGAAAATTCCATGGAAGATATCTGAAAGACTATGTCAATGATATAGATGCTGTCATTATGAGCGCCATTCTTCAATCAGAGTCCATGGCAGAGCGTAAAGAACTTGCGACTGCATTGTCTCAAGTTGTGAAAAACGGTAAAGCTTCAGAAGGAAAACGAGTGCTACAAGAAATTCTAGCACTCTACACTCAAGAGGAAGGAGTGATGAGTTACAGCAATGAAAATGAAATGTCAAGATCTTCTGCAGATGAATTACGATTGATCAGCGCCATGATGTTGGAACAAATGAGCAGAAATTGTCCCATTTTATTGAAAAAGTTTTACGATCTTGCACTTCCTATCATGTTCATTGCAAGACATGATAAAAGTGAACGCGTGAGAAAAATGTGGGAAACAGTATGGGAAGAATGCACCAATACCTCTGTGAAAAATATTTTGGAGCTCCATCTAAGGGTTGTGTTGGATAAATGTATTGCATTGTTGGATCATCCTACTTGGGAATTGAAACGACAAGGTGGAAGTGCGCTCGAAGAGGTTTCATCTGCCTTGGGAGTATTGTTGAACGAGAAAAAGGAAGAAAGAACACGAATAATTGATGCCTTATTGAATTCTATTGCAGGCAGAGTGTGGGAAGGAAAAACTGTCCTATTGAAAGCTCTTGGAAGTATTTGTGAAACCTTTGTTTCGAAGGGAGATGAATCTATTGCTACTAATGGTCAACAACAAGAAATGAAAATTCTTGAATTATTATTGAAAGAATGCAAAAAGAAAGACCTCGATTACAAAGGCGAAGCTTTTAGAGCATTTCATTGTGCAATGAAAACCTTGCATTTCACTTCTCATTTCATTTCACAAGAATTTTACGAACAAGCAAAGACAACATTATTGGAAGAGATGCAAAATATTGAAAAGGAAGAGGAAGAAGAAATTCGAGCTGAGAATTCAACCGAAAAGAGAACCGAACGAGTGAATAATGACAAAACTTATCACGAAGAACGACTGAAACGAGAATTGAAATCGAATAAGAGAGAGGCATGTCTGATTCAAATCATTCACATTTTATCGTATTTAATTCCATCTCAGAATGTGACACATGAAGAGAGAAAGAAAGCGATGGAATGGATTTTCTATCAATTCCTAGCTCCTCGTTTGACTTTGTATTTAACTCCATCCATGAATAATGCCTTGTTGGGCGCCTTATTGCAATATGTGAAATTAAGAAAGAGAGGATTTGCACAAGAATTGCCTTTTATCAATGTGGAAGAACAAGAGAAAATTCTACAACTCTTACTATTCAATGTGGATCCAAATAATCGACAAATCAATGTGAGACCTGTAGCATTTAATACTTTGAAAGAAGTTTGTTCACAATTCGATATCATCAATAATTCCAGTTTGAAATCCTTGTTGAAAACACAACTCGAAGAAATATCAAAACGAATCATGGAGCCACTCTTGCATGATCAAGTGACCAATTTTGCTCAACAGATGTTGTAATTCCTCAGTACCGTTCTCCACTTTCGAACAAGTGATGCCTTCGGTTTGGAGTCTTCACTTTTTTTCCTTGTTGGTAGTGTTTTTCCATTCAAATACATTCTTGATGGATGATATGTTTTTGTGTTTGAGATAATTTTGCCATTCTGAATTGTTTTCCGAGATTTCATAAATACAATGCCCCTTCTTAGTCAGCACTGCATGATCAGAGAAGACTTTATCTATCTCATCATCATTATCGTATTGTGGAATCCTGTCTCTGAGAGGAATTTCAAACTTTTCATTTGGATGAAATAATATTCTCAACATGTTTCCTGCTTTCATAATATTGGCAGGACCTGATGTCTTGGGAATATTAATACGTTCTTCGAACGTTGATAATGATACAATTCCTTATTGCATTCCAATTGTTGCAGCAGTAACTAGGGAAACAAATAACAATACAAAATTCAAGAAAAACTATTATTATGAAAATTTGGAAACTAATAGCTCTCCACCAACGAATGACCTTACACGGAACGAAAGAAATTCCTTGAACACAGCTATCACTGATATTATGTTGTTTACTCACTGGCTCTAAATGCCATAGTGAATATTGTCTTGTCATCAATTCATTGATAACCCAGAATACAATAGTTTTACAAGTGTCAGAGAGTTGAGGAATGTTGTTCTTGTTATAAGTGCTTTTAAGTTGATCAATGGCATACTTTACACCCTCCATCTTGATTTCATCCAATCTGGAGAATTGAAAATTCCATATTTACAAGGACCACACATTTTCCCGTTCCCTATAATGGTGAATATGAAATATGTGATCACTGCAAGAACACTAGAAACAAATGCGGATATTATTGTAAGGGATGTGGTTGTATGCTTCACCATGACTGTTTCGTGAAATATCACGAACAGAAATTAATTTATTACTAAAGTATGATTGTCAAGTCTCCATCCTAAGAATTCCACTGAGAACTTGTACAGTCTAGTTGACACAACGAAGTCCGACCACAGCTTGTTGTGCGTTTTTTTTGGAAGACGTCAACACTCTATCCAAGAAACAAATTATGTTTATCGAATGGGTATGCGTGGCAACACAAAAAGTCCTCACCTGGTGAACATAGTTTTCATCAAATGAAGAGTTGCGTAAACATGCGCAACTCAAAAGATTGAAAATATAATGGGGAAACTCTTTCGATTTTATTTTTCGATACACTCGAGGCGGAAGGGTTAAGGGTTCAGTTTTCTCAAAAAAAATGAGCAAAAAGCAACAAGCAGAATCAGCAACTCGTGCTGCAACCCCACCCAACCTGTCCTATGATATGCCCAAAAGAAATATCTGGCGGGATATTCGACATCATCTTCATCGAAATATGCTTCCCTATTTAATTGCTTCTCCTTTTGCTGTATGGATTTTCTCAAATTATTGGATCCGAGGCTCTAGAAAGAACGAGAAGGTCATCTCTGCTCCGAACGTTCTCACGTGGAAGAGAGAATGCGAGAAAATTGGACAAAAGAAAATTGATGCTCTCGGAATTGATTTAAAATCCGAATTGGAGAAGAATATACCAGTGCGAGAAGAGGTAGTTTCATTATATCCTATTGCACACGGACAGAATAATGCTTCTTCGTACAGCATGAGTAAGGAAGAACAATTGAAGTTTGTGGAAGAGCTGTTCCCAGATTTGGTCGCTAAATTTAAATCACAAAGAGGAATTTTGAATTAATTGTATTACAAATTGGTATTACAAATTAATAATTAATGGGAAATTACGAGCAAAGGTTGTTTGTGTTCATCTGGAAACCAATTTAGCATTTTCATACCAAAGAAAATTTTGATGAAAATATTTCTGTTTTCGATGATGAGAGAAAGACAACAATCCACCTGTAATAGTTTGTGTTCCAACGATTCTCTCCAGTGTCGTCATCCACCCATCTAATTGTTAATGAACAAGTATTATGATTTTCCAAAAAGTGTGAAAAATTAAGAGTTCTGCCATAAATTCAATACCCTCATCATCACAAAGTCCACTAAGGCAAACAGAAATATTTCACAACGCATCATCTCCATTCATCCCAACAGAGATAATTCACATTTCATGGTGAGGCAACAATTAGTCATCACCTTGGATGAATACCATTCATTACAAAAAAATGAACAACACCAGATCGTTCACTTTCGTCTTGTTGCAAGCCTTGTTCGTGATCGCATTGATGAGCCTCATTCAGAGCTCGTACCAGCAAGATCGCGGAGAAGCTGCAGTGGATGCAGCATTGAAGGTCTTGGATTCCATGGGATGGCTCAATTCTAATACTCACTTGTTTTTCAAGAGAGTGGCTTTGTGTGAGAGCAATTATGGACAAGATCCGAACACTTATCGTTCAGGATAGTAAGTACCGTCCTTGAGGAGAGTTGTTTGGATAGATGATCTTTGATGTGTTCGATGTAATGAAACTAAACGTTTTTCACGAATGTCATTGATATATGAATTGGAATTGTTGGACTCGTTCTCGAACTTTATTGTGTGATTGGTGATGGTGAAACAGTTATGGAGGAATTTGGCAAGTCGACAATATCGCTTTCAAGAATACCCAAATGCCTCAATCACATCCCATTCTCAATCAAAAGTATGCTGATTTGAAGAGCTATCTTGGCATTGATTGGAAAACAGTCACATGGAGCCAATGTGTTAAAGCAGCGTACTCATTGTTGGCAGCACGATTGAATATGTATACCATTCCTGCAAGTATCCCAACCTCATTGTATGATCAAGCTGTATATTGGAAGACTTATTACAACACCAATCAAGGTATGTGTTAAAACATGACAAGTCTATGTCGTTTGACATCCAAGTAACTGTTAAACACCACTCCATTAGGCAAGGGAACCGTACAATACTTTATTGACTGCTGCAAGAATGGTGGTTTAGGAGATGATCAAGCTTAATGTGAAATGGTCTAAAAAGTGCTTCCCGATTTGAATCATCATCTCAATTATGTGTTTGTTTAGATCAATACAAAATGTTTTTGTTGGTCACGGCGTTTTGAATATTATGCAACGAATAGTTATTGGTTTTGCATTTGGAAAGTCATTCGAATTCACCATCTACTTTTTGGTTCATGTGTGAAATTTCTTTCAAGGATTCAATTGTTCAAATTGTTTAAACAATTCATTGTTTAAATTACAAAGTAACAGTTCGAACAACAATCTTTTGAAATATTTCTGAACTGGAAGGTTCGAGATTTCAAAAAATGAAAAAGCCTTTGACTTGTTTCTTATCCTTCATGATGATGATGATGATTCTCATCGTTGTGTTGTTGGATGTGTTGAGTGCTGGAAAACCATCAGTTCTCGCTGCCGAGTCGTCGTCATCCTTTTTCAAGAATCATCAGTATACTGATGCTGCTACTCCTCTCGATACGTACATGGCTCTCCCAGATCCCTATTATTCCTACACATTGGCCTCACATATCGACAATGCTGCTGCCGATGTCTATATCTTGAACATGACCTCTCTCGGATACCTCACACCAGCACAAAGTAATAGACCCATTTGGACTCATACACTCACTTTGGTGGTTCCAAAGAATTTAAATACTCAAATTCGGAGAGCCTCCTTACTCGTGAATGGTGGGGATAATCTTCAACCGAATATTCCATCTGCTGATTTGAACGATTTAATTTTGATCTCGAGTGTTACTAGGACCATCATGGCTGATTTGATGCAAGTACCTAATCAACCGATTGTGTTTGCCAATGATCCATTGCATATGAAGAGATCGGAAGATGATATTACAGCTTTTACTTGGAGATATTTCATGAATAACACAAAACAAGATGCTGATGCCTACAAGTGGATTATTCAATTACCAATGGCGAAGAGTGCCAAATATGCGTTGGACACCATGCAGAGTTTTACCAACGATTTGTTTAAAGTGAAACAAGGTGAGAATTATATTCAGGATTTTATTGTGATGGGAGGATCTAAGAGAGGATGGACGACTTGTAAGTTGTTGTTGTTGGAGTGTTGGAGTGTTATTTATTGAGATTATAATGTATTGTTGAATGAATTGTGTAAAAATTTCGTGTGAAATATTACTGAACTCTTGATGACAATATGAAAATATTTGATTTAAAAACATTTAGATTTGTAAGTAACGAAGAATTGAATGCATGATGATGATGAATGATATCTTGTTTATTGTAAAATAGATTGGCAAGTACTGACAAGAGAGTGAAAGTCATGATACCAATCGTGATTCAAATATTGAATATGAAAGTTGTATTGGAACATATTTATAACTCGTTGTGTTCTTTCCCAATTGCTATGGGTAAGTCTTGTTTGTGGACGACATGATTTATGGTGTGTTACGAATTTTTTCATCTTTTCCAAATTTGTAAAATCTTCTGCTTCACAAATTATGAAATTCAGAGGCATATCTTCAACAAGGAATTATGACTCGATTGGAGACACCAGAATTTGCACAATTAGCCAGTATTATTGATCCATTTGTTTATCGTGATCGTTGGGCTAATATTGACAAATTTGTTGTCAATGGTTTGGGAGATATTTTCTTCTGGCCTGATATTGCACTCTATTCTTATCCATATTTACCAGGTGGAGATGAAAATAAGAGAATTCGTTATGTTCCTAATGTTGGACATAGTATGGCCGGAAGGTTAGTGTTTTGTTTCTGTAATTATTTTGGAATATTATAATTGTTCATAATCATTTGAACCTTAATTCATTTGCCTTAATCCACACTTCAACAGTGACATTTGGGAAACAATTCTCACCTTCATCTACGCGAATTTATACAATTTGAAACTCCCAGTCTACACATTCGATCACATTTACAATAACAATGGAGCCATTGTGACTGTTCGAATTCTAAATCAAGTCATGCCAGTGCGAGTCACCTTGTGGCAATCCACCAATCCAAAGGCAAGAGATTTCCGTATCACTGAAACTGGAAAATCCTTCACACCTTCACCTGTTCAATCGGTAACTCCAGATGATCCTTACACATTTATGGTGTTCGTTCCAAATCCACCTCAAGGTTGGACTGCATTTTCAGTGGAGATGGAATTTGGCATGATTGCAGGAAGCATTCCATTGCCACCCATCAAGTTTACAAGTGCTGGATATATTACTCCAACCACATTGCCATGCAAATATCCTGGATCTCAATAAAGTTGGGCGAAATTCCAAGACCACAACCTCTGGAACCAAATTTTTGCTCGAATTAATAACACTATCCAAATCAATGGATTATCTCAAGAGCTGTCAATTACTGATGTTTAAAATTAAAAATGTTACTTGTTTAATCTCTTTAAGAATGCAGCTTTCAGTTTTTTAAGCTTGGATGACGCTGTTGAAGTTTTATCTGCATGACGTTCCGCTGAGAGAGGAGACAGCATCGAGAGTCTATTGTTGTTCATCACATCCAAATCATCAGCAACAATAACACTCTTATTCATCGCCTTATGAGGAGTATCCATCACAGAATGTCTTACTGCTGGAACTCCCTCTGGTGATTGTTCGAAAATGTTATTCGTCGAACGTTGACTCTTTCTCCATGAGAAGGATCCTGTTTTGGTTTTAGGTTTCAATTTTCGTCGTTCCAAACTCTTAATTTGTTTGACAGCATTCTGAAGAGTACTTGAAATATTTTGTTGAACTTGTTGTGCATTATTCGACCCAATTTGAAATTCTTTGAGTGTTTCTTTAGACTTTTCTTCAGGTATGCAATCCATGCGATCCTTCACATAAAATAATCCGCTGAGTGACGATGTTGTATAATTGGAACAATATTCAAGCAAATCTAAAACAGTTTCAAGACATGAAATCCATCGTTGATGTGCAATAAATGTTTCAATTTCCACATTTGAAACCGCTGATCGAGAACTAAACAGAGAGGACATGGAACTTCGTTCCACAGGTCGATCTGACAAGGTCTCTAATTGAATTAAATGTCGTGAAATCCATGAACCTGCTTGTTTTGCGCAAGTGTCAACCGCTAAATGCAAAATATTTCGATGTTGTTGATCGGTTTCTGTGAGCAGCAAGGTGATGAATCGATCGGAAGAACTATTCGCGCAGTAATCTTTCAAAAATGCAATTAAATGATTCATGGTTTTCAAATCGTTCAATACGGCACATTCCATGAAGATATTTCTACCAAATGCATTCTTTTGTAGAAACGCCTTTTCAAATGTTTCAATTCCAAAGATCGTTGTTCCCTTAAAAAGAAAAGTTGAGACAAATAATTTGTCATCTTCATGCGGATGGTCATTCATGACCAATGCGGAGGTACTGTTGGCGTACTGTGGTGTGTGAACACTACTGCTCAAACTTGTCAAAGTTAATGACGACTGAGCACTTCCTTCGCTTCCATTACCAAGTAAAAAACTGTCACTCGTTTCTGAAAAGATAGATCCAAACTTGTCAGCCACATCCAAAAATTCCAAATCGGAATTGGTTGTGGCAGAAATTTCAGCACGTTTTTTACGTTTTCTACCTCCTCGTCCGTCATTGAGGCATGAAAAGAGAGGATTCTCTTCTCTTTGATTTTTCCTTAATAATAAGGATGGTTTGATTGCTGCAATATATTCAATCATTTGTAAATCTTTTTCTCGAACTGCATGATGCAAAAATGTTTCACTATTTCCAATTAACACATCGATTTTAGCTCCAAATAATTGAAGAAGGTCACACATTTCATAATCTTTTTTCTTGAGAGATATATACAAGGGAAGATAACCATATCGGTCGTGACTGGTGTTAAGTTGTTCCTGAACAACTTTAAAACTGCATAAATAAGCACAAGCATCATTTGCTGATGACTGACAGGCATAGAAAATGGGTGTGGCATCGTACTTGTCTTTGGTTGACAAGAGTTGAGCTTGAATGGAAGACCTAGGTGAAGTAAATGCTGAATATTGTTGTTGATTCGAAGAAGTGTTTCCAGAATCTGCTTCGACACTAATTTCGTCACAAGCGCTTGATGTTATTGTACTTTGAGAACTGCATTTGGCAATATCTCCTGTCAAAAGCCATTGTAGCATTTCCACTTGATTATATTTTGCAGCTGCATGAATGAGAGTGCAATCGTGATGGTCTGGAAAAGTTGTGGTCAACACAATGTGACGAATGTCATGCGTCAATGGTGACAACGAATTGAAAATTAAACTCGTCGATGAAGAGGACAGAGCGCTCGATGACAAGGTTCCATTTTCTACGGACAGTCGATACTGTTTTTCCATCTCTGTCAAATAATGTTGAACAGATTTTAAATCTCCACGACAAGTCGCTTCGTAAAGCATTGTTTTCAGAGCATCGTCTTCACAGAGTGATCCACCATTTTGACCCGATGATGTTGTTGACATCATTGCAAATCCAAATCCCAAATGATTGGCTGCAGCAATTTGTCCTAAATCCACGATGGGAAGTGACAATGAATGAGAATGCACATATCCATGATCATCCTCGTGTTCCAAACTGATGGAAGGCACATGAAAACTGTCAAATTCTGTCATTTTAAATCGTAACACTCGTTCGCATCAATTAATTGGTTGTTGTTGTTGTTTGATGAAACAATTTTTTCAAAGTTGTTGTATGTTTGTCGTGAGTACTGCTAACACGATCAAAGAGAGAGAGTGTGTGTGTGTGGTGATCGAATTCCAACGATGAACGAATGAATGTAGTTTTTTTCGAGCTCGTTTAATAGTTGTGGTTGTGGTGATGGTTGTAGGTATTATCGTTCCGGTTGTTGTTGGAGGAGGAGCGTGCGATATGAGAAAGAGAGCGCGATGATGAAAAGAAGGCTTGTCAATTTAGTTGTTGTTTGAAATGCAACGAGGCGGTCTATTTTTTTGTCGGTTGAGTGGTTGTGGAGCGATTTGGATTGGAGGAAAGGAGCATCTCTAAAGAGGATTTACTGGGACAAATTAAGAAGAAAAAATGCAACGACAAGTGACATTTCTTCGAACGCTGGATCATTGGGCGACTGTGGTGGTTTGACAATGTTAAGGAAGAGGAACAAACTAATGTCCATCGTCATAAACTTCCATTCTAATAAGCGAAGTGATGGAATTGTAGAACCAATTATTGCAATAAATTTCAAACGTTGCCAAAGCATTCCATGTGGAGGCCTAATCATCCTCAAAAGGCACACCGCAATCAACAACTTTCCACAAGTCGCACCTCAATGCAAAACCACTTGTACTGTTTAATCAACGAATGATGATCCAATTTGCATTGTCAGAGGTTGAAAAACCGAGTTCAAGAACCACCTTCCCGCCATTTTTAAACGTTACAAAAAATAAAAATTAAAAAAAAATGCAACACGTCCAAGCGCTCGTGGATCAATTCAAAAAAGCTTCCGAAGAGTACAATCATGGACTCGTGGCTTATCAAGCCAATAATTTTGAGAAGGCAGTCACGAGTTTGGAGCAAGCCAAAACACTCTTTCAGAATGTTCTCAATACTCCCATTCCCGAGAAGTATGCCGATAAATTTAAAGTCGCTTCGGATCATCTCGTTAAAACGTTTGAATTATTACTGAGAGCACAATATAAACTTCCCGATGCTCAATTTGTAGAAATTCAAAAGGGTTTCATCAAACTCATACGACAACATGTCTCAAGTGGAGCCTTCAATGAGCAGAAATTACAATTTTTATTTCAGAGTTACATCAGCTGTAAATTGAAAGCACACAAATCTCCACAACAACAACAACCAATATATACCATTTTGGAAGCCATTGATTCATCATTTGAAAATAGGCATTTGGCCTTTCTGAGGATGGAATTACAGGCCATTGAAGAATTAAATTGTCAAGATGTACTCTTTAAAGAGAATATTTTAGTATTGCAACGATTATGTGAAGTTTTAGAAAAGAAGGAACCAAACTCTAGCGATATTTACCTCTACAAAACCAAAAGAATTCTTGCTTACTTACATTCGTACTCGGGATCTCAGCCGGTTTCAGATTCTCAAATTACTAAGGAATTGGAGGAGGTCATCTCTCTTCTTTCCAAACAACAGACAATTTCGTCAGCACTCGATTCTCCTCTCGTTTCATCCATCATTCCTTTTGTGATCCATCTAGTGACAACATTTGTATCATGTATGCGATTTCTAGAAAAGCAATCATCCAACATTGACGAGCTTCTCTCTGTGAATGCTAGTAATGACACACTCTCGATGAAAAATAAGGATGTTTTTAGCAAAATTTTGAAAGGCGTCTTCTCAGGGAATCTTGAGAGTATGAGCTCCATGCTCAACTCACTAACAGTTAATCTTTCTTTTGCTGATTTGATTTCAGTCTTCAACAAGAGAGATGTTTTGTACATAACCTATTTATTGATTTCCATGATACGTTTCTGCACGCTCTATGGATTTGACGAAACAGTTCTGCAGATTAGAAAATTATTTATGAAACCACTTCCATCAAATGCAGATGCAGACATTGTCAAGCAATGCAACAATATTATTAACATTTTGAATGATCATGCACTCCATATGAATGACCAACAATCCATAGTGAAAGATAAGCTCGATGCTTTTCAAGATTTTGATTTCAAACGACGTTTCAACTGTAAATATAACGACTGCTATGTACAGCTTGCGAACGAAATTTCAGACAAAATGTCACAACATTCTCAAGAAGATATTAACTCTCTCTCAAAATTTCATTATACTCACTGTAAAGTAGCCATGAAATATGATATCCAAATAGCATATCAAAGTCTTATCAAAAGCATGAGATATCGAGGAATTCTGGAAAAAGAAAAGAGAGCAGAAACAAAGTTAATCGATTTCATCACCAAAAAGTCCACAAAGAGTGAGTTGAAAGCGTCGTTTTCCTTGGCTCAACATTTTGAACACACATACCATACCTTGCTACATTACCAGCAAATGATTCGAATTCATGAAATTCGTGGCAATTTCTCAACCTGTGAGACATGTATCAGACAAGCGTTGAGGTTCTCTATTTATGTGAAATGTCTCAGTTTTACTCTTTCATTTTTGTATCATTTAGCTCGCCTTAAATTGAATAGACATGATTTTGATGATGTGGAAACACTGGTAGCGATTGTGAAGTCTCTCATCGTTTCAGACCCAAAGCAATCAAAGAATGCAATAATTAACAAGTTTGCCAAAGAGTTTGTACTCTTGGAGAGTACCATGCTCATCATGCAAAATAAGGATGAGGAAGCTGAATCCCTGCTCAACCATTCTGAAAATTTGAAGAACGACATTGGCCTCGAATTACAAAAGGTCATTCTCCTTTTGAAACGAAATGATGAAGAAGGAGCCAAAGAAATACTGCAAAAACTTTCGAAGGTTGTAGAAACAGATCAAACACGAGAAGAAACATTGTGGGTGAAATATTATTGCAATGCACTCAATAATAACCAGAGTTTGAATTACGAATTTAGATCGACCTTTGGTTTGGCGTGGAATGATGTGCCAATACCTCTCAAGAAGAGAATTCTTTCACACATGAGGTCTGATCATTTACGAAATGTCAAAGAAGAAAGAGAATTTGCATTCTTTTCTTCCATGTCGATGGGTATTCGGTTGAAACACACATTACAAGATTTACTCGATTTCTTTAACACTCCTAACAATGCAACGTCACCTACCAGTTCTGGAAGTCAAGACGATACCAATGACAACAATAGGGGAGTTGAAAAGATGATGCGAAGACTTTCTCTTGCTAACGAAGAGCTTCAATTTTCTTTCATGATGGATCTTAAAGATTTGACAACAAAGAACACATTTATGGACAGTCTTATTTCCATACTGCCCAGTAATATTTCTGTGTGTAATATTTGCATCTCTGATGGTAAGTTTGACATTTTGTTAAATGGATAAATGATGATCAAATGATGATGAAATGATGCTTCATTAGATTATTCATATCTTGTAATCACAGTTATGAACAATCATAGAAGCGATCAAGATTGTATCGTGCTACCAATTTCACTCACAAGAAACGAAGATTCATACACTAAGCTCAATAGACTATTCAGCGAATCTGCCATCAAACAAACACAATTACAATACCACAAATCTTCTAACTCTGACCCTCATTTAAGTTCAAGTAGTTTAAGCTCATACTCTAATTGGAAATCCTATCAAGCATTGTTTGGAAAGGACAACAACATTTTACATAGGATGCTCCTCTCGTTTGATCATTTACAAATTTTAAGTAAGGAATCTTTCACCATCACTGATAAATCATCATGGTGGAAGATAAGAAAGGAACTTGATGAAAAATTAGCCAAGCTATGTGAATATGTTGAAGACCTTCTATTTGGACCTGTTAAACTATTGTTAATACCTCGTCTCATGAATGAATTTGATGAAACACTTGAAGATCGATGTGACACATTTATCAACAGATTGAAAGAAATTACAAGTGGTTTGGATATTGCCTTCGATGTACGAATTGCCAAGCTCATGCTCAAGTCGTTCAGTGCTTTCAGAGAAGAAAATGACCTTGTTGAAAGTATTCGATATTTCATATTGGGAGATGCTGCAGAATATGATGCATCCATCCTGTCAGAAATTCAAACCTTATTTTGCAACACATTTATTCAAGCATTCAGTGATCATGAAAAGAGAGCTACAACTAAGGAGGCCATGTTCCGTCACTGCAAACGAATTGAGTCACAAAAGATCAAGAGAAAACATATTGTGTTTTGTTTGGATAAGTTAATTCAACAATTGCCAATCGAAACAATGCCAACCATTAAGAATTATCCATCCTCAAGAATGCCAAGTTTACTTCTATTGTACTACCATCTCAACCGAATGACCGAAATTAATGGTGAAGTTAAGAAAAACAATGTCTATTACTTGCTCAATCCAAGTGGAGATTTGTCAGCTTCAGAGGACAGATTCAAACCACTATTTGAACAACAACGAAATTGGAAGGGAATTATTGGAAAAAGTCCAACAGAAGACGATTTTTATCAAGCTCTTTTGGATAACGATCTGCTTGTGTATATTGGACATGGTACAGGAGAGAGATACTACAATCCACACAAAATACGAAAGTTGTCCAGATGTTGTCCAATTCTCTTGATGGGATGTAGTAGTGGAAGACTCAAAGAATATGGAAACTATGAACCAAATGGAACTGTTCTAAGTTTTCTTCTTGCTGGTTCACCTTTTGTAATTGCCAACTTGTGGGATGTGACTGATAAGGATATCGATCGGTTGACTGAATTCATGTTAGAGAAGTGGTTGTGTAACAATGCTCAAAATCAGTCTGTGTGTGAGGTATTGTCAAAAGCTCGAGATACTTGTTTATTACCAAGCTTGATAGGAGCTGCCACTGTTTGCTATGGCTTGCCAGATTTGTTAATAAACTAGTTTCGGATCTAAGTCGAGTAATAGTTTAATTCGACACGACTTTAAAGTACAAAAAAGCTGTCATAATTTTAACCTGGTCAGGTAACAACGATTGATACCAACTCTAGAATAAAAGATTGTCACCGACTTGCACAAAATTGTCATCGTCCTCTCCTCCCTTGGTTCCACTCCACTTGTTTGTGATGGTTTCTCGAGCCAAGTCCACAATTCGATGCTCAATTTCTGCTTTCAAAGTTCTGTGGTGTTCAATCCATTCGACCACAATATCGAAAATCTTGTGATTGTTTTTTTCATGGTCAACGATTTGAGCTTTCTGTAAGCTGGTATATCCATCACCTCCTTTCAGCAAATAAGTTACAGTTGCAAATCGATACACTCTTTGCTCATCGATCTTGTCTCCATTAAAAGTCATTTCAACAACTCGATGTAAGGGTGGTTTCTTACTGTCGTAAATGATTTTAATACCTTTCGAGAAGTGAGGGAACGCTCCAACCACCTTTTCTGCCTTTTGTACACCCTCTTCGACCGCTGCTAAAAGGTCTTTTCCTAGAATGTTTGTGAGAGCCAACTCGTTGGGAAAAGGGAATTCCTTTAACATGTCATATCTGTTTAAGAGCATCACATCGTTAATAACTTGATCTTATGACCGTCAAAAGAACATACCTTGTAATTTTTTTACCAGCATCATAGAATCGGTCACCTCTAATTCCACCTCCGTTAAACATGGCAATTTCACAGCCAAAAACCTATTGCAGTAATAATTTGTAAACAAGTTACAATCACAAAAAAAACAATTTGGCTCATACTTACATCCAACAAGAGATCTGCCACAAAATTACCAAATGTAGTTTCCTTTGTTCGACAACTCTCTGTAGATGAATATAACTTGGATTCTGTCACACCAATCTGTTCCATAATTCCAGGAGGTAATGTACTCATGTATTTTTCAATGACATCTGCCACTTTCTTTTTAGGCTTGTAACCATGATTAATCATCATGTTGCATGACGGATATACCTTTACAGTTTGAAAGTGCTCATCTTGAACTGTAGTTTTGTTTTTCTCAATTCTTAAATCAATTCGAGTTAAAAATTGGCCATCATGACCTGCTTTGTGAATGAGGCAATTTTCTCTCACAACTGTGAATGGTTCATGATCATGACCTCCCAATACAATGTCAATACCTGGAACTCGTTTCACTAACTCCTTGTCATCGGCAATATTGAGATGAGTGAGTGCAATGACAACATCACACTTGTCCTGGTTTCTTAATTCATTCACCATCTTTCTTGCAATTGGAATAGATGGAAGAAATTTAATTAATTTTCCTGGTCTGCTGAGATATTCACTGTTTTTTGTACAGAGACCAAATAATCCAATTTTCAAACCATCTAAGGAAGGATCTGTTAATATCTTTTTCCTAAGACATCCTTTCAAAATGTTCTGGTCGCTATTGTCGTAAGAAGTGTCTACACAGAAATATTGTTACTTTCAGAAAAAACATCTCCTCCACATAATCCACAACTTACCATCTCCATTATTATACACAATATTTGAACAAATCCATGAAAATCTAGATTCTGCGATTCTTTGCTCTAAAACTTCACTTCCAAAATCAAATCTATGAAACGAGTTCAATAACATGAAGAAATTCATTATTAATAATCTCAATTACAGAAATGAAACGTACTCATGGTTTCCAGGGCAAACAAAATCTCTAATCATTCCGCAATCAATTTCAACACTTCTCATGACACAACAATTGTACTTACATTGGCATTTGATTGACCACATCAATCATATGTGCTCCCTTATACTTTTCAGCCAATGTCGATGCCGACAAGAAATCACCATTCAAAGTGGCAATAGCAAACCGTGATTTACTCTTTTCATTGTCAATCATGGTCGATAACTCTGCCAAACCACCAACTCCCTTGTCATCTCTTCATTCATTAGTGGTCGCACCATTAATTTTTCCAAAATTCATCGTTCATTGTTGTTATGAGTATTCAATAATGAGTTCATTAAATCATTGATGAAATTACAAGAATACCTACGGCAACATTTCATACACATCATTGACCATGAGTAACGTAATGTTTGTAAAATTAACCGTTTCCGTACGAGGAAGGTTTTTCTTTCGTTGTAAATAGGTAATCATTTTCGGAGGAGATGAAAGAGTTCAATAATCGATCAATTTCTCTAAAATTTTGAAAATCTTCAAAGAATTGAATAGGCTCCGAGAAGAAGAACTCGATATGAATTTTTTTGAATTTGTTTTTTTTTGAGGAACTTTTGGAAAATTCAAAAAAGGAATCTAAGCAACGCTTTTGCTTTTGACCAAAAATGGCGAAATAAGAGGCGGTGATTTACAAGCAATTTCCAAGTTTTCAATACTGAGCTTTTCAAAGCAATGAACCTGAAAAGATGTTCACTTCTTCTCGTTGAACTCCTCTTTTGGTGGTCAATGTTTTCTTATTTTGATCTCATTCTGAAAAGTAATATAACATATGAAAGAGTTTCAATGGATGGTAAGGATATGGAAAGAGGAATCACTCATCTTATTGCAACCAGATATTCGTTCATGAGATTCAATTCTTTAAGGAAAATCTTCATCAACTTCACAGAAATAAAATGCACAATCACCTTGACAAGACTTGTTCGCCATTCATTGTGAAAATTCTGTCACCACTTTCTCATAATTCTGACAAGGTCCAACAACAAGCAAATTCCAACAACAACAACAACCAGACTTCAACAGGCATTCTCGGAATCGATCAAGAAACCTATTCCGATTTAATTCTTCTTTTGGATGAACAATTTCAATATGAACATAAATTCAATGAACATGCTCGAGAGCATTTGGAGACATTTCTGAAAGTGGTTTCAAATTCCAATAATGAATCGACACATCATCAATTGTTGAAAAATGATTCTTTTTGGATTTTCATTGCTTATCATCAACAAGAGGGTGATAATGATCATCATGGTGAGCACAATGAAGAGAAACTGGCTCCTGAAACACACAATCTTGACACTCAGAAAAGAAAATTCATTCCTGCAGGTTTTTTAACTCTTGTGTGGCTTCCTAAATTAAATTCCAAAATTGGATATACCTACGTCGATGAATTATTTGTGAGAGAAAAATTCAGACGAATGCATGTTGGATCTCTGTTGTTAAAGGAAGCTAAAGAATGGACTCAAAGCTTGCATTTGGCAGGTGTTCGATTATTGGTTCGAACAGAAAACGAAGCTGCTCAGAAACTCTATGAAAGAAATGGTTTTGATTTGAGTGAAACTCTTTTTGGGCAGTGGTGTCGTCACTCGACGAGTTCCAATCAATGACCAGTATAAAATAAACTTGTTTGGATTCATCTAAATTCATCTCACACTCGCTGACAGTATATATACACTCATTGTGTTTCTCACAGTGAAGAAGAAAGCATCATCATGAGATGATATGACATTCATGTTCCTCTAATAAAACAAAACTCCTTCCAAACGATCCCGTTCTCCATCATTCAACCTGATCAAATAAGGACTATTCTTCAATAAGGCAATCATTGGTTTTTTCAAATCCTTTAAAGTACTCTTTGGAAGATAAAGACACGAAAGTTTGGCAAGTTTTTGAGTGGAAAGTACTTGAACATCTTCCAATTCCAAGCTTTTAACAGCTCGCACATTCAAATAAGTTAAATTTTCAAGTTTCGACGAGGAGCCAAATAATGCATTCACAAATCCACGCTGGTGTGTGAAAGAGAACGAAACGAGTCGTTGTACAGCATGATGAGAGGCAAATTGTTCAACTTTTTCACACGAAACCAAGTCAACACCTTCCATAAAGAGCTTTTCTAAATATTGAAAATGGTTAAGGGATTCTATGACACTGTCAATGGTAATTTCATATTGAGAAGAGATGTTCAACTCTTTGAGTTTTGGAAAAGTTTTAGAAATTGCTATTAAATCGCTTGATTTCATTCCATTTCCAGCAGCATCCAATATGGTGAGGTTTTTCATATATTCAGTTGTGATCAGTGGCTTGAAATTTCTAATGTTTGGATAACCTATTTTGAGAGTTTCTAATTGTGACAAGTTGGGACAATTCACGAGCAATTTCAACCCCTCAAACTCGTCATTCAAAACTCTGCAAACATACAAGTTCAAAGATTTCAATGAGGTAATATTCTTACAGGCCAAAAATTCTTGTAATTCGCTGTATGAATCTGGCAAAAATCGAAAACTTTTGATTTTCTTCATGTGTCCCTTAAATATTGCAAGAACTGAGCTCATGGGTGTTAGGAAATTGTTTGCATTGAATTCAATAGAAAATTCCTCAATATTGGATAGATTTTCACAATTTGCTAAATATTGCACACCCTCTTGAGAAATATTATTGCCATCTAACGTGAGACAAGTCAAATGATCAAAAACTGAACTCTGTCCAATACATTTCACTCCATCGAATGAAAGGTCGTTTCTATTCAAATTGAGAGATGTCAAATTTTTCAAATGCGAACTTTGTGAAATTTCAAAAAGAAGAGCATTTCCAAGACGGCACCCAGCAAGTTGCAAATCTTTCAATTTTGAAAAGTATGGAGATGAACTAATGATTTTCACACTCTTCACTCCGATCTTTGTATCATTCAAATTCAAGTAGGTTAAATTGGAAAACAAGGGACTTGCAATCATTTGAAAGGATTGATCATGTACTTGCGATTGACAAAGATTGAGATGCGTTAAATTTTTCAAATTCTGACTGTTGGCAATTCCTTTCACAATTGAATCATCAAAATATCGTTTCGTCAATTCTAATTTTTGTAAATTCGGAAAACAATTTAAATATCGATCCTTTCTTGTCATTAATACATTGTCAAGATGTTGATCATCCATTTCATTGTCATCATCCACGAGATCCATATCTTTTGAATATTGAGAAAGTTCTTGTCCTCCACACACTCTCAACGCTTTCAATGAATGAAAATATCCCTTCTCACAACATTCTACAAATTTTCTCGTCCGAATAGTGTTGTTCTCCAAATAGACAGTACATTCATTTCCGAATGAATAGGAAAAAGAATTTTTTGTTGCCATTCGATTGCATGATTTACAAATGAGTCGGAACACTCTGAAGACCCATGAATAATCGAAATGAATGAAAATTTGGCAATAAAAGATTTCAACAGGAAGGTCGCAAAAAGAAGGAATGGTGTTGGTCAGTGATGACATTTTTTTTTGTAAAGTTATCTATTGGTCGTTCATTCTTCAAAAAGAAGGAACTTTTTTTGAATTCAAAACAATATTCATCTTTGAAAAAGTATAGGAACATTTCGAAACCATCCCTTCTTCCTTCGTTTGTCAATGACAAGCCTTAGAGGCACTCTAAATTTTTGAATCTGAAAAGAAATCGTCTCTCGAAAACAAAAACGTGAACGATTGAAAAAAAAATAACATTTTCAAACAGTAACGTTATGAACAATACGAGTCACACACAATTCAGCTTTGACAATAGAGAATCTGATCCCCAATGTCGAACGATCATAATTGCTCTCCTCCCCACTAACTAGGGCCTGAGTGCCTATTGCGAAGAAAAAGACCGTTGTTGGACTGAAATAATTCTTAATTTCCAAAGAGAGCAACTCATTCAGGAATTATTTAATGAAGCATTCAAGGAGGAGACAACACTTAATGGACATTTATGTGGAAAGAGGGCAACGAGGAAAGTGTCAATCCTTACAAAATATCCACAAAATAACAAGTTGCATCCATCAAGAAATTTCAGACATCATCATCACTTGGTGTGATTTAGTATTATTTTACTTGAATTCACTAGAAAGAGAGTCTATTCAAAATAAAAATTGGTGGATCTATGGTGAAGAGATTCTCATGATTTGGAGAAAATTCAATTCATCCAAGACCCTTAGACCCTTAGAATTGAAAAAATTCAAACTCGAGTGTATCAGCCTTAGTAGCAGAAAATGGGCTTTGATTAGATCTGTTATTGTGTGATGAGTTCCAAACGAATATCCTTTTCTGCTGCAATAGAAACAGCAGGTTGATAATCTACATCTAGTATTTCTTTAAATGCAAGTTTAGCTCCTTTTCCATTCACATTAAAGTAGAGTGAACGTTTGGAATAAATTACTTCCACAATATCGCCTTTTCTTAATGGATCTGAGAAAGGTTTATAGTCACCACTATTTGTAACACCTCCATCCAGAAAAACCAATCCATAACTAATCCATCCGTTTTGATTTATATTCACTATTCCAATTACTAAACCCCAACTGTTGTTTGTCTTTTCAAAACTATGTATTTTCAGCTTGTACGAAAAGTTTCGAAAGTTGAAATTCGAATGGGTAATTCGGTACAATTTCCATCCATTAACATGATTCGGAAAATCAAGAATTTCTGTCTTGGAATATTCAAATTTCCATGACGAATCTGTGACAACACTCTTTTTCACATTTCCCAATGTTGATAAATCATTTTTCACTTTTACAAATGCATCCTCCTTTTCAATGTTCTCCACGAAGATATTATGAAGTGATTTAATATCAATATTCTTGACTTGATTTACCATAGTTTCATAATTATTAATCGCCGTCTTGAGAAGATTCACTTTCTTTTCAAGTAATTGATAGCCATTCATTTGTGAAATATTACTGAACTCTTTCACTAATTCTTTCGTTTCATTTCCTTGATTCAACATGGATCTCATTAATTGAGTACTTTCATGACATTCCAGATCAATTTGCTGAAAGAGTTCCTCTTTTCTCTTGTCTATCATTTGTTTCAACTCTTTCATTTGTGTCTCGACAAGATGTTTCAACGTCATTTGTGTCTTCTCCACGAGCTGAATCTCTTCATATAGGTCCTTCTCTGAAATCTTACAAGTTTCTTTCATAAATTTCTCTCTTCTCTTCATGAAATCATCCAATTCTTGTTTGACCAATTCTCGTTCTTGATGAATAATTTTGGAAATTAAAAAACATTCATGTCCTGAATGTTCGTCCACTCCGCACGAAGAACAAACTAATTTTTCACAACGTCTATAAAAGCAATTGATTGGAATGTGATGAATGCGACAGAGAGGTTCATTTGGTTGTAATTGTTGAATGGAAGAAGAAGAAGACAATGGATCGTTATTTCGAAGAGGCAATGACGAGGAAATTGGAACAAGTGGGTGATCCTTGTGTTTTCTGGGATGGATTTTGGAATGATAATCACAAAAGTGGCGAGTACAAGTTGGACAATGGTGAGTTGATGGTCCTCACGACAATCGTCACAGTGATGAAGGTACATTCCACGAATATTCGTGTGTTCAGTGTTGGTGTTTGTTTTTTTTGTTGGTTGATGGAGACGAGTGACACGATCACGCTGTGTAATTCTTCATCTCTTCCAACAATCTGTCAATGTCTGAGAAAACTCAAGAAAAGAGTTACATGAATGGTTTGTTGAATGAAAACTTTTGCGCCAACTTTTGGCGCCCAAAGTACAATTTTGTTCAAACAAAAAATGTCTCGATCTTATGCAGTCTACAGTGTTGATGATTACGAAGAAGAGGAAAATGAAGAATTGGAAACCAAGGATGAACACTCCTTTCTCATGAATGATGAGGATTATGAGTATTCCATCCAAAGCGAAGAAGAGGATGATGATGAGGACGGAACGTACGAAGATGAAGAGGAGTATGATACAACTTCAGCAAAGACTGAACCGCTTCCAATAGAAACTCCCAAGAAGCAGAGCGGAGAGGGCTCTGCTCAGCAAATCAAGATGACTCGTGGAGATTTAATTGCTCAGCTTGAAAGACTCGGATACACAAATGTTCCTGAGGATGTGGTTCAAGATTTCATTGCCGAGCTGAGAAATCAAAACATTGAGGTTCTCCCCGAAGAGCCTTGCACCTCTCGCAATTCTTCTTCAATATTTTCTCGCGACGATGAAGACCAGGTGAAAATCGATAACGTTGCGGAGGAAGAAGAAGAAGAGAATTATGAAGAAGAAAATCAACATTCTGATAAAGAAGAGTCCTTGCAAGAGGAGCAAGATGAAGAGGCGTTCATTCCAGTATTTAAACCACCTGTTTTAAATGATGATGATATTACAACACGAGGCACTCCATCAAAAAAACAACAACAACCATACCAGAAATATGAATCACCTCAGCTACATAGTCCCAGTGGTGCAAAACAATATAACACCCCCAAAATGCAAACTGATTCTCCAGCCAGGAACGTATCCATGCAAAGGGATAGCCCTAGTGTCACAGAAGACGAAGGTTATGACACCACTGCTTACTACAACAACCACTACGCATCGCTGAAAGACTTTCAAAAAATCAAATCCCAACACAGAGATTCTAGGAATTTGGTTACACCAAAAGTTGAGACCATTAAATCTCCAATAAGGCAAAGCCAACAAGTGGATGATTATCACAGTCCTCCCAATAGGATATCTAGAGAATACGACTCACCATCCTCAAAAATCAAATTTAAACCATTGGAATCGGCAAACTACACTCCTCCAAGTCTTCCAATGAGTAGACCCAAGACAGCTCCTCCTGTAAAAACCCCACCAACAGAACCTCAGTTAAGAACGCCCACTAAGGATACTTCAAAAGAATCTCCAAGTGGCAATAGGTCTAGCATGGTAAGATCATCCGTAACATCGGTCTCAACCTCTCAGTCAATTTCTAGGCCCCTTCCATTCAAAACCAATGTTAAAAAGCCAGTGTCGTACAGAAAGAAGGTGAATGATCCAGTGTCTCGATGGAGAGAACTGAACTCAGTTTGGAAGAATGACACCTTCCTTAAAAACCAGCAAAATCAACAAAAGAGTCACAGGTGGCGTGTTAGACAAGAAATGCTTGAAATTCAAGGAGACAAATATTTGAACCCCAAGGAATGTCGATGAATACATTTGTGCAAATAGAAATAATATTTCTGAAGAATTAAAGTGAAATAAATATACAAAGATGTACATACATTCAAATTTCCATTTGGTTTCATATAAAATGACAGTCTGAATCACTAGAATCACTATTCGTTCATACAAGGTTGCGAAAAAAGTGAGAGTTGTTTATCACGTTTCTATTTATAAAACGTTTGAAGATGGATCATAGGCACCTCCTGCTCCACCTTCACTTGCTGTAGATATTTTGAGATACTTTTCAAAGTGCTTTTTTGCTACTCGTATATTCATATGAACAGCCTCGCTTTGGATAGATGTATCGCTCAAAATTACCATGATATATGTGTTTGGTGTGAATCCTTCAATGTATGCAGAGAATTGAGAATTCTTCACCTCCATGCTTTGGAATTGGGACTGAGCTTTGGAGCAGCTCAATTTGAATTGCTTAATAATGTTAGAAATTTTTTCAAAACGGTGTACATCTGGATGTTCGTTACTCGTGCTATGTGAAATGACGAGGAATGTTGCCCTTTCAAACAACACTACTTCATCAGCTCCACAAATCTTGGTAAAGTTATCCAAATTGGCCTCAATGCTCTGAATGTTTGGTATTAAACTATAGACGATGGTGCTCCATGCCTTGTAAAGTGTCTCATCCCAAATTGAAGTACGGAAACATGTAATCTTCATTGGAGCAGACAATTGTTTCAATTCTTGCTCTTTTTTACGGAATATTTTGTCACGTTGATCCTCAGGAACTAAATCCATTTTGTGAATGAGGCAAAATATTTTAGCATTCTTGGAATTTTGCATGATGGCCTCCAAACAGTCGTGATAGTATGCCAAGTCTTTTGTCAATTCCTTGCTCTCAATGTCAAAAACATAAATTAGCACTTCGACATTACGGAAAATGTGATCTCTCTGTGATTCTAAATAAGTTTCCATAAAAGCTTCCTGTCCTCCACAATCCCACAAATTCAACACGAGATTTCCAAGAAATTTTACGTGACTGTGTTCTACGTCGATTGTAGCTCCAAGACGCATCGTATCACGAGCAATGTAATTGGCAAAGATGATCGAACGCATGGAGGTTTTACCACTTCCACTCTAGTGGTTGTGTATTCAATGATGCATCACCACGAAATAAATTATTATTATTTTGGATTATAAATAGTATTTCAGTTCGGATCAGAAAGAGTAGTGGTAGTAATATAATTACAACCACCGACAAACGGGAATGGGACAAGACATTAAAAAACAATTCCGCAACGATGAATATGTCAGTTGATGGAAAACTTGTAGAAATTCAAAGAAGAAATCAACCAACCTTTCCCATCAACAAGACTTTCTTTTTCATTTTTTTTTTAATTTATTATAGTTGATCATAATCATTCCTTGCTTTGTGAGGTTAAGAAACTATTGATTTATTATTGGATGATAAGATCTATTCGTCATTCAATGTTCTTTAGTATTAATTAATTATTGAGTGATACAACAAATTCCGTAGGATGAAGAGGTGTGGTGTGAGCCCAATCCGATTCATTTGGCAACAATCCCATGAAATATAATTTCACCATTGACATTCCGAGAGCTACACACTGAAGAAGAATGTAAACAACTTTTGGAAGGAGTGTATTGATTTTACCTCCATCTTCTGAGTCAAAAGTTTGGAAGGCTATTTTGCGAACATGATGATGCGAATGAAGTTAAAATTCGGATGATTCCAATCACGCAACAGTGTGATAATAATTATTAATATGAAATTCCAATCATCATTACCATATAGTCGAGTACATTTTTCAATAATTTGACCAAATGGATCCGCAATTCTTTTTCGAATTGCAACAATTTTCACGTACCTTGTCCAACACCTAAAATTGCTTTCACTGGATTGATGATAGCCATCACTGTAAATATTATAGGGAAAATATTAATTTGATTTCCGATCATCCACAACAGAAAAGCGTTCATAAATAAATTACGGAATGGGCTTGTTGCAAACTCCCAACATTTCTTTTGTTTAAGATCGAGTTGTTGTTGTTTCTTTTCCGATAATGTTGAAGATGACGCGCTAGCAGTTGATGAGGTAGAAGTGATAGACTCAGCTCCGCTCACATAATTGAACGGTTTTTGTGCATCCGAAGCAGGAGATGGCAGCAAGGTAATTTTCCAATCCTTTTTACTTTGCATTTTTTTGAACATGTCGACAACACACATCCTTCCATTCACTAATGGACTCAATGAAATTGCAATGAGATATCAAACGAGCAATTAATTGAATGGATACCTTTACACGGAAGAGAACATGTTCTGCAAGTCTTTCATCAAATTTAAAGAAAATCAAATTTAAAGAAAAAAAAATGGTGCTGCAAAAAGCCCTGAAACAACAACACCAAATGACAAGCTTCGGAAACAATGAACGATGGAAAAGGCTCTTGATGTGTGTTGGGTACAGTGGAAGTGGAGTGAGTGGATCTCAATTTCAAAGAAATGTTTCTGTTGAGAAGAGTATGTTAAAAGTTACTAATTAAACAATTTGTAAGAGTGTTGTGGGAATTATGCCATGATGATGATGGATACTTGCCTGTCTATTGGGATATGAATTTGCAACAAACGTAAACCACAAAATAATTTTATTTCTTTTTTAAATTCTTTTATAGCCATTGAAGGAAAATTGTTGAAACACATGCATCAAGTTGGAATGTTAGGAGTTAAATCACTGTCAAGACAACAAGAAAGTGATTATGGAAAAAAACAAGAATTTTACACAAAACTTCATAGTACTATGGAATGGAACGCATCAAGTAGAACTGATAAAGGAGTACACGCTATTGCAAATTTCTTTTCTTGCAAAATTCCACCAACTGCTCCTAATATTAAGGCGAAGCTTTCGGACTGGAGGAGCGAGCTCAATAATTCATTTTCATCAGACGATATTCTACAAATATTTTACATGGATGTTTTAGAGGATAACGACGAATTTAATTGCAGACAACTTGGAATGTGGAGAACTTATGAGTACTTTATTCCTCAATATTGTCTAAAGGCCATGTATGAAGTTTGTCGAAAAAATCAAACCTTGCCAGCAAACACAAAGCAATCAAATGCACAAAGAAGGGGTGTCCAATCACAGCTTCCTGAAATTAACTTGGAACAAATTTGCACGAGATTTAACACTGTTTTTTCAAAGATGGAGGGATTCAGAAATTTTCAAAATTTCACAAGCACGTCATCGACACAGTCGAACAACTCAATCAAAGCAGAAGACGAAGAGGATCAAGATGATGAGCTATTTCAAGATTTATCTCTGTCAGATTCATTCGGACGACAATTTTACAGAACAGTTCTGCAATGTCATGCAAAGCCTCACACTCTCTCAGTGCCACATTTCAAGTTGTACTCTTCTTCAACTCCACCTCTATCAACAGTTGAAACTCTACGAGGAATTGTTATTAAGGTTACAGCTAGTGGATTTTTGTACCATCAAATTCGAAAAATGATTGGCCTGGCGATTTCACACTGGCTCCACCCGAAAGAAATCGATGAAGAATTTATTGATATTTCATTGTTTTCACAAGAAAGAATGTTTATTCCAACAGCACCAGGAGACTCACTCATTTTACTTCATACAGCATTAAAAGATCTCACTCTAGAAAAACAGATTTACAACAATTCTGGAAAGATACGACCAGAGTATATGGATATTTGTGCCAACAAGGAAATGGAAACATTCAGAACACACTCGCTCTATCCTCAAATCATGTTAGATACCTCAGCTTCATTTAAACATGTTCAGAATTATTTATTAACATTATCAAACACTAATGACAAAAAACAAGAGGAGAAAAAACCACTTCAACGATCATCATGGATTCAGCTAGCTCACGAATTAAAATTTTACCTGAAAGACTTGGTGGATCAAAAAGAAAGTGTGAAAAAGAGAGCTAAAAAACAGATTGACGAACAAAGAAGGAGAGAAGAATGGAAGAAAAGGGACGAACAGGAACAACGAGCTGCTAAAATTTCTACCATTTCTGAAAAAGCAAAAGTAGGTCTTGACAGCGAAGTCATTGATTTTTTACCAATTGGGTATCGCTTGCATTTCTATGTGAAATTTAGATGCTTACCTAATGAAGAACGAACCATCTCGGCACTGAATTGCTTGCAAGAAATGATTCGACTTGGCACCATTCCTCCCAAAGAAAATAACTTTCAAATACTGGACGAGATTGTGTTGAACAAATTCAAGGACTCTTTTCCCGTCGTTGTGTGAAATGAATTGTTGCTGTCGGTCTCTTTCAAAGATCATTTCTCAAATTGATTCTGAGGCATTTCAATTTACGAAATGAATCACTACCTCAACAAGATCTAAAAATAATGAAAAAAATACGTCGACTAGAGATCACTTTCAAGCAGCATCATGTTTCCAATCATTAAATCCTATTCCGATGTGAAAGATTGTATTGCAGGAAGAAAAGAGTTTGTCACTCAGATTGACGAAGGCTTCCGATTTATAAAATACAAGAGTATAGTTGAAAATACGTTTGTCGATCTCACCGAAATGAATAGTACGTGAATGATGTGTTGAAATCATTAATATCATCACGAGCCAACTTGAATATCTTTTAATCACAATCATGACAATGTACTACTATCATTGACTGTTTTCAAAATAATAATTTTATTAATACTACAGATTTAAGTGACAGGGAACGAACTATTCATCTCCTTCGTCGTGAATGTCGCGGAATTGTTTTTGATGCAGAAAATGATAAACTCATCTGTCGAAAATTTCACAAATTCTTCAATATTAATGAAAAACCGGAAAGTAATGTGGATCGTATTAATTGGAAGAGACCTTTCGTGGTGATTGAGAAAATGGATGGCTCTCTTGTGGCTCCAATTTACACAAAAAAGAAAACCAAAGATGTCTCAAATATTGCTTTCACTACAATGCTTGGATTGACAGCTATGGCTAAAAATCAAGTTCAAGGATATATTGATAAGAATTTACAACACAAAGGATTAAGAAAACAATTTCTAGATTTTTGCAAGCATTGTCTTGATCATGGAATGACATGTCTATTTGAATATATAAGCCCTCAAAATATTATTGTGATCAAGTATTTGGAAGAGAAATTAACATTGCTTGCAATTCGACATAATGAAACTGGACAGTATCTCTCATATTCAAAAATGAAGGATCTTTTACAAAAACATCCAGATTGGGAAAAGGTTGTGAATTTAGTGAGCTTGTGGAAAGATTTCCCACAGGGAACTGATGAACCTCACAAATTATTATCTGAAATTTACGAACAAAAAGGAGTCGAAGGATATGTCATTCGATTTGAAGATGGTGATTTTTACAAGGTCAAGACAAAATATTACATGTGTTTTCATGGAATTTCAGGTGGAGGCAGTGAATCAAGTGGTGGTGCAGCTGTGGCATTATCTGCAGAAAAAATTAGAGAACGACATCTTATTAAGGCAATTATGAATGATGTGATTGATGACATTATTAGTGGAGTGTATTGGACCTCTGAAATGAGACAGTCCATTTCAAAATATCGAATTGAGATCGAGGCAAGAACGTTGGAGAAATTTGAGGGAGAAGCATGGCCAATTCTTTTAAAAGCTATCCAAATGTCACAAAAAGGAGTTGGCAATGAGTCGTTGGCAAGTCGTGTTCTGAGCGGAAAAGTGGCCAATACTCCCACTGGAGATTTTGTGAAGGATATGATTTCCAAGTTGGCCAATTCTTCTTCGTCGTCCTCAAATTCATCCACAAAATCAAGTGACAAGGAAGAACGAGAAGAAGAAAGGCATGACAACAATTTCTCTCACAATCCCAATAGAGGCAATTTTTGGAGCGTTCTGCAAGAGGAAGAAGTTGAAGATGCTGAACAAGAAGCTACTCATGATGTAGTGAGTGATGCAGAAGAGGAGGACGAAGAAAAGAGAGAACAAATGTTATTGCCCTCACAATCAGCAAGTCTGCCAACACAAGCTTCAGAAATTTCATCAAAGAAGTCCTCCGTCGTTGAAGAAGCAGTTTCTCAACAAGCAGCTTCCTCATCTTCTACAAACCAAACATTATTTGACACGAGGAACATGAAATTTGCACCTATTCATCCTGGCAGCGCCTCAGATCTCTCAGCAGAACAACAATTAGAGAACCAAAAACAAGTTGCTTTTGAATGCTTCAAAATATTCTTACAAAATAAGATCTTCCAAGTGAATGATCCAAGTGCATTTGAAAGCAAAAAAGCAAAGAATTATGCTTGGCTTGGCGTTGATTTGAGTGTCATGGGTCAATTTTCGTTTGATGGCAAGTCAGGCTGTCTTGTGAAAAACTCTACCAGGAAAGTACTCTCTAAAAAGGATGAATCTGATGACTACGACTTTAGCAAGTCTTCCAACAAGAAGGGCTCAAAGAAAAAGAAGAAATAAAGTGTTCCAAAATGACTTGAATTCACACCAATCTAATTACTTCATCAATTTTCAACCATCAATTCAATTGGCAGTTCATTCTCTTCAGCGTTTGTGAAAATCAAGTTACTTTCAAGAATCTTTTGGCGGCTCTTAGACTGCAAAGTATTTGCATATGCTTAGACACGTGCGATGCAGATACTTTCCAATTTAAAGGACGTCAAAAGTGGATGCATGACGATGATACAGAACAAAATTATCGCAAAGAAACACAAAATTGATATTAATTGTACTTTCTCAGTGAGAAGATTAGCGTGTACATTCTTCATTCTCACCCATGGTCAGAAAGAACCCAATAACAAGTATCAGGCTTGGCAAAACACAATTTTCATCATATGAAAGTACAGTTTTCAAGTATTAAATTCCGAAGAAAGCATATTCATCGCCATTCCTTTCCGAGACAATTCTACTCTGTATCATCTTCTGAAGCCAATTCATTACGAAAGCAAAAAACAACAACGATGATCGTCATGTTCATCCTTTCATTTTTTAATACAACGAATGATGTCTCATAACGGAAAGATTCACCACTAACAAACTCGTTCATGGATTCACAGAAGGTCATGATATCGATATATTCACTTGAACCTTTCATTTCTCACTTCACTTCAAGAAGGATTCAAATTGTCTCTCGAAATCATCAAAGAAAGGCTTTTCTTGTTTTGAAAGACAACCGTTGCTGAATCATCGCACAGTTAAAAAATTCTAAAAAACCGTACTTCTTCTTCAGAAGCTTCGGACAACAACAACAGCCCTGTGCTCACTCCCATCCGTGGAGCAATCAATCTTTTGGGATTCTGTGCTTCTTTTACTCAAAATCATCATCCACGCTATACATCAACATCCCATCATTACCCGTTATTATTGGAACAGGCTGTTACACTTGTAAATTGAAATTATTGCCGATTTTTTCCAACGGGTGTAATATCCTGGATATTACAACAAAACCATCAACAAATATAACTATTCAAAACATTGAAATGGTTTGCCAGAGAAGTAACGGAGTGAGCCCAAAACTGGTCTCTCAAATTGAAACCAAGGTGGAGCAATTACGCGATATCTACAAGAATCAACAGTTCAAAACGGTCATCATGTCTAATTACACCCACACCATCTTTTATCATGATCCCAAAATCCTACTTTCCAACAATCAAACAATGAATTCATCCCCTTCCTTCTCTTCCAACAACCAAAATGGAACACCGATCAATACCACTCCTACACAACCTATTGCAATTGTTAATCATCAACATTCAGCATCGAATGGCTCTGGATCTCCACCTCCCATCATCTCTCCAATTAAAAAAACACAACATGGTTCAAATCCAAGTTTGGTTGCATACTCACCCAAAGACACCATGTCTGCAACAAATTTAACATCACAAATTGGAGTATCTGCCTCCCATCTTACCACTTCCACGAGCCAGTCATCACATTCACCAACAACAGACGGACCCCCTAATATGGGTATTGGCTTTGTGGTAGGATCAGTTGAAGACCTAGCACAGAGACTTCGACAATATTTGGAAAGCGTAGAAAATTTTGTAAAACTTTTTTCAGAAGATGAGACCCAGCAATTTATTAATCAAGGAATTTATCACATACGGGGATGTAGTGGTCTTTTACCTGGAGGAAGTAATAATATCAGTTGTATTAGCAACAATGGTGGAGTTTTGACGCCCACATCGATGTCGAATTGTTCAGTTGGTTCTCCCACACTTATTTGCAGTATTTTTGTAAAGACAGACATAACGTGTGCCATTTTCACTGACGTGTATGAGCAAGACGCTATTGGAATTACAGAGGATTTGGACAATGAGATTTTAGAAATTGTAGAACAATTACAATTATTACTCAAGAGCACAATCGAGAAAGAAAAAACAGTAGCAAAGAAAAAGTAGAAAAAATTGGTCTTGAAGGCGTCACTTCATTGCCTTCTTCATGGAGATTACTTGAACGAAATTATTTATTTGACCCGAAACATTCACTAATCGAGATGTGAATTGACTACTACTGAGCTAATTATTCGATTGCTAGGTTACCAACAATAATAATTGCAACAGTTTTTGCCACAAGACTCACCCAGAATAATTGATTACTCTTTCGAAAGAACAACCATATGGACAACAGATTATTCAACCAATAAATACATGCTTGGCAAGCATAAGGTGTGTGGTACAAGACACTGAAATGAAATTGTGCGTCAAATTTTGCGAGTACGAAGGTGCAACAGAGACGGCTGTCACCTGTCAGTTCCCAAAAACAAAAAAATACAAGTTGTCTTTGTGGGACTTGTGTTTGAAGCCAACTTTAACAACAGGCAAACTGTCTTGATCTACATCAAAACCACATCATCAAAGCACCACAACACAACCTCTAACATTTATTGACACTTCTGATTTCAAGTCACTCTTTCCGCAACCTCAACAATAATTTTCGAAAATGGATGAAGACAACAACAACAATCACTCCAATTCCTTCATGAAAACCACCACAACCATTCATGACGAAACCAAAAAACGTTGGTACGACTATATTCACTCCAATCACGTCTGTTCCTGTATCTTTCTTCTCTTCTCTTTGGTGAGTATTGCCTTCATCATTGCCTTTTTGGTGCCCATGTGGCAATTCGCTCCCATCTCCACCGAATGTACGTTGCTTTCCAAGTCGTTGAATGCCTCGTTCATTGGTTCCGATGAGAAGGCGACTTTCCGTAAATTTCGAGCAGAATTTACGGTGAGTTATACGGTCAATACGGCAATAAGTGGAAACTCGAAACAAGAAATTGTATCGACGCTGTATGGACCCTCTGCCGATTCGTGGTGGAATACGAGAGAGGCTGGTTATGTACTCTCTTCGGCCATACGGAATGAGTTTTATCAGTCGTATCGGGTAGGACAGAAATTTGAGTGCTTTTATTCGAGTTCGGATGTGAATGCTGTTGTGTTGGAATATGATCCGAGATTGAATGGATTGATTGCCATTCCGGTGGCTTTGATCTTGTTGAGTTTGTGGATTTGTGTTCATCCCGAGATTGAGAAATATATTCGATCTAAATATCAACAGCGACAATCTTTGAAACAATATATGGAATTATCTCAGATGGAAGAGACTTATAGCAAGGAAATGGCTGAGAAAGTTGCCAGTGATCTCTTCTTTGATGATACCGTAGGTGCCTATCGAAGAATTGGTACTGGAGAAATTGTACAGCCAGCCGCTGAGACGGATCATCTCGATGGTGATGATGAATATGAATTGATTGAGGAAGAAATTGAAGTGATTGGTAAATTCTTTGGACAAAATGTTGAAGAACAAGGAAGATTCATCACGAAGAGTGAACAGATGGAACGAGAGGCATCAGAGAATAATGAAAAGAATATTAAGATTGTCTCTAGTTCGAGTGTGCAAGAAGAAAGTGAGACAAAACAAGAGGATCAAAGTGGAAAGGGTTTTTCAACCTCTATTCAAGAGGCCACACCTAAACCACCACAACCTCAACATACCTTGCTTGTGTTGGATTCAGATTCTGAGGATGATGACGACTATGACGATTAGAAAAATTTCAGCTTTTGATCTGACCTTTCAACGAGACTACGTTATAAAAAACATGAATTTTTTATTAATAGGCCATGAGTCATATATACTACAAGGAAGAATGACATTACTTTAAAGGTATTATAATCTAATTACTGATCTCAATCAAATTACTTTTGTAATCTACAAATTATTTTTACCTCTTTATCAAAACATTTCGTAATCATTTCTGGTCGTCACTGAAAATCAATCCCTCCTGGCGAGCTTGTGGACGATTCTTTCACAAAAACAAAATGTCTCTCCAACAATCAGGAGTATTATTCTCGAAACATGACCATGAGCCTTATTCACTATTTCCAGGCTCATGGTCATGAATTTTAAAAATCTTAACTATTGAATTTAAAAGTGTTTATGAAATTAAACAAACAAACCTTTTTCTATTTGAATTTTACTTAGGGACGTCTTGACAGTTAGGACAAGATCGACAATAATTCTATGATAACAGTCTTCAGTGAAATTCAAACATTACAAATGTAATCCCGTGTAGTCCAATGGTTAGGATACCTGGCTTTCACCCAGGAGGTCCGGGTTCGATTCCCGGCATGGGAGCTAATAATTTTTCATTCGAATGGTTGTTCAAAATACGGAGAGATCTTTTTTGAAGGTTATCGATGATTATCATTCTCTCCTCACACTTGGATAATCACCATCTCTTGATAATATTACCAACAAGAATTAGAAAGATTTCTTTTCACTCTCAGTTCATACCGCATACTTTTTTGAATATTAAATATCAATGATCGAAAAAGAGATTTTTATTTATTGAAAAGCTCAAAAATTCACTCTCTCTTTGACAGTTCTCTCAAGAATTTAACCCTTCTTGAAAATGGGCTCTAAAAAGCAAAAACATTTGGTGGTGGGGTTTCGTTGCTGTTAGCTCCCTTCTCAAGATCTTTTCATTCTTTCATTATCTCATCATAAACCATTGAGGCACTCTTTACACGCCCTTTGCGAAGTTTCGAAATCATAAAGGGCGTGACGACAAGAGGAACGTCATCATCAAAGACTTCATATTGATGTTCGTTCTTTCTTTTTTTTGATTACGAGAGACACTTGTTGGATCCAGAGCCATCAATGATGCATGACCATTTATCGATCTTTGACGAAGGTTTCACATTCACGTTCATGAAGCAAGACTCTCCAAGTTGAATCTTCTTTCGAACTTATATTTTGTTGAACGATGTCAATTCCGAATGCTTACTTCAAACATTCCACTTGGGTGATTCTATAATGACATTTCAAGAAACCAAATTTCTTCATTTCATTTCACAATCCATTTCGAAACCATTTAATAAAGGGACTGATTGAATTTCTTCATAACCATATTCCTGACATGCATCCCGTCCATCTTCAAGAAAGAGAAAACCTTCGTTTAATTTTCACCTTAACACTATAGAGATGATCTGCACTCCAGTCATGATTGTCAAAGATCTCTGACCGGTTGAATACCCAATATTAAACTTTTAAAGTTACCATGAGGCTCCTTGAAAGTGAATAGATGTCTACTCAGCAGAAACAACATCAACATGATAGATGTTGAAATGTTCTTTTAAAAGACCTTTGGTACTTGTGATTCACACACTCATTGTTGAATTTAATAAGTTACAAAATTGTGATCTAAACGGTGATTCGTTTAATTTCAAGATCAATTCTTTCACACAGGTACTCTTAAATGTTATTCTTGATCGATACAATCTCGTGCGAATGTCAGTTGTCAGCAAGTGACTAGAATTTTAATTGTCAGAAGCTGTGTGAGAAATCAAACTTCTCAATTGATTAATGACATTAAATTGAGCCTTGATCTTGGCATTATGTTTCTTTCTCAATTCTCTGGCCTTCTTCCATGACTCCTTCAATCTCTTAAAGTTCAACCTTTCATTCTTCAACAATTCCTTGAACTGAGCGAGTTTAGTCTCAGCTTCTCGTAATGTCTTGTTCTCTTCATCTGAAGATGTCTCTGTGACTTGTTCTGTAATAACTTTTTCACTCTTTTCAATATACTTTTTGTAAATCATTCTTGCTCGTCGATAAGTTCGTTTCTTTTCAATCAATGATCGACGCAAACTTTTCACTCGAATTCGAATTTCCTTGTACTTTCTTGACATTTGTTTCAAAAGTCTTCTCAAACGTTTTTCGACTCGATTCAAATGAGAACGAATGGCTTGAGCGTCTTGTTGAGAGACCATCACCACCGATTTGTTGTTGTTTTTAATATTAATTCCATACTTTTTGAAGAGACGAATGAGAGTGGATTTAAATAGTTTTCTATGACGACGTGTTGTTGTTATTCGTTTCGTAGAAGTAGTGGTTGTGGTGGTTGTGGCGGAGGAGGATTTTGAGTTGTTGTTGTTATTTTCTTCAGCATTGACAGTTGCCACAAGTTGTAAAGTGGTCAAACTAATGACCAACAACAACAACAAAAAGAAAATCACCACTGAAAGCTTGTTGTTCATCATCGGGAAAATTGAAGAGACTGACTCTCAGTGAAGAAGAGGACGACGATGAAAAGGCTGTTGTTGTTATTTGCCCTTGCTGTTTGGAAATTCGAATTTTTTTTTACGATGTTGCGACAGGTGAAGGATACGATCTGGGTCATTGTACGGAGAAGGCACTTTTCTTTTTCATCTGAAATCACCACATCAGAAAGAGCTCAGAACTGTTTTCCTTGAGTACGTTTGCATCTGCCGATCTAACCTTCTCGAATGAATTAATTATTTGCTCAAGATTTTAAGGCTTGTTTCATTCTTAATTATTAAGAATAATAAAAAAAAGAGAGGACGTGATTGACAATGAAACGTCCTGAGAGGGCCTTCATCCAGCTTCCTGGATTCATCCTTAGAAGAAAGCATGGATCGTCTTGTTGAATTGTTGTTGAACAAAATTGTTCAATCAGCAGAACCTCTGTTGAAGAGAGAGAGAAGGAAATTTGATTCACTCCGAAACACTACATACTCTCGTTTGAAGAAGAGAACGAACGAAATTAAAGAATGAAACTCGAGTATTCTCTTGAGAAAAAGATTTCATCGTTCTGTATAAAACAATGATCCTTTCATCCTTCAACATCCACCACTAGTCTGTCCAGACAATTATTATTATTGAACCGTTGAAAACCACCACGTTGCTTGCTCCGATCGAAGATTTCACACCCAAATTGGTCTTGAATTCATTGGCTCATCACCCAAATTGATCTTGAATTCATTGGCTCATCATCCTTCTCCTTCTCACACAACCTTCTCCGCTTTGCTCTCACTCATCATCCAACAACAACCAAACACACACCAAAAAATGCCACAACTTCACTCTGCGAATTTTCCAGTCACCGATGACGGACGTACTTATCACTTGGACCTGGGCAAGGGAATGATTGCGAATAGGATTATAACGGTCGGTGATCTTGCTCGTGCTGAAAAGTATGCTAAATTTTTGGATACTGATTGTGAGATTACTCGCCATCAGTCTGCTCGAGGCTTTTATACAGTAACGGGCAAGTATAAAGGAACTCCAGTTTCGATCATTGGCATTGGAATGGGATATCCAATGATGGATTTCATGATGAGAGAGGCTTTGTTTTGTTTTCCAGCCGGCTCAACTGTAGCCATTTTGAGATTGGGTACTTGCGGAACGCCTGATGAATCTGTTGAAACTGGTGATTTTGTGATTGCAGAAGATTCAATTTCTGTGTATCGTAACCCTGATTATTTTACTTTGAAGATTGAAGGACAAAGTACTGAAGGTGTACAACCATACAATTTTACTCTTCCTGTCAAGTCCAATTCCCATTTTCAAGATGAACTTGAAAAAGCATTCAAACAACTCGAGCTCCCATTCCATCGTGGAAGAAATGCATCAGGAGATTCATTCTACAGTAGTCAAGGAAGAAGAGATGACAATTTTGATGATGACAATGAATATATTGAAGGAAAATTGCAGACATTGGGCGTGAAAGCAATCGAAATGGAATCTTTCCATTTGCTCGATTTGGCCCGTTGCTCGAAGACCATCTCCGTCAAGGCTTGTGCCGCTACTCTCGTATTAGCTCAACGAGTTAAAAATGTATTCATTGATGTAAATTTGAAACATAGCAGAGAAGAACTCATGGGCAAAGTTGGCCTTGAGGCTATTGTCAACTTGCAATTGTAGACTATGTCTTGTTGTCGTTATTGTTCGATCATCATGAATAACTAAAAAAATAAAACAATTTGATATGTAAAGGGAATTTATTTTAGTTTGTTCAAAGAATTATTATTATTTGAATTGTTGATCGAAATTTCTTGAAATCAACTGGAAATAATTATTTACATAGAATAAATGTTCCAAGAGAAGGTGGTTGTGCCATACTTTTGATGTTCGTCATCCTCAAAATTATCGAAATGCATACTTCTTTTTTCTGTTTTGGCTTTCTCTGTATCTTCTGTATGCTTCACGCAAATGCTTAGGCTCGATGGGTGTATTCAAATTGTCTCCCCATTCTTTCTGTATTGCTTTTGCCAATTCTACCATTTCTCCCACAAAAACTTTGGCAACACCTGCAATAATAATTTCTGCATGCTTGTTTGCAGTGACATTGGAAGATCCACTAATTAATCTTTTCACTACAGGTTTAAATGTACTCCGAATGAAGCATTCATATCTTTCGTATTGAGGATGATCCGCACTAGAAAGCTGTGCAATTAGTCTTCTTTCTTTTCACTCTCCCGTTTTTCCTTTAATTTTCGTAGTCTTCGCTTTCTTTTTTTGATTGATGATGCCATTGAAGCTGACACCCCCAAATTTGCAATTTCTTCGTCATCATCTTCAGGACCAAGATACATGTCATTTCTTCTCATCATATCACCTCCGTATTCATCTTCGCTAATTTCACTTCCTCCACTTTCACTTCTTGATTCATCATCATCTTCATACTTTTGTCTGTTAATTTCATTATTATTTGATCGAAAATTATCTTCGTCATCGGAGCGATTGTATCGCAAGGCTGTTGTTCCCAAATCTTGGGCAGAGAATGTTGAAGGCAAGGAAAATGAACTCATTTTTTTTATAAGCGAAAGTTCAAGTAATTTGATCTGCAATATTCTTTAAAACAAAGTTGAATACCTTACATTCGTTAAATTTAATACTTTCAACCAGGATATTTAGATTTCGTTTCGAAATTTATGTCGTCTGTGGTTCAACTCGAATAATTATAACGAAAATACATATGAATTTTTGATTTTTCTCTTTTTTTATTGTTTTTTGTGCATTTTCATGAACAACCAATTACTCTTGTTGAGGTGAAGAGGCCAATCTGATCTTCTCATATCTCTTATCATCAATGGCCTTCTTCATGATGCCAAGTGGTGAAAAGTCCTCACCTTCCAACACTGCCTTCATGATGCTTGGTGAGAATCCACCAATCATGGCTACTCCTTGTTCATGGGCGTCATTGGAGACAAAATCTCTAGAACTACCATTCACGTTCCAAAAGACAATTCTTGGAATGTCATAACCAGATTGCTTGTACAAATTCTTCATGTAATCAAAGTTAGCCATGCTTGATCCTGCTGCACTATCAAACTGCATGTCACTAATAACATAAATCGTGGTTGGCATTTCTTCTTGAGTAAGTTTGTTCTTCTTTGCCTCGTTGAGAATCATTTCAAACACCTTGTAAAAGTTGGTGCTCATACCCCATGGCATACGCATAATTTCTTGGACTTTGTCATGAAGAGTGGTCGATGTGATATTGATGAGTTGAGGATCCTCATGGAAGGTAATTAATCGACCCTTAAATGGAGGCATGCTTAGGTGTGAAACGAGTAAACCAATACTGA